TGTGAAGAGACAGGGAATGTGATGGTGGAATTGATGTAATAGGTGACCTGGACAGCATTATCAGCCTTTCCTGTAGTGATATGTTGAATAATAGCCCTCCTATCAGTAGAGGTGAGCTTGGATGGACACCCTTCACAGAAGTTTTCCTTGTCTGTGTGACTTTCTTTGATGAACTTGGCCACAGTGGACTTGGATACTCCAGTTCTAGAGGAAATTTGACAAGCAGAGAGGCCAGAATAGGAAAGAGAGAGGATATTATCCCTTTGAACAGGGGGGGTGGCTTTCATGGTGAATATAACCATGACATATGGAAATTTTTGGTTTGTATAGTTAGATATGGTTTTAAAATGACATAATGACACCACTTTATAATTTATTTAATGGTGGCATGGTTGTTATGGTGTCATAAATGATGATTTATATAGTTTTAATATGTGCTCAAAAAACTGTCCACATGAGTCACCATTTTGTGAGCCTTGTATCTCCACCATATCTCCACTGATTCCAACGGTGTAGGGCTCAAATGAAAGCCCTGAAGCCATACTACGATGTGCTATAAGCATGTCCTTGAGGCATTTGTTCATTCTCACACAATATCATAGATAGTGAAAAATGTCAAAACATGCGGACAGTTTTTTGAGCCACTGTAGTTGCACATGGAACCAGAGTGAATTCCTTGACAACTGGAATACTTGGCTCATCAACCACCTTCTTTTTCTTCAGCTTTGAATCTTTCCAAGTACATACAATCAATGAGTTCCTCTTTTTGGAATAAGAGGGGGATACTGTTCCTCTTTTGTTCTTTATCAATTTCTTCTTCAACTTGATCACTTTTCATGGTATGTGAGAGGATAAGGGTTTTGGCAGTCCAATCAATGAGGGTTCATAGCACACAGCCAAGGGATTCCTAAAAGGATCTGGTCTTAGTGTCCTAACCAAGTGACGTTGAATTTTCCAATCATAGTTCGTCCATCTATTTTGACATTGAGGATGCAGTATCGGTGAATTGCTCCACTTTTGGAATAGCTTCCATTGGCAGTAGTTACTCTGAATGGTTTACTGAGGGCATGGGTTTGGATATGATGCTTTTGACAAATTCATAACTGCTTGTACAAGTCTTATTGCTACATCAGAAGATATTGACGTTGATCCAGTCTTCCACATTAAAAATCCTCAGCAAGGCAATGGATCTTCATATCTTCATCTTCTTCATCACTATCTGCTATTTCTTCATGACAGACAGGAGTTTTCCCTTTCTTCTTCTGGGGACACACTCTGGTCATGTGCCCAGGTTGGTGACAAGAGAAGCATAAGCCTTTCTTCATGTGGTCACTTCATTCAGCTTCAGTGAGCTGGTCTACCTCCATGGCATTTGGGTCACAGTGGTCAATGGAGGGTCTGGGTATGTAACATTAACCAGTAGGTTTCATGTGTTACGAACTAGGGTGGTTCTAACAATGGACGACTCAATAAGAGTCAGGACCTCCATCAAGATTCTACACAAGGCAATAAGCCAAGTGTTCAGAGTAAGCTAAGGCAGAGGGAGTGCCTCTGACTTAAAGTACGGTTCAGATGACTTAGGATTGGGAGTCCTAAGCAAAGAATGTTCCAGGTAAAACCTAGTAAGATTAAGTGCAGAATCAAAGTGTACAAGGTAGACTATATATAGTGAACATAAGTGCTTTAGGGCAGGTGTGGGATTGAGGACAAGTCAGAGATAACAAGAATAGACACCTAGCAACAGCGATTGCGATTGTGGCATAATACAAGTGTGAGTCAGAGATAACACAAGTCCAGAGATAAGTCTAGCAGTGGCGGCATGTGGCATGTGATGTAATACAGTGTAAGAGGAGAAGAAAATGAATAGGGGCATACATTGACTGTAACATCATAGTGGTGTGGTTGTTTTGGTGGACCATGGCACCCCTTTGCCAATTACCATCAAGTCTGATTGCAGCAGCAGCATACTTGTCGAAGTCTGTGGGAACAGTTTCCATCTGGTAGATAGAGTTACCGATTCCTTTCTTGAGTCCATTATTGAAGAATATAATCAGAACGGCATCTTGCTTTATGGAGGCTTGTGTGGCAAGGGTTTTGAAACTGGCAATATAGGAAGTGAGGTCACCCATCTACTTCAGGGTTTGGAGTTTGTTCATGGCTGTGCTGATAGCATCAGCTGGTATGAACACTTCTTTGAACTTGGTCTCAAAGTTAGCAAAGGTTCCATATGACTTGGTGGCAGAGTTATTGACTTTGGTGTAAAAGGTCAGCACCCAACCCATGGTGCTGCCTTCTGTCATAGCTCATAGGTGTTCTAGCTTTAAGCTTGGAAGTGGATGTGGGTGCTGACATTCTGAAACTGGGGTTTGCAATAATGTTTCTGGGGGTCTGTTCTTTTGGGAATTCATCAGACAAAGTAGTCAAGCGGTGTTCTGACTCAGTGGTTACAGGGGATGGGTTTCGTCTCTCTCTGTCTTCTGTATCCGGACCTGCAGCCTCATGATATTCTTCTTCTGGTTCTGGCGGTGCACTGGGATCACTTTCCCACCAATACTTTCTGACCCAAGGGGTCATCTTGCTTTCTTAGCAATGGGGGCCTCTCTGGTGGAGAGGTTCAAAAGGAGACTTAATCTTTTGTTATGAACTAGGATAGTTGCAACAATAGCAGCTTGATAAGAGTGATGGCTAGAGTCAATTCAGACCTTGCAAAAGCAAGGGTCATAAGACAAGGCAAGGAGAGTGTCCTTGACTTGAATATTGGTGTTCAGATGACTTCAGATTGGAGGTCTTGAGCAAAGGAAGTTCCAGGTAAAACCTAGTAAGATTAAGTGCAGAACTACAGCATACAAGGTGGACTATATATAGTGAACTACAGATGCTTTAGGGCAGGTGTGGGAAGGTAGATGAGTCAGAGATAGCAAGAATAGGTCCCCTAGCAATGGCAATAGCGATTGTGGTGTAATACAATGTGAGTCAAAGATAAGTCTAGCAGCAGCAATATGCAGCATGTGACATAATACAAGGTAAGGGTAAGAAAATGAATAGGGGTGTACATTGACTGTAACAGCATCTACATGAGCAATGTTGCAGGCATCTGCATGAGCAGTGTTGCAGGCATCTGTGTGAGAAAGAGTGCAGGCATCCATGTGAGCAAAAGTACAGGCATCCACATGAGCAAAAATGTGGGCATCTGTGTGAGCAAGGTGCAGGCAAGAGCAATGGGAGGGATAAGGTAAAAACCAATATGCAGTGCAGGCTACTCCACATCAAGGTGAGTATGCAAATAGTTCCCTCCCCTTATCAGGTTTCCTGCCCTGGTGGGTGGAAAGGAACCCGATGAGAGCTTGCAATGGCAAACTTCCTGCATGAGTAAACTTGAGAGGGCAGCACATGAGCATTTTTGGATGCCCTCTACCCATGGCCAGCTTCCCCACTGGACTTATCTTCATTGCATGTGGATGCATGTAAGGATCCAGGCCCTCAGAGCCCACTGTGTTGCCAAGTAGCTGAAGATAGCCTAGAAAATAGAAATCAAGCCAATAAAATTTTGGGAGTCATGAAAATCCTGAAGAGAAGAGGAAAGACAGAGAAAAGAAAAGCAGAAGGCAGCAGGCAGGTTTGAGCCTGCTGGAGTGTGGTGCAGAGACAAGAGAGGCCATGTGCTACACTGCCACTGCCACAAAGTCCTAATTCTAACCCTACACTTGTACCTCACTTTGGGGTAGAATATCAATCAAAATATCAAAATAATGTACCATTGCCCACACAGATGAAGTTTCCCCATACGAGACAGTGCCAGTCTCGAAATGCCTTGCAAGGCTGGCAGAGGGAGTCTAGCAATGCCTTGCAAGACCAGTAGGCACATCTTGCATGTTGTCAAACAAATTCATGCCTTGGAAGGCATCACGAGGCCGTGGGAAATTCCCCGGACCTTGCCGGATTTGGGCACTTTTGCTGATGCGGTTCCTGCGCAGTCACTGACTAATATTCCTCGGTTCGGTTTTCTCAGCTAAACGTTGTTCCTAGCGCTCGTATCATGACTGTCTCTGATAAGCAGATAATCTGACTGTAACATCGAGACCCTAGGCTATAGACCCACTCATCAAGGGACCCTTTTTCGGTCATTTCCGAACCGAACAAGGAATTTGGCGTCTCGGTGCAGAGATGATGCCAGACTGACTTGAGCACTCGGCTCATCTATATCCCTTCTCATGAGTCGTCTCCCACTGCCTCTTTTCCCCGAAGGTCATTTTACCAGCTTGCTTCCATTTTTTGAACTCTATAGCAGCAGCTGTGCCAGCTGTCTATTCCTCGAAAGGCTGTGGAATCGAATCAGTGCAGGAAAAGTACTCAGTTCCTGAAATCGGACCACTGCAGTTGAATTCATTATTTAGATTCATCGTATACATTGAGCGCGTTCTTTAACTTTATCCGCAGGTAAAGAGATACTGGCAATTATCTCGAGATATGGTTGATGTGATGCTCCCTTCCCAGGCCTTGTTGGGCACTCAGACCGTAGATATCGGCACTATCTCTTCAAATCTATCCTTCAACGACCTCGATTTAGGTCCGTGCCACACGTCCTGAGCCACCTGTGTATTAATAAGTGCGACTTAGTTTTCCTTGCATTTCCTGTGAGGCGAATTCTACACCTTCGCGTTTTAATCCTGAATTGATGCATTTATCAGTTTCGAGGCGACACACCAGCAGTCACACTTATATCTAGAACATCAGCCAGAAATGACGGATGACTCACCTGAGATAGCTAATACTCCCTTGATATTTCACCTTCCCTCTCCCGAAAATCTCGCGTCGCCAGTCATTTCTCCAGTACCTCAAAACCAGAACCCGCCTGCGCGTGCGCGCTCCGCTCCCGCCATGCCTCCAAGCTCCTACTTCCCCCCTCCCGCTAATCTTCCAAACATGTATGGAGCGCCACCTAGTAATGGATTTTCGGCTGATTATACTGGATATCCCAACGGCAACCCTTCACCTTATATGCCTACCCAACCTCCTCCTGACACACCTTGGGTAGCACCAGGGACAGGGTACACGTTTCAGCAACCGCTACCGCCAGGTCCTCCTGGCTGGGGTCCCCAGCTGGGGGCGTTCACACCCGTGGAACCTCCTCCATCAGGGGCATTTCCCACTCCTGCAGGAGCGTGGGGGACGCCCCCACCTGGTAGGCCACCCGGTATGCCCGCACCGAACATGGGTGCCGGTCACATACCATCGGTGCACCCAACTGCACCGCCCCCTGCGCCACCACAACCGCCTGACACTGCTCGCGCGAACTTCCGGTGGACGAATAGTACGGACCGTATCGACCCTTTTGCCGAAGGGCCACATTGTAGGCACCCCATATTCAGGCTGAGATAGATGTTTTCTGATTTGGCATCATTTTATTAGATGGGCCCGTTCTCGATCCTTTTCTCGTAAGGGCAGTATCTGCGACGGTTCGCATCAATCCCCTCCTATCTCCACCCACAGACTCGCATGAAGACTACCTCCGCTGGAACATGATTTTTCCAACGAGTACTTGTTATCGCACAACTGGGCCAAAGCGTTCATGGATCAAAGGGCGCGAGGCACCCGCTACGTTCCCGCGCCTGTCATACATCCGCATCATCTCACGGTCGTTCCCATGGATGATTTCTGTCAAAGCCAGACACCAAAACATTGGCGTGACTTGTGGTGAAGTGATCGAAGCTCTTTCTGCTTATTTTCACGAGAACGCCGCGAAAAAGGAGTACGATGATGTTTCAGACCATCGCCGACAAGAGATTTGGCAAGCATATCAGCACAACCGCTCAACGGATAGCGACGTCCCTGGTGGCCTCCTGGGTGAGCAGTTGAGACGTCTTGATTGGCTCTGCAGTGATTCGAAGTGGGGCGGTCTTGTCCGTAATGATGAATTCATCGAGGAGGCTTGTGGAGAGGTCTTACCTTGCACTTTTGAGCTAAAGTGCATCCCGAGCTACCCGCTTACTTCAGAGGAAGCTAGCGAGCAGCAGCGGATCGCGCGGAATGCTGAAAACCGTTCTTGTTATCATCTAAAGTGTTGGAAATCTAGCCCGTCAATACAATACATGGTATTTTTTTCATTTGGTTTAACTTTCGCTTGCTTCCTCGAACATAGGTACCATATTAGGAAACTCTGTATACCATACATTCGCTACACTTTCTCCTCTGTTTTCCCGAGTCTCTTTACGCTTGACTGGGTTAAGTTATAACCTACAGCTGTGGACAGACAACTCGACAATTTTGTTTCTGACCCCAGAACATGTTTTGGTACAAATCTGACTGCAGGAGGTCTCAAAATATTTTCCCGCATATTTTCGGGTTGACCAAATTTTTGGCAATTTTCAACATTTATTTTCCCGCTACGACAGTAATGGGTTTTTCCGTGGCATGGCCGTTTGGACGTCTGTGACTCGGATGAGTGAAGAGATGAATCTGAGTGACAGCAAATCATTATCATCTCAATAGCTCCTATTACTAGTACTAAGTACGCCCCATCCCAATCAGGTATCGAAAAACATTTGTTTTGGAATGATAGTACAACAAGAGGTATGATACACGTACAGATATACAGCTGACAAGTACAAGTGATGGTAATGATTATTTCCACAACGTCCAGCTCCGCGGTTGACTTTTCGGCAAGTCCTCCATCACCTTGAGTAACATATCACTGTTGAGCGTGCACCTCAGCTCCATTGTCGCCATTTCCGTTCTTCTTCCGGCGGATGACAACGTATGTGTCGCTCGACTCGTCACCCGAAACAGCTTCAATGTCCCCACCGACGTGGCCCGTGCGCTCAGGCTCAATAAGTTTGCTGCAAAGGTGTGAGGAACATTAGGATGCGAAACAAGACAAGATACTGACCGCTCAGCGCGAATCATATTCAAGTCGTGGGAGAGAAGACCATGGCCGGCTACAGGTCCATAATACGAGATTCCTGCAAGGGAACCGATGATGCAGGTGCCCACGAGGATGGAGAGGTAGAAGCGGTACTGGGAGTACCATTTTGGTGCTGAAAAGGAGGCACAATCAGAAGGGAACCATGGCCCTGTAATAAGGAGACTCACTCCAACCGGCAGACGTGACTCTATTATCGGCATACCACAGTGCAGTGAATCCAAGCCACTGCCAAAGTAGCGCAAAAGTAGGCTGGAGGGTAATAGTCGACCAAGCCAAGACTGCGGGAGAGACGCCGAGGAGCAGACGGGGGTAGCCTTTGTACCCGCCCATACCACTAAATTCCATACCCCAATGGATTGCACCTAAATATAACATGAGCTAAGTTACCAAAGTAGAGGTGGGGTCACGTGCCAAGGAAGGATAGAAGCACTGCGCCATAGTGGACTTGGAAGTTAAGCGCTTGGTCTAGGATGTTCAGCGCAACACCAGGGTCCATGTTTGTGATAACACCCATGGTTGCAAGACCTGCTTGGTGCGCAAGATATACGGTAGTCACAGACGACGCGATGTATGGGATACCACCAGCCAGGCCCATGACGAGATAGGGGGTTGGCACAGAGTGGGCGACTGCAGTGGTGATACCGAACTACATTAAATGATTAAAGCACTATGGTTAACAGGGCTAACGACCTGATCTGCACAAAGGGCAACCTACGAAGGAGTCTTTTGTTGGCTTGACACTGTCTACTGTGAACACGCCACCAGCGATCGAGCGCGCCCAGTCTGTCATTGAGTTCCCGACTTCCTCTTTCACATTCTGCCTCGCGTGCTCGATAGTCTGACTACCTGGTCTGCCCGAGACCGAGCTTGCTGCGAACCGTGCGTGGACCTGGGAAATGTTTACGGCTGCTGGACGGGCTGTGAATTGGAAAGAGCTTTGGAACTGTGGAGGACGGCGAAGAGCGAGCGGGACACGACGAAGAGCGGTTGTGCGAGACAGGGTACCAAAGAGTGTGTTCATAGTTGCAGTCAGATCAGTAGAAAGCGTGGGCTTGGTGCGCTTGGATGAACCACGCCTTATAGAGCCATCCAAATGACGTCGTGTGACATCATACACAACAACACCATGGATTTCCAATAAGCTGCCATTAAAGTACTAAAGCTGGAGTATGGACAAACATCGCCCGCCGAAATGAAAATACAACGCCCATACTTACAGCATGCCAGGCCGCCGAGAGGACACGCACGACTTCGGCAGCACAAAAAGATCAATTAATACAGGGCCCATAGGGGAGGCTTTCTAAAACACGGGGTATCGCATGGTTCTAGAGCTACAGTTTGATGAAAGATGTATCAATCCCATGAGAAAAATCCCAAATACAGATCCTCTGTAAGGTGCATAGTCAGCTTTTAGGCTAAGGCCGAGAAGCATACGTCTCACCTGATCTTCCCCGCACGAAACAATCTGCATAGTTTTAAGATTCGATCAAGTTAAAAATACAATTGGAGGACGGACCTTGGTACAATCAAATCCCACACAGAAGATCCTTCCTGTGTGGCCGCCGTTCAGGTCAGCGATCAGCGCCCCTGTCTTCCTGTCCCACACCTGTGTCAACACAAAGTTATGAGCCTCACTCAATCCCCACTATCGCATCCAACATACCTTAATGGTTAAATCATAGCTCCCACTGACAGCAAACTCCTCCCCAAGGGCAACGCTTCGCACAAGATGCGTATGTCTCTCTTGTTCACGCCGCGCAGCCAATCCATGCGACCCACAAGCATGGCACACGACAGTATTTACATCTGCCCGCGGGGTATCAGGTATGGATCGTGTTAGGGAGGAATGCAAAAAGAATGGTGCTGTCCCCTGTCCCGGTATCATTGCAATATTATCTTGGGCATGCGATTGTGAGGAGGTCGAGGTGGGAACCGCAGCTGAAGGAACGCTGTTGAACTCAGGGTTTGTCGACCAGCCTTGCGACGAAGCTATGTCAAACATTCGCAAATGCATGTCTGATGAGCCAGACAACAAATATGGGGGCTTGAACTCGATAGAGGCAATGCTGAAGACGTTATCTCAGTAATCATATCCACTAGTGGAAATTTGACGAAGAGCTTCACCCTCGTGCGTGATGTTCCTCAAAAGTGCTGATAAGCACGCCAGTATTTGCATTCCAAACGCGTATGGAACGGTCACCAGAGCCAGACACTATCACGTCACCAACGACAGAAACAGCGTTAACAGCTGCACGATGTGCACGAAACACAAATTGGGGCTTCAAGGACGGAAATCCATATGTTCTGACAGTCCTGTCTGGGAGAGTAAACATTCAATCAACTGACAGATAGAGCTATAGGCCAAGCAAACCTTTGGAACACGTCACCAGCCTCCCACTATTAACACGAACACAAAGTACACTGTCAAGATGATCTTGCAGGACCTTGACCAGCTTGTCCTCGCCGAGGTCCCAAACAACAACACGCCCCTATCACTCCCTCCACTCACCAGCAACCCAGCACTGCTAACCTCGCTCACCAGGGGCTCCTCTCCATCTCCCGACTTCGCATAGTCAGAAGATACGCATAAGCTCAGGACACTAGAATCATGCAATTCACCGACCACGCGCCGTACGCGGTCCGTGCGCAGATCCCACTCCCGGACAGTGCGGTCTTTCGATCCCGTGAATAGCACCTGCAGGGGTGGGGACCGACCATCAAGCCCTGCTGGATACGTCCATAACCAAAGACAGTATACTGCAGCGTTGTGTCCACCGGCATCTGCGCAAGGCAGTGTACGCCTGCAATATGCACCCTGGCAGAAACGATTGTGTAGGAGCATGTGCGTCTGGTGGAGGAGCTTATAGTCCGGCGCAAGATGCGCACTTCGTGGCAAAACGCCATGTTGCGATGCGATACGAGATATCGGAGTGATGGCAGTTGTCGATGAGGAAGATAATGCAGTCGAAGTCATAGGTATGAGAAGATGGGATAGACCCTGTGCTTCAATGTCGTCAACATTCATCGGTATAGACGTCCAGTCCACTGAGTCGTCTCCTATAAAATCGACGATATCTCCCGCGCCTTCACCACTCCCTTCGTCCTCGTCCTCCTCTTCGTCGCCCATACCTTCATCTTCATCTCTTTCTTCACGAACAACTTCATCTGCAGGATCTGCACCACCAAGTCCATCCCAAGGGGTGGGCGCGGCAACGTCCGTGCGCCATTCCCAGCCATGTGCATAGCAAAGACGACGCCAAAGTACTTGGTCTACCGCGAGGGCGTGCCAACGTTTAGAGACAAGAGAGCAGGTGAGCAAAGAAGCTGATGGGAGATGCGCGAAAATGAGGAGAGAAAGTTCTGTGGGAAGGGACTAAAAATTAATTAACTTATTAGTCAGGGCTATTAGACACAAAACGTCAGACTCACCCCGACGATATCGAACTGCAACAGAGGGGTCATTCTGCGCTGTAGACTTGCAAGTACAGAACGAGGGAGACATTCGAGGAGCTTGTAGGTCATTTCTGTGAACGTTCATGCGAATGACAGCATCGCATTTCGGATGAGCGGGGAGGGGAGCGAGGAGCGAAGTGGTCAATGTAGTGCCCGATGCAGCAGATTAGATACGAACCCTCGCGCTCCCTATCATTCGATGCCATGGTAGCCAAATGCCAGTCAAGGCTCCGTGCGATGCCCTTGCCTTTACCTTTGACGTCTACCGGTGATCCCGTCCAAATACTACCACATGGTGGAATTCGTTGCTCAGGGATACCTGCATCCTTGTTGAACTGCAAGCCAGTTCTGTAGTTCGCTGGTGCCAGAGCTATCCCCAAACTTGAGCTAGTGGTCGCTTCGTTGGCAGTGCTGCAGCTTTGTGAGAATGCGAGCTTGAGCCCTTTGATATCTGCATCTGAGAATCCGTCATCAGTGGGACTTATCATAATTTCTGGTAGGGAGGGGATGTGCTGTGGTGGTACAAGAGGTCTGGGTACGCTGCCAGATGCCTCTAGAGTCTATACTCAAATGTTGAGGCCGAGGGAAGAACTAGTGTGGACCTAAACCGTAACTAAATGGCCTAAAATGGAAATATCTCCTTCCAACCATATTGACATATCGACAGACATTTGTAACTTGCTGAGGGCCGGCCCGGCCGGGGCTGGGCTGAGATAATTCACCGAGGAGGCGAGCAACTACACAGCAAGGCAGACATAGACTTAATGACGAGGGCAGAAGATCCGGCAACATAACCACCCACCATAATCCATGTAAGTGTCTGCTCGCCCCGTAATGCTCTGACTGACAGAGACAGAAAAGACTTGGAGCTCAAATGACACCCCAGATTCACGAAGATGACACATTCCCCTTCAGAGATGTATCCTCCTTAAGCGATGCATCCTCCTTGATCGATGCATCCCACTTCAGAGACGCATCCTCCTATGATGCATCCTCAGAATCTAGCTCGATGATGATGATGTCTACCAGTCACGATCCATTATTCAAAGGGTCTGCCCTCCGAGTCCTCAAAGGCCACATATCCGATGTAATGGACGTAGCGTTTATTCCTGGCACCCGTCTCCTTGTTACTTGCTCTGAGGACAACAGTATTCGAATATGGGATTTAGACATGAAGAATTATGTGAGGAAGCCCTTGTTGGGTCAAGCGGACGGAGTCAGGAGAGTTGCGGCTTCCCCTGATGGGCATTGGATTGTGAGTGGAGGAGGGAAGGGAAGCATCCTGGTCTGGGAAGTTGCGACAAAGAAGAGCGTGCCAGTCTCATTCGATGGGCATGAGGATTATGTTTGGAGCGTCGTATTTGCACCGGACAGCGAGACATTTGCAAGTGCATCAGAAGACGGGACAGTTTGCGTGTGGAAGAGGGAGACGGGCGAAAAAGCTTTTGGACCACTCAAAGTGGGCAGCCTGGCATACTCGGTGTCGTACTCTCCAGATGGAACAAAACTAGCAGCAGGCACAAATGAACACATCATCATTTGGAATGCAGCAACTGGAGAAGAGTTGCTGAAAATAGAGCAGCGGGCATTTAGAATCGCATTCACTCCAGATGGTCTCCATCTCGTCAGTGGAGACCTAAAAGACATCCGAATCTCAAATTCTACCACCGGAGACATTGTCAAAAAGTTTGACGCGCACACCACAACCTTTCTCTCACTAGCCATTGCTCCTAATGGCACTAAATTCGCCACTACATCACACGACGGGACGACGCGATTCTTTGACCTGATCACTTTCGAACCTATTGGTGAACCACTCAAGCACCCTAATATCGTCTTCAGTGTAGCCTTTTCTGAGGATAGCCAGCTCATCGCGACTGGCTGTGCCGATAAACATGTTCGCATATGGACAGTTCCTCTGAGCGAGTCAGAGAAGGAGCTCCAACAAGTGAGAAAAATCCGTCTTTTTTCACCATCCCTATTACCTAACTATTCCTCTAGCAGAAGACAATCCCAAACTTACTACCACCAGACGATGGACTTCCGCCGAGATTCTTTGATGATGTTGGTCCTTGTTTAGCTTCATCTTGAGCATAGCTAAGCGCATCTTCAGGTCTACACGAATTATCCTCCCCACCGCTCCAACCACCTCCCATACGGAGTGCTACAGCGCTCTACACCACAGTCCCGCATCATGGCCTTAGTAAATCATCTACCATTTTGCAGGCAATCACAGCAAGTACACTCCCCAGCAGGACATCTCCACCACCCCAAAAAGGTCACGCAGTTCCTGCAGCACCTTCCCTTCCGCCGGTCAATACCCAGCCCGGGACAGCCACGAGTTGTCGATGTCGCGGCTGGGCGTGGTACGGAGGTAAGGTGGATCTTCTTACTCCTTCCCTCTTTGTTGATGAGCACTCTACAGCGTGTCGTTGTTGTCTCCGTCCCCCATTACAAGAAAGTTAATGACACCCGACGTCCGGTTAGAGAAGAGCCTATGTCGCATGACACGGCGCAAAGCGACACAACGTCTGTGATGTCTTACACCGATTCAATCCCGAACGTGCATTGGTTTATGGCATTCCTTTGCTACCTCTCCTGCTGGTCTGATGGTAGACTTAGGATGCCTCCGCGATGGGACTTGGAGCCCGCCCAGTCATCGCACCGGAGTAATGGTGGCGAGGCTCACGCTCGCAGTTAGTTCGTTGTGCTATTCACGTACATTTCTCGATTTCCCACTGTTCGCATTGACCTCGTAGATCTCGAACTTCTATGCATATGCATCCCAAATCTGATGCCGTGGTCGCACATCGTCGTCGCTGCGCATTATATGGCCTGTTGTAGAGATGGTTCTACATAGGCAATTGTAGATACTAATGTATCCTGACGTCCTGTTTATAATGCTCGAGTGGAATGTAATTTAGGTGTCAATGAAATACGAGATACAGCCCATATCCTCATGTACATAAAAGAAAAGTTCGGATAAAATTTATGTATATAAATCCATGTAGATCAACGTGTCTGAGAAGCATGCTCCCAGCTCCCATCCCCACTGCCACTGCCGCTCCCAGGGCTTGCGGATCTAACATCAGGACTCATATCATGCTCCCCTCGAGGCTCATCTCTGTACACAGGGCCAGGGTCGGCAGAGGATGGGTCATCGTCATCCAAGAACCCAGACTGAAACCCTGTGCCATACAGCCGAGTCTCTTCATCTGCATCCTCATCGCCCGACACCTCCCCAAATGCACCATCCCCACGGCCTCCACCTGAAATCGAAAATAACGACAGTTCAGAATGGCTGGTAGAATGAGTGCTAGATTCACAGATGCACATCCGCTTTCCTATTACAAGTCAGCATACGATACGATACAAAATGCCTCAAATGCCTAAATGAATTGTTCCACGCGTATGAGTATGTCAGGTATATCCCTTCTTCGAAATGCGAACGGCTACAATATCTCTAGCGTTCTGACGTTCATCATGTTATCAACAACAGCCCTGTCCCTCACCTGCGCAATGATATTGCGGTCCGAAGCAATTCTCCTGTACACGCCACCACGTTGCTGCGCCAACAAGAGTGCGCTAAAAGGCTGACCAAGGTGAACGATGACCCTCAACGTTCGATGATACTCCGAATTAGCCACCTCGTGGTCTCTAGGGGGCCAGAGAGGCAAATCATCCGAAGGAGATAAAGGCTCGGGAAAATCGTCCAAGTCTCGCGACTCGTCTTCAGAGTCAGGCAGGTCGAGATCATAACGATTCCATGGACGGATGAGGAAGAATGTCACCCGTGCAGGGCTTGCAGGCGAGAATTGAATCAGTCTGTTCGCCATTGTGATTTGTAAGTCTTGGAGCCCGTTTGCCTTGACATCATATACAAGACATCTACCCTGGTCTTGAACACGCCTCAATTCGACTTCTGTGAGAAGAAAGGCGATACAGGGCAGTTGTAGTCTGGAGTTCACGAATCGAGGAGGACCAAGGTAGTCAAGGAGGGCATACAGTTTCAAAGCCGAGTCTGCATCCACAGTATCTCGCAGTGCAGAGATTGACGTCTGCATTTCCTCTTCAGATAGAAGTGGCGGCGTGTACGGTGGAGCTTTGTACGACGTGATGTCAGCCGGGAGACAGCTATTGAAGTCGGATGATTTTCCAACCCAGTCCAGGGCAGTTATGTCGCACGACCGAGCGATGATCTCCTGTAAGAGCCGCCCGAGCGCATTTTGTCTGTTCTCACCGTAGATGACACGTAAATGGATGCCAAAGATGCCAAACAATGAGTACGCGGTGTCTTCCTGCAGCGTGGTGACACGGCTCGACGACCATCGGAGTTTCTCTCGCACACCCATCAACCCTGGACGGAAAGTGACGAGGGATTGTTTATTTATGCCGGTTGCATCTGCCAGCTCCTGCATGATAGTGGCAGACTCCTTGTGGTTGGGAGAGCGGTCATCGAGATAGAGGGTCCAATTTTGTGTGTAGAAGAGAATAATTTTGGGTGCGAGGAATTCCTGAACAGTCCATCCTCGCGTGTTCCAAGTGCACTCTGCGAGTGCGCCAGGCTTCGACGAAGGCGAGACATCTGACAAGTGGATTATCGTAAGAGCTGAATTGCGATACCAGACAAACATGGAGTTGATCGAACGTGTGACCTCAACACGGTTACCCCGGTCAATGCAACAGGTGTCACTCCACGCCCAGAGATATCCAGCATCACGAGTGATTTCGCAGAACTTTTGCAACTTCACAGTTTCTCCGACTGGATCCAAGTTGTATACGCCTTTGACCTGAACGTCATGCAGTAGCGGCTCCCTGCTCCCCCACCTATGTGATAACATAGCCCAACTGAAGTATTTCTCGACCGCTTCTTTGATGGGCCCCGTTTGGAGGGGCGCATACGTCACCGATGATGATAAAATCTTCTTGTACTCTGTAGTTTCCTTGAAGGCATTGATTTGTTCATCTCGGTTGAATAAATGACCAGTGGAGGTGTTGAGTAGACGAAGTGGAGAATATTCCAGCTTAGCATAAATAGCTTCTCGAATAGCATGAAGTCCTTCAAATGGACTGACATACTGCTGACGCAGTTCTGGAGATATAGAGTTAGTCATATTCAAGTCGGCACACGAGTTCCTTGGGGCTTACGTGCGTCATCTAACTTGGAGAACATGATGTTGAAGGCCTCAATTGCTTCATCGTAGCGTTCAGCTTTGTGAAGCGCTCTGTGCTTCACTTCGTACCCAAGATACGACGAAGGCTTGAGTTCAATGACCTGTACATTTGCGGTATTAGGGTAATTACTACATAAATGATAGATATCATCATCACCTTTTCCGCGTCCTGAAGGGCCTCTACATAGAGATTTCGTCCTACATAGGCCTTACCACGGAGCACAATGAGGGGCTCGCATGAGGGGTCTAGTACGAGCGCTGCCGAACACAGCCCGATACCCGTCTCATAATCTCTCCCATCATAAGCCTCGTCTCCCTTTGTGATACAGCATACAATGCAGGTTTCCTTGAAAGCTAATCCACCCCAGACTAAGTCTCATACTCAAGTCATCTAAGACATCCAGCACTCACCAGTGGACCAATCGAGGCACCTGTCTTTCGCATCCTCGTCAATCATCCGCATCATGTATTGGTAAGATTCGATAGCCTTGATCACTCGATCGGCGCGGAGGAATGAATCGCACCGTCTTTGGTTGACAGTTTGCCATAACGAATCCAAGTCCCAGCCGAAGAGCTGTCCAGTACATCATTGATCAGTGGAAATTTACTCTGCGACGTTATGTGACGCACCACCGCAAATAGCGTTAATTCGGATTCAAAAAGTTTTCTGCGAGAGAACCAGTCAGCTATACTAAGAATATTATCGTTGAGTCGATCGGCGGCTTCGCTGTACCGCCCATCCGCAAAGGCAGCTAATGCAAGCAGCGCGCGTAGATATGACTCAAGAATATGTTTCAGCATGAGAAAGCTCATGAGGTCTAGCATAAAGCTCACGTTAACGATGATGCGCGAACGTGTATATGAGTGTTGATCAGGGGTGACGAGGTCTTCAAGTTGTTGCATTGCTTCATCGTGACAATCGGCATTAAAAAGTGCGACAGCCTGGAAAGAAATGACATCGTTATAGAAAGATGTCAGCAAATAGTGACGAGAGTACCTTGATCAATAGTACAAGATCGATGGCAATTGGATCATGATTCAAAAATACGGAAGACATATCAAAAGCTTCCATGGCATCACAGAGTTGGTCATTGCCGCAGAGGGCAATGCCCTTGGAAATGTAGCCCAATGACGAGGGCTGGATGGTGATAGACTATGGCAACAAGTTCAGTCAGACTGTGTTCCACAGCATCATGATAGGCAAGGCATCCAACCTTGGCCGCATCTTGAAGTGCATCGTCCCACTCAAAATGTCGCGCCCTTAAAAGTGAACGATTGGCGTAGGTGTCGTGGCTGTTGTCACCTTCGCTGATTTTTTGGGTCAGTAGCTCTTTAGCGGTATCCAGATCCCCAGAAATGGATGCATCGCGGACCGTCGTATTTATAGCGAGGATCTACATGAACGAAGCTCTCATTCCGTGATAAGTAGACACATCAAAAGTAAAAGGCTCACGTCAAGTAATGAGTGATTGTCATCACCGCCAGATGCTTCATCACTTTTCGAGGGATGATTGCTCAAATTGCCGTGATCGTCGGTGAGCTCGCCATTGTCATGATCCTCTGCGGGATATTGCTCGAGTATGTCCTTGATAGACCAGAGCCAAACCTTCCCTTGAACATCTCCGCTGACAAGCAATTCTCCATTGGGAGAAATTGCGACACAGTTAACACCCGTGGTGTGCACGAGTGCCTTTCCTATGTGCTGGTGTGTCTCTGTGTTCCACAGCCGCACAGTAGTGTCGTCCGAGGCAGTAGCAATGAAAGAGCCATCAGATGAGATGGCGAGTGAGAGGATCCAAGCATCATGACCGATACAAGGCTTCCCGATGAGCAGATACCCAGTTGATGAGTCCCAGAACTTGACTGTTTTGTCATATGATGTAGAGACAAATTGCTGGCCGTCAGCTGACCAGACAACGCTTCGAACCAAACCTTGGTGAGCGTATATTTCAAGAAAGATTTCGGCATTGTTGACGTTCCAAACCCGAATGATACGGTCAGACCCAGAGACTAATTTTAGCCCATCTGGGCTGAACGCCACACTGAACACCGAGTCACGATGACCCTTGAATGTTTCGAGGACAGTGCCAGCCTCTGTATCCCATACAACAACTGTTTTATCTTCTGACCCACTAGCGACTCTCTTTCCATCGGGGGAGAAGCACACCGATAAAATCCAACTCCTATGTTTTATCAGTGACGACTTGATGACCATCTGGTTGTTCAAGTTCTCGACGTCCCAGATGATGACGGTGTTATCACATCCACCGCTCGCAATTTTCGTTTCGTCTAGCGATATAGCCACTGTCTGCACTCCATCCTTGTGCCCCTCGAATGGCCCGCCTACCAATGTTGCATTTTGCACATCCCATATTCGCAGGGTGCCGTCCATTGAACCAGTGACGACCCGTCGGCCGTCTTTGAAGAATGCAGATGCTTTCACTGATTTGGTGTGCCCTTGCATCGTCCACATTGGCGTTGGTTGCTCTCGTATTGTCGGCGCCTGCTGCCTGTTCAGATTGAGATACGCATCTCTTGCTGCATTAGACACCTCTGACATGTTGCATTGACCTAGGCACAGAGATTGACGCTCAGTAGTATTTGAGATGGACGAGGGGCATACCTTGTGAATATAGGTATGTCGTGGATATTGTGTCGTGTTGAGGTTACCTTCTTGACTGCTCACTCACAGTTTGTAATTGTGGCTGAAGGATAAAGTCATGCCGTGGGAACTCCAAAACTAAGCAAAGGCGGCGATCAAGTTTCCAAGATGAAATTTGGCCTATCGATTTGGAAATAGCTGTTATCAGTTCACTGATGCACATTGCCTCGTTATTTGTGTACTGAACAGGACAAGAAGACACGAAGTCGAAAATAAGATTAGCAGTGGCGGCAGCGGTGCAGTGTAGCAGGATGCAACCTGCATGCACAAACCCAAGATCTCTGAGCCTGAATGATGCTCAGGTCGCGAGGCTAGCAACGAATTTTATCGTCACTGTAAATCGGCCGCACGTCACTGCGCCCGTCACTCCAGTAAGGTTCAATCAAAACCATAGGTATGCAGTGAGGCAATGACTCGGGTGGGTGGATTCGATTGCCGGCATAGACTGAGGCTGTGGAGTAAAGAACTTCGATGGAACATCTATAGCTGCACAGCAAAGCAGAAATGGACGAGGACAGAAGATTTGGTAACATGACCATAATCCATCATAGCCCATGTAAGTGTCTGCCCCCCCGTAACGCTTCTGCTGACGGAGGCAGAAAAGACTCGGAGCTTGAATGACATCCCGGATTCACGAAGACGACACATTCTAGACCATCTCCTCGAGAGATGTACCAGTAGTTTCAGAACCTAGCCCAATGATGCCCACCACTCACGATCCATTATTCAAAGCGTCTATCCTCAACGGTCATAGATCCGTGGTATGGGGCGTAACGTTCATCCCTGGCACCCGTCTCCTCGTCACTTGTTCCCCAGACAAAAGTATTCGGGTATGGGATTTGGACACAGGGAAACAAGTGGGAGAGCCTTTGTCGGATCACGATTGCGAATTCTGGTCAGTTGCAGCGTCCCCCGATGGACGTTGGATTGTGAGTGGAGGGGATAATGGAAGCATCCTGGTCTGGGAAGTTGCAACAAAGAAGAGCGTGCCGGTCTCGTTCAGGGGGCATGCGAATGTGGTTTGGGGTATTGTATTTGCACCAGATGGCGAGACATTTGCAAGTGCATCATGGGACAAGACGGTATGCGTGTGGAAGAGGGAGACAGGAAGAATAGTCCTGGGACCACTCAAAGTGGACAGTGATGCAAACTCGGTGTCGTACTCTCCCGACGGGACAAAACTTGCGGCAGGCACAAATGAACATATCATCATCTGGAATATAGAAACAGGAAAATTACTGGTGAAAATAGAACAGCGGGCATACAGAGTCGCATTCACTCCAGATGGTCTTCGTCTCGTCAGTGGAAACAAGAAAGACATCCGAATATCAGATGCTACCACCGGAAACATCATCAAACAGTTTGACACACACACCGAACTCTTTGAATCACTGGCCATTGCTCCCAATGGCACAAAATTCGCCACCACATCATACGACAAGACGACGCAGTTCTTTGACCTGACCACATTCAAACCCATCGGTGAACCACTCGAGCATCCTGATGCTGTCTACAGTGTGGCCTTTTCCGAGGACAGCCAGCTCATCGCGACTGGTTGTGCCGACAAGTTCGCTCGCACGTGGACAGTTCCTCTGAGCGAGTCAGAGAAGGAGTCCCAACAGGTGAACAAATTCTATCTTTCTTTTTCACCATCCCTAACCATTCCTCCAGCAGGAGATAATCCCAGACTTAACATCACCAGACGACGAACTTCCGCCGAGATTCTTTGACGATGTTAGTCCTCGTTTAGCTTCATCTTGAGCATAGCTGAGCCCATGTCTAGGTCCGCACAAATTACCCGCCCCGCCGCTCCAACCACATTCCATACGGAGTGCCACAGCACTCTGCGCCACGGTCCCGCGTCATGGCCTTAGTAAATCGTCTACCATTTCGCAGACAATCACAACAAGCACAACCCTCATCAGGACATCTCCACCACCCCAATAAAGTCGCGTGGTTCCTGCAGCGGCACGTCCCCTTCCGTCGGTCGATACCCAGCCCGGGACAGCCACGAGTCGTCGATGTCGCAGCCGGGCACGCTGCAGAGGTAAGGTGGATCTTCTTACTCCTTCACTCTTTGTTGATGAGCACGCTGCAGCGTGTCATTGTCAACTCCGTGCCCCATTACAAGAAAGTTCATGACACCCGACGTCCGGCTAGAGAAGAGCCTGTGTCGCATGACACGGCGCAAAGCGACACGACGTCTGTGATCTCTTACACCGATTCACTCCCAAATGTGCATTGGTTCATGGCATTCCTTTGCTACCTCTCCTGCTGGTCTGATGGTAGACTGAGGATGCCTCCGCGATGGAATTTGGAGCCCGCCCAGTCATTGCGCTAGAATAATGATGGCGGGGCTCACACTCGCAGTTAGTTCGTTGTGGTATTCACGTACATTTCTCGATTTCTCACTCGTCCGCATTGACTGCTTTGATCTCAAGCTTCTATACATATGGATACCAAATTCGATACCACGGTAGCACATCGTCGTCGCTGCGCATTATATGGCTTGTGGTGCCATGAGATGGCTCTACAGTCAATTGTAGATACCGATGTATCCTGACGTCCTGTTTATGATGCTCGAGTGATGTGTAATATAGGTGTCAACGAAATACGAGATGCAGCCCATATCCTCATGCACATAAAAGAAATGCCCATATTAAAAAGTACGTATATAGTTTCATGTAGATCAACGTGTCTGAGAAGCATGCTCCCAGCTCCCATCTCCACTGCCGCTGCCACTCCCGGGACTTACAGATCTAACATCAGGACTTATATCATGCTCCCCTCGAGGCTCGTCTCTGTACACAGGGGCATGGGTCGGCAGAGGATGGGTCATCATCATCCAAGAACCCAGAGTGAAACCCTGCGCCACGCAACCGGGTCTCTTCATCTGCATCCTCGTCATCCGACACCTCCCCAAACGCATCATACAGCTCCTTCGCACGCGGTCTGCCTTGCCCTGAGACAGAGCTCATCTGCAGTTCATCGCCCGCGCTGAGCGCAGCATACGCTCGATGCTTCACCCGGCGTCTCCAGAAGAACACTCCTGCACCCACACCGAAGAGCGCTACTGCACCAATGGCGCCGAAGAACCATTTCTGGCTAGACACGAGGTTGGACATATCTGAGAACCAGCCTTCGTCTGGTGTGGGCGTCATCGTTGCTGTCACCGGTACAGATGGGGATGGGAACGCAGGTTTGCTGGCCTCGCCCTCGGCAGTACCGTGGTCGTCCGGGAGGCCAGAAGTGGGCTTAGGGTGGGATTTGCTGGTTGTCGATGTGGGGATGTTAATTGCGTCGTCATTGGCTGTGGAGGGAAGCTGGTACTCTGAGAGTGGGAGAACGTAGGTTGTTGAGACACTGGGATCGATGGTTGAGCCCCAGAACATGAGACGCCAGCCGTGGAAAGTTCCGTTGTGCCCTTCGGACGATTGGTCAGAGACCTTGAGCGTCCAGGTGCCAGCCATATTTTCACCCCTGCAAAAACACTTAACAATCTTGAAGGAGTCTTGGAAAATACAATAACCATACCAGTGCTTGACGGACATAAATCTCCATCCTCTAAAACCAGTCCCGTCGTGGTCGCCATCCCGCTTTGCTGCAAGAACGCTGCGTACCCCACCAGGGCTCGTGAGCTCAACTTCAACATCCCCGCGTTTGGTGTGCGATATCCACACTCTAACTGTCACGTGTTCCAACCCCTCGAAGTTGTGCATGTCAAGCATATCCTGCGTTACCGTGAACGAGCTCATAAGACCTCCAGGGATAATCGGCTGCCCGCCTTCCATATCCCCATCCTCCGTGAGTAAAGTGCCGTTGTTAATCTGTATGGCAGGGGGGTGGAAGCGCGCTTGTGGTTTCACAAGCTGCCAATCTTGTGCTGCTTGGACATAGGCGTAGGCATCAAGCTTCCCGAAGCCGTATTTATACGAGTACATCTGTCCAGAAGCCATGGATTCCCAATCAGGATCCTCAGGGTTTATCATCTGGGCGGTTTTCACGCAAAGATGTTGTATGTCTCGCCATGTCAGGTCAGGCCTGTTAAAAATTCGTGAGTCCAATTTCTGTGAAGGGATAAGGGTCTCACCGAACTTGAAGCACCAAAGCAAACACACCAGCTGCATTGGGGGCAGCGGCGGAGGTGCCACCGTGAGTGCTGGCACATTTATTGTTGACGTCAGTGGTGACCTTCAAATAACCTCAGTTGGCTTCGGCGTTTAGAGTCGCAGGCTTACAATATGTTGGCCACTCCCTGAACTGTATGCTACAACCATATTTGCAGAGCAGGGTTCAGAATAATATGGATGTAGGCCTTTGAAGTCTACAGCTGAGACGGTGACGGAGTATATGCTGTTGGTGTACCCATCGAAATTGCACTGGTCTCCCTGCGCTGCCCCGTTTCCGCTGGCAAAGACATATATTGATCCTTTCCCTTCCCTACCATTTTGTATGCCGTTTACAAAGGCCTTTTCAATGATATATCCCGGAGCTTCCATCGACCTGCCGTCATCAGGTGGTCCCCAACTGCAACTAAAGATGGACACGTTGTGTAAGCCGTAGTTCAAAGCAGCTGCCTCGTCGGCGTCGGTTATAGGCCAGATAATATGCGTACGCCAGCAACTTTTGACTTGTAAGCGAGTCCGACGCCGCAGACATCATTCTTAACCGCAGCGATCTGACCAGCACAGCGCGTGCCGTGGTTATCATTTGAAAGAACTGGGGTGGGCAGATCGGTGTGGTCGTTAAAGTCATATGAATTGTCCGCATCCTGTGAGAAAGTCAGGGCCAAAACGAATCACACAGCGTATGGCGCACAAAGTTTTCAGCCAAGTCCCGACTCCGGTAGTCCAATCCATCATCCACCAGGGAAGTAATGATGCCTTCCCCCATGATACCCATTTCCCACACACCCGTCACGTTCATCATATGTTCTGGGTACTCGTCGTTAACGATATGCCATTGTTGTGTAAATAGGGGGTCCACGAATCCAAGTTGTTCTGCGATGATTTCAGAAGCTTTCGGTTGAGGGTCATCAGAAGTTACGGGAGGTGGTGCGCGTTCTAGAGGAGAGCCGTCTCGCTTTGTCCGTTGGCGGGGTATCTGGGGGGATAAATATTTTATGGACGATGAGATGCGGTGTGCACGGGCTTGGCGACCCGCCCGTGGGTATAAGCTAGTAGAATGCCCTGCCATGGTGACCAAATCCTCGAATCTCCCGAGGACTTTATCTGATGTTGTCCTTGGAGAAACACTGGGTATGAGCTTTGCAGAGCGTACAAGCCATATGTTTTGCAATTCCCCGACCTGCTCGACGAGCTCTACTCCGAGTTCTCCGATGCATTCGTTCAGAGTTGCGCCTGTAGAAGGGTGATGTTCGAGGACATAGTAATCGTGTGTTGTATAAGAGCGCTTGGCTGGTTGTGAGGCGCGGACGCATTGCTGAATCAAAAGAGCCAGAAGAAGCTGGAGGGGCAGTCGCATGTCAGTTGGCGATAGTGGGAATGACTGCGCGCGACTTTGCTAGCGACTATCTCGGAAAATTATACTAGAGCCACGTGGCGGAAACAGACCGCTCTAAGAACTCGAAGATCATCTTCCTCGGTCGACCCCCCAAATCATCCTGTTTTGTTACCAAACTTTTCGGTTAAGTATAGATCCCTTTACTAGTTGGTATTGTTACTCCTGAGCCTTTATCCTTGTACGGTGACCCACCAAGCATAATTTATGTCGAAGAAGCGGCACTTTGGTGCTACATCTGCCCATGCGTCATCCTCGACAGCCTCAAAGAGGGTTGCAGAGCCTGAGCCTGAGTCCTCACTGCACGCTGGAAGGAAAAGAAGGAAGAGGTTACTTTCGCGTGTAGTAAGTTAGCCACTCCATCATTTCAAGCTGATATCAAAGGGTGGTTATGAGCAGGTCGGTTCAGACGCGTCAGAGGAATCAACCCTCATCGTACGCGACTCATCCGTGCTCAAAGACCCGGCAGAGCCACCGCAGCACTCTGAACCAAAAGAGCTCGCACCACCTGAAGGCACGTCTATCTGAAGGTCTCACATCGTCTCCTTGACATTCGTTCTAGAAATGGTGGTCTATGTACCCCCCGACTACGAGTACGATGAGGACGAGAACTTTCAGGTCATAGGCGAAACCGACCCCACCGAACAGTCTGACTCTGGCAGTTCTGAGGGTGTACCTGTACGCATACTAATAGATTTCGCCATATACGAGTGCGCGACACGACAGCTAGTGCCTATTGGTGAGCTAATTAACGTCAACCTTGCGGTGAACAACAAGATCATGTACCGAGCTTCGGGCTACGTGAAACCCCACACGGATGACGATGAATACTATGACGATGACTACGATGACGAGGATAACGGGAATGGTATGTCTAACGACGAGGATTGCCTCCAACGGATTCGTTTGACAGAGATCCGGAAGTTCACGATTCACGACATACGACAGCGCTCTAGAGAACTCGACGAGTAGGTGTTTATTCATGATACCGACATAGTTTGCAACTTATTTGACAATGTACAGCAAGTTTTATATCCTAACGAAACATGCTTGGTATATTCTCGACCTTCCTTCAAAGCAATATGCCCCCTTCTTTCATGGGTTGTGGCTGAGGCATCGAGTCACCCATCTTCTCGTGTCTATGGCCCTGGCTAGCCCACGGTTGACTTATAAAGATTTTGTTTCCGCCCTTCACGTAACTCCTGACTCGCCCGATGGAGTTTCTGTCGCAGTTAACCATCATCGGGCGTGAGCTCAATGAGAATGATATACAGTCTGCCGACATTGTATGTATATCTAGGTTTCATGTATGTCACATCACTCTCTAACCGTCGGACAGAAATCTTATATTTTTGCAACACTTGACGAGCTTCGCGATGACGGAATCTGTGTTGCGCGCACTCCGGTAGTGAAGGACATCGTCGGGCAAGAAATGTCTTATCACTTGATGGAGGAAATTGCTCCCGCCACTCGCTCGCGTGCACAGCGCCCGCCCCAGAGTCGTTCGCCGAGTTCCAGTAATATCGAGAAAGAAGTTCTCAAGCATAGGAACAAAACCGTCACAACACCCGTCGTTGGAAGGGTCGCACAACAATTATTCGAAAATATTAAGGTTGCTGGAAAACCTATGGACGAGGATATGCATATATCGGACGACGCTCCACGACATCCCTCTATAATACACGCCGCTAACCCAAACTCTGTGCAGTGGCTGGACCCAGTAGATGACCATCCTGGCTTCTATGGTTCTGTTCTCGTGGACGAAGTAAAGTATTCAGTAAGTTCTTTTTTTCTTCTCGACAAAAATATCTTATTCGCGTCAGGTCGGAGATACTGTCATGGTCGTACCCGGAGAAGATGAGGATACTGCTCGTGCAAAGTCCTACAAGTACCAGCCCTCTCAGTCGACAAACAAACTCGCAAACGATTATTGGTGGGTCACGACCTTGTGCGTCTGCTATGTCATTTGTGATGGGTTTACCTCAAAAGGTTTTGCCTGATTCGATATTTCTTCGAAGATGAGGGCGTCAAGAAGTTCCATGCGCAGTGGTTCACACACAGCTCGAAGACTCTCCTCCAAGAAGCGGGACATTCACATGCGCTTTATCTGATGCTCTCCGAATGCAGTGACGTTGAAATTGACGCCATCTCACAAAAATGTAATGTCCGTGAACTGCCAATGGACAGTTTCCAGCCAGACGAGTCAACTCTAGATGACGACAATGATTTTCACTCTGGGTATGCAGCCTCTTTTAGCAGTGCTTCATGCGACACTGAGCACAGCCCTGCAGACTTATGTTCAACAGCCTCGAGTCCAGTTTTGTTCGGCTTTCAGACTTAGAAACTCAAACACTTCTCAGTTTCTGCGACGATCATAAGCAGTGCCTCGCTTGTGGTCACAAGGAACGCGCATCGAATTTCACTGATTCACGAGCCCTTCGAGATGGGTTCTCTCACAATGATGCCAACTATCATAAGGGTGACTTCGCGTATATCTCAACGGGTCATAATAGTGTCTATCAAATCGGTCAGATCGAGGACTTCAAAATCAAACAGGGCAGGTGCACTGAAGTCATCACTCGACTCTTTGGGCGCTACGATGTACATCGTCCGGGAAGTCGGCCGTGGCATTGATAAACCAAAAGGCGTCACTTCTGACGACGTGAGGGCACCAGCTGCACCCTACTCTCTCTCCCTCTCTAACCCATATTTCGTAGCGGCGCTTGTTCCATTCGCAGAGCCAGGAGAAAACAAGGCCCGATGATATCCGCGGACAATGTTTCGTTATTTATGAAACGGACGACACCACTATCGATGCATGGGTCGTTCACGACGATCACTACTACGTGAACGAGTGCGCAGATTCCCTCGACGTTCGTGCGCTCGACGACCTAAATCCGTGGTCAAGAAATGAATTCTGGCACTGCGTTCAATGCCACGAAGAGCACGAAGCTAATCTAGCACGCAGGGCTCAACAGTTGCAGAGATTCGGGCCGCTTCGAGGGCTGGAACTTTTTGCTGGTCCGACTTTATTTTTTGTTGCTCTGTAACTGATTTCAATATGTACTTGAAGGTGCGGGTGGCCTCGGAACTGGATTGGATATGTCTGGCTTCGTGGAAACAAGATACGCAGTTGAATTTTCTCCAGGAGCGGCGAAGACTTACAAGTCAGTGTGCGTTTCATGCTCGGCGCGCTTGTGTTTATATTATCTCAGGCAAAACCATCCCAATGTGACAGTATACAATCAGTGCACGAACGTATGCCTGCAGCACGCCATTGATGTCGCAGATGGGAAGAATCCCCGCCCCCTCCAAACTCTGGGAGATAAGAAGCGCCTACCCCCAATGCCTAAGCCGGGTGAAGTTGATTTTATCTATGGCGGTGCGTAATAATTCATGTCATCAGCGATAATGTTTATCGTGTTTACTAGGTCCGCCATGCCAATCTTTCTCAAAGATGAATCACGCGAAGGTAAAGATCAGAAATATTTCTATGCATCATAGTAACAATCTTGTTCTTAGAGAGATGATGACATACGGTGAATACGCCGTGCGGTAGGTGTGTATCTGCACTAAACGATGTATTGCAGGTCTACGCTTGTCTGCAACATGATTGCATACGTAGAGTTCTATCGGCCGATGTACTTCCTCTTGGAGAACGTTGGCGGAATCCTAGAGCATGCATTGAAGGAAAAAACTGTCGCTTCGGGCGTCGTGAAATTCATCCTTGCTGCCCTCCTCGCCTTAAAGTATAATTTGATATATTTTCGATGTTCGATGCTGATTTGTTTTGCAGTTACCAGATTGGATATAATGTTCTTCACGCAGCAAACTATGGCGCGCCTCAAGTACGCAAGCGGGTTCTGTTCGTGGCGGCCAGGCAAGGAGTTCCCCTGCCCGATTTCCCGATCCCGACACACGTCTTTCCGCACGCAAGAGTACAGCGCGTCAAGTTGCCTACTGGAGCATACTTAGCACCTGTTTCGCGCTTGAAGTACGGCGACAACAATGCTGACCTCTCCGCTCCGCTGCATTTCGTCACGATTCATGAAGCTATTAGTGATTTGGTATGGTCCAGCAACCGTCATTTTGATAACTCATTCACTTCAGCCTATTTTGCAGCCTCCATTCGATTGGTATGCTTGTTCCCAAATTTAGGAACCTGGCTTATTCGAACTTGCATCCAGGGTTAACCCACACACCATCATCTCGAAAACTGCTGCTGACAAAAGGGTGGAACGCAAGCGCAAAGACGAACTTGGGATCCCATCTTTTTCAGCGCTGCGTTCTGCAAGAACTTCAACGGACCCGTACGCTGGTTACTCGAAACCATGTCAATATCCTAGTGGACCACTATCCCGCTACCAGAAGCTCATGCGACAAGGGAGCGAAAAGCTTCAGTATCATTATACCGAACGCTTCAACGATATCATCATTGAACGGTACATTTTTGCTGTTTGTTCTGGATTAGTGCCCCACTGAAACACGAACTCAGAACTGTAAATGTGCCTCTAAGAGCGGGAGCTAATCATTTCGGTAAGTCAAGCTACATAATTGTTGGCTATGTGGAATTCACTGTGAAGGCTGTAGACCTGCCCAAGGAACTGCACACTGGACTCTCGAGGCACGAGGACGCTAGGACAAAATACAAAGGCGAGACGCGACACGTTTGTATTCAAACATATTAGCTGATGCTTCGATAGCCGTCTATCAGCGACTGGATGCAGACATGTACTTTTCAACTGCACTGACCACAGTGCGGCCAAATAATAAGGGGGGTCAAGTACTGCATCCTTGGGTATGCATTCTAGTTATTATGTTGTTGTCGTTTGGAACCTAACTCCTTAACGCTTCGTATGTCAGCAAAAACGCATCCTTACGGTCCGTGAATGTGCACGTGCGCAAGGATTCCCAGATAACTATGAATTTGTCTCGGTGAACAAAGAGAAGGAGATGGCAAAGGCTCTCCATGATGTAAGCTTTACTGCGGGTTGTGCCGTTCCACAACTGATGTGTTCTACAGCAACTTAGACAAATCGGTAATGCGGTACCTACATCACTGGCTCAAGCTCTCGGGAAGGCTTTTGGCGGGGCGCTAACTAAAATGTGGGATGCAGAGCCTAGCAGGGATGCGAGTCCGATTCTGTGATGGTATTGATAGGAGTGAGCATGTGTGTATTCTCTCATCATCGCTGACGGCTGATTATACTTTAGTCGTGGTCGCGTTCATAGCACCCTGTATGTTGTAGATCGTAGCGGCGCTAGCGCTAACCCTCGACTCGCTTATTTCTGACATGTTTCGTGTTTATCAAATTAAGCGCAAACTAGTCCTTCTATTTTATTTTGCGTTGGCAAATGACTGCCAATTCTATGTGATGCTGCCAATGCGTCATGTTCTTCGACTCCGTCCATCTTGACCGGTCTTAGCCAAGTGGTAACCATGACAGGAATTGTCACAGGTTCGAAACCTGTTCAACAATTGTTTCTCCTTTTACCACGCCTTGAACACTCACTCATAGATGGATTCTTCAAGGTCTATCTTAAGTAGTCATAGCCAACTGGCACCACTTCTTCAAAACCTGTCAAACGACAAGGTTTCTCTCTCTCAAACTCCACGACCTAGAAGGGGCTAACAACGCTCTTGAATCCTAAAAACTGGAGACCAGCCACGAGGTGAATGACTTCGTTGGGCGTCTCCTCATCGCCGACGGCGGTATGACAAGCGAGTAAGAACGCGAACTCAGCTTGCGGAATGTTTCTCTCCATGATATCGAGAAGCATCAGATGTTCATGTTTCATGACGAAATGTGAATTGTAAGGCTGGGTAGGGTCCTGCTGCAAAATTGCGAGTGCACTTGCTCGTGTGGCTGCGTCACCAGAAATGGTGATGTGGTTGGTAGTTGTGGGGACGAGCTTATGGACAAAGCTCGAGCTCGCCATCGACAGCCAAGAGTGCCTTGCCTTTCCCTGCACCTGGTTAACCCCGTCCAATCGTCACCAAGGACGCAGTGACATGCTTCTATATCACCTGTCTAGACCTGACCAAAGCCGAAAGTGTCGGCATGTAAGAGCATATACAGAGACCCTCCAGGCGTGGCTCCTTGGAGCGATCTGCATTCGTTCGAAACGGATGAGCTGCGTGAAGAGGAATAGATGTGAAAACTGCAACTGGACACAGCCAGATTCGAGAGTGCAATTTTAATTTCAGGTCCTGCTGGAATACATTGACGATGGGTAGTATGATCTCGTCCCATACTGTCCGCAAGAGGACTATTAGATCGTTTCGCAGCTGCTTTGGGTCAATAATAGATGCGTGTCGTATTGCCCTGGCGAAGCGATTCTTGGGATTGTTCAGATCTGCGAGAGCGACAGACGGCAAGGAAACATGATGGGACTCTCTTGATGTCAGGATGATGATGGCACTGCACGAGTAACAAGAATGATGACCGGGCCATGGCGTCCTGCCGCTTGCAAGTCTCCGTGCAAAGGTGGGAGTAGGAAGTACGAGAGCGCCGAAGATCACATATCTCACCTACCGCAGCTTCCCATTGCCTTGTAAGTCTCCCATACTCTGTTGCTGCCCGATCACCAGCAGCTCTATCGGTGATGATTGCAGAACTCTGGGCGGCATTGGAAGGGCGCTTGCTCAGTTCCAAATAATTGTGCGCCAGTTTCGGATTTGCTGACTCGAGGTCAAAGGTCAGGTGAATTCTGGAAGGACTCAATGCATATGACAATATTAATAAGAAAAGCCATGCGCAACGATATGTAGCAGCAAAAAACTGAACCAGAATCTGAGGGAGGGAGTTTCTTCAGATCACGTGACGTATTGATCAACGATCGGCGTGCACGTCACGCCATCATTTTCAACCACCACCACGATGCTTTGCGGACTCGCGTATGCAAGTATTTTTCTGAGATGGTGGATATCCATACTATCAACCGAAAATATACAGAGACTGCTCGTCACGAATATTCGTACTTCTGGGATTTGCAGCAGCTCAGACCATCAGATCTTGACACCTTTCAAGTCGATTCTGCAATCAACTTGAAAACGATGATGGCTCTTTGAAACTTCCAAAGGAAAAAAATTAGCGATGACGCTCTGCTTCTCCGTCACCTGTGAAGAGCAATAGACAGAGGATTGTCGAGTATAGCGATAAGTTGGATGCTGACGATCAGTCAGAACTGTCCTTGGATGCGAAGGCGACTGGCAGGGCCCAGCTTAGTACAAGCAAAGTGTACCCTTGCATGTGGGAAGAATGTTGTTACGAGGAACGAAAAGTTAATCTCGAAAGCCTAGTTTCTACCGATCTTCAAATACTCTTTCGAAATGCGTTACACGAAATCAGCTCGGGGTTATAATGACAACTCTTACGGCGTGCCCGACCAAGCAGCGAAGAAACTTGGGTGGCTTCAGGAGAAACACGATCCCCTATCTCTATTTATCGTGCTATTCCCTGACCTTTCTCGACCTCAAACACTTGACCTTGGCAGGTTCTGGGTTCATAACTACAGAACGCGCTTGTTAGCTCTTTCGGGCCAGCCGGACTGCCCCGTGAACCGTTACTCTGAAGAAATAAAGGAAAGTGAGTGGTGGTTCTTCCTCTTTCTCAAGTTCAAGTTGTATGGCCAGACGCACCTGAAGAGGAAGAGGAGGGCAAGCAACAGCATGATGATCTTCTCAAGGCACTCTTCATCTTTCAGTCATTAGGTCGTGCAAAAATCGAGACAAGCATTTAGGTGATCACCCTTCCCGAGGGTGAGTTCGACCCTGCAAAGGAGTTACCTCTTCCGCTATGCGCACAGTTCAACGTGTCCATTATTGTGCCCAGATTGTATGGATCGCTTGACATCAAGAAGATTTCCCAGAAGCGCATTTCTGAACGATTACAGAGACGCCCGATTGCTCTTTTACCCTAACATCAGTAGACCAGCCGCTATTTGACAGTGAACACAGTACAAGAGGGGACGCCAATATACCATTCTTCTACAGCATCATTCGCCCAGCACCCGCCCTTTCGCAAGGCGTGACATACGAGTCAATCCAGCCTGAGGGCCCAGCCAACAGTGCTCTTACCCTTCAACGGCACAGTCTCCATTTAGAGACAACATTTCTCTCGGGGGCTGGGAGCGCTTCTTCAATACGCTCGTTGGTGTCGTAAGCCCTTCTCCTGTAAAGTACTAGGGAAAATACTTGCAGAAGAGCCAGGTGCCTCGCAATACCATCGATCTCACTCGCATTACATTGATGAAGTGCAAGGCCCGGAAGACAATTGAATGTGTTTCTCTCATTCTACTGAACCCCACACCCAATCGCAATCCTACCAACAAACCATGGGATCCCGAAGCTAAGCTTAGAGTGAGGGAGAGCAACGTCGTGCGCCTATGTGCCATATGGAAGCCGAGGTGCGTACGTGCCAGCCTAGATCCGTGGAATGATTGGACTCGCAGGACGTTAGTGAGTGTATCGTTTCTAAAACTGTGTCTCCAAGGAGACAATGCATGGCTGACAATATCACACAAGTCAGACTCGGAGTCAGGTTGTGATGAACGAATACATAATTCGTGCCCAACTGGCTTTTCGTTCGCTCCCTAGCGACGATCTCACCCAGGCATCAATGCTTCTCACTCGCCCTCGGGATAATTCTGCATCATACGCCTAACCTCCACTTCTGGAATCCTCGTCTGAAATTCAATACTGCATGGGACATCTGGCATCGCTGCCGTGTTGAACCCCATGTCATCCTGCGGCTTCGTAGGATCCAGACTGAGCTGGAAGGCCCAAAGAATAAGAAGCGAATTTATGAACACCGATCTGTAACATTTCAGATGAGATCGAGAAATCGTGTGCGTGGAAAGAACTGTAACCTGCTCGCAACGTGTTGACCTGGGCATACGCTGGAAGGAAGGACAATCAAAGAAAGTATATTCCAAACGACAGTGCTTACCGCCGACCAAACCCAAATACAAAGAATGTGAGATCGTCTCTCAAGCGGCCTTGTTCGTCAATCCAAGCGCTGGGGCTTGAACGCATCAGGCTCGGGATAGACTTCTGGATCTCGAGAGATGGCCCTGAGGCGGTGACAATTTGATATATCATATCTTGAAGGACATCGACTTACCAGTGATTACCGGCTACCGTAGTTCCAGCGGGAATGCAGTAGTTTTCCTGCGGGTGGATATCAGATCATCCTGGGACAACAAATCATTCAGAGAGCACTTGCCCAAATGACATCTTCAGTCGTTCGGTGAGGCAATCCTGTGGGGTGGACTGTGAAAACTTCAGGTGCAGGACCGACCATTCAGAGACCCACCTTCGGGAGCCAACGGTCTCCATCTCAAGGCCTCAGAGATAAAGGCCTCCAGACGAGGAAGGGATGGTTTATCGGCAAAGGTCGGTACTTTGGCAGAGAAATCATTCCATGACAGAACTGCGATGCGAAATTTAGCTACCTCGCTCCAATCCAATGACTGCATCAAGCTCGGCCTGAACTTTAGCTTGCTCTTCAGGAAAGTGTGCAGCTGCCATTAGCACCGTGCATATCGCCACAGAAGTCTGACACCTTATCTCAGCATATAATGTTCGCAAAAAAGAAAGATGCCTCACTGTTTCGGTTCCAGCTCCAAAAAAGGAGCCAGCGAGATACGCCTTCTCGATCTCTGTCAAGCCATAGAGATGCTCATTTTCTAGAATGTATTTTGAAAACGAAGGGCCGATGTCCACATTGCTCTGCTGTGGAACAACTCGGACATCATGTAAAGATAGGCAAAGCAATGCATACCATGTGCAGTTTCACACGGTTCAGCTGGTCTGTGTAGAGTCGCCTGGTTCTCTCAAACTGGTCTTTTAATTCTGACGCATACCAAGGAAGGTATTTGAGCCACGGTATTGACTCCACCCAGTAAGCACCGGGGAGCAAGATTGTACGAAATCTCCTGATGATTTGGTGAGCTTCTCTGACTTCGGGGTCAGTTGCTGACGTCGGCGTAATCTTCCCATATGCAATTTTCATAATCGTCGCTGCGGCATAACTTCCAAGAACCCGTAAGCAACATACTCTCAGACCCAGGCGCAGCACGTAGAAAACCGCTTACGTTACTAAATGGTTCTGAAAGTTGTGTGGATCGTCAAGAATGTTGAGGATCACGGTTTTCGCTTGTGACATCTGCAGAGGCTGATATGTCTCGGCTGATTTGGGCTGGAGATGCGCATGGAGTGCTCTGTACCGTATCGAAAAGTAACTTAGATGAGGGCCATTTGAGCTTTTACAGTATCGCGGCGACAAACCTACGCATTCGACGGAACCTGTCCCCAACGTGCGACAAGGCAAGGGATAGTCCGCGTGTAAGAATGTCTTCAGCAGCAAGGTGGGGTCGATCAGCAAGCATTTTCCCCTGCTTCTCCATTATATCCACCGCGGCCTGCCATAGGGTATTGAGTCCGAAGGTGCTAACTTATCAGAAAGGGACTAACTTTGTGGCGGCCGATAATCACGATGGTCTGAATTCCTGAGCGAATAGTAATCAGAGGACCATATTCGTCGATCCACCGCGCTACAGTGAGAGATGCGCTGATCAGAAATTTGATACAATTAGATTAAACAAAACAAAGTCGCAAATATGAAACTTTACTTGCGAGGTGGTAGGAAGTGCCCCCGAAGCCTCCAAGTGGGAGGAGAGGGTGGGAGAGGAAGGCGGCTATCTGATTTGCGAAGGTAAGCCCAAACAACCACTCCCATTATCCCAACACAAATCACAGCATCGAGGATGGGCTGCATGTTGTCAAAGGTGCGCAGGTCAGGGAGCTGTAGCATGACCGATTGAAGGAGTGGAGAGAGAGAGGACGGACCTCATTGAAAGTGCATTCGAGTTATTTAGATAAAGCATCCCACGCCAACTCCACGGATAGGAAGAGACGGGCACCTGACATATCCCATTACGCATTACTACACAACAACAGGAACCGGGCAAGATCCCGTCGAATCTCCGTGACTGTGGTCAGCGCTATCAATACTTGGCCTCCTGGATCATAATCGGCCTACTCATTTATGGCCTAGTGCACTGGCTATGAGCGTCGATTTGACGCGTGCTGGGTCAGTGTACCGGGTATGATGATGATGATGATGGTGGTGGTGGTGATGATGATGGTGGTGGTGGTAGCCGTTTTGGAGTTTGGAGGTATGGTGCAGTTTACCGAGTCTTGAAACCAGCGGAGATCTTTGAACCCTCGAACTTCCTAGGCTTTGCACACCGGCAAAAACACATCCACAGTCATCAATGTGTATACACGCTCCAGGCTGATAATATGGATTGCGAGCTGTCTCCGTGAATGAGATGGTATGGGCTAACGCGTATGAGAACGCTAGCTCGTTGCACCTAGCGTCACGATATTTCTGTGCCATGTGATTGCAAAATTATAGCATTGGGAGAAGCTTACCGAGGATATGTATAGAATCAGGCAGCTGATCATACCCTTATCGTAGCCACGGTCCACGTCACTAATAGCACCTTTGCAAACAGAATGTATGGGCCAACCTAGCTTGTTTTCGAAAACGGGGTGGACTTATGGCGGGTACGCAAATCCAGACCTGTCGAGAATGATCCAAACGGAATACTGACTCTGACATTATGCAAGGTGCAAATTCCACAGCAGATACATACGATACTATTTGTCATAGCATCCAATATGGTCACCAATCACATGTATGCATCAGGAAATCGCCGAGACCTTGGTATGTCTAGTCACATTTGATAAGACACCATAACAAAGATACATCAGGATCAACCTTGTCAATCATTGACCATGCAATATTACATAGTTGTTGAATGGCTACTTTCTATCATCTGGCTCTAATATCTTTGACTATTGGTATGGTTCTGCCACCACAGACCCCTTGGGCGACATTTTGACCAGAGGTTATCATGTCACACCTTTGTTTGCATTCACTTGCGCTTTTCTCACATATTGGCAATGGTATTGGAGGACTTGGCTGTGACATGCCATATAGTTATTGAATGAGTGTGTTCTATCACTTGGCTGTAATATCTATGACCCCTGGTATGGTCCTGCTGTCACAGGCCTCTTGGGCGACATTTTGACCAGAGGTTATCATGTCACACCTTTGGTTGCCTTCACTTGCACGTTTCTCACATATTGGCAATGATATTGAAGGACTTGGCCATGGCATGCTATATAGCTATCAAATGAGTGCGCTTTATCACTTGGCTGTAATATCGCTGTCACAGGACCCTTGGGCGCCATTTTGACCTCAGGTGACACCTTTGGTTGCCTTTGCACTCTTTTCACATACTATTGGCAATGGTATTGGAGGACTTATGCAATTGCTTCGGTGGCCCTTTGCACACATTCTTGGCTGTAATATTCAAGGTTCTTAATATTGTCCTGTTATCTCATGTCCCTAAGGGCGAGGGTGTAGGTAATGACTAGGACACCTTCCACATAAGATCTGCGGTTAACCAACTCAAGCGATACAGAGCACGAACGCTTGGAAACCTTTATGAAGAGGTCAGGTTGGTGCTAAGCTTCCAGTGCAGCCCCATATAGTAGCCCAGTCACAGTTTGCTTGTCCTCGTGGCCTTTGTCCTCAGCGTCCATATCCCTGGAGGGAGTCATCCATATCAGTGGTCTCATAGTCTTCCTCAAAGGTACTGGCGACGATGATGGTTGCTTGGACTGTGGGAGTGGCTGTTGCGCTTACGCTTAAAGGTTGATGATTAGTGCAGGTGAGGGAAGCAGCAGTAGAAGGAACCTTGATGATGGTTGTGATTCTTTGGACATTGTAAAAACTAGAAAGAGAGTTAGAAAGCTAACTGATAACACAGACAAAATTTACTAGTCCAGAGAGCTGAAAGGGCATCTTGTCCTTGAAGACCTTTCACTGCATTGGGTGTGACAGAGAGGACAGGTGCAGGCAAGGTTCTGAGCATGGAGATGGGGTAAAGTCAAGGACATTGGAAGATACGAGCGCCTTTGGGGACTGTAATCAATGCTTTTGAATTACGAGAAAACCTGTCTGCTAAAAATCCCAGAAGTTCTAGAATGAGGAATTCATGGAATTCTGGTATTTAGTTTACCGGACCAGACATTGGACTTGACAGATATCCAAGTCAGGCGCTGGTCTTGACACACCCTTGCAAGGCTTTGCATGGTCTTGAATGTAGGAAAAGGATGCGCAACAGTGATTCGTTCACCGACTGAGCTGAAAACGATATCTCTGATGCCAGCATCGTTATCACTCTTGATCCACATGTACGGTAGAAGAAGTGCAGATGAATGTAGATGTTTGAAGTGGAGGATTGGGACGTGGGGGTGCAGGCATTAAGATAGGGGTAAGAGTTAACTGAGGATTGACAAATGTGAGTCCGATGGTTCATAATTAGAACTGTCATACTTGCCTGTGCGTCCAACATGTTCAGTGGCAAGGTGGGCGAACCAACAAACCCACCAGAAATGAATGAATTGATGATCATCGGTTTCTTTGGAACACTTATTGTCAGACTTAGAGGCAGGGCTGCAGGCTTATTGACAACAGGAGGCACCACAGAAGGTGGAAACTTTTTTTTGGAGAAGTAGGTATTCGCTCAAAACAAGGGGTTGGATAGAAGGGAGAGAGGGAATAACAGTTTTCACTAGCGAACCTGTTTCCTGTTCCAGCACAGCTTCAATTGATCATTGAGGTGGCACAGTATTTGGAGGAGGTGGATGCCATGATAAACCAGTTACAAGACCAAATATATCAGATGATGAGGAGGATGCAGAGCTAGGAGAGGACTGGAGATTCATGTCAGCAGTCTCAGATGTGGGAGTACTGGGTTGTGCAGGTAAACTGCTGATATCCCCTGGGTGGTGAATATTGTCTTCAATTTGCTTCTCATCTTGTGCATCACTTGAGAGGTCCATACTGCTGTCTTGAGAGCTTCTTGGAGGTTCTGTTACAGGACTTGGAACTCTGAAAACATTCGGTATGTGCTTGACAATGAGAGATCGGCGAGGAGTGCTAGAGGGAGAGCCTAAACTCATTGGTGACAAGGTACATTCAAGGTCTTCATCCATTATCTACTATGTCTCAGGATCACGCTTATGAGCGAATGAAAGTGCACTCACAAAGGCATTAAGAGGTGGAGAAGAAGACAAATTTTGCCACTACCTCCAGGGGGCTTGTATCGAGGCTCGATCTTTTGTGTCTTCGGGAGGTGATAGGCATTGACGTGATTGGAACTGCCTGGACCGAACTCACTGCCCATGATGGCTGAGCCTGGATACCCACTGATACATGTTCAGGTGGAGGTAGCGGGTGATGGGTGCTATCTGCACAGTGAATATGCCATTGAATAGGAACCCCATGGTCAAGCATGTACCACTCACTGGGACTACACTCGCCTGTTTGTATGCCTTGGTCCAGGCTCTCCTCATGGGACAAAAGAAACATCAGCAACATGTTCAACATCAGTTGCATGCACTTCTTGTTGGGCCTCATTTTGTGGAGATCTCCTTCCAAAATGATGGCTTAGTCTGTGAAAAGGCTCAAGTATGCAATAGCTCAACACTCCCCTTCCGCTGCCTGCCAGTGAGTTAGCCACCTGACCAGTAAATGTGAAAATCATACTTGGTGACCTACACCTGTTGCATCTGAGTGGCAAATCATGTGACCAAATCAGTCTGTACCAGGTTTTTGGACTTGAAGTTATTCATGTCCGGCAAAATCCGGTTTGAGCCTTCAATTACAATTTGGAAGGACCATCCTGGAACCATTTAAAGAATGACAATGTTATTACAAAATTTGATTTTAAGCGACAAAGAGACATTGTATGCACAAAGAATTACTGAAAAAATTCGATGGGGATCTCATGCTGCAAGTGTTCTAGGGCTGCAGTCCCCTGAGATGGAAGGGGATGTGCATAGGATTGAATGATTGGTCCTATATTTGCTCTCCTGCGATTGCCATCTCTGTCCACACCATACACGTTGAAGTCTCTATTGTAGGATGAACATGAAGTAGACGTAGAAAGAGTGAAATTAATACTTAATATATACCAATTCTCGAGTGGCTTCATGTATCTTGACCAGAGGTGCACCTTCGATGTGGATAATTCTGCTATATATTTTGATTACACTGGCATCACCAGTCTTGCTGAGCTGCATCTGGAGTGACTTCTGACACCACTCGTAAAACTTGAAAAGAAAGATCAATGTTAAAGATGCCATGTAGGTAAGTTACTCACCAAGCAAACAATCAGAGCAATTATTGTCATAGAAGGGTTTCCCTCTTGGTCAACAATTTGATCCCAGTAGACATCTGCAACACAACTGGAAGGTTGGCTACCAGTGGGACTGTAAGAGCATGTGATGCCAGAGTTCCCTGGCCATCTGTAGGTTGACTATTTCTACAATAACTTGCCACTAGAAATAGAATCATACCCAAGCAAACGAGAGTGTCAAATTCACTTACATCAATAGCTTGGACATTACTATCAATGACAGCTGTCATCCTGATAACTTGCTCGCATGAAGACTGAGAATCCAGACAAAAACCCATATCATTGCCAGGCTTCATGCAATGACTAAGCACCTTTCTAAGTTCGGAGACCATGGAGTTGGGTTTGTGATCGTACTTGTCATCATTAAGTTTGTATATTAAAGAACAATTATAATGCATTCACCGTTTCTCATAGGTGATGCCAATGGAAGTGAATCCCTGGGTTAAAGTCGACTGGGGATAGAATACAAAAATGAGTTAAGAAATCAAAGGCTAAAAATGGAGGTACTTGCGCTCAATGCGTTGACAGTCCTGAAAAGACATTCGGTTCCTTGACAAGCTTTCCAAAAAGCACAGGGTGATGAACTGTCGCCTTATTGGTGACATTTTTATGATCCTCATGGCATTTCCATAGCAGTCCAGTGAAGAGACTGCCCATGAGGGTAGCTTTCATTGATCGGGATATGATCGCCCAGGGGTGGTTAATTGTTAGTTTGGTTAAGATAGACTGACAATAAGCATTCTGATCTGAGGTTGCCTTGGTCCAGCGAAGCTCCTGCGCAGGGAAGGAGTTGGTTGTGGGCCTCGTTACATTTAGAGAAACAAGATCTTGTGGCAACAAAATCGGCTCATGAAGTGGCTCTGGTGGTGTTGGTGAAGGTGCCGTTGACTGTGCCATTAATAATGCTGTTGACAATGCCATCAATGATGCCATTGACAGTACTGAAGCAGGTACCATCGACTGTGCTGGCGATGGCTGGGCTGGGGCTGGGGCTGGGCTGGGCTGGTCCCAGTGCTAGTGCCAGCGAGCTTGTACTGGTGCCGGGTATGAAGTCATAGTAGGACCCTATCATAGTCAGTAGATGAATATCCTGAAATCGTAACACATACCAAATCCTTGCGGGTAGTAAGATCCTGCAGTGTAATCGGTAAATGCTTCACTGTATGTGCTGTCGTTGAAGTTGTCATTGCAGTCGTCAATGTTGTTGAAAGTAGCTGCCAGATAATGGCCAAAAGGCCAAGGTGCTAGTTGTACACCAAAGTTTCTTTTAACTGCTCACATCAGTCAGTAATAGAAGTATGATGCTAAAAAAAACTCATGAGTGGGCCATGTCCATACAGAAATCAATTTGGTTTTGTGAACTCTCGATACCATTTCAGTATTGTAAAGTGCTTTGCCATCATCTTGAGCCTATATGGTGACGTATTGTGATGTTTTAAGAAGAACTTGAAGCACTGAAGTAATAATGACTCACAGTGAGCCCATAAATGGGTACCAGGATGTCATATTCCTTTCTTTCTGAGGGTACCACAAGCAGACCGCCATGATCATTCATAGCTATATAACCCAAGGGTTCATCAGCTAGAGGCCATAAGTTGTATATGGGCACTTCTGTTGGCCACTGATAGAATTAGATCAATCATGTTGTCACAGCACTAGTAGAAAACTCACATAGCATGGACCAATATGCATATGGGACAGGATGTAACAAGCAAAGTTGAGATCAAAGTTGAGGTCATCGAAACTGCCCTGCAATGCGATAAGTGCCTTCATCCAATGCCACAAGAAAACACCTTACCTCTGTCTAATGTTTCATCAGTGTAATGCAAAAGTGCGCTGGTGAAAATACAAATACTCACAGTATGTTCAAACAATGTAATCCAGGTCACCCCTGGCCTGTTGTTGTAGATATAAGTCATGACTTAGATCCAGGAGGGACAGCCGCACTTTGAGGGAGGAGTGCCGCATTATTTTAGCAAATTAATGCTTGATGGTATGGATTAGTACTATTATAATAGTATCTGATCCCGTGGAACCAGTTGAACTGTAGGCCTAGGCTTACCACGCATGCATCTGTCAATCTAGTAGATGATCTTATCTTTTTATCGTGCTGTATTGTCAATCATGCACTAGAGTTCACACCAACATTTAGAAAATGTGCTATTTGTCCCACTTTATAACAGAATGTGCCCACATGTTGGTGTTTTTCTTCTGACCACTTTTATCAACACATCTCAACACTTACGGTCCTCTCCCATCATAACCAGTTCTTAATGGGGTTGAACACCGATATTCATTGTGCCTGTTTCACTGTAAGTATGGCTAGCAAGCTCCCAACTCGGAATACACATGCACATGACAGTGATGAACTGGCTTGTAGTGAGAACATTTAGTACATAATATACAAACAGCATCAGTACTGTGACATATAATAAAATTTAGTCTTCATCAACATGAAAGTATGGTACTATCCCTGCTCGAAAACCATACCAAGCCAATGGGGCTAAGATGCCCACCACAATGAGGAGGCAGCAAACACATGTGATCAGGGCGGGTTTGGAGTGCTCAGCGTCTATGAAGGCACTGGCAAGAAATCCAATGCTGGACCATGTGATGCTTAAGGATGTCTTTTGTGAGTAAAAGTAAGGGACTATAATCCAAAACTTTACTTGCCTCATGATACAAAAAAACCTAGGTGCACTGAACACCCCAATGACAACTGCCATCCCCTGATCAAGATAATATGCCTGGTTAAGTGGTGATGTCAGACTTATAGCTGCAGAGCACAAAATCAAACAAACTGCAAATCTCAGCATTTTCAGTTTCTCTCCAAAGTGTTGCGCGAACATGCCTGCAAACATGCAGCCCACACAGAATATAATGGATCCCTTCAGAATAGACTCTGCTACCATTCCTGTACCTACACCTTGGACAGCAAGGAAACTGGCGTCAACCTGCCATGATGACTCCTGCCTGCCACACATACATGAGTTCTCATTCTCTACCCTCATAATATATCATTCACCAGAGTTATTTGCGCTGTATTCTGGGAGCTGAAGTTGTCAACAAAGTTCTTTATGTTGAGGGAATTGATAAGGCCATCAACATAGATTTGGTTGAGGCATTCTCGAACCAACATGGGAAGGCACAACATAGCTAGTGTAGCTATGAAGGGAAAGGGCTCCCTCTTTCTATGCCTGTGGCCCATTGAATGGGACCATAAAAGACATGCTTCAGGTTGTCCATAATAGTTTAGGTATTGGTGGTGACCTGCATTGTCTAATCAGTAACAATACCTGGTAAGAGACATGGCTAACATACATAGCATGTGGTATAGTCTGCCTGATGGTAATTGTTACAGTAACGGTTGCCCCTATCATCTTTTTACTCTTTCCTTGTATTACGTCATGACCGCACGACACCGTGCCATCACTAGACTATCGCCACTCATGTATTACAGCACGATCGCCTCATGCCATCGCTAGCTGACGTCATTTCTTCTTATCTCTGACTCGTCTCGATGACGTCATTTCTTCTTATCTCTGACTCGTCTCGATGACGTCATTTCTTCTTATCTCTGACTCGTCTAGATGACGTATATGTACCGGCCCTAAAGTAGGCCTTACCTATATAAGCAGGTCTTGTACTTAGTTAGTCTTCACTTTAATCTACTAGGTTTTACCCAGAACATCCTTCGCTTAGGACCCCCAATCCTAAGTGTCTGATATCGATATTCAAGTCGGAGACACTCTCTCTAACTTGTCTTAAGAAGCCTTACATTTGTGAGGTCACGATCCGACTTCAGACGTCACTCTTATCGAGTGTCTGTTGTCGCGCCTATCCTAGTCGACCTACGGTTCGCCGTAACAAAAGATTAAAGTCAATCCTAAGACCCTCCCCATCATCGGAGGTTACCCAGAAACTCAGACTCAGCGAGAGAACGATAACGTTCCCCTGAAACCGAAACATCACTCGACTACACGTCAGGATGTCCGCACCAACCACCGCCCCAGAATTGAAGGCCGGAGCCCCATCTACCTATGATGGAAGTCCCTCCCAAGCCCTACGATGGCTATATGCAGTCAAAGCGTACTTCGCGCTTAACGCCACCATCTATAACACCGACGATAAGAAGGTCATCACCGCCCTTGCTTATATGACAGAAGGAAGCGCTATGGGTTGGGCGCTGACCTTCTATACAGAAGTTGACAATTCCGTCGCTAAGACTTATGGAACCTTCGCGAACTTTGAAACCAAGTTCAAAGAGGCCTTCGTACCAGCCGACGCCACCGGAACTGCTATGAACAAGCTCCGTACGTTGAAACAGACAGGCGACCTCACATCCTATATCGCCAGCTTCAAGACGCTTGCCGCACAAGCATCCGTAAAGCAGGACGCTGTCCTTATCACGTTCCTCAACGACGGACTGAAAAAGGGGATCGTTAACTCCATCTACCAAATGGAGACCATTCCTGTAGAATTCGACAAGTATGTCGCCGCCGTCATTCGGCTAGACAGTAACTACCAGAGAGGGGTTGCGTATCGATCAAACTATCGCACCACCACCAAACCGTCGGGACAACGATACGTTCCCAGACCCTCCGTTGACCGTCACGACCCAAACGCCATGGAGGTAGACCGGCTTACCGAAGCCGAGAGAAGTGACCATATGAAGAAAGGACTATGCTTCACGTGCCACCAGAAGGGGCACATGACTAAAGCATGTCCGTCAAAAAGGAAGATTCCTGTTCGCAGAGAAGAGATAAGCGACAGTGAAGAAGAAGACACAACGGTCCGTCGCCTCGCAGAGGATTTTTGATGTGGAAGACGGGATCGACGTCCGTATCTTCCGATATACCCATCAGACTTGTACAAAGTATTGGAATAAGAAAAGAACTCCGTGTTCCCATTTCTCTCATCTCCAAAACCCGTCTGAAAACCGTCGAAACAACAGCAGTCGTTGACTCCGGCGCCGCCGGAACCTTCATCTCAGAAGAATTCGTCAAAGATCACAACATCCGAACGCATAAACTATCAAAACCATTCCGAGTTACAACCGCGGATGGAAGTTATGCGAAAGGAGGTGCCATCACGCGATATTGCGTCCTTATTGTCAAGATAGATAACCGATCAATGATCGGAAAGTTTAACATCACGCGACTAGGTCGACGTGATCAGATTTTACTCGGGATTCCTTGGTTACGCGCCATGGACCCAGTGATCCGATGGAAAGCGGAAACGCTAGAACTCTCTCGAACCGAGAAGAGCGATCAAATCGAAGAGGAAGTTGATCAAGAACGAAAGAAGAACAAGTTGCCTCCTCTCTTTCGTAGAAAGGAAACAAGGGAAGAACCAACTCCAGTTGTAGTGCTGCCAAAGGCGCCTCCTAGAGAAACGGTCGAACAAAAACCATTGCACGCCACGATCGAGGAGATTACTGATGAAGAAGCAATCCCGTCTGCATTGCCCAATCTGGAACCCATCCCGGATGATGAAGATGACTCCTTTGATACAAAAGAGGACGTATGGACGGCTGACTACGCGCCACCCGTACGAGAAATCTCCACCTACCACCTGGAAGATGACGAATTCTTGGTCGAATACCCTGCCGATGCTTCGGAACTTCGAGTAATCACCAATATCTCACTTGATACCCCTTTAACGAAGGACGGGACCAGTATCACAGAGCAACGGCCCAAAATCACTTCCCTGACGCCACCCGTTGAATACTCAAAGACAAGTAACAAAGCTCAGCAGTTCGCGCTAGCCGCCGGGCTTGAACAGAAGAAGAAATCATTTGAGGAACTCGTTCCCCCTTACCTTCACGACTTCGCTGATATCTTTGCAAAGGATGGCTTAAATCAGTTACCACCGGAGCGACCTGGTATAGACCACCGGATAGAAACCAAGCCAGGTTTCATCCCCAAAACGTCTAAAGTATACCCACTATCTGAAAAGGAACGGGTCGCGGTTAAGGCGTTCATTGATGAAAACGTCCAGAAAGGGTTTATCTCCGAATCAAAGTCACCGCAAGCCAGCGGTTTCTTTTTCGTAGGAAAGAAGAGTGGAGACCTCCGCCCTTGTCAGGACTATCGGTATATCAATGAATGGACCGTTAAGAACGCCTACCCACTCCCATTGCCGCTCTCCCTGGTCGCTCGGTTACATGGTGCCAAATATTTTACGAAGATGGACGTCCGGTCTGGATATAACAATATACGCATTCATCCGGAAGACAGATGGAAGGCTGCTTTCACCACGGAATACGGGCTTTTCGAGCCTAATGTCATGTTTTTTGGTCTCTGCAACTCCCCGGCTACTTTCCAGGCGTATATGAATAGAACGTTTCAACAAGAAATTAACGAAGGATGGCTTGTCATATACATGGACGACATCCTCATATTCTCAAACGACCTCGCTTCCCATCACGAACGTACCCGACATATCCTTGAAAGAATTCGGCAAGAGAAACTTTTCCTTAAACCGGAAAAGTGCACGTTTGACGCAGAAGAAGTGGAATACCTCGGAATGATCATCCGTCCCGGGTGTGTAGCAATGGACAACGCTAAGACCAACGGTATTCGAGATTGGCCTACCCCCACGTCGGTAAAAGAAGTTCGGTCGTTCTTAGGATTCTGTAACTTCTACCGGAACTTCATTTCCCACTACTCCGACATCGCCAGACCATTAATTGATCTTACCAAGAAAGACGTTAAATTCCTTTGGTCCGACCTATGCACGTCTGCGTTTTCTGAGCTGAAGGAATGCTTTTTGAAGCAGCCAGTCCTTCGCAACCCTGATCCCGCCAGACAGTTCGCGGTTGCCACCGACGCATCCCTAGTTGCTACCGGTGCAGTACTACTCCAGACGGACGATAACGGGGTCTATCACCCGTGTGGATATTTGTCCCAGACCTTAAATCCTGCGGAAAGGAATTACCAGATCTTTGATCGCGAACTCCTCGCGGTTATTCGGGCATTAACTGAATGGCGTCATTACTTAGAAGGCAATCCCCATCCCGTCATCGTATTCACCGACCATAAGAACCTCCTATACTTCAGGACGGCCCAGAAGTTGACCCGCCGTCAAGCACGATGGCAATTAATCCTATCCTGCTATGACATTGAACTGCACCATGTCGCCGGAACCAAGCTTGTCGCTCCCGACGCCCTATCCCGCCGACCAGACCATGGATCGGACTCAGCGAATGATAACGTTGACGAAACCTTGCTCCCTGAGTCTATGTTTGTTCGACTACTTGATGTCGAACTCATGACCACTTTGGTGAACCCCGACCCCTCCGATCCGGACCCTATCTTTACCGCCGCCTCTGATGCCCTGGATGGAATGTCCCTTCCTCCTATGAAATCCGCTCTTTCTGATTGGAAAATTACGGATGATATCCTTTATTATAAAGATCGTGCCTACGTTCGCCCCGCCGGGCGACACCTCATTTTAGAACGATGCCATGACCACCCCACCGCCGGTCACCCTGGTCGTTTTAAAACGGAAGAATTGGTTAAAAGAGATTTTTGGTGGCCAGCCATGGGTACCTATATCCGTAAATACGTCGAAGGGTGCGCCCTCTGTCAGCAGATGAAGGCCGACACCCATCCTACGAACCCCCCCCTTGTTCCTATCCCTTCAGTCGCCGCCGCCCCTTTCACCCAGGTTTCTGTCGATCTCATCACCGATCTCCCACCCTGTTCTGGTTTCGATTCAGTCATGGTCGTGGTCGACCATGGGCTTACGAAGGGGGTAATTCTCATCCCATGTACTAAAACCATCACGTCCGAAGGAGTCGCCAGCAAATTCTTCAAATACGTCTACCGCCGATTCGGCCTACACGAAAAGGTCATCTCTGATCGAGGCCCACAATTCGTATCCAAGTTCTCAAAAGCCCTCGCTAAGTTGCTAAAGTACGACATAGCAGCATCAACCGCTTATCATCCCCAGACCGATGGACAGACTGAACGGCTCAATCAAGAACTAGAAACGTATCTTCGGATCTATTGTCGGAATAACCCTGAAAACTGGGTAGAACAGCTCCCTATGGCGGAATTTGTCCACAACCATCGTAAACACGACTCTCGCAACGCATCGCCATTCTTTTTGATGATGGGATACGAGCCACGAGCCCTTCCACATGTCCTCCCCGATTCCACTGTCCCTGCTGCGGAGGATAGACTCCGCATGCTCCAGAAGTCCAGAGAAGAAGCACTTTCGTGCCACAACCTTGCGATGCAACGAATGGCAGAAAGAACTCACGGGCAAAAGTATCACCCATGGAAAGTCGGGGATAAGGTTTGGTTATCCGGAAAAAACTTAATCACGCAATTACCCTCACGAAAACTCTCCCCAAAACGATACGGTCCTTTCCGAATCACCGCCGTCCTATCTCCCATCACATTCACACTCCAGTTACCTCCCCAGTGGAAAGTTCACCCCACGTTCCATGCTTCCGAGCTATCGTCCTATCATGAGACAGAGATTCACGGACCGAATTTCCATGATCCACCCCCAGATATCATCGATAACGAAGAAGAATACGAAATCGATGCGATCTTATCGCACAAAGGAACGGGAAAACGAAGACGCTACCTCTTATCGTGGAAAGGATATTCGTCAGCCAGTAACGAATGGGTCCCAGAAGGAAATCTTGATAATGCTCCCGAAATCCTCAACGCCTATAAAAAGGCCCATGGATTATAGACTCTCCCCAGAATGTCCTCCATTGAACGACTACGTCTCTGTATCCTCCGCATCCAAGAAATCACTGCCGCTATGAACCTTGCCGCCGAAAGAGAAGCGCGCCCCGTAACACTCCAAGAATATCAAAACGCCACCGCCGCCGACTTCGCACGACACGCATACTCCCCTGAACCTTCACCGGTTTCTGACTCTACCCTTACCCTCACCGACGACTCGACTCTCACTGATTATTTTTCGGTCATTGACCAAGTCGAAACTAGCGCCTTATTCGAGTCCGCTATCACCTCTCAGCAGTACGCTATTGAGATTGACCGTCTCCTCGGAGAAAGAGGAGCAATCACTAGCGGCCTTATAATCAGAATCATCAGAGACGCCAGTCTCATCGAACGTACCGCCGCCCTTCTTGATGATGAACGTCATCAAACTATTTTTCGTCATCTTCATATACGTATTCGCAACACCGCCATCCGCCTTCTTCCAGAAGAAACCAGAGACGCTATCAGAGAAGCTATCCACATCGTCACCGAGCGAATCGCTCTTAACCCCATCGCAAGACCACCATCACCCCACGTTGCCATCCCCGTACCAGAACCAACCCCCGTCGCCACAACTCCCGCTGCCACTACCATGGACAGTCCGGATGATAATATCCCTCCTATTGCCGTACTTGACGTACCGACTTCTCCTTCTCCTGACCCAGTCGTACGCACCAAACGACGATTCCCACTAAAACGAAGATCCTCTCGTCTCGCCGCCAAACGCGCTGCATCCGTCTCCCCCACCAAGCCACCGTTTAAAAGATCACGATCACCGTCCCCCCCAAACCAATCTTCATCCGTCACTATTGTGAAAACATCACCGGTCGACAATGTCATATGCCGTAACTGCCACATCGCTGGCCATCGTCACAAGAACTGCCCCGCGTACTATTGCAGAGTTTGCCGAGAATACGCGCCCGGCCACCTTTCGGTCTTTTGCAAGGACTTGAAAGGAGAAGCGGTCATTCCATTGGTATGGACTGACGTCGGTTTTTACGACGCACTCGCTCGTTGGGAGATCGAGCAAGACGGTATCGCTCACGCCGAGGAGATGGCGCAATCCCTCACTATCACGGAGGAACAAGATGACCTCCTCCACTCTAACTACGACGCCGACCCTATTTACTGGGCCAACCAAGATATGTGAAGTCGGTGACTTCATCGCTAAACGAGGGGTAATGTTACAGTAACGGTTGCCCCTATCATCTTTTTACTCTTTCCTTGTATTACGTCATGACCGCACGACACCGTGCCATCACTAGACTATCGCCACTCATGTATTACAGCACGATCGCCTCATGCCATCGCTAGCTGACGTCATTTCTTCTTATCTCTGACTCGTCTCGATGACGTCATTTCTTCTTATCTCTGACTCGTCTCGATGACGTCATTTCTTCTTATCTCTGACTCGTCTAGATGACGTATATGTACCGGCCCTAAAGTAGGCCTTACCTATATAAGCAGGTCTTGTACTTAGTTAGTCTTCACTTTAATCTACTAGGTTTTACCCAGAACATCCTTCGCTTAGGACCCCCAATCCTAAGTGTCTGATATCGATATTCAAGTCGGAGACACTCTCTCTAACTTGTCTTAAGAAGCCTTACATTTGTGAGGTCACGATCCGACTTCAGACGTCACTCTTATCGAGTGTCTGTTGTCGCGCCTATCCTAGTCGACCTACGGTTCGCCGTAACAGTAATGATATAAGTATCCGTGCTGTCTTATTTTCAAAAAATTACTCACCGAACAATGCAACACCTGGCTCTGTTATATTTCCATCAGAACCTGTAAGATCATCTGCGCTTCCATCATGAGGATGCTGTAAAGGGGCAATGCAATGTTACATACCTAGACTGGCCAGTCTGGAGATAATTTTCTCTGTTGCTTCCTTGTTAGAGAATATTGTAGCTGAATTGGAGTTGTCTAAAGTCAATGCATCTGCACTTCGTTGAGATCGTTTTATTCAGCGCTAGAATGTGATAGAACATGCCTGCATGAAACCAATCCAGTTCAGTATGCAGCTTTCTTACAAGGAAGCAATCGAGCTTGAAGTTGTGGGGAAAGAATTCTACATGCTTCCTGTCAAGCAGTTTATTTGAATCAGTTGTTTATGTTTATATCGATATCAACAATCACTTACCAAAACTGGGCCTCAAGTTCAAGTCCTGAAAAACAATGTGGTTTATAAATCACAACATTCAAATGTAACACACTTTTATGGTTCCATTCCCTAGCAGAATCACATTCTCTAAAAAGATGAGTGCCATCCAAAGGCTCTAGCCAGCCAATGACTGTGCGCATCTGGCGCTACAAGGTAGTACAGATAGACATCACTGTCTACATGCTGTGTCCTGGCCAGCTCAGCAACTATGATGGGATCGCCTTTTACCCTACCTCTCATTGATGCCATCCATGCCTCAAAGTTCTCCAACTGAACTTTTGGGCAATCTCTTACATTCAATCCAGTGTATGTGTTCTATTGCAGTGAAATGAGAGTGTTACTACCAGTATTCACACAATTGGCACTCACCCATGTCTTACTGTAATAATAAGTGGCTCCAGATGGATGAATGTGCTCCTCTCATTTACTGTATACATTGTGCCTGTTAAAGTTAAGTTATAGTGTCTGTCATTAGTGAGGAAGGGTATTGACTGAAAGTCATCAAATTGCATTTCCTCCACCAGGAAGTTGGGAACTAGCAGTGGCAGCTCTAGTGAAATTAGGTATCCAGTAGTATTGAGAGTATATAGTGATGTGTACTCACCTGCCTTGCCTTTTGGGCATACCGTCCTAGCTGTGTAGGCCACACAGGGGTACTACAGGTCAAAGGGAACCATATTCTACTCAAATATGCTTTAGTTATGGTCTAAGTGTGCAAGCCATTCAACTTACCAACACTGTCCTCATTTATTAGAAGAAAAATGACAGAATGATGAATTAGGATGAGTGTCAAGATAAGATGATCTTAAACTAGGAGTGCTACTGCAGTACTATGTAGTCATAACATGCGAATGGCTGCATCTCAATTGCTTATCTAATACAATCCAACTCCCAGAGTCAAACAGAATATTAATTAATTAAATACGAGAGGGAGAGAGGACTCGGAAAAACATTTCTTAGACTTGTGAATGATATTAATTAAACCCTATAGTCCTACAGTAAATGCACACCAATCCTCAGGTGTGATCTTGACTGGGGTTGGAGTTCAAATCCTGCAGGCAGGATCATGGTTTGGTGTCCAGGATTTGTCCTAGGTATCAGGCAATTGACCACAGAAATATAAAGTTATAACTTAATGCATTACTTGGATGAAAAGTGCCACACATACCTTTCTTATGTTAGAGGGAAAGGCTGGAGATCCATTTGCACGATCTCACTCACAACCAGTTTGGGTTAGGAGTTTGTGGGTGCCTGGTGTATTTCAGGTACTCAATGGTGTGGTGTGCATTGACGATCACATCTTGGACTTGCCCCAATGCAATTGCGATCGTCAACCAGTGCTAGTTAGCAGAAACATCAGGTTGTAGTGAATGAAGAAGATCTTTGATGAGATTTACCTTCCACCTATTGAGGACACTTTTTTCGGTTTGTTGTCCACTCTTCCATCATATATTCATGATAAATCCATCAACCTTACAATGGCCGTCAGTTGATGATACATAGAAATCAATGGTCTTTTTCATGTTAAGAGAAGATTTTGCCTTGTCAATAAGCATGCGAAGAAGGTCTATTCATGTGCAGAGCCCAGTCTGTAGCAGTAGCAAGGCATCATCAGAAGCAAGTCCATTATGATCACTTCAACATCGCATGTTTCCAGCCTTCTGATAGCCTGATGGATAAGTCAGCCTTGAGAAACAGTGGATGGGCACACCAAATTACAGTCAGAAGTTGGCCCACAAAGACACTCTGTATTTTGCCACTGCTGCATTCGTCTATCGGCAGGAGGAACTGTTTGATCGCACAAGACCCCTAGAGTAACATCAGGGTCCATGTCAAGATAGTCACAAAGGGCGGTTTTGACAACAGGAACCTCTTCTGGTTCGTCTATGGGGAATGATCAGCAAAACTCAAACAACCAAGATAGAATTTAGGCGCATATATGCACATCATTATTGCTATGATTCAAATGTTATATGTTCCAAAGTCGCATTACTTACCACTTTGAAGTAGCTGCACAAGCACATCTGAATTTCATTTAACCCACATGTGCTGAATGGATGAAACATTTTATATGGCTCAGTACCCTTCTATCATGATGCGGACCTGCATTTGAGGTATCATGAAATTAAGAGACCAAAGACAATGCACCTGTGAAACTAGATCTTCATAAAGATTGTAGACTACATTGATAGCATCTTCCTTTCTGAGTAGGTCAGGGAAATTGAAGAGGAACAGAACATGTTAAGTTGGCGTGAATGATAGTGTTGGACTGTTGGATGGCGGGTGTAAAACAACAACAACAGTTGAGTGAACCTTTTGCTTTGAGATGTTTCAGTCACATCTGATGGCACTCTGGCAGAACTCAATGTGAATGTCAAATGGAAGGCCTAGTAGGCATTATATTAATGAATGCTCATTACCAAGCTTGTGCATGCAGGTATATTATGTAAGAGGACAAACTTCAAGGGGCAAGTCATGCACATGAATTCTGGCTGCCGACTCGGAGTGCTGTGGCATGATGACCATGACACACATTTTATAGATGTAGTACCCCGAGCACCTGTCATGATTATAATGGACTTCTTCAAGCTCAAGTTCACAAAGATTGATTGTATGGTGATTGGTATCTTGCCCAATTGCAATGCCCCATGATAAGCATCAATTTCCATTTGCATTAGGGGTCTACTAATATTTAATGGCCAGGCCTAGTACGCCTATTACTAGTATGGTCTGACTGCCTGACCATGATGCATGGGCTCCGCAGAAATACTCAGTGATCCAGCAGTCAGGGCGCAGCCTGACAACAACGGTATCTTGCCCAATGCCCCATGATGATAAGCATCATTTCCATTTGCATCAGTGTCTACTTATATTAATGGCCTGGGCCTAGTACACCTAGTACTAGTATGGTCCGACTGCCGACCATAATGCATGGGCTCTGAGAAATACTCAGTGATCCAGCAGTCAGGCAGCGCCTGCCTGACAACAACTTGAAGAAGGGAAGTGCTGGCAATAATTCAACATATGACACACATAGTAGAGGCAACACTGCTTCTGTCATGGTTATTATGTATGGAATTGGTGCTCATGCAGAAAATCATTCTAGCATACAAGTACCGCCGGTAAGACAGTACAAAGGGAAGTAATGCAGCATGTCGCATTCTGCAATTTTGTGCACTCACTCCATACATACAGATGTTGAATATGTGGTAACCATATGCTCACCACAGCCCTACTCAGATTGATCTGACTGCATCAATACAAGCCATACCTGTCCAGAGTATTCTTGAAATGTTGACATTGCCCACCATATACTACTTCAAAAGTGTGGCGCTACACTTCACCACCTTGCAAGTTTGAGGACTTCAACTAAAATTAGATTCTGTTTTGCTGGAGCGCCTGCATATTTTTCTAGGCTATGCCTTAATATGTATTGCAGCCTCTACAGGAGGATTGTGACATTATTTATTTGTGGTACCGCCAACTTAGTAAGTGTTTGCCTACAACAGTTGTCCGAGTGCTAACTTCCAACAGTGAACTTGCAGTGCCATGTGCTTGCTGGTGGCCGATTATGACACTGTTAGGCCAATCCAACATATCAAATAATGCTGCCATCCCAGCATAAAGCAGACCTAGAAAAATGGCCTGTGCTGAGCTGCAATATCTATGGAGTGTCCTTCTTCACCTTCATCATCATCTGTCATAACTGCTCCCCTGCATGATGAAGATAACATTCGAAGGTTAGCTAAACTCATCACTCAAGCTATGCTAGAGCCCTTTGCCCTCCTCCACTATGATGCAAGGTCAAAAACCATGGTTGATTGGGCATGGTATGACATATCATTCCTGTATACATCAATATCTTACCCGCACTTGTAATTTAAGGCCAGCTGATGATCAGAACAACATGATTTCTCCAGATCAGTTTCACGACTATAGACAAAAAAGAAATCTCCGGTATCCTTGCTGTCTTTGTGCTGATGGGATGCAGTGCTAATGGGACGCAACAAACCTATGTTGAGTCTATTGTGTATCCTTGGTGGAATGAGACAAGCGAAACTTGGATCTGGACGGCGAGATGCGCTAAAGATAGTTGCACATACCAAGGTTGGTTTTTTTCTGGTGTTATGCGTCTTACTGACTCTGAAGATCATTCAGTGAAAATCAACAGGTACTTTCAGCTATGGACGCAAAGCACTCAAGCATATCCTCTCAGAGGTCAGTCTTATGATATATCACTGCATCTACTAGTGCTAAGGAGTTAATGACAGACTGTTGCCCCCCATCAATATTACAGATGTGGTCTTATGAAGAACAAGACAATCTATTTTCTAGACTTTGCTCTTTTACCAGCAGTGGAATCAGCAGAGAAGAGTTCTGGATACTGTTTCAAACTTGTAAGTTGTGCAAGAGAGTGGGGACTAAGAGATCTATGAGGTATCACTGGTGCGCAAAGAATAGTATTTTAAATTAAGAGTATTGTTGGACTTGCCTATTCACTAAAGCTGGGCTTGATTATGACATTCCTGTGTCTGTGATCCTTGGTATCTGTCTTAAGTATAGACTGTTGAGTCCCTCAAATTCCATGAGTAAGCACACCACGTTCTGTACCATCACCCCAAATCTCACCTGCCTCTGTATATACACATGACGTCAACTCTCAACAGCCGTCTTTCATCACTCCTTCCACCATTGATAATATCACGTAAAGGAGCTCTCACTCTATCTTCCTGTGCTGCAGGTCCAGGGGTTGACAGGACTAAGATGGTGGATCAATTGTCAGTCAAACCCCATGGTCAGCTACTCACCCTCTGTCATTGAATTATCTCCTCTAATGCTTTGCAAGCAGCTTCAATTTGAACTTAGATTGCTGCTTTTTCTATTGGAGGACTATGCCTTCTCTGGAGACTTATGGCGCCTTGTTATGGCACACCACATAGAAATTATGCAAGAAGCACAATTATGCAAGATGCAAACACAGAACTGTAGCAGCAGAGTTCAGTTTGAAAGGGAGCTAGAGTTCTTGGAAGATAAGAGAGATAGAGCTCAGTTAGAACTGTCACTATACTCTCAGGCCACGGATGTCTTTCAGCTGCAGTTAGGGTGTATGTACACCACTCATATATATGCCTGGAAGTATTGACATTTATTCAGAAGCACACCATGGAAGTCCTGTAATTCAAGTCTCAGTGGGAGACAGGTGTTTGCCAGGCACTTTCTCAAGAGTTGGTTCAGGGAGCTTGCGCCAGCCAGATCTAGTGCATATGAAATGCAGAGAGTGGTTAAGCGGTATCTCAACTGGCAAGTCTAATTCTGCTGGTGAAGGTAGGCTTGAATCCACCAAGGATAAGGTTCCTGCTATTGTGAAAGAAGAACCAATATCCATCGTGTCCAAACTCATGACAATATACACTATGCTAGTGTTGCCTGAAGTGAGCATGGTTACCATTACATCTTTGTATTGATTCTCACGATGTCTGGTAGGTGACTCAACACCCTTACCATTTGGTTAGTACATGGGTTGAGGAATGTATGGAGGAATACTACATGGACGATAGAGCAATGGAACAAATGTCCTTGCAGATGTTGATATTGCAAGTTGGTGATTTATCCGATGTCCAAGCTGAACAGCACTTCCTTGAAGCTCAGCTGAGTCTAATGCAATCAAGACTGCAGCATGCTCAAACAGAGGTGGAGCTCCTCTCAGACACCATACAATACCTTAGTGAGAGCAATACTAGTGAGTGCAGCCGCCATATTTTCAAATGCATGGTGATTGACACTAGCCAGGTTGGTCTATGGGAGGTCCTCAGCCACACCATCGCTCATTTGTTGTCCAGTATGAACACTTAATGGATAGCTCTTCTTACACAGAAGAAAGCTGTGGATGGTCTGACTCCTAACAGTTGTTCTCACAACAGCCCTCCATGATGTACAGTATCAATGTAGTATGATTATGGATTAACTAAGTACTTGTAATGTCAACTCACAATCGCAGGCATGTCTTTTGATATATATATGTATTTGTGAAGGAGCACCAGGTTTGGGCGAGCCAAGTTGATCAGTCTCATACAACAGATTGTGAAAAGTGCAGCAAGTATTTGAATAGTGCTACAACCGATCACAAGCTTGATGCATGAAAGGTCTAGCTCATGAATTCTGCTTACCTAATACTGCTGCATAGTCATTGATTCTGGTTATCAGTAGAATGGTCATGATGATCCCCTGATTGACCAGTGTCATTGGATGGTCCCTACTGCACATCCCTGTGTCTTGTTCAGTCTTCAATGAACCAACCCATTTTCACATGTACTTGTGGCTGAGGGTTTCAGCAGGAAAGCGCCTTCAGCAGACATCAAAAATCTTGCGTCAAGGGCAAAAAACAACTATTCTCTGCTTTGAGCAAAGCAAAAGATCTTCTTGGGTCTGTCAAAAGGGCAAGAAAGCGCCTTGATGATCATGGAAGCTCTTCACACCCTATTTCTTCAGATACTGGGCCAACTTCTCCCATCTTCCATCATGCCATAGCTTCTGGGGGTGATGATACTTCTAACTCTATGTCAGTGTTAGCAGAGCATACTGTTGCTGCACCCCTCAACAATAATATTCACAAGGACTTGCCCTTAGCTCAGCATAGGAAGAGACGCAATGATGTCCAGTTGCCTAAGTGCTACAGGCAATTCCAGGATGTTCTACCTGAATTTCTTCCCAGCATTCCAATTAACGAAGCAGAACAATCTTCAGACTCTCCCCCCCCTTCTTAACCCCACCTTCAGAAATATGACCTCCTTTTTGCTCCCCTCAAAATACTTTTGGACTCATGCGCCAGTTCTTCTCCCCAAACCCGCCATCTCATGATCCTGAAGAGGTGGTCACACTAGGGGACATCAGCGCTATTCCTTGTCCTCCATCAAATACGGAGACTACTACACACGACGCTTCACCATACTACCCATACCCAAATTGATCATCATTGGAGCTTGGTGATTGGTACTGGAATGGAGGGGTGCAGAAGTCTCAACAGAGCTTCAATGATCTCCTCAGTATTGTCACAGATCCTGATTTTGACAGCGCTGGTGTTTGCTCGATGCCTTGGGAGAAAATCAACTTGACCCTAGGTCAAAACAACTACAAGGATGGAAATGAGGAGTGGGAGGATGAAGATGTGGGCTGGCATAAAACTGATGTGTCTATTCAGGTCCCTTTCTCTCACACCACCAATAATCCAGGAGTTCTATCATACTTGGGCGTTGAACTGTACCATCGCTCTTTAGTTGGCATTATTCAGGAGAAACTGGTGAATGCAGGTGACGATGAATGATTTCATTACGAGCCATATGAGCTCCTATGGAAACCTGACCACCTTCAGAGCAAGGTCAACATCCAAGGGGAGCTATATACATCTCCAGCATTTATGGATGCACACCGTGATCTGCAAAACTCTCTGGGGGAACCTGGTTGCGATCTCCCCAGGGCTGTAGTTGCACTCATGTTCTGGTCAGACGCGACCCATCTGACCAGTTTTGGCAATGCCAAACTATGGCCCATTTATCTTTATTTCAGTAATGAATCCAAGTATCGTTGGTGCAAACCCTCTTCTCATTTAGGCAATCACATCACATACTTTCAAAAGGTAATGTTCTAATATGTTTTCTTTGTCATGCATGAACTCAATAGTAGCTTGCAGCTTCTGGATTCATTCAAGGACTTTACTTGTCAACACACAGGGGGAAAGGGTGTTGGCCAGGAATGTACGATGCACTGTCCCAGAGAATTATTCCAGGCACAGTGGGGGGTTATGCTCAATGGTGAGTTCTTAGAGGCATATGCCCATGGTATTGTAATCAACTGTTGTGACAGTATCACAAGACGATTCTACCCAAGGATTTTTACTTACTCAGTGGATTACCCAGAGAAGTGAGTCCTTTGCCTTTAAAACCAATGCCAGAAGCTCAACAGAACAGAGTCCTCATTGCCACTATATGCCAACTAGGTGGATGCCCATGTCCTAGATGTCTTATTCCAAAGATAAGACTCCACAATCTAGGCATGGCTCGCGACAGGCAGCAATGCACTACACTCCTGTGTTTGGATGAAGCACACGACCATTTGGTTGTCATAGCTAGAAGCATCATCTATGACCAGAATCGTGGCATTGACAGCATCGCTGTAGAGAATCTACTCAAGCCTTGCTCCTGGGTACCAACATATGTAAGCAACTTTATCACTTGTCTAACTCAGCTGACGAGCAACATCAGAACATTTTTTCTAATAGACTTGGTGCATGCAGCTTCAACATATTTGAAGCATTGGTTGTAGATCTTCTCCATGAGGTTGAACTTGGCGCTTGGAGATCACTGCTCATTCACCTATTGAGGATATTATGATTGGCTGATAAAGATCTGATCCATGAGCTAGATAAGAGGTTGGCTTTTTTCTTCTTCTAATATCCACGGTACTGCTGATGCAGATCACATCTTCACAGATACAGACAGATCCTGCCATTTGGACAATTGACTATTAGAAGATTCACAGAAAATACTTCAGATCTATCAAACATGGCAGCATGTAACTATGAAGATCTCCTCCAGGTAAGTCAACTTGCAGGCTACTACATCAGCTAGGCTGATTCTTCTTAGTGTGCAATTCCTGTTTTCAATGATCTTCTCCCCCATGCTCACGACACTATCATTTGAGACCTTCTTTTTACCCTAGTGCATTGGCATGGCCTTGCCAAGCTCCGCATGCATTCTGACTTGATGTTAGATATTCTAGATCAGACAACAACCGAGCTTGGCAACCAGTTCTGCAAATTCAAGGCAAAGGTCTGCACAGCCTATGATGCAAGAGAGCTAGACAAGGAAGTGATGCACATCAAGGCATCAGCAAGGAAGCAGCTTAATGAACTCAAGCTGGCAAGGGCAAGAACCCTTCCAAGCATGAGGACAAGCCAGATGGGATGGGGGAATCTGTAGAATGCAACATGTTGCACAGGAAAGTTTCTTTAAATTTGAAAACTTACAAGTTCCACTCGCTTGGAGATTATGCATCATGTATAAGGCGCTTCAGTACTACTGATTCTTATAGCACAGAGGCAGTAAGTTTCTGAAGTTCTCAGCTTATTTGTGTTTGATGTCTATGACAGGGAGAACTTGAGCATCACACAGGAAAACAAAGATATCTTAGAACAGATCGCAAAACATTTGTTCACCAACTAACTCAGATTGAGTGTCGCCAAACATTGTATTAGACGTATCAAGAATCACCTTCAACAGTCCCAATCAAACGCAGTGGCAGACAGTGATCCTACCATTCACCACCACATTAGTCTGAGTGAGAAAATTAATGATGACATAGGTTCTTATTTGTGTTTGCGCGAGGGCAATCCAGCCATGAAGGTGAGTATCACTATGTTGATTTCTACATATAGATCATTGATCACCAAATACTTGATATGCGAAATTATTTTTCACACTTGAAAGACCATCTTCTCCAATGTGCCCTATCATCTCAATCTGCTGATTTGGATCAAGCAGCACATGGCAACATCAATCAAGTTCTCTTCAAAAGGAATCACATCTTCCACAATATCGCATGCATCAACTATACAACCTATGACACAAGATGCAGATCAGGACGTTATCAATCCCAAGACCTCTCACTGCAACATCATGGTGCTCAGTAGTTCTAGCGAATCAGGACACTATCATTATGCCAAGGTATTAGGAATCCACCACGTCAACACTGTTGTTGTTAGAGGTTCCTACCAGACTCCCCATCGAATGGAGTTTCTATTTGTACACTGGTATGAGGCTGCAGATGCTGATAGTTGCAGGACGGCTTTGGATTGCATTTGTTTTTCATTATTGGATAGCGAAGACACTTTTGGTTTCCTGAATCCAGCAGATGTCCTCAGAGCTAGTCACATAATTCCTCACTTCTCTAAAGGATTGCGTCACACAGATGGCAGAGGATTGTCTGGCATGGCTAGAGACAAAGGTAACTGGCAAGAATACTTCATTAACTGGTAAGTGCATTCAAGGTTCCTAAATTTTCCTTCACTAAAATTGCACAATAGATTTGTAGACAGGGACATGCTGATGCACTTTCATTTTGGTCTGGGGGTAGGCCATGTCTATTCTCATCAGGACATGCTGCCTGTGGGTTCTCCTTCCAATGTTTCTGGTCCCCAGGAGATCACTTTTGATGGTAGAGAGGGTGACGAAAATGAGGAGATCAACAGTGAAAACTCTGAGTATGAGCATACTGGCATTGAGGAAGAAGTTCTGTTCGATCAGGAGCAAAATGGAAGTACCGCATCTATTATCGAGGAGCTAGATAACATGTTTACCATTGAACATGAGTTAGATTACGAACCCTGAACCACCCTGAACCTATATATGATCATAGCCCCAAGTTCATGGAACTTCCAGAGTCAAAGCAAATTTTCACCAACTTCAATGAAGTGCGGCCGATGCCCATATGATGAGTTATTTTAAAGTGGATGCATGAATTCCAACATAGTACTAACATGGTGATTCATATATCATCGCATATAAGTAGTCCTTTAAACCCATCACAACCAGTTTTTACTGGGGTTCAACATTCACGATGATCTACTGTCAAAACCAGTCACAGACCTCTTTATCATCCCTTCTGGTGCCGGATCTGCTTCTATATACATTAATTTTCTGGTCAAGGTCGTCATGTCCATTAATAGACTGTCAACTGTATATATGTATCTAATTACATTTTCCATAATACAAAAGATGCTGGATGGGCACTGGTGAGTCTCTTGGTATACATTGAGTGCTCCTCTGGTGGTTAGATAGTACAATAGTAGAGTAGGATGTTGCAATGTGAGATGGGTTACTATGAACAGAAAAGCAAAATTTGAAAACGTGAAAACACATCAATGCTCAAGCTAGCGCTCATCCCTAGATCCTAAGCTTAGTTCATACAAACATTTTAAAAAGAAATGTAGCTGACCCTTCTAAATATTGCTACAAGTTTTGCAGCTGCGCACAATGCTGCCCAGATAGTATCTCTCACAGCGCCTATCATGCCTTGGACCACCCTGCTAAAAAATGGTCTGCTACCACTGATGCCAGCATTGGCGCTGGTGGTTGGTGCGTGGCAGCATTGGACTAGATGCTTAGATAATGATCATGTGCATATATGTAGATCACTTACCTGTGCCCAAAAATATTCCGCTTGAGTCTATTGCATTTTGTTAGCTTTGTTAGCATTGACCGTTGATCGTTGATTGATCATTGTAAGTACTCACAATGATTTTTTTTGGCATTGTGCCCATCGAACTGCCGGCATTGAAGACATCTGAACCCATCTACTGTACCCATTCGATAATTGATCAGGGGTGATACATCTTAAATCTTACCAGATATGGATATCTATTACGTATGAGACAGATTAGAGTTGAGTTGGATGATAGTTAAGATTGTGCAGCATTCGGGAATTGCCGATAGTATTGCTGTGCACATTTTATTGCAAAATTTTCGCTCTCTTGCTAAACTTCTTCCACATCCATGAGTGCGTGAGCCTCCCATACCTTCCTTCTTGGTTCAACTCTAGAGATTGATATGTGAAACACACGGAAATTTGAACGTCTGTTGGCTGTTGGATCTGGATTCAAAGTATGTCCTTCAGCGCTTTTCTTGATCTGTCATACAAACTTTCAAGACGATCGCAACTTCATCCTAAGTCCAACTCCCCCTTCCTGCTTTCTCACCTTCCTTCTATCACTCTCTTGCATCTATTGGTCATTCCATGTCTCCTTCACCTTCAATGCATATATGTGGTGCGCCTGAATACTAATTCCAATCATTAGTAGATTTACGGTTTTTCATGTTGAATTTACTTCTTGAGGGTGTTAATTTTTATCACTGTTCATACCATTCTATCACTCTGATTAGCTTTCTTGCTCAGCACAGCCAATTTCCTTGATTACCACCATCTGTGCCAATTTTTGCCTCACACAGATCCAGGTGATATCAGATGAAAGGATTCCTATAGTTTGAGTTTGGGTATCTCAGGGTATGTTCATTCGTCTAGTTTTGTTACCAATTTTACTAACCAGTGTCCCTGTCCCATGCACTCAGTCTCATCCCTTGCACTCAGTCTCACTCTGCCTCAACTCAATAGTGCTGTGCCGACCAAAATGGGGACTGCAATGCTGCAATTGCAGGCGGAGTCAATGTCATGTTGAGTCCAGATGTAAGCGAGATTTTTGGGTTCTCAATACCAATCCTTGACACTCCCCTGGCAGATGTTCATCGGCCTGGATCATGGTCATTTCCTCAGCCCGACCAGCCAGTGCAAATCATTTGATGCATCAGCTGACAGCTACTCCCAATCAGAGGGATGCTCTCTCTTCGTGCTCAAACGTCTTTCAGACACAGTTGCAGAGAACGACAATATTCTTGGTGTCATCTGCAGTATTGACATCAACCAGAGTGGACTTGCGCATTCAATCACCCACCTGCACATACCTTCGCAGGTTGCTCTTATGAATAGGCTTTTTAAAAACTCTGGTGTCAATGCATCACGTGTCAGTGTTGTAGAAGCACATGGCACTGGTACCCAGGCTGGGGATTTCTCCGAGCTTCAGAGGCTGCCTGTTGCGACCCATGCCTAGATTGCGGAGTCTTATCTTGGGAATAAGACATCTAGGACATGGGCATTCACCTGGTTGGTGTATAGTTGCAACAAGGACTTTGTCCTGTTGAGCTTCTGGCTTTGGTTTAAAGGCAAAAGACTCACTTCTCTGGGCAGTCTGCAAGTAAGGGGCAGAATCCTCACTTATCTTATGTTGTTTATGTTGGCGGTTTAGTCCTGATCAAATAGAACTTCTTCTTTGGTGCCAGTATGCTCACACAAGAACATGAAATAGTATCTGGTTTACATAATTCTACCCTGTGATTGAGCGCACTGCTGGTGAGACCTCACTCTTCAAGTAGCTCTCTCATATATTCGTTTCTACTGTCCCTTTTCCTTCTTCTACTTTGCACCAATCTATTAAATATAGATCATGACCAAGAGATCCAAATATGGAGCATATTGAATTGAGTCGAAACTGCCTGTCTTGCGCAAAACTCACCAATATCATCTGTTGACTCACAACTCTGTGAGTCCCTCTCACCTTTTCCTTGATAGATTGCTGACTGCAACATTCTTTTTCTTGCTTGTTGCAAACATTGATGCTACTCTTCTATTCATTTTGCTGCTCAGGCTGGACCTCATAGATGCTCTTCTAGACTTTCTGTTGCTATTTTTGCACCTCCTTAATTCATTATGTTGATGGTGAGCTATACACTGTTGTCATTACTTGACAGACTACTATAAATTCTCGTGCACATTGGCGGAAAGCTGAAACAATGTCTCCACATGACTGAGGGGTCACTATGGCAGTTCCCACTGCTTCCCAATCATCTGTCAGGCTTCGTTTCAATTGTGGGACATGGTATTGCATTTGCAATCTCACCTAAGCATGGAGACAGTGCATCCCATTGTATTTGGGCTGGACTGTAGTGTTCTACATCAGTGGGTGCATACTTCTCTAGAATGTCTGCATGCTGGTTCTCCTCTAGCCATCTTAATCAGTATTTCTTGTATAGTTCCAAGTAATGACTGCAGTCTTTCTCAGCCACCTCCAGATGCTGGCGCAGGTCACTGGTTAACATAATATCTTCCACTGCACACACAGCCAGGGTTTGGTCACTGGCAGGTTGTGGGTGTGCACCCTCAGCACAAGAGCTTCTGTATGAGCGCAGGTGAGTCATTGAATGTGCTGCTTATGACAAACATACGTAACTGACAACTTCACCTGCAATCCCTTGCCTCTCTGTGTATTGTCCAGTGTCAAATTCCCATCAATTTTGATCCTTTAGAGGTATGAAGCCAAGCACATTCAATAATGTATTATGAGCTCACTTTAAGTTCAAATTTATGGTGCAGCTGTTCAATGGCGGTGATTGTTGCATTGCAAGATTTTGACTATCCAGCACAGATACTAATGGTACTTTATACCCTGCAAGAAAACGCTGTTCCATCAAGTAGGCATTCCCATTTCAAACAGTAGCGCTATGACACATTTACTGTCAAATTAAGGAGCTGTGGGCATATTACAGCATAAGGACAGCATGCCTATTGGCATGATAACACACTTAACATGGCACCAACATGTATTCACATCATTCCTGCAATGCTGTGTCCTCTGATACTATAAAGTATAAATCAAAGTATGGTTGCGGGCGGAATACCTGTGAAAGTCCAATATGGAAGACAACAATTCTTCTTCGAATGAATCTCACAAGAGAGGTTCAACATCAGCTCTTCAGCTTGGACCTTGTAAGAGAGCATAAGTCTTCAAATTGCTCAAATTATCATTATCTCAGCTGATGCCAGAGTTCAGCTTGAAGTCTGATCCTCTAGTTTCACATGGTCGACATTTTGGACGTACAGTTTTTGCCCTCTGCAATTATCCCTCCCTGTTAACTAATGGCATACTATGTTTGGAACAACTGGAAGATGCAACACTGGAAGACTTTTGTGCTGAATCAATATTAACTTCATTTCTGTTGACTCGAATCTAATGCAGTCATCAGAGAGCGCAGAGAGCATAGAGTCTTTGAAAAGCTCTTGGACTCTTACCCTGGGCTGTTGGAGCGACTAAGGGAAGGCTCGGAGGAAGAAATCCTTCATGTTGGAGAACTAGTGAGTTGCCCGCCCATACCTGGCCAATATCCTTACTTAGCCTAGAAGATCGGTAAAGGGGCATCTGCTGCTAGAGGCGAGGACACAAAGTCGTTGAAACCTGTGGTAATAGATTGGATAGTACCTGCAGGTGAAGTCATCCTGCCTCCCTTGCCAAGAAATTCGAAGATCAATCGTGGCTTCAACCACCCTCTCACGGTCGCTTACTCTGTCCTGCTGAATTGGATTGGGATGATGAGGAGTAGGTCTTACATTCAGACACCAATCACTGATGCTTCATGGTGCCAATTAGGACAAAACAGCATTTGCAAAGTGGTGTAATCTCTGTCAGTGGTGACCAATGGCCTCTTTTCTTATATGCCAATGAGGCCTATGATCCAGAGGATCCCTGGAATGGTCTTCTGAGGACATGCCTACTCATAAATGTGAGTGCACTTAGTGTATTGTAAATACACGAACACTTATTGCATACCCTTTCACCAGGCATTTAGGCATATATTTACTTCACCAAGTTCAGTGGACAGAGAGCCCAAGGCTACAAGAGCTGGAAATGCTCGCCTTCATGGCATGACTGCTGTTACCGGTGCTTCTATAGCATATGTCACAACTCAGGTTTTTAAACTGGTTGAAATTAACATTGGTTTTGTAACTAATAATTGAGATAGGTTAGATTTGCGCTGTGTTCATCCTCAGTATTCTCTCGCACGGACACAGCAACTGATTCAGAGACCTTTTATCACTCTCTTCTTGACCTTTTAGAAGATCCGGATGAGCAAGGGGAAGTGACAGATCTACTGGTCTGGTGGAATTAGTAAGCAACATGTTTGGTGTTGATCGTTTGAGCACTTAATTTCATTTTAGTCAGATATTTCCAACTTCCTCAGCTGCCAAAGGGACCCCAAAAACTAACAGTGCACTGTCTAAGATCCGTCAAAAGTGTGCCACCGCCCTCACAGCTGCTAGTATTTCATAATATATATATATTTATTAGCGCTACTATTTGTTTGTAATATACATGTTAGAGCAATGTGATTCTATGTATTTCCTGTGAACTGAGAACATTTAATGGAAACCTGTTGGGATGCAACAATGCTCAACTACTTCTCAGCATCATGGTTTCTCATGAACATTCCTTGTAGGTAGCTGTAAGTTATCATATGTGAGAGAGAGTTTGGCAGCACCACAATATCAAACTAACCTTGCAGCTCAATGCCAGACCCAGCCTCACTGTTGTGGTATGGTAGTGCTCAGCCACCCATGAACTCCCTTGCAGAGATGATGCAGACCTGCCACCATAAAAGAGCACTCTGAACAGCTGTAAGCCGTATAAGTGAGAGAGATGTTGGCGGCACCACAATATCAGACTCACCTTGCAGCTCGATACCAGACACAGCCTCACTGTCATGGTGTGGTAGCACTCAGCCACACACAACTCCCTTGCAGAGATGATGCAGACCTGCCACCATAAAAGAGCACTCTGAACAGCTGTAAGCCATTATAAGTGAGAGAGATGTTAGCAGCACCACAATATCAGACTCACCTTGCAGCTCGATACCAGATGCAGCCTCACTGTCATGGTGTGGTAGGGCTCAGCCACCCATGAACTCCCTTGTAGAGCTGGTACAGATCTGCCTCCATAAAAAGAGCGCTCTGGCCAGCTGTAAGTTGTTATAAATGAGAGAGATTTTGGCGGTGCCCCAATATCAGACTGACCTTGCAGCACTTGGTCAGCACCTAATCTCATGGTGAAAGTGGCAGATCTAGATTTCACAGCCAAGCGTTGCCAGTGGCTGTCAGGTGATATCAATAATCAAGCTGCTTTTCAAACTCAGCATGTTGAGCACATGCTGCAAGTGGTGATCATGGCCTGCCAACAGTTGGTGTGATTGAGCGCTTGAGAACTGCCACCATCCATCTAACCAGTGATTAAGAAGCCATTTACTTGACAGGCTGATAGACATTACAGCCTTTCCCTCTAACATAAGAAAGGTAGGTATGGCACTTTTCATCCAAGTAACTCCGGATAAACAAAGCTTTGTCTGCAGATCTATCATAATGATACAAATTTTATTTATTTTAGACTGGATAATGCATTGTATAACTTTATCTTTCTGCGGTCAATTGCCTGATGTGGCTAAGCCACACGAACTGAAGTCAGGAACCGGAAAGGCAGGTACAACACCTACCACAAGATGTACTCCCAGACCTGAAAAAAAACGCTAAAAAGGGTCAATGCATCTTAACAGTACTCGCCATGCTGAACGTAGTGTTTTAACATCAGTTACATAAGAGTGCCGGGATGCGAGCAAAACATCCACTGTCATACCAACTTATTCTGTTAGAACAGCAATTGGGACTTGCAAAAGGCTGAACCTCATGATCGCGCATGGCAGCCAACCACAGCAGCACGGACTGAGGCTACGACTAGCCGATGAGCCAGAATTTACGAACATTTGAGAAGAAACACATACGTGTCAATCACATATACAGATTCAGCCGCAATCCGGAGGCTGGCAGAGATGCATCTTGAATACTGCTCACCGCGATGCATGAGTGCCTGCTCCCCCGCAACCCTCCTGCGGACAGAAACACAGCACAAGATTCAGTGACGTCCACGTCCACGAAGGCGATATATCCTTCAAAACGCTCACCCCGCCAGCTCGAAAGGAAACACTCGTGGGCGAAATGACACTCGATCATCAACGTTGAGTGAGAAGCGCAGCTTTCATCCCCCATACCCGTCTCCTTGTCACTTGTTCTCAAAATAAAAGTCTTCGGGTATGGGATATAGACACGCCGAGGCAACAAGTTGGGGAGCCTTTGTTGAGTCACGATGATGAACTTAGGACAGTCAAAGTGTCCCCTGATCAGGGCGGTGGGTTATAAGCGGAGCATCGAATGGAAGTATCCTGGCCTGGGAAGTTGTGACAAATGGCATGCAAGCCTATCGTACGCACATTCAAAGCAATGTGATTTATTTGGTTTATGGCCTTCCAGTGGTGTCGTATACGGTATTTGCACCAGACATTTTCTAGTGCATCATGGGACGAGATAGTTTGTGTATGGAGGGAAATGGGCGAAATGAGGATATCCAGGAAATACCTTCTGGCGAAATAGTGCTTGGATCACTCCAACTTTTTCTGGGATGTAGCCCACTTGCAAATTCCAAGTGGACGACAGCCCAGAAAACTCAGTGTCGTACTCCTCGATGGCAACAACCTGCAGTAAGTATCACGCTGCAGGATATCAGCCAGGTATATATGTATAATGGTAAAGTTCTACTGACCTCAGTGACTGTATAGCGTCAACTGAGGAGAAAGGAAACAGCCGGACGAGGAATGAACATTGAACGATGTACGTGATTAAGTAAGCAAACGGTACCTGAATGAGACAGCGAGCGTTTAACATTCAACACAAACTAGCAGAGTTGCATTCACCCCATATGGCCTGCGTATCGTCAGTGGCCCAGACTTGAGCTACGTTTGAATCCCAGATGGGTGTAAGTAGTTAAGACTGTCGTCCCTTAACAGTCACGCCAAAAGGCAGTCATAATCAAAGCTCACGCTTGATTATCGCGGACACAGTATTCATGCTGATTATGGGAAGTCAGGTAAGCCAACAGGCTTACAATGGGCCTGCTACCAGAAACACCATCAAGCAGTTTGGCGTGCGCACATCCACTGGCCATTACTTCCACATCATTTAACAAGACAACACGGTTCGTTGACCCGATCACCCTAGTGTCGTTTATTGCATAGCTATTTCCGATGACGGCCTGCCGCCACGATCTCGCTCGTGCATGGACAGGTCCTTAGAGTGAGTCACGGAAGGAGTCCCAGCAGGCGAGGAGATTCTCCCATCATGCTATGAATTCATGCTGCTATGCCATGTAGCAGTTTACACACAGTCCTTGGGGTGGGTTTCTGCAGTCATCTTTTGCGATATTTGGTTATAACATCATTTTTGCAAGGGACCCACGGGTTCTAAGCCTCACCCAGCGCGTACTGGGGTACCGCGTGCGTTCCTTGACGATGTAAGTCTTCATGTTACAGATTCATGACATAGATTATAACGCTCCTCACAGTTCAATACGCATTCCTCACGTTAGTGCAACAACTGTTCCGTGCCTACAATGTTGCAGCGTCGTGTGGAAGGCTCTCGTATCAAGAACATCACGAGCCTATCTATCTCGCTCCTCCGCTCCGCGGGAGCGTGCGCCATATCCTTGCAGAAGCGAGGTAAATTTGTGAGTTTTCCCTAGTTCTCGAATCCGTCTTCTGTCAATGGCATTGCTCTACAGCGCACCGCTAATGCCATAGACTGAGTGGGAAACGACATCTGATGCACCTACTATATCTCCCTCGCCCGCAAGCCCACACGTCTCATGCTGTGTCTAATATTGTCAGCAGAGTCAACATGTGACCAAACGTACAGACGCTCATACTGCAACTAGCAGACCTACCACTCCGTTGGGTGCTAAACGTATTGTGGAGGTTAGCTGCTTAGTGATCCTCACTAGGTGCTCCATACATTTCTGATCACGACAAACAAGTCCTGCCGCGAGAACTAATTTGAAGATTCCGTACATGCCCTCTCTTCATTTCTGCGATGTGATTCCTGGCTCAAGTGCCCGAAGTGAGCCGGGCGTTCATGAAGAAATTTACGACAATGCGTAGTTGACTATGTTACACGAGTCAGACTTGGAGCTAGGTTGAAATTGTGATAAAAGTCCTAGAGGGATGAACGATTTGATGATTCGTCCCCCGCCCCCTAGTGGCGATCCAACGGTCAAGGCTTCTCACTCAGCCTCAGGATATTTCTCCATCATACGCCTAAGTTCCAATTCTGGAACCCTCATCTGAAATTCAATAGTGCATGGGACATTTGGCATCGTCGCGGTCGTGAATCCCATGTCATCCTGCGGCTTCGTAGGATCCAGACTGAGCTGAAAGGCCCAAAGAATAAGAAGCGAATTTATGAACACTGATCTGTAACATTTCACATGAGATTTAAAAATCATGTACGTGGAAAGAACTGTAACCTATTCGCAACGTGTTGACCTGGGCATACGCTGGAAGGAAGGACAATCAACAAAAGTATATCCCACACGAAAGTGCTTACCGCCGACCAAACCCAAATACAAAGAATCTGAGATCGTCTCTCAAGCGACCTTCGTCATCCATCCAGCGCTGGGGCTTGAACGCATCAGGCTCGGGATAGACTTCTGGATCTCGAGAGATGGCCCTGAGGCGGTGACAATTTGATATATCATATCTTGGAGGACGTCGACTTACCAGTGGTTGCCGATTACCGTAGTTCCAGCGGGAATGCAATAGTTTCCCTGCCGGCGGATGTCAGATTATCCTGCGGACGACAAATCATTCAGAAACTACTTGCCCAAATGACATCTTCAGTTGTTCGGTGAGGCACTCCTGTGGGGTGGACTGTAGATTTCAGGTGCAGGACCGACCATTCAGAGACCCACCTTCGGGAGCCAACGGTCTCCATCTCAAAGCCTCAGAGATAAAGGCCTCCAGATGAGGAAGGGACGATTTGTCAGCGAAGGTCGGTGCTTTGACAGAGGAACCATTCAATTGGGAGAACTGCAATACGAAATTGAGCTACCTCGCTCCCTTCCTATGACTGCATCAAGTTCGGCCTGAACTTTAGCTTGCTCTTCAGGGAAATGTGCGGCTGCCATTAGCACCGTGCATATCGCCACGGCGGTCTGACACCTCATCTCAGTGTATACAAACGGGAAAAAGGAAGGCGTCTTACCGTGTCGGTTCCGGCTCCAAATAACGCTCCAGTAAGATACGCCATCTCGATCTCTGTCAAGCCATAGAGATGCCCATTTTCTACATTATGTTTTGCAAACGAAGGGCCGATGTCCTCGTTGCTCTGCTGTGAAACAACTCAGACATCACGTGAAGATAGGCAAGGCAATGCATACCATGCGCAGTTTCACACGGTTCAGCTGGTTTGTGTAGAGTCGCCTGGTTCTCTCAAACTGGTCCTTTAATTCTGGCGCATACCAAGGAAGGTATCTGAGCCACGGTATCGAGTCCACCAAGTAATTACCATGGCGCAATATTGTACGAAATCTCTTGATGAGCTGGCGGGCCTCTCCAATTTCAGGATCAGTTGCTGACGTTGGCGTGGTCTTCCCATATGAAACTTTCATGATCGTCGTTGCAGCATAACTTCCAAGAACCCGTAAGTAACATACTATCAGACCCCGCGTGTAGGAAACTGCTTACACTGCCACATGGTCCTGAAAGTTGTGTGGATCGTCAAGAATGTTAAGGATTACGTGCTTAGCTTGTGACATCTGCAGAGGCTGATAAGCCTCAGCTAATTTTGGCTGAAGATGCGTATGAAGTACTCTGCACCGCATTTAAAAGTAAGATGAGGGTTGTTTAAACCTTCACAGTATCGCGGCGACAAACCTACGCATCCGACGGAACCTGTCCCCAGCGTGTGCCAAAACGATGTCCAGTCCGCGTGTAAGAGTTTCTCCAGCAGCAAGGCGAGGTCGATCAGCAAGCATTCTACCCTGCTTCTCCATTATATCTACCGCGGCCTGCCACGAAGTGTTGGATCTGGAGGTGATCATATATCATGAAGGGACTAACTTTGTATCGGCCGATAATCACGATGGTCTGGATTCCTGAACGAATAGTAACCAGAGGGCCATACTCGTCGATCCACCGTGCTACAGTGAGAGATGCCCTGATCAGCAATGGAGTAAAATTAGATTACAAAAATGAAGAAGCAAATATGAAACTTCACTTGAGAGGGGGTAGGAAATGTCCCCGAAGCCGCCAAGTGGGAGGAGAAGGAGGAAGGCGGGATTTACGGAGGTAAGTACAGATAATCACTCCTATAGCCCCAACGCAAGCTGTAGCACCGAGAAAGAGCTGCGTGTTGCCAGAAATGAGCAGGTCAGGGAGATATAGCATGACTGATTGGAGGAGTGGAAAGAGATAAGACGGACGTCATCGGAAGTGCATTCGACTTATTTATGTAAAGCACGTCACGCCGGCACCACGGGCAGGAAGAGAAGGGCATCTGTCATATCTCATTACGCATTACTATCATAATAGGGAAGCGAACATACGAGATGCGGAAACCAGGCAAGATCCTTAATCGGCTTACTATGGCCTTCATATTGTGGACTGGCTGAGAGTCGGTTTTGACGGCGGGGTAAGTGAATCGGGTATGATGGTGATGGTGGTGGTGGTGGTGGTGGTGGTAGGTAAGCACTCGGGAGTTTGGAGGTATGGCTGAGTCTTGAAACGAGCCGTTTTAGGAAGGGGAGATCTTCGAGCTTGAGCAAACACATGGCATCTAATACAGTCACCGATCACATCTATGGCTAAGCGACATGAACTGAAGTCAGGAATCAGGAAGTCAGGTCAGAGGTACCGTACCTGCCACGAAGATGCACTCCCGAAGTCCCAGACCTGAAAAAACGCTGAAAGTGCACCCGCCATGCTGATTCCTGAACGTAGTATTTTAACACAGGGAGTGCTAGGATGCGAGAAAAACACCTACTGTCATATCAACTTAATCTGTTGGAGTCTCAGTTAGGACTTGCAAAAGGGTGATTCTTTTCGAATCTTCTGATAGCCCATCACACGGCGAACCACGGTGTCACTGGACTGGGGCTGCAAGCAACAACTTACCAAGAGGTTCAGGACCAAAAGGATTGAGGAGAAACACATACGTGCCAATAGTAAGCCACGTATACGATGATTCAGTCGCAACCTAACAGCGATGCATCTTGATCGTTGCTCGCTGGCGGACCAAAATGGTTAAACATGGCACAAGATTCAATGGCGTCCTCACCCACGAAGGCGATATATCCTCCAAGATTCCAACTCGCTAACTCGAAAGGAAACGTGGTGAGACGACACTCGAGGTCATAGTCGCTCATCAACGTCGGGTGAGAGGTGTAGTTTTCATCCCGCTTGTCATTTGTTCTCAAGACAAAAGTCTTCGGGTATGGGATATGGACACAGGGCAACAAGTTGGGGAGCCCTTGTTGGGTCACGATGAACTTAGGACAGTTAAAGCGTCCCGACTCTAGGCTGTGGAATCATCCTGGCCTGGAAAGTTGCGACAAACACTGGCAAGCTTGGTCGCCGCGCGGAAAGGGTGATTCTTTTTGGATCTTCTGATAGCGCACACACAGCCAACCACAGTGTTACGGACTGGGCAACAACCTTGCCAAGAAGTTCAGAACTAAACTGTTTGATGAGGAACACACACGTGTCAACGGCAGTCGCAATCTTACGGCAGAGATGCACCTTGACTGCAGCTCACTAGCGCTCACTGGCAGACCAAAATAGTTAAATACAATACAAGATTCAATGGCGTCCTCACCTACGAAGGTGATATATCCTCCAAAATGCCCGACCCACTAGCTCAAAAGGAAACACATGTGGGTAAAATGTCATTCGAGGGTCATGGTCACTCATCACTGACGCTTAGGCTTTTAAATTTCATCCCCCTTGTTGGGTCAAAATGATGAACTTAGGACAGTTAAAGTGTTCCTAATGGGCGGTGGAATGACTAGAATCATCTTGGCCTGGGAAGTTGCGACAAACAAGCCTAGCGTGCGCACATTCAAAAGCCATGAGAATATGGTTCATCATGCATGGCTGTCTGTTTTGCACCAAACGGCAAAACATTTTCGAGTGCATCATGGGACGAGACAGTTTGCGTATGGAAGGAGACAGGCGAAATAATCCTTGGGCCATTCCAAGTAGATTACAGCCCAGCAAACTCTCCCCAGATGGTAACAAACTAGCAGCAGGCACGTAAGCACACCTGATCGTTTGGAATGCAGCAAACGGAGAAGAGCTGCCGAAAATACAACTTCAGGCATGGTGAGTCGCATTCACCTCTGAGGCCTGATGGTCTGCGTCTTGTCAGTTGAGCTACGTTCAAATCTCAGATACTCCCACCGGAGACACCAGCAAGCAGTTTGACGTGTACACATTCACTGGCCAATGCTTCCATCATTTAACAAGATAACATGGTTCGTTGACCCGACCACATTCGAACCAATTGGCGAGCCATTCGAGCACCTCGATGGCGTTCACTGCATGTTTGTTTCTGATAACGGCTTGTCGCGACAATCTCGTTCGTACATGCATAGTTCCTTAGGGCGAATCACGGGAGGGGTTCCAGCAGGCGAGGAAATTCTTCCATCATACTATAAATTCATGCTGATATGTCATGTAGCAGTTCGTACACAAAGTCCTTGAGATAGGCTTCCACAGTCATCCTTCGCAATGGTCCTAAGATCAATTCCGCAAGAGATCATCCTAGGTTCTTAGCCTCGCCCAGCATGTGCTGGGGTACCGCGTGCGTTTTTTTCCTTCGTGGTACAGATCCATGTCACAGATTATAACGCTCCTCACAGTGTGATATCCATTCCTCACGTTAGCGCAACAACCGCTCCGTGTCTACAATGTTGCAGCGTCGTATAGAAGGCTCCCGCATCAAGAACATCGTGAACCTGTCTTTTCTCGCTCCTCTGCTGCATACCCTTGCAGAATTCCCATCGTAGATGTCTTCCCAACGCGAGGTAGATATGTGATTTTCCCGAGCTCCCGAATCCATCTTCTGTCAAGACATTACTCTACAACGCACCGCTAATGCCATCAGCGGGAACCGACATCTGATGCACCCATGTCCTCCTCGCTAGCAAGCCCACGTCTAATGATGTGTCTAATATTGTCGGCGGAGCCACACCTGTGACCAAACGTGCAGACGCTCATACTGCCAGTGCAACTAGCGGACCTGCCACTCCGCTGGGTGCTGAACGTTTTGCGGAGGTTACTGCTCGGTGATCCTTGCTATGTGCTTCACGGATCTCTCGGATCGCGACGAACAAGTCCTGCCGCTAAGATTCCTCTCTGTTCTTGGACTACTTTTTGATGCCTTTCTGTGAGGCCCAGCCATGCAACTCTGTGTATATGACTGTGTTATGCGGAACTCTGCAGGGCACTGAAAGTCTAGATATTGCAGAGATAAATAGCGTCAATCATGTTGAGAGAAAATACAGACGTATATACAGTACTAGTGTTACACATAAACCAAGTCACTAATCTGAAATTCAAAGATATGTAAGAAAGTTGAGGTAGCCTCAAGTCAGCAATACCAAATTTGTCACGCAATCGTCTTCCACCACCACCATGCCCATCACATCCCCAACACTCGTCCCCCGCCCTCCAATCACCCCCCTCGTCCTCCCGCGCGCACCCCAAGTAAACCCAACCCCACTCCCCAAACTCGATCGCTACCCCGGGCGCATGGACACCCGACGGGATCTCCAACGCGAAATCGACGATCTCTCAGATGAGGAGAACGAACTTGAAGATGCTGTACGTCCCCTCTTCATTTCTGTAATGCGATGCGATTCCTGACTCCGCCGTCAATGTATTTCGTGAACACTGAAATAGAACTTGGTGATTAGGAATCGAGGGTTTCAGTGGCTCGTTCCTATTGGGCGGCATACGACGCTGTTGGAGGAGAAGAATGAGGTGCGTTGGTTTGTTCTTCTTTCGTTTGAGTTTGCTTTTGTTAAACTATCGTCAATGTATTTGTAGGCAGAAGACGATTCGGATGGCTCTGATACAGGTCAATCAGGCGGCGGCCCTTCGATCAACGAGGACGGCGAGGAGAACGACGATTCAGGAGCTGATTTGGACGCGAGCATGGAAGATATGGATGAGGAGGGTGAGGCGGGGACAGCAAGTGAAGCGGAGGATGTGAATGACATGACGGACGATTTAGAGGAGAGGTCGAGTGATGCTTGATACACCACACTCAGAGCAGGACAGAGAAAAACGATGAAATTATGGGTGGTATCGATAAGTCTTGGTACGTGTGCATGCGAGATCTACTTGACAGATATACATAATCCACAAATAAGTTAGATTCTCGTCGCTCATCTCCACTTCCCAACGACGCCGAAGTTGAACCACACGAGGTCGCCAACACAAAGTCCAACCACCACGAACTGAAATCGAATCACTACGAACCCGACTCAAGGGACTACCCCCTGAAAATCTGTCACAGACAACGTCCCACGCGTATGCCTTCTCCTAGGGCCAGGATTAGCCATGACGAGTGGCCGTACCCATAATCGGACGTGGCCCGCTTTTGACGCTGTTACAAGCGCGCGGTGGAGGAAGGCGAGGGACGTGAGGAGGTCGGCGTCGAGTTGTTTTACCTGTTGTGCGTTATGAGTCAATCAGGTTCATTCACAAATGGGAAAGTTGTTGTAGAGACGCAGAAAGAGACAATCCCAGAGAAACGGAAAAAAGAGGACTGACCAATACAGGTTGTACAGTCGATACTTCATTCCTCGAAGGTGCGGGATGATATCGTGGTGCCGATAGTTGGCTCGTCGACCCCGTACCGCGTCGGTAAGCGAGTGAAATACTAGATGACATTGATGTGCGTGGATGGTGTGCTCCGAGGAGTTTGGGGCGATGAAGAGCGCCAGAGGAAAAGTCCCACTGTCAATATTTAGATCTAGTCAAGTGATTGGTCATTCATAGGTGCTAGAAACGAACGCACGAGAATAAGCTTGTTGTCCTCTCCTACGCTACCAAAGCGGTACGTCCGCCCATCGCAGCGGGATTCGTCAAAAGCGACGGATGAGACGAATGAGGAATGTCCTTGGCATCGTGCGACGACTCGTTGTTCCCAAGGGGAGAAGATCGTGAGGAGATCGTCTTGACCGCCGGTCTGGTTGAGGATAGACAATCAAAGATGTTCATTGGATTGTGAACTTGGAGTGAAACGCACGAGGATGAAGCGCCCGTCAGGAGACCATGCGACGCAGGTCAGAGAACCGAAATAGGATGCATAGCAGTCTACCAGCCTGAATAAAAGATTAAAATCTGTTCAGCAATCGGAGGAAGAGACGACATACTGCTCTGCAAGTGGATCGATCACCCTCAAACACCCGTCCTCTGAAATGGCAGCTACATATTTGTTATCAGGGGAGAACACAAAGTCTAGCTACGATGAGCTTCCAACGCAAGTATTAATAATAATTCACTCACCGACAACACCACGCCGACACAGGCGCCAATGGCTTACAGGGTTCTTCGCTACCGCGCCCTTCTCTCCCCTCCCGGTTGCTTCTGGATGCCACGGCGGAGGTGTGACAAATATTGATGACAGGGGGTCCCATCCATTACTTACAGGAGATGCATGATGTGCGTTGATGGTTATATGCGGGGTATTTGTGAGTCCATTTGGAATACTGGCAGTGAACAAGCCATCTTCGCGTTCTTTGTCGTAGACGATTATGGTTCCGTCTGTGTGGGAGACGAGAAAGAGGGTTGGGGAAGAGGGGACCCAATGGACGGCTGTGCATGTGGAAGAGGAGATGGTGCCCTTGGATCTAAGTGTCAGATATGTTTACAGTAGAAGGGGGTTGACTACCTGTTTGTTAAGGCGGCAGTAGCGGCTTGAGATTGGGTCTAATTAATCAGTGTGAGCAAAGGAACAGGGCGTGAGATGAGGCACACACCGAACCATACGAGGTCGCCTGTGCTGAATCCTATGATAACGTCTAGTCGTTCTGAGGATGCGGTGGAGGGGTTCACGTCGTGACAAGTTGGGTATGCAGAGAAGCTAATCCTCGTTAGTGGTTCCTGGTAGAATCATGCAGCGTTTTGCGCAGCCAAGAAGTAGATGACGCACCTTGGCTTTGGCCCCCACTTCGATCCACAAGAAGGCCTTGCCAGTATTATAGAACAAGAAAGTGACCTCGCCCTGCTTTGCTGCGAGTGTCTTGTTGAGACCTTCAACACTGTGGAGACGTGTGATGAATGTAGAGGATGTGGTGCGCATGTTGTGCTTTGGTCGTGATATATGTGATTTCTTTTTAGTTGCTGACATGGAAGGGTGAGAGAAGAGCTTGTACTGCTGGTGTTCTACTGGTGTTGAGACTGAGAGGTCTGGGGTAGCTACCGGATCTGGAGATGAAAAGCTGTCTTCTGGGGTATCGCTGGATGACATGCTCCGCTCCTCCAGCAACGGACGCTCCTTTACCAAGGCTTCCTTCTCCTTGTCCTTTTCTTTGTCCTTTTTAAGATCCTTTGTTAAATTTGCACCAAGAAACTGAGCGAGACCTGGGGAAGCTGGTTGCTTTGGTGGAAACCGGATTGTGATCGATGAAAGGCGAGTTTGGTAGATGGGTTGTGCTGCTGTAGAAGAGTGAGTTGGGACTTGAAGAGGTTTGTGTTCTTCAGTAACAGAGTAGACGCCTTCAGGAGCCACGAATGCGCTGTCACTCTCCATGGATCCTGAAATCTTGATGAGAAGGTGTTAACACCAAGCTTAATCTACTTTGGGTATTAATGGCCTTGAGAAAATCCTACGCGTCTTTCCGCATCCCTGGCATCGCCTTGATCAAGTCTGTTTAATTATATAGTGATAAGTACGCTAGCACACGGAGATGGTCTAGTATCTACTTACAGCCATTTGCAGAACGCTAGCTAGGTCAATCCAAACATAAGTCAGTAAGAAGGATAACCAACGAACTTTCAACTTCCGACAATCAATGGCGTTCCTACCATGAGACCTTGAAATTCGTAGCAGTGTCTGACTGGATAATACATATGGGACTCCTGTTTCATTTCTGACTATTAGCCTGCAAATCATTGGCTGTAACTGCAACTATATTTAATATTGTCCCGTGTCGTACTTACCACGCGTGTAAGAAGGGTCCAGCATACTGCCATGGTGTGGTCTTACTAACTTCGCAAGTGCTTCGACGAGCTCCTGGTCAATCTTGGTTCAAATTAAGATCCCTGAGGCTAAAACTAAAAGTACAATCATGAGAACCGTGAAAGAAATCGATGCTGCGGCACGGTGACGGCCCGATGGACGATGTCCCCATTTGGCATATGTAAAGTCGTTCAATTACTTACGATCATTAGACTTTCGGCTACCCGCCGGCTAAGCAGGATGTTAACATTGTCACTAGCTGCTCTCCAACTTCGGATCTTGTTTTCTCCCTAACGCCCATTCCAAATGCTCGTCCGTCGTCTGCGCTCTACACTTCTGACACTCGTAAGTCTCTCTTTCAACCTCAAGGACCGTGTCTGACACTCACCCAATACAAGTCCCGTCGATGGCAGACGACAGCGAGCAACACTGCCATCGAGTCCCCATCTGCGAGCGGTCACTCCTCATCAGTCGCATCTTCTCAGCTTTTCCGTATAACACGAGAATCTGCTCTCAGAACTCCAGGAATATCATGGCAAGATGAGGAATCTGATCGTAACATCGTCGGCGGCCGCGAGACACGCAAGATGAACCTCTACCAGGCTGTGCGAGATGCCCTCAGGTAATCCATTTGTCTCTACACAGAAGGTGTGCTGACGGTATCAGTATTGCACTTGCAAAGGATGATAGTGCCGTCGTGTTTGGTGAGGACATAGCGTTTGGCGGAGTGTTCAGGTGTACCATGGTATGCATTACCATGTTCTCGTATGCTAGTTTTAATCACACATCGAACAGGGCCTAGCAGAAGAATTCGGTACGTTTTAAGCATACACTACGTCGTATGCATAACCGATCGTGCTGCAGGTCGCGAACGTGTCTTCAATACCCCATTGACAGAACAAGGTATTGCAGGCTTTGGAATTGGTCTCGCGTCCATGGGGCATACTGCAATTGCAGAAATCCAGTTCGCTGACTATATATTCCCCGCATTTGATCAGGTTCATTTCACTTCATCCAAATGTTAAACTTTGAAATTGACCTTCAGCTTAGCTCGTGAACGAAGCCGCAAAGTTTCGCTACCGTTCGGGTGGACACTTCTCTATTGGCGGGCTAACCGTGCGTGCACCGACAATGGCCGTGGGCCATGGCGGGCTATACCACTCACAGAGCCCTGAAGGGTTCTTCATGGGCGCATCTGGTCTCAAGGTATGTCCTGTCTCACCGTACTGCTAATTCCACGACGAAAATGTACTCATGCACCTCTAGGTCGTAATCCCCCGCTCCCCCATTCAATGCAAAGGCCTCCTCCTCTCAGCCATCCGCGATCCCAACCCAGTCATCTTCATGGAGCCCAAAATTCTCTATCGTTCTGCAGGTACGTACCCCTTTCCCACCTCCCTGTATACATGTATTAATTCTACTCATAGTTGAACAAGTTCCAATCGACGACTTCGCCCTCCCCCTCTCCCGCGCCGAAATCCTCATCCCAGGATCCGATCTAACACTCCTAACATGGGGCACACCAGTCTACCACTGCGAATACGCCCTCCGTCTCCTCAACTCCCCACCACCCTCACTTGCACCACTCATTCCACCCTCCCTTCGCAGCGCCAAAGTTGAGCTCATCGATCTGCGAACGATATTGCCATGGGACATAGAGACAGTCGTAGAGAGTGTTCGCAGGACGAAGAGGCTTGTAATCGTACACGAGGCAGGTATGACAGGTGGCGTTGGGGGAGAAATCGCTGCTGAGGTAGGGAAGAGGGCATTTTTGAGGTTGGAAGCGCCCGTGAGGAGGATTACGGGGTGGGAGTGAGTGTCGTTTTTATATCTTTTTTTGTTCTCCCCCTTTTCCTCGGATTCTGATGTCATTCATTGCTATAGTGTCCCAGCTGGGCTGCAGTTTGAGAAGTTCAATATGCCGGATGCGGTTAGGATTTTGGATGGGATTATGGAGACGCTCAGTTACTGATTTAATTGCTGATTTGCACCGTTCCTCAAGTTGACTTTGCGCCTACGGTGTGGCATAAGATGGGAAATGGACATTCAATGACGTAGTACATTAGCATGCACGTATACCCTGTATGAGTGTAATACCAACATGTTTTGGGATGCGGAAGATGTTGAATGTTTCCATGAGTAGGAGTTTTGCATAGATGCGAGTCACCGAATACTTTGTTGCCATGCAATTACCGTTCAACTGAAAGGAGTTTACTCTGTCGAAAGTATCAGGCCGGAGCATATGGCCCCAAGACTAGTTAGTACTGTCACTCTCAATGGACATAAAATTGGATTTTTAAATAAAAGAAAAGTATCAGACACTAGGCTTCGACTAACCAACGGTTGAAGAGCTTAGAGCACACGCTGAGCAAACATGATCATTGTCATGCGTACAAAGGACATTCATAGTGGGTGGTGAGGAAGGACTCGTGGTGTATAAGCATTGAAGAATCTTTGGTCTGCGTTCACGTTACCCCCTGATCAACGGTGAAGACCACGCGCTGAGCAAACATGATCATTGCCATGCATAAAGGATATTCATAGCAGGTAGTGTAAGCATTGAAGAATCTTCGATGTTATGAGCCAGTACACTTCGCAAGTACAAAGGGACACAAGAAATATTTAGATAACCGCATAAAAGACCTCCGTATTTCAACACGGCACCGCCACTTGCTTCGAGGCTGAAGACATACACCCTGCATGCTTGAATTCTGAATAAAAGATAGTTGAGAACGGGAGCATGGTCGACATGATTGAAAATACTTACCGGCGAACCAAGCACGCAAGCTGGCCTTCTGAGCCTTGTCGGAATCTTCCATCAGTGACAGGTAGTAGTCGAGTGCCTCGATGTTGCACGTCCGGGCGAGTATAAGACATCTATACTTCCTTACGGTCTCCCACAAAGACTTGAGGTTCCACCCGAAAATCTGCAAAAAAGCGCGGTTGAGTACACATCATGTTGAGTCGAGTATCGAACCAACGTACCACGACGAATTCGGTGTAGATAGAGAAGTCCATCGTCTGAAGGTAACAGCTGTTAGCGATTGCGATAGCGGCATCGATGTATTCAAAGGCTTTCTGGCGATTGTTGCTCTTCGAGGCGGCGAGTGCCATTTCAGCGTAGAAGTATACCTGATGCGCGAAGTGCAGAACGATCAGTCTCAGATTCAAAACACGAACCGGAATTGATACTCACTTGCACGACTTGACAAATAAGAAGATCGGCATCGTGAGAAACCTCGGCCATGTCATTGACATACATGATTGCCTCATCGTATGCGTTTGTATTGAACGTTGCAATAGCCTGAAAATCATAATGAAGCACGGAGCATGTAAGAAAAAGTGTAACACACCCTGATCAAAACAAGAAGATGATGGGTTGCTGAATCTCCCGCCGAGAACCTCAACGCGAGATCGAAGGCAATATTCGCTTCCCGAATCTGCTTCAATCCGTAGTGGGCGATGGCCTTGGCCATATAACCTATCAACGACTTTTGAATGCTGATGGACTATGTCATGATTCAAATTAGTATATCTTAAAGGGGTTCAGTATTAGCCGGTATAACTCACCTGAATTGCGTCTTTAAGCGCAGATTCCCAATCACCCATGCGAGTATAAGTAATCGAACGGTGCGCAAAACAGACGTAGTTGGTGGCATCTGTCTTGATGGATTGTGTGAATATATCCAAAGCCGTAGACAACTTCCCCCCCGTCGTGATTATAGTGTAAGCGGTCTCGTCCATGGTGAAGGTGAGGGTGTAGGTCTGTGAAATGCTCGAATTGTGGTATTAGAATAAATAACGAGAACATACCTTGTGCCATTGAGTAACTTTAACTTGAGTCTTCGTCTAAAATTCGCGAGATGAGACGACGAAATCATCAGAAATCAACGGGAACATACCGATACCAGACCCGTCGAGGGTAGCATCCACTGTGATATCTTGTGATCATTGCCTCCGCTGAAGAATGTGACACAAAACGCGCCGGCGGCGACATCGAGTACGTTGGATTTCGGGAACGGCCAGAGGCGGATACTGCCGTCAGAAGACGCGGAAGTGATGACGGTGTTGGAATCATTAACAGCAATAGTGCTGATCTTGTCAGTGTGACCACGGAAGGTTTCGATCTCTTCCCCCCTCGCTACTTCCCACACCCGAACGGTAGGATCGCGTTTACCGCCTCCCGAGAGAAGGTATGTTCCCTGGAGCGTCCATGTGAGTGTGCAGGTGCCACCTGAGTGGCCCTTGAGCGTTCTGACGCGCTGCCTAGTTGCTGTATTGTAAATGCAGATATTGTTCTCTGTGGCGATGGCAAGAAGGTCGCCGGATAACGAATACCGAGCGCAGTAGACCACTGCATCAAGAGGGATTGCTTCTTGATTTTCCTTCCACGTAGCTGTGCACCAAAACTTCACCATACGGTCACCCGCACTCGCCAAAGTTTTTCCATCTGCAGAAAAGTCTAGCGATATATGGACCTCGCTGGACTGGTGGGCTGTAATGAGTTGAAGAGCGACAGATTCACTGGTATAGGCAACGGTATTGGTAGTAGACCCGTTGTGAGCAATGGCAGTAGACCCGTTGTGGGCAATGGAAGACCCGTTTTGGGCGGTGATGGACCCGTTTTGCTTGGTATGGGTGAACCCGGCTCCCTGGGCACCATTAATGAGACAACCTCCAGTTTCCCCGTCCCAGGGAATGATTCCTCCAGTGATATCACAGCTTGCTATGAATTTACCGTCTCGTGATACCGCCAATCCAGTCACATCGCTCTGATGCCCTACCAGACGTTTCAATACCTGCTTCGTCGTCAAATCCGATAGACAAAGTGTCTCCTTCAAACTGGTGACCATACGCTGCGTGTTGGGCAACACTGCAACTACGGAGATGGACTCGTAATGACTTTCAAACGTCTCCGATACTTCTGTGACCTTTTCTGTGACGTGTTGTGTGACGCGCTTGGCGACGTATTCGGAAGTAGCGCTGAGCGCAGTTTGTTCTGCCACTAGAGCAGTGGGTGGCGCCATCAGAGGGTGTGGCGACATCAGAGTGTGTGGGGCCATCAGAGTGGGTTGCGACGCCATTTTACTAGAGAATAAAGTCAAGTAGGGCTTGGTGGAGGTATTTGAGGTGTCTTGTAAAGGTATATTCGCTGTGCGTTTTTATACTGTCTCGGTGTTCGTTAGACGCTGAACTTAGGCTTCATCAGGGGCTATTGTGAACGGATAGACAGATCCAGGCATCCAATTTGTGAACCAAGCGCTAGGGTTCATTCGGTACCCGCCATTTCCGAAAGCAAGACACTTCCATCGCCGTGGTTGTAGCTGCACTGGCGCTCACTGCTGTGCTTTAAGCTCTGATCTATTCTCAAATGACATTGTCAATTTCAACTTGACCGAACGAACGGCTCTCCTCTCGTAAATCACTTACGCGAACCCCAAATCCTTCCTGATTTGGCCACTACCACGTCGGTCATTCCCCGGGAGACGATACCTTGTGACTACTATCCTCGTCCGGTTTCGCTTCCTAACCCTTCCCGTACAGTATTAAACTTTGGCTCTATACGGCGAAGATCAAGACGAAGATACTCTGCGAGATATAGGACTTCGTCTCCCATGTGAAGGTTTGATCGATGCGGTGGCGGGGTATACGTGCGCAGAAATCAACAACTGACAGCTGCGCGCAACTTTTCAAAATAGCCACCGGCACTTGCGAAGGCCGGCCGTTGGAATCTATCTATCCCCACTTAATTGTTATTTTGAACACTCCCCTTCCAAACTCTCACTAAGCTGCCACTCGATATAGTCTAATAAACTGCACTCGGATGTCCAAAAATAACATCCCAACGGAAGTTTAACATACTGTGCCGCACATCACCGCAGCTGTTGGTCAACGTCATCACGACTTGTCAAAGTTCGATGGCACGGCTTCGTCATACGGGCAAACGGAAACATTCTTTTCTCGCCCACAAACTGAGGATTCGGCCCTCAGCATTTATATATGACATTCTGAGACAATGCGATTCGGAAGATATGTCGAGGTAATGCTGAAGCGAAGTTCATCCACTATGACCAGGGCCTTTGGAATGTCATTTCAGGGATCACGATCAGACCCGTGCTAATCACTATCTGGTCATCAGGGCGCCTTCATTAACATGATAATATGAGCTACCTTCTAAATGTGGCTCGGGTCATTCGGCTAACTTGTGTTTTGGATGTGGCATTGTCAGGAATCTTCCTGTAAATCCTTAGAAGTCAACCAATCAATGCCGCCCATTACCGCCCATCGGTATTAATCTTCATCCATCATAGACAAGGCAACAGCAAATTAAGACTTGGATGACAAGCGCATATACGATCCTCGGCCGCGGGTTGCTGCTTCTTCCTGGGGGGAAACGTAAAACTTTGCGCGTGTAGGTAAGACGCTCTGTTCAGGCCATGACTTCAGCCTGGCCCCAGACCATACACATCATCACCTGCAAATTTATAACCAGAAGAAGGTCTCACATGGGGGAAGACTGCAATGAATGCTCCAAGTGAAGCAACGATGTACGTCACACACAAAGTCCGGCTTCGGGTGCTAGGTGCTATCCTGTACTTTCTTTCGGAATCTGATGGAAATTTCGCGGCGGTAGGTACCGATGGTTAGGAGATCAACTGATTCGAACACGGGTATGATAAGAAATATGTACCATGCTGGCACGGGTAGATGGGCGCAAAGTTTCAACACATCTGACAGCGTCAAAAACTTCCTGAAACGATCGTGAACTTTAAGGGTCTACGCAGTGAGAGTTTTGGTTGGGCAATTGAACTTACGAATGAACGATTAGTGGTGCCTCCTGAAATCTGAGTCTATGACAAATACAACACATGGGCTCACCCTCTTTGTTGGCTTGGAGTCTACCGTCCCCTGTCACTCGTCCGAAAATTTTCGGCTCCCTGTAATTGCATCACCGTTCAAACTGCGTGTACAGTTATTCAGTATTGACCCCAGTCACTTCATGATGGCCACTACAGCTAAACAATGCATGATCAAAAAATTTATTGACATACAGGATACATTTATAAGACCGTTCACGCCCTCACCACAACATACCTTCCATAATGGTCACATATTTCGAAAAGCTCGTCCCAGTCCTAGGTACTCGTACAGCCATGAGACGGTCCTGTTTCAAAACTGTTCATCACTTGTCCGAGGAGGAGATGGGTGGATACACATCGGCATGTATCATGACTCGCTGATCCTTGAGCAGATATTTTGTATAAATTAGTCATGTGCCGAGCTCCAACTCACAAGTGCGATGCCAATTGAAAAGCGGAATACGTGATCGCGGGTTTGCTGAGGTCACAATACTGCGTACCGACCAAACCACGGAGTTGTCGAAAATCAAGCCAGAGCAAGACGTGGGATCCGGGATAACTGTCGAAGTACGAGATGCGATATCATGCAAGTCCAGGTGCGCAGATTATAACGAATTTACTGCATGTGTTGAGAGAGGCGTATGTACGCGTCGTTGAACTTCAATGTTGGCCCGGGACTGTGCAGGAGACGTGAGTCGAAATGGAAGAACGTGACTGGTCACAGCGAGGATGTGACGAGACTCGGTGCATGCACATGTTCCAACTGGAAGTCAATGGTAATGCAACACCTATACTCGCAAGTCTCTCTTTCAACTTCCGGGACCGTATCACCCATCTAGAACCGGTCCGATCGATGGCAGACGACAGCGAGCACTACTGCCATCGAGCTCTCATCTGCGGGCGGTACCCCTCATCGGTCGCATCCTTCTCCGCATGACATCAGAATCTACTCTCAGAACACCACGAATATTATAGTAACATGAGGAATCTGAGAGTAACATCGTCGGTGGCCGCGGGACACGCAAGATTAATCTCTACCAAGCTGTGCGAGATACCCTCAGGTACTTGAATCTCTCTGTAAGGGAGGTATGCTGACGGCATCGATATTGGACTTGCAGAGGATGGTAGTGCTGCCATATTTAGTGAGGATATAGTATTTGGCGGAGTTTTCAGGTAAACCATAGTATGAATCACTATGACTTTATATGTCATCTGTCCTCACCCATCGAACAGGGCCTAGTAGAAGAATTTGGTACGTTTCAATCATGTATCACGTCGTATGCACAATCGATCGTGCTGCAGGTGTGCGAACGTATTTTCAATACCACGTTGACAGAATAATATACTTCAGGCTTTGGGATTGGTCTCGCGTCCGTGGGGCATACTGCTACAGACATTCAGTTCACTGACTATATATTCTCCGCATTTGATCAGATTCGTCCACTTCATCCGAATCTCAAACTTCGTGATTGCTCTTCAACCCATCAACTTAGCTTGTGAACGAACTGTAAAGTTTCGCTACCGTTCAGGTGGCCACTTCTCTATCAGCGTGCTGACCGTGCCTACACCAGCCATGGCCGGGGCCGTGGATCGTGTCTGGCTATGCCATTCACAGAGCCCTCAAGGGTTCTTCATGGGCGCATCTGGTCTTAAGGTATGTCGTGTCTCATCGTACTGCTAATTCCACGACAAAATCCCTCAATGAACTCATACACTGGGTCGTGATCCCCCCCTTCCCTCATCCGATGGAACGGCCTCCTCTCAGCTATCCACGATTCTGACCCAGTGATATTCATGGAGCCCAAAGTCCTCTATCGTTCTGCAGGTACGTTCCCCTTTCCCACTTCCCTGTATACATGTATTAATTCTACTCACAGTCGAACAAGTGCCAATCGACGACTTCGCCCTCGCCTTCTCTCGCGCTGAGATCATCGTCGCAGGATCTGGTCTAACACTCCTAACATGGGCGCCCACGTCTACCACTGCAAATTCACCTCCGTCTCCTCAATTCCCCACCACCCTTACTCGCACCACTCATCCCTCCCTACGCAGCGCCAAAGTCGAACTTATCGATCTCCGAACAATATGGTCATGGGACGTAGAAACAATTGTAGAGAGTGTGCGCAGGACAGAGGCTCGCGATCCTACACGAAGCGGGTGTGATAGGTGGTGCTGGAAGAGAAATTGCTGTTGAGGTTGACGAGGGCTTTTTTGAGGTTGGAGGCGTCCGTAAGGAGGATTACGGGGTGGGAGTAAGTGTCGTTTTTATATCCTTTATCTGGTCTCTCCCCCTCCTCGGGTTATGATGACGTTCATTTTCATTGTTAGTGTCCCGGCTGGGCTGCAGTTTGAGAAGTTCAATATGCCGGATGCGGTCAGGGCTTTGGATGGGATCATAGAGACGCTCAGTTACTGATCTATTTGCTGATTCACGCCGTTCCTCAAGTTGACTTTGCGCCCACGGGTGTGGCATAAGATGGGAAATGGATATTCAACGACGTAGTACATTAGCATGCATGTATACCCTGTATGAGTGTGATACCAACATATTTTGGAGTGCGGAAGATGTTGAATGTTTCCATGAGTAGTAGGAGTTTTGCGTAGATGCGAGTCACCGAACACTTCGTTGCCATATAATCACCGTTCAACTGAAAGGAGTCGAAAGTATCAGACCGGAGCATGGGGCTCCGAGACTAGTACTGTGCTACATAGAGCCTCACTTTTAATGGATATAAAATTGGATTCTCTTAAAAAGTATCGGACGCTTCGCTTCGACTAATCGACAGTGAAGAGGACGAGCTGAGCAAACATGATCATCGTCATGTGCACAAACGGTATTCGTAGTGGGTGCTGAGGAAAGACTCATGGTGTGTAAGCATCGAAGAATCTTTGATGTGCATTCATGTTATGAGCCAGTACACGACACAGGTACAAAGGGATATAATAAATACTGGAATAATCGCATAAAAAGCCTCCGTATTTTCAACGCGCCACCGCCACTTGCTTCGAGGCTGCAGACATACACCCTGCATGCTTGAATTCTGAATGAAACATAGTTCAGGACGGCAGCATGGTTGACATGACTGAAAAGACTCACCGGCGAACCAAGCACGTAAGCTGGCCTTCTGAGCTTTGTCGGAATCTTCCATCAGTGACAGGTAGTACTCGAGTGCTTCGATGTTACACGTCCGGGCGAGTATAAGACATCTATACTTCCTTACGGTTTGCCACAAGGACTTGAGGTTCCACCCGAAAAGCTGCAAAAAAAAGCGCCGTTGAGTACCCATATCATGTTGAGTCGTATATTGTATCAACGTACCACGATGAATTCCTTGTAGATAGAAAAGTCCATCGTTTGGAGGAAACAGCTGTTAGCGATTTCGACAGCGGCATTGATATAGTTGATGGCTTTCTCGCGATTGTTGCTCTTCGAGGCAGCGAGTGCCATTTCAGCATAGAAGTATACCTGATGCGCGAAGCGCAGAACGATCAGTCTCAGATTCAAAACACGAACCGGAATTGATACTCACTTGCACGACTTGACAAATAAGAAGATCGGCATCGTGAGAAACCTCGGCCATGTCATTAACATACATGATTGCTTCATCGTGTGCATGTGTATTGAATATCGCAATAGCCTGAAAATCGCAATGAAGCACGGAGCATTGAAGACAAAATGTAACCCACCCTGATCAGGACAAGAAGATGATGGGTTGCTGAATCTCCCGCCGCGAACCTCAGCGCGAGATCAAATGCAATATTCGCTTCCCGGATCTGCTTCAATCCGTAGTGGGCGATGGCCTTGGCCATATAACCTATCAACGACTTTTGAATGCTGATGGACTATGTCACGATCCAAGTTAGTACATCTTAAAGGGTTTCAGTATTGGTCGGTATAACTCACCCGAATCGCATCTTTAAGCGCGCACTCCCAATCACCCATGCGTGTATAAATAATCGAACGGTGCGCGAAGCAGACGTAGTTGGTGGCATCTGCTGTGATGTATCGTGTGAATATCTCCAAAACCGTAGTCAACTTCCCCCACGTGGTGATTATAGTGTAGGCGGTCTCATCCATCGTGAGGGTGAGGGTATAGGTCTGTGGAATGCTCGACTCGTGTTATGAGAGTCAATAACGAGAACATACCTTGTGCCAGTGAGTAACTTTCGTTTGAGTCTTCGTCTAAAATTCGCGAGATGAGACGACGAAATCATGAGAAATCAACGGGAACATACCGACACCAGACCCGTCGAGGGTAGCATCCACTGTGATATCTTGTGATCATTGCCTCCGCTGAAGAATGTGACACAAAACGCGCCAGCGGCGACATCGAGTACGTTGGATTTGGGGAACGGCCAGAGGCGAATACTGCCGTCAGAAGACGCGGAAGTGATGACGGTGTTGGAATCATTGACAGAAATGGTGCTGATCTTGTCAGTGTGACCACGGAAGGCTTCGATCTCATCCCCCTTCAATGCTTCCCACACCCGAACGGTAGGATCGCGTTTACCGCCTCCCGAGAGAAGGTATGTTCCCTGGAGCGTCCATGTGAGTGCGCAGGTGCCACCTGAGTGGCCCTTGAGCGTTCTGACGCGCTGCTTAGTTGCCGTATTATAAACGCAGATATTGTTCTCTGTCGCGATGGCGAGACGTTCGCCAGATGACGAATAACGAACGCAGTGGACAACTGCATCAAGATGGATCACTGCATCTTGATTTTCCTTCCACGTAGCGGTGCACCAAAACCTCACCGTATGGCCGCCCGCACTCGCCAAAGTTTTTCCATCTGCGGAAAAGTCTAGCGACACATGGACCTCACTGCCAGCGGACTGGTGGGCTGCGATGAGTTGAAGAGCGGCAGATTGGGCAATGGTCCCGTTTTGGGCAGTGGTGGTCCCGGTATGGGGAAAGTAAGTGACCAACTCATTATGGGCAGTAGACTTGATTTTGGTGAACCCGGCTCCCCGGGCATCATTGATGAGACAAACACCTTCTCCGTTCCAGGGAATGATACCTCCAGTGATATCACAGCTTGCTATGAATTTCCCGTCCCGTGATACGGCCAATGCAGTCACATCACTCGAATGCCCCACCAGACGTTTCAATACCTTCTTCGTCGTCAAATCCGACAAACAAAGTGTCTCCTTGAAACTCGTGACCATGCGCTGCGTGTTTGGCAACACTGCGACCACAGAAATGGACTCGTGATGACTTTCAAACGTCTGGGACACTTCTGTGACGTGTTCCGTGATATGTTCTGTGATACGTTGCTGTACGACGTGCTGTGTGGAAGTCACGGTAGCGTTGAGCGTGGTTTGCTCTGCCACTACTAGAGCAGTGGGTGGCGACGCCAGAGTGGGATGTGATGACATTTTACTGGAGGTTGGTTGAGCAGGGCTTAGCAGAGGGATTTCAGGTGTCTTGTACTGAGCTGCAGAGGTGTGTCCGCCGTGCGTTTTTATGCTGTCCCGGTGTTCGTTAGGCACTGAACATCAGGGGCTCTTGTCGTAAGCGGATATGCAGGTTCATAGGCACATGCGTCCAACTTGTGAACCAACCAGGGCAAGAATTCAATCAATCACCAACATTTCCCAAGGCAAGATGCTTTCTTCCCGCGTGGTTATAGGCTCACTGCTATGCTTGAAGGTCTGGTCAATTCTAAAATGTCGTCAATGTCGACTTGGCCTTACGGCCGACTTCCTCTGTCCTCCCATGAATTACTTGCGCGGATCCTAATTCGTTCCTGGTTTGGCTACCATCGCGTCGGTTCGCATGGGAGACGTTCGACACCTTGTGACAAGTACCTTGTTCTAATCCTCGCTGTATAGGACCCGGGTTTGGCTACCTAGACCTTCCCTTGTAGTATTGCTAAACCTTGTAACTTGGGCTCTATTCAACAAGGATTGGAACGAAGATACTCTGTGCCAAGTCACAAGGCGTTGAGTGTCTCCAATGTGAGGGTTTAACCGATGCGGTGGAGGATCAAGGGTCCGCATTTACGAGAGGACGGCAGTGAGGTCAAGCCGACATTTACAACGTCATTTTAGAATCGACCTGACCTGACGGCCATAAGGTCAAGCCGACATTGACAACGTCATTTTAGAATTGACCAGACCCACTCAGACATGTTCATGCGCAGAGTTAGCAACTTCGTCTGACAGGTGTGTGACATTTTGGGAATAGCAACCGAAAGCCTTCTCAGGTATTTGTCTAGCCAGGTCTAGCCCCACTCAATTCTTATTTTATTCTCCCATTTCATTTCCCCAATTGACGAGTTGTTACCAAACTGTTACTCGACAAAGCCCGAGAACTAAACTGCATATATGTCCAAAAATACCACCCCTTCGGAAGTTCAACATACCCGGATCACCGTGGTCGTGTCTGGCGCCGGTCAACGTCGTCGCGACTTTCCAAAGTTCAATGTCACGACTTCCTCGACAGAGTCGTTCGTTTCTTGCCCACACAACACGACGATTCAGCTCTCAGCGGCATCTACATAAGGTGTTCCAAGAATATTTGACTCGGAAGATATGTTGAGGCAATGCTGAAGCGAAGCTCACTGACTATAACCAGGGCCAAATGACATTTCATGAATCATGATCTAGACCCATGTCAATCAGCTGGGCATTAGGGCGCCTTCCTTAATGTGAAGCTACGGCCTACAGAAGAACCCGAACCGACTACCACCCACCGGCATTAATCTCGATCCATTTGATCCGTATCATAGACATGAAGAAACAGAAAGTTGAGACTTAGGTGACAAGCGTGTCCATGATTCCCTGCGATTTCTTCCGAAGAAAAAATACAAAGCTCTGGGCGTGTGGATAAAACGCGATGTTTCTGGCCTCACCTAATCAGGTCTGGCTTGACCTGGCCTGTAAGTTTATAACGAGAAAGAAGGACCACGTGAGGGAAGATTGAACAAATGCTTCAAGTAAAGCAGTGACCTCCATCACATACAAAGTCTCACTTCTGGCGCAAGGTGCTATCCTGTGCTATCTTCCAGCCCGAGGATCTCATGGAGATTTATCGGCGGCAGGTACAGATGGGCGAAGAAATGAAACCGATGAGGACGCGAACATGATAAGAAAGGTGTGCCATGCTGGCACAGATAGATGGGCGCAAAGTTTCGGCACATCAGCGTCAAAGGTGAAATGGCTTCCCGACATGATCGTAAAAATCTACGCAGTGGAAGTTTCCTCCTCCCCAAGTCGCTCAGCCTCAGCCTTCACCCCGGAGCCACCTATTCCTGATGACATTGGTCTTGCAGGGACTTGGTTTTTTTGTTTTATTTTACAACCTCATCGATCTCTGTCGGCTGAAATACGGCCCGGGATTGGGGGATCATCTACCACTCGTTACGATCCAGAACATATATCACGGTTCCATTTTCTACTCTACCTACTAATGTACGACTTTCCGCAGCTTTCCCCGCAAATCACCAGTGCCATCGTTTGGATGTCTGACTTCATGCTGTTGTGTGCCGAGTATTGCTCAGCTCCGTTTCTCAGCTTAGTCTTACCCAGAACCCTACCGAGCTTCCTGAAAGCGATGTTCAGTTTTTACTGGGTTTCCTTGATAATTAAATGCCGCAAGCAGTGATCCCATTACAGTGCAATCACAATTTAACAGTAATCGAACATAATTTCATAGGCGATTCGCTGATGATGGCTATTCGAACCATCCGAGCCACCCATTTCAGCCAACCCTTCACTAGAAATGCTATTTCCACCCCCCGTGCACTTTAAACCAGTCGAAGGGCTTGCAGGAACGGCGGACAGGTGGGGGCATGCCTCACACCAGGGCATTTGTAGCTCCAGGGATGCGAAATGGGACACAAGGGGCCCCATTAGACTATGTCCTAAAGAGAGTATCTCTCTCAACGAGTAAAACTGGATACAAAAAAAAAACAAAAACGAAAAAAACCCAATCGAAGCTGGGACCCAAACATATCCTTGGGAACATCTGCGGTTCTTTGTAAGACGACGGACCGATTTTTTGATCTTTTTCCGCGTCTCATCATCCGCAGCACTGCCCACCTCGGTGTTTCTCTCCGTACTTGCTTCAGTGAGTTTTCTTTCTGAGCTCGCTTCAGTAGCTTCATCTTCTGCGTTCTTTCTCTCCCCATCCGCTTCGGCGAGTGTTATCTCTGAGCTCGCTTTGTCGGCTTCATCTTCTGCATTCTCTCTCCCCGCATTTGCTTCAGCGACTTTGATTTCTGAGATCGCTTTTTTGGCTTCATCTTCTGTGGTTTCTCTCGCCCGTGCCTCTGTCGCTGATTGTGTCTCAGCTACATGCTGCTTCTCCTTGGCTTCTTCTTTGGCCAATCCATCAGTTGCGGAGGACGGTAACATGGTTGACATGACTGAAAAGACTCACCAGCGAACCAAGCACGTAAGCTGGCCTTCTGAGCTTTGTCACATTCTTCCATCAGTGATAGGTAGTACTCGAGTGCTTTGATGCTACACGTCCGGAAGAGGACAAAACATTTATACTTCTTTACGGTGTGCCACAACGACTTGAGGTCCCACCCGAAAATCTGCAAAAAACGTGGTTGAGTACACATATCACGTTCAGTCGTGTATTGAACGAACGTACTACAATGAATTCCGCGCAGATAGAAAAGTCCATTGTTTGAAGGGAACAGCTGTTAGCGATTTCGATAGCGGAATCGATGTACTCCATGGCTTTGTCGTGAATGTTGCTTTTCGAGGCAGCGAGTGCCATTTCAGCGTAAAAGTATATCTGATGCGTGAGGCGCAGAACAATCAGTCTCAGATTCAGAACACGAACAACAATTTATACTCGCTTGTACGACTTGACAAGTAAGAAGATCGGCATTGAGAGAAACCTCGGCCATGTTATTAACAGACATAATTGCTTCTTCATGTGCATTTGTATTGAATGTTGCAATAGCCTTACAATCACAATGAAACACGGAGCATGTAAGAAAAATGTAGCCCACCTTGATCAAAAAAAGAAGATGGTGGGTTGCTGAATCTCCAGTCGTCAATCTCAACGCGAGATCAAATGAAATACTCGCTTCCCGAATCTGCCCCATCCCGTAGTGGGCAATGCCCTTAGACATGTAGCCTATCGACGACTTTTGAATGCTAATGGACTATGTCACGATCCAAGTTAGTATATCTGAAGGGGTCTGGTATTAGTCCATAGAACTCACATGAATAGCATCTTTAAGCGCGGACTCCCAATCACGCATGCGTGCATAAATAATTGAACGGTGCCCGAAGCAGACGTAGTTGCTGGTATTTGCCGTTGTTTCTTGTGTGAATATCTCTACAGCCGTAGACAAGTCTCCAGAAATGCACGCAGTACGGGCGGCCGCCGACATGTCGAGGATGACGATCTGCGGTATGCTCGAATTGCGTTATGAGAGTCGATAATGGGAACATGCCTTTTGACTAACTGTCACTTGAGTCTTCGTCTAGAACTCGCGAGATGAGATGACAAAAACATGAGAAATCAACGGGAACATACCAACACCAGTCCCGTCGAGGGTAGTACCCACTGTGATATCTTCCGGTCATCGCCTCCACTGAAGAATGTGACATAAAACGCGCCGGCTGAGACCTCGAGTATGTTGGATTGATTCGGGAACGGCCAGAGGCGGACACTGCTGTCACAAGATGTGGAAGTGATGAGGGCGCTGGACTCATCGACAGCAATGGCGCTGATATTGTCAGTGTGACCACGGAAGGTGTCTATCTCGTTCCAGTTCGATGCATCCCATACTCGAATGGTAGGATCGCGTTTACCGCCCCCTGAGAGAAGGTACGTTCCCTGGAGCGTCCATGTAAGTGTGAAGGTACCACCTGAGTGGCCCCTGAGCGTTTCGATGCGCTGCCTAGTTGCTGAGTTATAAATGCAGATATTGTTCTCTGTGGCAATGGCAAGACGTTCGCCAGATGACGAATACCGAACACAGTGGACAACTGCATCAAGATGGATTGCATCTTCTCTTTCCTTCCACGTAGTTGTACACCAAAACTTCACCACACGGTCACCCGCACTCGCCAAAGTTGTCTCGTCCGCAGAAAAGTCCAGTGATATGTAGACCTCACTGGACTGGTGGGCTGTGATGAGTTGACGAGCGACAGATTCACCAGTTTGGGCAGTGATAGACCCGTTGTGGGGAGTGGCGGACCCATTGTGGGGAGTGGTAGACCCGTTGTGGGGAGTGGTAGACCCGTTGTGGGGGGTGGTGGACCCGTTATGGGCAGTGGTGGACCCGTTGTGGGGGGTGGTGGACCCGTTATGGGCAGTGGTGGACCCGTTGTGGGGGGTGGTGGACCCGTTATGGGCAGTGGTGGACCCGTTGTGGGGGGTGGTGGACCCGTTATGGGCAGTGGTGGACCCGTTGTGGGGGGTGGTGGACCCGTTGTGGGCAGTGGTGGACCCGTTGTGTGCAGTGGTGGACCCGTTGTGTGCAGTGGTGGACCCGTTTTGGGAAGTGGTAGACGCAGTGGACCCGTTTTGGGCAGCGAACTTGGTTTTAGTGAACCCGGCTCCCCGGGCATCATTAATGAGACAAACACCTTCTTCGTTCCAGGGAATGATACCTCCAGTGATATCACAGCTTGCTATGAATTTCCCATTCCGTGATACCGCCAATCCAGACACGTCACTGGGATGTCCTACCAGACGTTTCAATACCTTCTTCGTCGTCAAATCCGACAGATAAAGTGTTTTGTCCTTCCAACTGGTGACCATACGCTGCGTGTTGGGCAACGTTGCAACTACAGAGATGGAATCGTGATGACCTTCGAATGTTTGTGATAGTTGTGTGATGCATGAAGTTGGCTGGTGCACTGGAGTGGGTGGCGACGTGACCGGAGTGAGTTGCGACACCATTTTACTACAAGTCGAGGAAGGCTTGGCAGAGGCATCATGCGCTGAGCTGCAGACTCGTTTTTATATTGTCTCCTCGTTCATTAGACGCTGAACATAAGAGGCCCTTATCATAAGCGAATATGAATAGCCGCACTGGCGCTCACCACTGCTATGCTTTTACCGGTTATGGTCTATTTGTGACCGACTTGGATGACAAGCGTGTCTCTACGATCCGCTGTGGCGGGCTGCTGCTTCTTCTTGGACACAAATATAAAACTCCACGTGTGGGGATAAGAGGGCCATGTCAGGCCGGCTAATAGGTCGGACCGGCCTGACCTGCCCCCAGGCCGTACACATCACCGCCAGCATGTCTAAGAAGGTCTCACGTGGGGGGAAATGAATGCTTCAAGTGAGGCAAGAGGAGATGAAACTGATGAATGAGAACACGAACGTGATAAGAAACGTGTACCATTCTGGCACAGATGGATGGGCGCAAAGCGTCAGGGGTGAAATAGCTTCCTGCAGGTACATGACTTACTAGTATTATATCCGAAAGTAAAAATAAAAAGCTTGAAATGATCCATTACGCCATATCTCCAAAGCCCGCAGTGATGGAATACCAAAAGGCTGTACCTAAGTGGCGTTGAATGTCGTGTCGGAGAATATAAGAACGCACGCTGAAATAGGAGGCAGCCCGAAAAGGAGTAGGCCAGAACTCAAAAAAGACCTCGAGACAGGCGGGAGTTGCGCACTCAAAATCTTGCATATATGGAGGTATCCGATGGGTGCTTTCGAACGAACTCCAACGGGCGATTTAAACCAAACGTGGAGGAGACTTTGTATAAACGCCGAATGCTGACGAGTAACTTGGAACGAACACACGCTCGATGATAACGCAGCTAAGAAGTCTAATGAACTCATGTTCCATGTCAAACTCTCGTTGTATTTGAATACGCAATCGTATCACTAGCCATGAGCCCCCAGTGAATACAACAAGTTGGATTATCGTTAAGATTCTGGTGAGAAAAGAGACATTAAGTGCGTGCAGAATCACAAGAATACGGAGACTCAAACCAATTGATCGGAATGAAAAGCAATGATCTAGGCTATCACTGCGTCTGCCCTCACATGCGCTCCGAAATGTTCGGCACGCTAGCATGACTGGACTTGAGTAAATGATCGTAAAGATCTACGCATGGGGAGTTGTGGTTGGGCAAAACATCGAACCTACGAACTGACAATTAGTGGAGCCTCCTAAGATCTATGCCTACGACAAATGTAAGACTCGGCCCCGTTGCTAGTTTGCTATCACCAGCGAAAGAACTGGTGAGTACTGGTTCACTGTTCCCTTCATATTTGATCACTAAGAACTGTGTCAGAGCCAGAGAAAACATAACACGCTTACCGAAGCGTGCTATGTCGACCGAAACCCATGGCGATATCGAACATTGCGGAAGCTCCACCCCACCGCAGCCCGATCAACCAACTCCGAAGCATGAATTTGAGTGGATTGGGGAGGCCGTCGCAGACGTCGTCTTCTTGCAACAACATCAATATTCTGTTCGATGGCACAGCAGTGGGCAGGTGGAATTGCGAGACAGGACACTTTGTTGGGGAACCATAAGCAGGCGAGGGTGGAATCATGACACACTTGCTAGTACTGCGAAAACGCGAAAATAACCCGATAGGGTTGTTGCAGAGTCAGCATACCGTATGTGAAGAATGGCAAATGTGCGAATCCCTACAGGCTAGCTTGCAATGGCGAACGTCCATACATTACCGAATGACTTCGCGTCAGCAATCCCCGGGCCCATTGTTTCTTCCGAGGAGCTTGGTCTTCATTCAACGAGTAAATTGGAAGGAGAGCTGAGCCTGAGTATTTAGAGGTTTCTCGGTAACGAAAAAGGTGGTGAATGGTACGAGATGAACAGGCAGCTGCCGAACATGTGTTTTGAAGTGTCCATTATCGATCGGCTGGACTAGAGTCTAGTATATCGATATTCAGACTGGAACCTTATCGATGGCTGAAGTGGGTTAATCGGGCAAAGGGTTGCATCTGGAAACCTCGCCGTTGTTGAGAGCAAGCACTGGTGCAGCGATGCTCACGTTACAGTATTTGGAATTCGAAGGACAAGGTTCAGAACGCACGTCTTTATTTGCACATGTTTGGGTCATGTTAGACGCGAACAGTGTACTTACTGCTTGCAGACATCAACTTCACCTTCCTCGACATCGTGGACAATCCAACAACATCGCAGATTCTATCCACCACTGGAATCTCAGTTGCAAAGTTTCGCTACTGCTCAGGTATTGACGTGCCAACGTACGCACCCCGACCATAGCTGTGTACTATGGCGGGCTATATCACATAGAACCCTGAAGGGTTGTTCATGGGCGCATCTGGTCTCAAGGTCTGTCCTGTCCCGTCATATCACTGATCCAATAACGAAAAATTTGAACCGCTAGATTGTCTTTCCGATCCAAGTCCTCTCCGCCATCCATGATTCAAACCCAGTTATTTTATAGAGTTCGAAGTTCGTCAGGTACTTTCCCCTCCAAACTGTTCTATGTACAGACCTACTAACCTCACCCACAGAATAAGTCTCAATTGATGAGCACACCATCATCTCCCTCATCCCAGGATCCGATCTCACCCCCTTCACATGGGGCACCCCAATCTACCCTCCATCTCCTCAACTCCCCGTCAGCCTCCCTCACCATCCTTCCCTACACAGCACCAGATCGAATTGATCGATTTCCGGACGATATCATCATTGGTCATAGAACCTGTTGTAAAGAGCATGGGTAGGACGAAGAGGCTCGTGATCGTGTATCAGGCGGGATTGATGGGTGAGTACTTTTTCGTTCTCTTCCTTCCCTCCTTTCGTTCTCTTCCTTTCTCACTTGTTTAAACGGGTTCTGATGTCATTGATTCATGTAGTGTCCCAGCTGCGTTGTAGTTTATAGTCCAAGATATTCAACGTGCCGGATGCTGTCAGGATTTTGGATGGGATTTTGTTGACGCTTAGTTATTGATGTAAGTACCTGTTTTGCGCTGCTCTTGGTTCTAGCCTCAACTCGCCTACAGAAATAAGTACCTTTACCTGCGCAGTTGACCACCTCAGGTTACGGTCACAGTGCGTTGAAGACTTTGCACTTGAACATCACTGAGACTACTTACTATTTCGTCCCCCGATTCAGACGCCAACATCCGTATTTATTCCTATGGTGTTCATGAGTCTGCGCTTGACCTATGGAATGTGACACCCTATCAACGGTCCTCGACTCTACTAACGAGTATCGACGATCCTCTGGCTCAGCGCACTTCCCTGACAGGAACGGCTATCCCCACCTTTGTGTATGACGAGCTCATGCTGCCAGCCCCGCAATCTGCAAAAGTTGTTGATTTCATCAAATCTTCGCCTAATCATCAGGAGATATCGAAACTTATTAGCCTTACTTAACATGCCACTGATGTTTTTTCTCTTTATCCGCTGCTGGCCAATATTAATATTGGCGTTTTGGTCAAACATTTAACTGAGTTCCAACGTTCCATCGGCTGTCTTCTGTTCTATCACTCGCTAGCTCATACTCAAATAAGCAACCTCTGCGAGATTTGTTCGATGTCTGGTAAGGACGTTCAACGTTTATCAACGCCCCACTGATATCGATGATCTTCTGGCCCAGTATAACGGGGCTTCTGCATGGACCTATATGTTCGGGATGCATTTAAACGAGTCCCGATGTTGATCTATTGCACTGAATTTAACAACATTCGTGAGACAATAATTTTGCGACTTGTAAGTAAGCTCCTGGTACAATAAGATTTGTGCTGTAATGAGCGCATGTAAAGCGACAAGGATCAGAGATGTGTCGTTGGGCAACAGTGACTAAAATGAAGAAATATCACGGCAAACGCATACAATCAACGGATTTCCAAGACAATCCCTCCGCACGAGAGCAGCCTCGAATTCCAGCATTAGCCTCCGTTTACGCCAGCCCTTGATGTCTAGCTCGTCAATGCACTATTTTGCTACAGGATCATATGTAAGCTTGGTTGATAGTGCAGCGAGTGTACCAACGTATGCCGCCGATGTGTTCGTGAGTGTCAATAATTTGAAGTGCGGAGCAACGCTGACCGGAAGGGGATGAGGCAGAGGATATGCTTCATGCTGAGGAAGGACGTATGGTTGGGGGGAAGGTGAATTCCAAAGCGGTATGGGAACCTTGGAGAAGCTGGGTAGTCAAGTGCATGAGCGAGTGGCTGTTGAGGTCGATGATGGTCACATGGTCTTCGGAGGTGCTGTTGCGAGTGGGTGAATCAGTCCGTTCTTATGTTGTGCGTTAGTGACTGTGAAATTCGAAGAATCAACGCCGTCGTAGCTCTTCAGATATTAAATACATTCAAACACGAGCATATATGCGTAGGAGTAAAATGTTCCTGAAACGACAAGAGCGCATATACTCACCTGAGACGTCTCCATGTAACTGACGAATAATCGTTCAACGCGCGCGTCAGTAACAAACCCAGAATATGTAGACGCACCACTTCCACTCGACATTCAGAATGACGGAACAGCGATATGCACAGACGCCTGATCCATCAGGTCCTCGAGATCGTATAGAGGATCGCGAAGCTGAAGCTCAATGACACCATCACATATGTCCTGCAGGGGCATGCTTAAAGGAATAATGATCCTGGATCCGGCACGATGATTGGAGACATGCCTGACGACCTTGACGTATCGCGCGGTCCAGAGAGAGCAACCTGAGACGAGGACTGTTTGGAGTACTTGGAGGGCCATGTGGTCACGTTGGGAATTCTTCGTGGGTGGGCGGGAATTTGAAGAAGACGTGGTCCAGAAACGGATGAGGAAAAGTGAAACTAGGATAATGGCAATGATGATTTCAAGAGTCCTGTAATTTCAAGGATTGTAGGGTTAAACGAGATCGATGGTCAAGTCTTTGATGGCGATGTGCAGAGAATGGATTTGCTGAAAGTGTTGAGAGAGGTGTAGATATGTGTCATGAACTTTGTGGGAAGAGAAAAGGCATGGTTTTCAACCGGTTTTCTGGTTTCCATTCCATCTAGTGCGTCTATATAGCGATGCACTAGCATAAGGAGATGGTCCACTTACGCAAGTCTAATAATAGACGATGTGACAAATTTTCGAAGTAAGACTTCATGCCATCCACCACTGCATTAAAGGCCAAAGCACTCGTACTATACCTGCCTCCAACACTCGAAGCTGCAACTTCAACCAGACGTACTTTTTTCCTTCTTGGCCACGGAGATAATCGCATGGCGCGCCGCAGACGGCTGAAACGCTGACTGCCAACTTGTGCACACCGACGGGGACATGAGAGCTGCACGACTTTCTGCCGCAGAACCAACCCATTTTGTATACAAGTCACCTTCTGCAGTCAAGCTATCAGCCTATCACACAACGAATGCTGTCGAAATTGTGAGTTATTCCTTATAAAAGTACATTTACATTTGTAAGAAGAAAACGAGCATGTTTCAGAGGTTAACTGATCGACGGGACTCGAAGAACAAGAAAAGAACAAAGAAGTGAGTGATCAGTTAGAGGAAATGGGTAAAACAATAGGGATGTAGAGGTGAATGATTTGGTTTTCGCCAGCGTCCTAGTCATCCGAGCCGCCCTATGTATCCAATTCATCCCAGGAAATGCTATGTCCACCCCCCGCGCACTTGAAACCAGTCGAAGTTTGGACCCAAGCATATCCTTGAGGACATTGGCGGTCCTTGGGAAGGCGGCGGACCGCTTCTGCGATCTTTGCCTGCATCTTATCATCCGCGGCGCTACCCACCTCTGTCGCTAGTCGTGTCTCAGCTGCATGCTGCTTCGCCTCGGCTTCTTTGGCCAGTTCATCAGCCGTTGAGGATAGACTATTCGAGCCATCTGAGTCACCCAATGCGGCCAATTCCTCCCAAGAAATCTCATGTCCACCCCCCGTGCACTTGAAACCAGTCGAAGTTTGGACCCACGCATATCCTTGAGGACATTGGCGCTCCTTTGGAAGACGGCGGACCGCTTCTTTGATCTTTGCCTGCATTTTATCATCTGCAGCGCTGCCCACCCCCTTCTCAGCTTCTTGACGTCTCTGAAGCAGACTCCTCCCTTCCTGGTCGTCCACCCAAGTAGCAAAGACATCCATTGAAAGAGAGCGCAGTATCGCTACGGTAGGATATTCCGAGACGTGGACCTGCAAGTACAGACGGCTGCTTTGGACAATGTGAACATTGAGAGGAATGTGTTGGCGATCCACGAAGTGGTTCCACTGGTTCTCCAAGTCATTAGCTTTGATGCCTAGCACGGACGAAAGGCACACAGCGGTAGCACCCCCGCTAGTCTTGTCATCGCGATGGGTGTTTACATCCGTGCTAATCTCTTCTTTCGGTTCCTCTGATTCCATGTTGGCGAGTAGAATATTGGATCGAACGACGCAAGCTAAGTGATCATTCGCTGTGCTATATTTGACTGTATACGAGAGCGACGTGAGCGTTGGGTGGACCACGTCTTCTGGGATGGGGACATCCAACGCGAGTGTCCAGTTGCCGCAATTATTGCTGATGAACTCGGAAATGGGTTGGTTTGAATATGATGCATGGGTGTGAACCAGACTTGGGTCCTTCGGCGGAAAGGTGGCTGATGCCTGATATCGGCAGATGGCGGGATGGTCAGGAATGAGATCATGCAATGTTAAGCGACTGTGGGGACTTACAGAATATTGAGTGACCACGGGGACATCCATGGTGGGTTTGAAATCCACTCTATTGATGCCCAAGGGCTGATCGAGTGCAGTAGTGGGGACTGGGCACGCACGCCCATATTGTTGGACGTAGGCAGTAGGAGGCTGCCAGCTCACTTGTCCTCTCTGCGCTAGCAGTGGATAGTCCACTAGCAGAGACGATGGATAGCGGTGGTTTGGCCTAGAAGAATATGGAAGAATGGTAGACTTAATGAGCAGAGGGCCTTGCATAATTGTCGAGGTGAGGTGGTGTATTAAGATCGTGCAGTACTTGACCTCAGGCTTACAGGGTATTTATGCATTTCAATACGTGGTTCTCGCAATCTTCCGGTCAGGTCACTAGCAAAATCTGCACAGCAGTTATCTGAACTCATTGCGAGTTATCGAACCCCTGAAAAAATCTCCATGAAATTACCTGAGAACGATCGATATTAACGCCCGACTTTACTGATCATACAGCCCATAGGCAATCCCCGCATAATTCAGAACCGCCCACCACAAAAATTGCTTATACTCGAATTTCATCTTCTCACAACTACAAATCTAATACCGGCACAAATCGCAAGCTAGCGATAAACACCATGGCCATGAATAATTTTGAGTTAAAAGAGGTGTTTTCATGGCATTTCACAACGCTTACTTCGATAACCCAATTTCAAGTACCATTGGCCAGCCATGGCTCATATGCATGCGTCCTTACCTGTGACCCGTGTCAAAATATTGGATCCAGAGCACCGGAATCTGCTGCAATTAGAAGGACTTCAAATCGAGGGAAAGGGCGTCCGTTGCTGCGGGGTGGACGATCAAACACTTGATATCACGGTGAGCGCCTGATAGTGCAGGCAAATGACCTGTCATTCTAAAACCAGTGTAGAGGCTTGTAAAATCCCGATGGGGTGGATGACCTTCTCCAATGCATTGCGACAGATCTTGCGTCCAGCGCTGAGCGCTAAGAATGTTTAACCTAGATGACATCCAAGCGCTAGAAGTCGGACTTTGTGAGAGGCGCACGCCAGTCCCCCTATATGACAACTTCTTCGCCACCGGAAATAACTCGTAGATCTTCTCAGGCACGGTAATACCTTTTCCTTATGCGTAGGCGCAGAGTTTATTTGTAGATATGCAGAACTATTGGCACGAATCCTCTGTCAAGCATTCTGCTGCACTTTCTCGGCCCCAGAACTCCCCGGAATTTGGGTAAATTTTACTACCCAATCGACTCGGTGGAGCGTCTGCATATATTAAGTTCAATAAATCGGTATGTTCCCTTTGGTATATCGACCGTGATTAGCATGCGGGACGATTATCATAACTCGAGCCTTGTTTAAAAAGAAAATCCAATTTTATGTTCATTGAGAACAATACTCTATACAGGACAGTACTAACTAGTCTCGGAGCCCCATGTTCCATGGCCTCATTCAAATCCTCAAATGCACTGGTGTAGGGTGTACCCCCACCAGTCTGCCGTTCCCGCATAACTCGAGCTATGGTATCACATCCATCACAGCCAGAAAAAATCAATCAACAAAGTGAGATGCTTCTTTCTGGCATGGCTGTAGTCGCACTGGCGCTCACTACTATGTTTATGATGTGAACACGTTACAGGGAAGCCAATTGAAATGATTCCAACCAGGGGGTCCGCGCGCCAGACAGGATTGAAATTCAAAAGCACACTGTTCGCGTGACTGGCTGTGCGCTATTCCTTCGGCACCCTTGGACGTGGTGATTTGCTCGGCATCGAGCTTCTGTCGCCTGGAACGTTACTATTAGAGATCTGATGATATTTTAGTTTCCTTTGGGATAGGCGCTACAACTTGTACTAGCGTGGTTTGAAATCTGCATCAACATCTGTCATGGAGCGAGTGTTCATTCGAAGTTACTCATCGGCGCTCAGCATTTATTCGAAGTCTCCTCCGTGTAAATTACTCATCGGATACTTCCATAGATCCATCAGCAACTCCCGTGTGCGTCCAGGTCTTTTCTGTGTTCTCACTTGCTTCTTATCGGGTCACCTCCTATTTCAGTGTGCATTTTCATATTCTCTGAAACGAAATTCACCGCCACTTATGTACAGCCTTGTGGTATTCCATCGCGGCGGGCTCTGGGGATATCCCTCAGCGTGCATAACAGGTTTTTTCAAACCTTTTATTTTTACTTTGGGATATAATGCTGAGCTATGAGTCTGAAAGCCATTTCACCGTTGACGCTGATGTGCTGAAATTCTGCGCCCATCTATCTGTGGCAGCATGGTATGCATTTATCATGTTTGTGCTCTATTCAGTTTCATCTCCTCACCCATCCGTACCTGCCGCCACGAATATCCATGAGATTCTGGAAGATAGCACAGGATAGCGCCCAGTGTCAGCAGCCGGTTCGTAGACGCGCTTTTTTATCATTGATGTGTTTGTCATCCAAGTCTCAACGTTGCCTTCTATCTGTGACACGGTTGTATGGATCAAGATTGATGCCTGTAGGCGGTAGTGGGCGGTTCTGATTCTTATGCAGGCTGTGGGTCGCCTTCACGTTAATCGTGTCAATGAAGTCGCCGTGATGACCAGCCGATTGGCATCGGTCTGGATCATGATGCCCGTGACATTTGGGCCCGGTTCTAGTCAGTAAAATGCACTTCAGCATTGCATTGACGTATCCTCCAAACCATATTGTCCAAGAACGCCCTATACAAACGCTGAGCGCTGGATTCTCATCTTTATGGGCAAACCGCACTGTCACCATCTCGCTTCTGTTCCTCCTTTATTCTCTTACCGGTAACCGAGCTGTCATCCAGTCGTGTAATACTCCAAGTTTCTAGAAACCTTCGTCAGCTGTAGACAATTTACAGCGTCAAATAAGATGTATTTAGCAGCAACATGTCTCATCTTATCAATATCACTATGCGTTGGCACAGATTAAGAGATTGCAGATCTGAGACCTGTATGTTGTCCTCTGAATTGTCCTTGCAGATATCTAGCTATCAGTAAAATGAGTGTGACATAGTGGCGGGCTGGACCGCGTGCTCAAAGCTCTTGGAAGATTGGTTCAGTGTCACAGTAGAAAAATAGCGAGCGCGAACGAGAAAAACACCGTGCTCGGTGAACCTACATCCTACGACATTTTAAAACGCACACCATCCGAGCTGTTCAACTGAGTCAGAAAAACTAGGAGACGATGGATGAGCGTATACATAGGTAGATGATCAGTGTGCGGAATTAAGGAACACATGTATTATTCACAAGGACATCGAAATCTGAGATCGTTCATAGACCCTTCTTGACTTCGTCCGTTCCTTCAGGAGGCTCCCATCGAAGAAAAGACACTTTCTGAACCATAAGGGTAGCAACCTCCGAGTGAGCTACCGGTTCCGTGATCGCACAAGAGATGGCTAACATGTCCTAAGAGGTAGATGTATGCAGGTAATACGGCATTCCAGACATCTGTAGTCGTGGTATTAGTTCGTATCCAGAGCAGGGACATCGTTTAATGCGTTCGATCGGGAATGAACGCTGAATGAGACTCATTGCAAACACAGACGAAAAGTCTCACGAATTCGTGCCATTCCATATTAAATTCCAATCGCAGTCGACTACACAATCGTGTCACTCACCACGAGCTAACATTCACGCCCAAAACAACCGCAGGTTGGGCGATCATTCTGATTCTTGTGGGCAAAGAGACATCAACGCAGATTCGCAAGAACAGGAAGAGCCATACCAGTTGATCGGAATGAAGAGCACTGATTTGGGCTATCACTGCGTCTGCCTTCACATGCGCAATGACATGTTCAGCGCGATAGTTTGGGTAAATGATCACAGATATGTATGCAGTAGGCATCGTGGTTTGACAAAACATCAAACCCGCGAATTGACGATTAGCGGTGCCTCATGGAATTTATGACTACGAAAATACAAGGCTCACCTTCATTGTTAGCCTGTGGTACTTGCTAGAGACCGGTGGAAGAACTTATGACCCATACTGGTCGACTGTTCTCATTATGAACTGTGTCAAAGCCGGAGAAAGCATACACTTGCTTGCCATAACAGCGTGCTAAGTCGACCGGATGTTGACCACTGCAAAAGCTCCATCCCCAACTAACCATTCGGGCGGCCCCTCCGAGGCACGAATTTGAGTGGATTGAAAACACCGTTGCGGGTGTTATCTTCTTGCAATAGCATTCATATCTGAGCGATGGCACAGCAATGGGCAGCTGTGGGACAGGACAATAGGTTGAGAACAGACCATGATCATGATCGATGTCCAAGTAGCGCGAGTCTAATAATAGACCTGTAACGCCATCAATCCCGCCGTCCGCGTCAATGCTCGAACCCTCCGTTCATTCTCCTGTGGAAGTTACATATCTGGATGAGATCGACAGGTGAGGCTGTCGTGTTGGCACCCGTAGTCTTGAATATTGAATTCTCCCTCTTACGTGGGAGTCCTATTAATGCACCACCCATTCCTTCGTCTCTTTCGCGTTCGCATTTAGTTCAATGCGCTGTCGAAATGTATTTGTTTTCCTCTTCTGTTTTCACAACTGACGTGGCCTCGTGAAACACACACGCATGCTCTCGACTCCACTTGCAAGCAAAGCCATCTTCTACCTGTACGAAGCCTCCCTCCCATCTGGCCGTCAGTCGCATGGACACCATTTCCATCATAATCTTGGGATCGTCCTCCGTTCCGAAAAATGTGGATTCGGACGTCAGCGACAACGTAACATCCATCCAGCCCAATACCATCGTGGTACCATCAGGTACTGTTTGTGTTCTTAGTGCCACCACTTCGTGTAGGTGTTTGTTCTCAACTGATGGATTCCGACCCTTCTAACTTTATCTTCCAACCAGGACTACCCTCTGGTCCAAGAAGCATCTGAATATTGCACACAAGGCGAACTGTTCCTGCCTTGCGGGCCCGCGGCTCACTAACTGTCAGCTTCACTCTCTCTTCCATCCGCATACGGCATTGTCTGTTCAGTAGTGGTGGAAACGGGGACGCGAGAATTTTGGGGTGAGTTCCCAGCGAACGGCTTGTTACCTCCTCCATATAACCAATGTTCTCGCAGTGCCATTGTGTAGTAGGACAACGTACTATGTAAGTAGTCTTTCACTATTGCTCCCATCCGAAGCGCACAGAGGCTGATGATACCTTCCTAGTGACGAGTATAGCTCGCATTATAGACGAGGGCAAGTCACTCTCGTTGCAGTTTTGCTTCTGAATTTTTACCCTCTATGCGATTTAGATCGGTAACAGCGTTCCATCAGACCAATCGAATATGCCTCTCCCTCTGGCCCCCAGTAACTTATCAAGTCAACTTGATCACAACGCGTTGCTACCCTGCTGACCCAAAATCTTTCTGAAGCAGGTACTGCTAAGCATCATGACGGAAGGCCTGTTTATTTCAAAAGTATGTGCGATGGCGATTGGTCTCATCTTGCGGCTCTATATCCTGCCTTAACTTATAGCATTACAGGAACGAACCTCTAAGCACTAGTCGACACCCAAAACCATCCCTCTCCAACACCAACCTCCACAAGTGGCCTCCTCTGCGGATGAGCTCAATTGCGGCAAGAAGGCAATGAAATCTGACGAGCAAAGAGGATGAAGCTGGATAAGGCCACTGACCCTTGTCGAGTAGGTGGTCCAAGTTCACATTGAGTTCTGACTCACTTTATCCTGCAGGAAGTAAACTAGGAAGTAATTCTAGAGAGCATAGTAGCGACCGGAGGAGTGTGTAAACATAGTGAATGAAATCTTCATGCAGCCCTAAACTGCTTGGCGAGAAAAAGCCCATTAAGTAGTACAATGGAACGAATAGAGCGCAAGAAGGTAAACATGTATATTGTATGAAATCTGTAGGAAGTGCATAGATCTTCAGTTGATTAACATAAGCACCGCACGTCCAAGGAACGGCTGACAGATACCACCAAGAACGCATAGCAACCTACTACTATCCTCGACACATGTGCCAGGATGTACCGTGTGCGAGATAGCGTAAATCAAACTGTGAGGCATGATTTGGTATCACGAGGGTGTTGCCGGGTACATATGTCAGCGGGTGTAAAATGGGTGAGATCCAGAGAAGAAGCCGTCCTTCAGGACTTACAGCCCATCCGTCCTCGTTCACGGTGACAGAGACTGGGTTTGAAGAATCCTGGAGAAAGGAGGAGGAGGAATGGAGGGCGTGAATTGGGTTGGATGAAAAATATATTGCACGTGCTTCAAATGGTTGGTGCCGGTTTAGAAAGTCTACATCCCACACCCGGATGGTCTTGTCTTCTGAGCCAGACACGATGTGTTTGCCATCAGGCGAGATTGCGACAGACAGAACACGTCCGGTGTGCCCTCGGAAAGGGGCACCTACTCCCTCGCCAGTCTTCATGTCCCACACCCGAACGGTCTGGTCATCCGAGCCAGACACGATGCGGTTACCATCCGAGGAAATCGCGACAGTGTTAACGTAGCCAGTGTGGCCTTGGAGAGGGGCATACAATGACTCGCCAGTCCCCATATCCCATACACGGATAGTTGTGTCGTCTGAGCCAGATATAATGCGACATACATCCGGCGAGATTGCAACAGAACGGACATAGTCAGTGTGGCCTTTGAGAGCGGCACTCAATGCTTTGCCAGTCCCAATATCCCACACCCGAACTGTCTTGTCATTCGAACCAGACACTATGCGATTTCCATCTGATGAAATTGCGACACACCGAACCCAGCGAGAGTGGCCACTGACAGGACATGCCTCGCCAGTCTTAATATCCCACACCCGGATGGTCTCGTCGTCTGAACCAGACACGATACGGTTTCTGTCCGGCGATATTGCGACAGACCGAACATAGTCAGTATGACCTTCGAGGCTAACACCGGATGGCTCCCCAGTTTCCGCATTCCACATGCGGATAGTCCAGTCTACTGAACCAGACACAATGCCCTTCCCGTCCGACGAGATTGCGACTGACAGAACAGGTCCAGTGTGCTCTTGGAGAGGGGCAAGTAATGCCTTGCCAGTCTCTATATCCCACACCCGAACTGTCTCGTCATCTGAACCGGACACGATGCGATGTCCATCTGGCGAGATTGCAACAGAGTTAACGGAGTCCGTGTGGCTTTGGAGGGCGGCAACCGATGCCTTGCCTGTGATGGTGTCGGCATCCCACACCCGAATCGTCTTGTCGTCTGAACCAGAGAATATGCGACTTCCATCCGACGAGATTGCGACAGACCGAATCCAGTCAGTGTGACCTTGCAGAGCGGCACCCAATGCCTCGCCACTCTCCATATCCCACACCCGAATCGTCATGTCGCCTGAACCAGAGACTATGCATTTCCCATCCTGCGAGATTGCAACAGAATCAACACTCTCTGTGTGACTTCTTAGAGGGGCACCCAATGCCTTGCCACTCTCCATATCCCACACCCGAATCGTCATGTCGCCTGAACCAGAGACTATGCATTTCCCATCCTGCGAGATTGCGACAGAATTAACACCCTCGGTATGACTTCTTAGAGGGGCGCCCAATGCCTTGCCAGTCTCCATATCCCACACCTGAATTGTCTTGTCGACCGATCCAGACACGGCGCGTTTCCCATCCGGTGAAACTGCGACAGACCGAACAGTGCTATCGTGGCCTCGAAGAGGGGATCCTAATGCCTCGCCAGTCTCCATGTCCCACACCCGAACTGTCTTGTCGTCCGATCCAGACACGACGCGTTTCCCATCCGGTGAAACTGCGACAGACCGAACACAGCCACCATGACCCTGAAGTGGGGATCCCAATGCCTCGCCAGTCTTCGCATCCCACACCCGCACTGTTTTGTCGTGTGAGCCCGAAACGATGCGATGCCCATCCAGTGAGAATGCGACAGACATAACATAGCCAGTGTGGCCCTGAAGAGGGGTACACAATGCCTCGCCAGTCTCCATATCCCGCACCAGGATTGTTCCGTCATCTAAACCACATGCAATGCGTTTTCCGTCTGATGACAGTGCAACCGAGTTGAGCCTGTTGTTTGCATGGATTATCTTTTCCATCTGAGGCCAATTTTCGACATGGCCAGCAACAATGCGAGGGGTGCAAGGAAACTTTGAGGCGAACTTGCGAAACATTCTCGACCGCGTTGGAGCGAACGGCAGAGCGGACAGGTATAAATGGGGAGTGCTGCGTAAAATGGTGGTTGCGAAAGTTCGGACGAAACGCAGTGTATCCCTGGTAGCATCACTAACATGCGTGAACTCGGCATGGCCCTACAACCACCCCACTACTCGTAAGAATTCGTTGGCCAAAGAACGAGTTTGAGCTACGCACCGAAAACCAACCTGCGATAGATAAGAGGGTTGCTACCGAGCCACCGAGGCTTTTCATCAGAGCCATTGCTTCCAACCACCAAAGAAGGCGCTCTCCATCGAAGAAAGCTTCAACTTCCTTGGCGAGCGATGATTCGAAGGACAAGGATGCCACATGAGTCCCCCAGAAGCGACATGAGTATGAGAGCTCCACCGAAATGGACTTCTTCACTCGTTCTGCGAAATCGGGGACGGCTGAATTTGGCAAGTATGAGCTCTCCAAGGAGCAGATGTTGAACCGAAGCCCGCGCTCCGAGTCCATGACCCGAAGCGAAGCGAAGGCAAGATCTCTCTGTACTAGTGAAGCATCAACGAAGAAATCATGGCTCCGTGATTCGTCTGTGAGAAAGTCGTAGAATGATGCGTGAAGGGGACGTATGGGAGTATGAGAGTCTGAGGTGCCGGTCAAAAGCGAGCCCAGTGGCCCAATCACCCGGTCCATTTGGTAATCGCAAGTCCATTCGGGAAAATGCAGTCGCATCACGATCAATGCAGATATGGGAAGTGGTTCCAACGATGCAAGAATTTGGCCCATCACAGAGCGGAATATGGGAATCCCTTCCTCGCGCTCGTCCTCTGGCATGATATCTGCCAAAACGCGTTTATACATATCATCCAACAGACGTGTTCCTTTTGCAGATATTCCAGCAACCACAGCGTTGAACCGACCCTTTGGATCCATGCCGACTCTGTTAGTGCCCTTGATATACTCGCAGGTGAGACGAGCCCATTCAAAGAGCCCATCAGATTTCAGAGCGAGCGCCTTGAAGTGCGCATTGTCGAAGATGTGGCGCAGGTCTTCCAGCTTATGGGAGATATAAAGCTGAATGTCGAGTTCTGTGGACGCAGATGAGACGTCATCCAGGGAAATATGGCGAACGTGCGGCACAGCGTGCAGAGTGCTGTGAATATCTTCGAGTGGACGGGAAGTGAGGAGAATGCGGAAGTTAACTGGGAGTTCAGCTAGTTGTGGGGTGGAAGTGTTCAGTTTGCCAGCGAGCAGACGAAGAATCTGTTCCCGGGAATTAGCTTCACCACTCTCATCCAATGCCTCAATGACAATCAGGACGGGTGCAGAGATGGCTTTTGAGGCTATGCTTGTCGGTCCGACGATTAATTCCTGCCATTGTTTTGTGATATCGAGAGTGCGCTTGAGTCCACTGTGATCACGAACTACTTGCGCCAAGGCTCGCCGCACGATAGGGTTGCAGTCCGCCAATTCGCTTGCTATGGTCGTGAATATTTTGTCCTGACGGCGATCCGCTTGCCGAGTACGATCAAAGCAGAAGCATGAGCCAAGACCACCCTTTTCGATATACCAGTTGGCTATTGTATGAGCAACAGCTGATTTACCCTTGCCTGCTGTGCCGGACAACCATAAGACGCGTGGAGCACCCTCCTCGGTGCTGCTGATCCAATTCTGAATATCCTTCAGAAGGTCTTGCCGAGTATTTGGCAAACAACATTTGGATGCATTCAATCCAGCGCCCGTTGCGTATTCCATGCCTACAAGGTCCAAGCTCTCAGCTATACCAGGGGGCGCGGAATGTCAGATAAGGCTCAAAAAGACCTAAAAACCAACTCTTACACATATGGTGGGCGATCACAACGGTGTCCCGAGCCGCCCGGTCCCGGAATTGCCGCATGAGGCTGTCGAGGATATTGTTGTAGCTCTCGATTGTGGCGTCCGTTTCGTCGAAAACGTGCTTGCCAAGTCTTATCCCTATACAAACAGGCAAGATTGAGTCTTTGGGCAGGAAGCAGTAAGATCATCTCACAGGCGCTCTTCGTCTCAGAGTAATGACTGATAAAATCAGTGCACACCAGCGTCTGCTGCGCTATCTTCCCATATACCACTAGCATAGATTCAATTTTGGCCAACTCCTCCGTTTCTGTGATGAAGGCATAGACTTCAGATATCTTTGAGAGCAGACTAGAAACAGCGACGTCACGGTCTGCCTGATTGAGAATCATCTGTTACCCAAACTTTGTCAACCTTAGACGGCGACGATTGAAAAGGAAACCTACTTTGGATGCGCAAGTGAAGATACTCAGTGCCACCTTCGCGTACGGATGGATCTGCATATGAACGTCAGTCACGTACTGAAGAGAGAAGGATGGCTGTACATTTGCGATCTCGTTGGCAACGGAGTTGAACACCTTCAAAGGTCTGAGCAACACGGAGAATGTGTCGACAGTATCAGCAACAGATTGTAGGTTGTCGGCCGCTGAAGAAGTATTTTGAATTATTGCTGGAACCGGGCCGATGCCTGCGAGATCTTTGGTAGCATTATCGATCCTTTCGTTCACCATCTTCGGGTCGAGATGTTCAACCTGAGTATAGACGTCAGCCATTGTCAAAAGAGACGGATGGAGTATCTCGAACTTTGTTAGTCGAACTGACTTCTACAATCCCTGGATTGGAAGACTGCTCGAGATTCGGTTCGTGAGTGGAAGCGCTGAGAACCTGCGAAAGCGATTAGTAGCAATCATAGCACACGGAGCACATTCAGAGTTAAGATTCCACATACTTCAGTTGGCTGAGCAGGTTGGATGCCCTGTAGGCTGGAACTTGCAGCCACGGGTTCAGGGTCGGGAGACTGTCGAGCGCTTCGAGCGAAGCGCTTGGTCACCTTGCCGAATAACTTGGGAGCAACCCAGAAAATCGTCCACGAGACTCATTCCTCGAAGGCAAGAGAGGGGGCGACTGTAATCATTAGAACCAATGCATAATTGTAAAGACGAAACTCCCTACATCTTGACTGGATGGCCTCCTGCCTCTCTCCCCTACCAAATGGGGGTCTGAACGACTTGGCTTCAACCACCTCCCGCGCTTTTTCCGAGGTGGATTTTCATTCATCGAGTAAGTGGGAAGGGTAACTGAGTTAAAAGGTTTCTTGGTGCAAATGGAACGAGGAGTGTGGTGGGTGGCACGAAAGACAGACAGGCGCCTGCCTCATGTCTGCAATGGGGATTATTTAAATAGATGCGGTTGGAAGCGCCCATTATCGATTGGCTGGGCTATCATTCATGCTGGAACGTTATCGATCCAGAAGGCTGAGGTAAGTTGATCAGTGTAGATACTGGTGCAGGGGTGTTGCCAGTAGTTATTGGAAGGACATTATGTAAAGCGACAGGATCCGGTATGATGATTGAGGCATGCTTGATGTAGCGCGCGGGTCAGAGAGGGCAACTTCGGATGAGTGGAGGAGTCGGACCATGCGGGCTCGTTGGGCCCGACTCGGGAGTTGGACTTGGTCCAAAAACGGATAACGACACTTTATCTTGGTCAGAGGTGCAGAGATGGAAAGTGCTGGATATCTGCATCCAAAAACGACACCAGCAGGATTTGAACCTGCGCACGGAAACCGTAAGAGATATCACGCATTCGAATCTCTCGCCTTAACCACTCGGCCATAGTGCCCCCCCCGTTTTGCCGGCTGTGCGCCGACATAGCAAGTTTGCATTCTTACCCCGCAAAGCTCTTGCAACCGCAACGGATTCAGTTACAAATGTAGACGCTAACAATGGTAGTGACAACATAACCTCGTCCGTGAATATACACGACAAACGGGTTAGTGCTAGCGCAGTGAGTGTCTCATTATTAAGCCTTCTTACCGTTGATCGCTCTAGTATTTGGATCCCGGGAGCTGGACAAAAAATCAACGATGATAGCTGGTACAGTGAGTGAACAACCTTGGATGGTTTCTTGATCAGACTCGGACGCGAGCAGACGCGTCTGTGGCAAATATCATGTGACCCCCATCGGTGTCAATTTCCTTGTGCTCCTCTAAGTCTGAACCTATACATTGTACAATGATATCCTAAGCTGGTGTCGAGGGCAGCTCCTGCAACTGCTCCAGACAGTCCAGCACGATTCCCAACGCAACCAAACCAAAACTTTGCGCGCCATAACCCCCTTTTCCCTCCTCATGACTCTCTTTGTATTTCTCCTGACTCAACGCCCAAGCTGACCACCCGTTCTCTAAGCCATCCCGCACTTCGTCGAGCGACGCGTTCCTCATACTGTCCGGTAGCATTCTGCCTCGAATATCGTGAATCAGGACCGACATGCATTCTCTCATTGCATATGTCCGATCATTCTTAAATCCCTTTTGCGAGCACTTGGCAAGGATAGTTCCGACGACGATCTCCTCCTCCCGCAGACGCGCACCGGGTACTCGTGAGAGTGTGTGACAGGTTGCAACGTAGATGAGTTCGTCCATGTATGCCGAGTATATACTGTTCATTGAGACCTCGAGTTTCGAAGGTCTCTCACGACGCTCTAGCTGTCGGTTGACCAAAGGACGAAGTGTAACGGAGATAACATCACTCAGTGGCTTTTCTAGCTGCCGAGGAACATAAGTGGGTATCTCGTCGAGCTGGATGTTGCGATATAGGTGACCCAAGGCTCGGTCGGACTCGTAATAATCCGTTGGTCGGGGAGATTCTACTTCTGCTGCATGCCAATCGGGTTTATAGGGGATCAAGCTGCGTGGGATATCTTCAATATTGACCTTCCATCCGTTCTTTGGGTAGTCGACGGCTTGGCTATGAAGGGCTGCGAGCTTCAGGCATGCCTCGTTGAACGTTCCGTCCTGTGATATACATAATCTGAGTTCGAGCTCTGCACACCTTTGGTGACACTACGTACGCTAGCTTGATCTGCGGTGAACATAATAAGTAGGGGTGTTTGATCCTGTAGAATAAAAACTTGCCTGCAATAGTGATGTGCTTGTCGGACACCAGGCCCTACAGTCCACTTGAGCTATCGAACAGCTTACGCTCACCCGGAATTGACGTACCACAACATTTGAGTTGATATATTCCACAACAAAATTACACACGTCCTCAATTGTGCTGCGTCGTTCGATCGTGAAAGGCTTCCCCAAAGGGTAAGACGCTGGATCATAATGATCCGGGAGGATCAAGGGTGGATGTTGTATAATCTCATAGAGATCGCTACAAATTATGAATCTCGGGTCAGGACAGAGGTGGCACTTCTCCTTACCCGTCAAGATCGCCACCGCCTGAGCGAGTTTGGCAAACAAGTTGCGCCTATGGTTGAGGATATAGGTAGATGGAATTTTCAAACACACATGCACCTACCAGTGGACGCAAATACAACTACATTCTTTAGATGACCAAAAAGGCAGAGTTTATCGCTTGGAGGTTTTCCGATGGCATATGACTGCTGGACTAGACTCGAGTTAATTTGCGACAAGTGTGGCGCGTGCAGGTACTTACCGTCGCCTGGATGTATGACAGGACTCCTTGAGACCATACAAGGCCCATGAAGCCATATGGGCTCACTATCCCCTGGCTTGTGAACACATGCTGAGGGGGCGGGTAAACAAGTAGAGCGAGCTTTCAGGAATGAGTGGCATACCATATATCTTACCGGGAGGCAGCTTGAAGACGTTCGTGTGGCCTTTTTTCTCGTAAGCAGGGCCCTCATCCGTGACACCCATCAGCATATAGCTGTTGGGAATTGGAATGCGTGCATCATGTTTGACTGCTCGCAGCACGTGGTTTATGGCACAGGCTCGTAATTGTGCCAGAAAGGGGGTATCGATGTTCCGCTGAAGATGCGTAGGGCTCAACTCTAGGCCGAGGGTGTTAAGTCTCCGTAACGTCGATGCCAGTCGGAAAGATTGAGACAATCCGTGACATTCCAAGAGCGCCGCAAAGAGATCAACTGAGTCGTGAGCGGTGCGTGACTCCGCAACAACCTTCTGCTGCAGTTCCATGAAGGTATCTTTTGAGGCGCCCCGGTCCTCTAGAACTGTGATTAAAGGTCTGTGCAAGTCGCCTGAGCATCTACACTGTAAAACTGAAACAATAAGGAACTCGTAGATACCTGTTAAGATGAGGAGTGTTAGGTTTCACAACGGGACGAGCAATCTCTATCATAGCGTATTCTTCCCCGTGATCCTTAAACTTGTTCATACTTTCTCGTAGGCAAAGTTGGACTCCCTTGAGTTGCTTGTCAACAGCCACGACACCTTTAAAGCCAAGGAATCTGATTTGGTACTGTAGCTCTGCTTAGTACAGTACTTTCGAGCGTGAAACCACTTACAGCCGAAGGTTTCACTGCATGCGCACCACCATCTCGCCGAGCATTGCAGAGAGTTTGCCAGATTAAATCACCAAGCTCATCACTGACGGTACCGACACCGTCAGAAAACATAACACCGTTTTCGACGATATCAGGCATTTCTGACCACTGTGACCGGTGGATCTTGACCGATGGATCTGTCGCCGTAAAGGCTTGCTGAAAGGCTATTTAGAGAATATATTGACGGAAATAGCTGACTCACAGCCATCCGGGCAGCATACTTCGAGGGGGAATAAATGCATCCGCTGAAGTCTCCTAAACTACTTCTTATTGTGTGCGCGGTGACCAGTCCTTTGGTGTCGTGCTGGAAGGAGCTAACGAACCAAACAGCGTGCTCCCTCAGTGCAGAGGAAGAGTACGCTAAGAAATCGAATTGTTTGCCAGCAAGCTCAAAACCATCCTTCAGCAAGCCCCCGACACGGTGCCTGACGAAGCTCCCCCCATCTACTTCCCTATCCCAGCGATACTGGAGACGATCCTCGTCACGAAAGTCGACTCGAATGAAGTTGCCTTCATAGCCTTCGTACTCGCGAATAACGCGATTCGATTGCAATATGTTGGGCCCTTCGAGGATAAGCCGAGTCGGAGTGACTGTAACACGATGACAATAAAAGCGGCCAGCAGGCGCCCCGGGACGGACATTCCCGAGCTTCTCTTGTACTACTAACTCGAAGCACTTGTGGATTGTTTGACCTGGAGGACGAGCCGCAGCTTTTATCACGAAGTATCGCATGATGGCTGCGGCAAATGGCCGGTGGCGGCGAATCAATTCATCGATCCTCGGGCGCAAATCCTCGAGTTCCTTTGTATTTGCAACACCATTTCGGAGAAGGGCCTCGATCTGAAACGCTACAGGCCAGTCTGAGCTCAATGATCTCAGCCATCTTTGCACCAAAGCCAGTTTTTTGCTCGTGAAAAATCCCTGGCAGATGGCTTCGATGCGGACTCCAGAGACTGGAGGACGAAGCTCTGCGATTTTACAGAACTGCTGGAACTTATCCAGATCTCCTTGTTCGGAGAGGATGATGCGTATGTGGTGAGCGTACGGAGCAATTTGCGCGTGGCCTGGATGTATAGCACCAACACGTTCGCGATAATTCTTCTTATCGGAGTATGTTCCAGTAAGGGTTCTGTTGAAGTCTTCTCGTTCGATGATCGGTGGTGTGAACAAATCGAAGCATATGTCTAAACAGGTTTTACATTCAGATCTTCAAGCTATGAGCGCCATACTTACATTGATTACCAAAATCATAGCCCACAGCCATTTTGTTGATATTGGCGAAGGTAACGATCAGGCTGTATAACAGTTGTCCCCGCGCCGGATCACCGACCTAGCCAAGTATAGGATCAATACGGGATATAGCTTGTTTTTGTTTATATGCCAAACCTTCGCACGAATCAGTTTGTGTTCGTATTCGAAATTCAGCCATCCAAGCCCGTCGAGAAGATTAGATTGCCATTCCACGCTGAAGGCACGTGGATCTAACGGGCTGGCATCTTGAGGGCGATAGAAAGTACCTATGAACAATTTCATATGATCCAAAGGCGACAGAAAAAAGGTATATTATAGCATACCGATTTGTAGTAAAGCGATTCGGAAATCAGAACTTAACGCATCGATCTTTTCCTGCCGTTTCTGAGCGATATCGGGATCCACATAGGGGGCCTTTGTGAGGGTGACTAGCATATTGCTCGGGATGTACCTGGATCTAGTAGGGGTGAATTTCAGACGCTTTTTGCCGACCTTGATGGTGACACCATCTTCGCCGTCAACAAGCCGACGGAATTTCAGCCCTACGTCCTTAGAGGGCAGTTGGAGTGACCCGACGCCTTTGTTACGAACGCCTCCGCACTCGTTCTTTTCAAGCGTGACTCTAAAATTGATGAGACGCTGCTGCGCATCGGCATCCGACACAAATGGGCCAGGGCACGCATGCAGAACCTCTGCGATCTTTTTTGTGACCTCGTATTCAGTCGCTCCAAAATCTACGTTTCGAATAATGAACTCCATGAAAATGATAAGGGCATACAAGAGGGAAGAATAGATGGTCAACCGATAAGCTCAGCCACCAAAGCACTATATAAGTTTGGCTGCTAAATATAGACCTTAGTAACGCCGTTTTACCCGAGTTCAGCCGCACTCCATCATGATGCATGCTTGTTGGTGCTTTGAAAATACGCAACAAACACGCCCAGGCCTCGAAATGCAGTTCAACCTTGATACATTCGTATACCTAAATTCGATACTATCCATCGATTCTTGAGCAGCATTTGCTACTTGTACGGTATGCCTGCAAACGCCTCAGGCCCCAAAGGGATTGCATTGAGTACGCGTCCGACTTACCATTTTGTATCTGAGCAAATCATATGAGGATGTATAATGATCACAAGCAAGAATCACGCACCCGTTGGAACTCATCGTAGGCTGTGCTCCTCACATTTTCATGAGCATTGCGGATGATTCCCATCATCCATTCGGCAGCTTGACGCTCATTCAACCCAAGCGCAAACCGATCTTTGAGGCGCTTGATAGTCGGTTCGCCTTTGAAAGACGGGAAACCAGTTCCCAGCATGAGTTGGACTGTGCTGACGAGCTGATCCGCATGAGGTCGAATAGCGAGAAAAGCCTTCACCGTCAGATGTTGAAACAGTTCGTAGCCTTGAGAGTATCTGCCGCCCATTAGAACTACCATCTCGTGGGTTAACTTGAAGGAGCTAGGTTCAAACTTGACTCCCTGCGAAGTATAGTTAGAGAACTGTTCAAGGTATCATGGTGGGGACTTACTCCAGGACGTAGATAGACAACAAGAACGAAGTCAGTAAGCATATCAGCAGTCGTGAAATGAAAGACTCATCTATATCGAATAGGAATCCAAAGTCTGGGATCAAGTTCAATGCCGCTTGCCGTACTCTTAGACGGGTAAAACTTACCGATATGTACGATGTGCCCTTCGCCATCAATCATGATATTCCCATTGTGACGGTCCTTGATTTGCAAGATATAGCAAGCAACAGAGTATGCAGCCATCGACTGGATGAAATTGAGGCGAGCACACTGGAATGCAACAGTCTCTTCTCCTCCGTATTTCGAAATAAAGAAGTCGAGCAGGTCGTTTACTGTGGCTCTTCCCATCTCATCTCGAGATGTTGCATTTGGCACCACGTCAATGACACCACACTGTGATATGCATAAGCATGGTTAGTATGAATGAAAATGAAAAAGTACTCACTCCAGCGGCAGTTGCGGTAACCCTGTAAGGGAAAAGATAGAGAGTCAACCCGATGCTGGTGAAGATATTTTTGAACATCGCGATGATCTGTAAGGCCAACACATCTTGTCGGCAGTCGTCGCCAACTTTGAAGATGGCCTGTTGCCAAACGTCATACTCCTCGCGTTTCTCGAGTGCACCGTCCAAAAGAGACTCCGGGTCGGAATCAATAATGATGCGCTCCTTCCTCACTTTAAAAGTAGCCATGAACGGTGCCTTAGGTGAAATTGTATTGAGACAGACTTAGGCAAAAGAAAGATCTACACACCTTAGCGTGACTTTGGAGAGGTCGACCGGATTTCTTATCAATGTCAATAACACTACCGTCCGGGTTACTGGGAAGGTAGACACCAATATCAACAACTATCTTGGCCATCTCTTCGTCAATCTTTGCCTGTAAAGACACGTCAAATCATATCCTAGGACGATCTTCGGGGTCTCGCCTTTTTCTCAGGTTTCGACTTTTTGATGAAGGGCTTCAGTTTCCCAGAGATCGAGGTTACCTTGTTGAAGAATCCGAATTCCCGATCGTAAAAGGCACGGGCGTCACCAGACAGCGAATCCACCACCATATCAGTCATCCGATCTAGTGCGGGTTTCAAAGGATCTTCCTACTCTCATGTCAGTGGAGCACAGACGAAAATATGCATCGAACTTACGATCTCGGCAGCATCATCCTTGTAGCAATTGGCTTTCATGTTCCATATAATCTGGTGGCAAAAGAGTTGCGACACCTTTGCGGTTTCGAAGATGAACTGCGCGATATATCCTAAAGATACATTCAGAAAGTATAGCAGTAAGAGGCTGCAAATACACACCAAGGTCATCAAACCGAAGAGCCTGGACGACTTGAGGAACGAAAAAGAATGTCAAGTCAACAGGATGCTGCTTCAGGACTCGATGGGCGTATTGTAGCAAGAGCGGATCGTTGCCGTGTCGTCGTTCGAAGAAAGTAACAGCGATCACAGCAGTGACAGGCGCCCACGCGATGATGTACTGACAAAGACGTAAACTCTCGAACAACAATACCGCAGAAAAGAAATCACCTTCAGCTCTCGTCTCTGTCCACCTCGGAAGGAATCCCCAATCAAAAATCGTAGAGCCTCTGGAGTATTAACTACCTGGCTAGCGTTAGACTGAACTAGATTCTGCACCTCAGCGTAAGCTGCTGGGCTTTTGAAACGTTCGGTCAGATAGACTGCTATGGCTGGGTCTATCTCCCACACTGTTCGAACTATGCCAGGCCAAGTTGACTATTGAGATACATAAATCTCCATTCACAAAACCATCAAGCTGCTTACCTCAAGCATATTGCGCTCGAGCGAGCCATGAAGGTCACTGCCTCGTCTCGCTTCGTTGCTAGGATTAGCCCAGACCGTAAGTCTGAATATCTCATTCTCTATCAGAAGACGGAGTGGCTGGTTGATATTCTTGAGGCGGGTGGCATAAACTGCAACCAATCAGTTCAACGCGAAGAAAAGAACGTTCGCTGTACTCACGGGACGTCTTTGACGCAGACTGGTGAGGAGCAAGGCTCGAAAGAGATGTCATATTCCTGATCGAGTCACCCTGGAGATGCACAAGAAATTCGGACATGACTTTGATATCAGCGTCAACCTGCACTCGATTGGCTCCAAAAGACCACCTGGACAGCATAAGCGTTCGCACAAACACTGATATCTGGGAAATATACTAACTGCGGCCGAACGGCAAACCACGAATATGCCGTGCGATACAGACTTTCGCGCAACATACACTCACAGACAGCATCTAGATGCGAGCTCTTCAACGTCTCCAGTCCAAAAAGAAGGAACGTGTAGCGCAGCTCTCGAGCTAGCGGATGAGTACTGGACGAATTGTTAATATAGCTTCAAACAGTTAACCTGACGAACGTACCTAAACAACTTGTGCGCTTGCGCAGATCGCAAAACAAGTCTCTGGATGAGGAACATCACAGTCGAGCGACAATATCTAGCCGCTTGCAATCGACTAAATAACATCTGTAGAACTAAGGTATGCGGCATGAGCAGCCGACGAGCATGAGTGGTTGCTCGATCGATTTCGTCCTTGTCGGTTGGACTATAACTGATGGGATGGTAAAAGGGATCATCACAGCTGTGGGTTGTTAATCACTCGGGAATCCAGAATGCAAAAGAAATCGACAAACTTTGATGAGGCCGAGAACACGCCCTTCCGCTCCTTCACAGTCCCAAACCAAGACGTGAGTACTTCGCACATGATGACCACCTCCATGTTAGGGCGCTCCGCGATGACCCACATCCACGTTTCAATACCCGCAGCGACCGCAGAAGGTGTGAAAACCTCAAACGGTAGAGCTACCAGAAAATGTACCAAGGTGTAATCGCACTAGAAATCGTCAGAACGAAAGCCACAAGCATATAGAGCTTGGTCTAACCTTCTCCAACGATATAAGAATTGCTGCACAACGGAATAATAGACGCTGCAGATCTTGAACAGTTAAAGAGCTACGTTTATTCCGAATGTCGTTCATCGTATCGGCCATCTTGTCTTTGAAAGGCTGTACGCCAGTGCATTGCATCTGTGGAGCCACTTTATCCAGCGAATCTTGATCTTGCCAACGTTAAAACACTCGGCCATCTGTCAGATAGACCAACTTACTTTTACGAGCCGCAAGTCGCAAACCAGCAACCTCCCCTGAAAAATAGCATTTGTTCGCAAACTGGCTGGCAAGAGCGCGTGCACGATCAGACTTCCAGTTTGATAGGCTACACAGAGAAGCTACGATGTAAAATGATTAGAATACTTGTACGTCAGTTAAGACTGAGCACCTACAAAGTTGTCGGTGCACAGGACCAAGTGCCTTAGCAAACGTTTCGGCAACAGAAGCTCCTAACTCAGTAGCGTCCGCACCAATCAGCGGTTGCGTAGCTGTGAGATATTTCTGTACGGAGGACATGAAGGAAAAGAGCTGCATATGACAGTAGCAAAACGAACCTGAAGCGTCGACTGGAGCTTAATGGGAGCCCGGCTGAGTGCGAGTTCAAACCACGTGTTGGCATTGCGCTGTAGTTGTCCAAGGATATCGTTTCGTATTTTATAGTCATCCGTGAGCTGCAACGTGATACCAGTGCAATCAGAGTGGAATTCGTACACCGGGTTGTACTGCAATTGAGTTAAAATGCAGCTACTCGTTTAATAGAATCATGTTTCTGTTACCTCGTCCGTAAACTCGTTCTCGCATGCATGACGGAGAAGAGTAAGGCACTCAAGAATTGCATACACCAGTGGCGGGTCGCACATGAGAGAAGGAAACGACGTGATCAGGTTGAATAGGTATTTGGCAGCTACGTCCCGAGCGCGAGATATGCGATGAGTGCTGGCTACAAGCAGCTTGCGAAGTTCCTCTGATAGATGGACCGGTAGTGCCTGTTCCATAGCTTGGGAATTCATCTCTCCCATACATCCACGCATAACCTGTTGACAATTTAGCACAGCGCATCATATCCGAAAACGGACATTACCTTGTCAGCTATAGACTCCATGCATACAATAAGATAACTTTGTCGATTTAGGCTACTATTCGTAAAGTATGACACCAGGGAAGACGGGAGACCAGCAGCAGATCGCATACTCTCAACGTCCTGCATCATCAACAAGAAGATTACCTGTCCCGGGGACAAAGAGCGTATCTCGCTTGTGCGGTGTGGAATATGGCGTGTAAGGAATGACCGGTGCTTCGAGATAACCTGTCGAAAATAATTAAGTATCCTTCCTTTCCAAACAACGCAATACTGACAGAATGCGCATATTCATGCCGGATTACGGTGCTATACTCGATTTCGCTCGCTGCATCGTGAGCATTCTCGAGTACCAGAGTTGGCGTCTTCGTTGCGATTTTCGCCAGCGCAGGCATGAGCCACGTCATCGCGCCCTTCTCCTCGCCAGATGTAAAGTGAAAGAGGACGCAGAGGAACCACAAGTTTCGGAAGAGGCCCGTAAGCTCCTGCGAAGCGGCCAGGTGTGGAGAGTAATCTGGATGGGCAAGAAGCGCTTCGATCGGCAACAACAAAGATGCCAGCTGCTCGATCATCTCTTCTGTCTGAATCGAACGTTCAGCGTAATATTGCAATGTGTGAGCAAACTTACCTTGACGTGTCGGTCAGACGTAGCCACGTTCTGGATAGCAACACCTTTGTCTCCGAAGAGAGTGAGCAGCTCAACCAAGTATACGTCATACAAATCGGGTCTTTGGTCTAGTTCACGTGCAAGCCTCGTCTGGGCAGCCAACACCTGCTATCCATCAGCACGCACACCATTGACTTATAATTCTCCACATACCATATTATTAGAGAATCTCGGGTCCTCCAGGTTCGTAGCGCGATTGATTAGCGAAAACGCACGTGCAACGTCTATAAACGACTCTTCGGGAGCTACGAGCGCAAGATCCACAAGGTTATACGCGATCGCAGCCTCGAGAGTCGGCTCCAAAGTCCGTAAGCGCTGTAACAACATCGAGATCGTAAGTTTTGTGACTTCCTCCTCGCCCGCAGTATGGAACTCGAGTGCAAGGCGCGTGACAACGGAGATAGTCGTGATCCCAATGAGCCGCTTCTCTTCGTCTGAGCGACCGCGTAGCCCTGTTTCGTCGCTTTGGAAGGTCACATCATCGTTGGGAGAGGTGATCGAAGAGGCATAGAAGGGGTTGGAAAGGAGTTGGTTGGAAGAGGATGATTCTGTTATTTCTTTGGAGGTCGCAGCAATGTAATTGAGGAGAGAGTACATATTGGACATGATGGTGTCGTCACCAGGGTGACAGCTGGGAAGACTTGAGGTGTAGTGAAAAACCCGGTTAAGAAAAGACATACCTTGATGCAAAGCGCAAGGCACTTGGCAGCCGCTGTTAGAGGTGGAGGTGCACGCTTCTCGGTGTTGAATGCAAACTCGAATATTGAAAGAGGAGAAGTAACGAAGCGGCGCAAATGGATGACAAAAGACGGTGCGATCTCCGGGAAGCTGTAAAATATGAGCCAAGGAAGCGCCGCGCATTTCATAGCATGACTAACCTTTGCACAAGTACTGTAGTAGCCTTGAGCGCCGATTCCTGAACAAGATTGTCCAGGATGGGTGCACTGTCGCTTAATAGCTGCATCAGGCGAGTGTGAAGATTTTCATCTAGCTCTCGAAGCGCAACGGAGCAAACAGATGCCAGTTTCTACCCATAGATGACGAGTCAGGCAACACGCAGCCAATTGACATATGAGAAAAACGTACCAAGCTCTCAGACATGGTCTCCCATGCATAAGTATCGACGGGAGGTTCGGTGTCCATACCCTCAATCTGCTCCAGCAAATCACTAAAGCATTGCAGTGCACTTCTGATGATGTTCCTCAGAGCTTTCTTCGTCTCCTCGTCGTTCTCCAAACCCAAATCTTTCGCAGGACATTTCATGAGGTTCACCCACGCTTTGTTCGCCGCAGCGGCTTCGCGCACCTGGCCTTTGTGCACCAGAGGAGCACTCGCGAGGGCCTGTGCGAGCACAGTCCATTCCATCTCCATAACACAGCAAATAGTAAAGTACCCGCTCAGTGGGCGTCCAAGTGCGATGTATCGAGAGATGAAGGTGTGGCAGAAGGCGATGGAGGTAGCGTCGGCTTCTTGATTTATGTCGAGTAGGAGACGGTTGATTCGTTCAAGAACAGGAGTCGCGACAAGGGACTGGAGGGACTCGGAAAGAAGGTGCCATTGAGAGGCGGTCCAGGGGTAAAGAGTAGAAGTGATTGCACGGTACAATCCGTGAACAGAAGGCGTGAGGTGTGTAAGCACATCTATTGCTACTGAAATGTCAGAATGCTTGCGCGAAAGTCAAATGAAGTCCTTACAGCTGGACTCCTTGAGGTTTTCAACAACGTCGGTGACGAAAGTAATAATGGACATGACAGCTCTGTCCGCGTATTCTTGGTGTGCATTGCAGATACGCAAAAGGGCAGAAACGGTAGAGAAGACCAGCTGGTCAGGGAGGGCCCACTCTGATGAACGGTCAGGGACACCAACCACAACATACGAGAGATGACATACCGTCCCATGAGAGACATCGGTCGAAATCCACGCTTGGAACGTCGTGTAAAAGATCCGTTAGGACGGGAATGAGGGTATCAATGTGCCTTGCGATATGTTCCTCTGGAAAATTCGCGACAAGTTCGCCAAAAGCAATGTTACAATGAGCCCTGGCCTCGGACTGTGCCTTTCAAATAAGTCAACATACACACATTGAGCGGTCACGTACCATGAATGCACGAGGTTCGACCTCCCTTTCCCCAGACTCGTCATTGGGTGCCAGTTGGGCCTTGGATTGATTGACGTTACAAATGGTGAAGATATCCTCTTGTGTTTCCGTTTGGAGGGTAGCTAAGTCCGACAGAATTCGCTGTCGGATGTTCAATTCGAGGCTAAAATAGCATTGTCAGATGGAAAGGTGAAAGGGATTTCGAGTGACGCACCAGTCCATCGTTCTTCAAATTGCAATTGCAAGAACTAGCGGTGCTTATTTAACAGGATAATGAATTATTAGGTCACATGATCTTTGCCGTCTACTCGCGTCTGATCAGAAAACCATCCAAGCTGCTCACTCGCTGCCACTACTATACTAGCTATTATCATCGACTTTTCGTTCAGCCCCTAGTATCCAAATATTGGAGCGGATCGGTAAGAAGGCCTAATAATGAGACACTCGCTGCATTGGCATTAAACCGTCTGTCGTGATACAGGCACATGCATAGGTCGTGACTATTTTCGCACCAAGCCTGCATATCGCGTTCATTATTAGTGAAAGGATAAACTCTATAACTCGCGGGTATGCCTTGAGGTACCATTGAAGCTCTTGAATCTTTGACCGCTTGGTCGCAGGTAGACAAACAGCATTTGGTTGGTCGTCATTTCTGCGTGCCATGATAGTCTGCTGAACTTTGCCAAGAAGGATGCCAACTTTGCCAAGTAACAAGAAGGGTAACAGTCCTCATTCGTTGGAAGCTAGGGTGAGAACCACGTTCGCGACTGCTCGGACAGAAAGCGCCAAACTCGTCGAGGAAGTTGATGCTCATATGTAAGTTGCTCGGCATTCTTCTGTATGATGGACAATACCCCCTCTGCGTTCGAAAGCAATTCGGTACAGACCACCCTGGCCCGTATAAAAGAGCAGCACGAAACAAATCGTTCCGACTTGTCAGCGCGACTCCAGGCCGATGAAGTAAGTTTCAGAGAGAACGGCAGAAGCGTTCTCTTCCATTGACTGGTTTCCAAGGAGAAGATTCATGCGTTGTGTGCAGCGTACTCTTCGTTGCTCGATGACGTCGCTCACCAGCGCATACAAAGTGTAGATACGATGAAGGCCATAGGTGAGTCTTAGTATATTCACAGCGCATATACCCAGGATGATCTTGGGCACAGCCCATGCGTCAGACGTGGAAATGCGTAAATCACGGAAGAGGCTGATGGAGAAAGCAAAGACACGCCTCGATGATGCACGAGAAAAACACAAGGTCTGAGACTGATGTATTCTCTCAAACAGCAACGGAGCTTAACGCGCCACCCACCCGCAGCTCGCCATGGATGCTTCCGAGCTCGTAAAACATTACAAAGCACTTGTCTTTGCGCTGTGAACATGTTTATCCAACACTTTTCGCTTACATTTTCAGTTTATGTTCCCTCTCTGTAATTCGCACATGTTTGTATCATCACCTTGTATCAATGTCAATGAATCAAGTTATCTGATCTTGGTCCTATTTCTATAACCAGGTTACTGGGCTCCATGATTTACTGAGTTTAAGACATCAATGACTAGATTAAATCTCACCAATTCACTGGCGGAACGTTGAAGACGATCGTGCGTGGGGGGTGGTTGTAATATCTCGGGCCGGAGATTCAGATATTCAGACATGAACACACGTAGTATCATGTTCCACCGGCGCATAGTTAATACGTCAAGCGCCGATGCATCGTCCTAGAAAATGTGAGGTCAACGGCAATGACGGGCGCATGAAAATGATAACGAACGCCAAGAGTGTGCCAGACACGCGGGAATGGATATGCGATGACGTGAAGAATGTTGACACCTTTTTGTTGAAAGGGTACATGATCATCTCCGATGTACCCGTAATTATATTGATTCCCAGAACCCGTTCGAGGCAAGAAGAAACTGCGGAAGTTTGTAGATGTTTCAGCTTCATCAAGAGCACCAGCATCCTTGAGCCGAGTTTCTGCAGAAACCATGGCATCAAATAACCAAGCTGTGTCGATAAAATAGGATCGTATTGTTGGGTTTGGGGCGCCGAGAAGGTCGAGGAGGATGATGTGCTCTATGGTCGATAACTCCGTCAAACTTGCATGCCCAAGCAACCGTCGTTTAGAATTAGGTGCTATATAAGTTGTTGACCATTTGCTTGCGAGATGTCTAAACGGAAGTATGCCATTGGTTTAGTTCTGATATGCTATCCTCGAGAGAATGGCTGACCTAGCCCCATAAACAGAGTCTGTGTCAGTCCAATCTTTGAAGGCCTCCTCGCCGTCAAAGAACACAAGTTGGAGGGTTGTGTCTGCCACATCTTCATCTTCGTCCTCATCACCATATCCGTCCTCAAGACGTTGTTTACGTTGGTCAAGAAGGGGGTTCAAAGTCTCTGCTAGGTCGAGCATCATTGCGCATGGTGCTGCGGAATCTGTCGCACCTACAAACTGAGGGGCTTAGTATACAATTGCCCGAGTGGATAATTGAAAACCCTGCTAAACACCTGATTATATGGGAAGTTGGGGAAGAATTTGCTGTCATAGTGCGCAGACAATATGACACGGCGCGAGGCAGTTGGATCTTTCGTGGCAATGATGTTGGTGAACGAACGGGGGCCATACGGAGTGTTGTCAGTAAAGGTGTCCTCTTCAATGTACCAATCCAAAAGCTTCAAGGTGGACACGATATATTCACGAACGAGGGTTATGTTGTCACTACCCACTGTTACACTTGTCTCAGTTAACTTAGAAAGTAGAATAGACACATACCAGCGCGCGGTATGAGGATGTTCGAAAGATGAGAAGCGGGATTGTTGGTGTCTACATTTACGACTGGGTCCGTTGCGGTCGCAAGAGCCAAAATTTGTTCGGAGGTCAACTGGATGAAGTCACGTTGCCCAAGCGTTGAGCCTTGTATCGTTAGTGTGCACCATGATACAAATGATAGAAGCAGGCTCAGAAATGAAGACTGGCAGTGTGGCCGAAGTTTCATTGACTGGAAAATGCGAGAGCCTAATGGCGAACGGTTGGACAGGAGACTGATTGCCAGCAAGACGAACCCAGGGCCAATGTCGACTGGGATAGATCGGCGTGGGCCGTGGAATACGAACAAACCGCTTTGGCTACATACTTACTCCGAATCTACTTCGCGCCAATGGCAATCTTTAGCCTGTGGGTAAGTTTCTTTTCGTCAAGTAATTATTCAAACAATTGCTAAAGCATGGTGTAAAAGGTCATTAACAAAGCTGGTGGTTTAGTCTACCAGCGCAATTTCGCAGGTTGTTGAGAATGAATATGAGTTCAGCCTTGTCCATAACTGAGTCCTTCTCAGATGGCCTCGCTCAGCTCACATCAAACGAGTACTTAGTCCTCGCTGGCACTCTGCATGGCATTCACGCCATTACAAGCCGCTTATCCCCTGCTGGTTCAAGCTCAGGTGCACAGGTCATTGAAGGGGAGACATTTAAGATGACCATCTTGTTGACTGCGACAGGTGCTTGAACTGACGCACCTCACAGTCAGTTCCCTTACATTGATATTTTACAGGAACAAAATTCGTTCTTCTCACATCCTTAGCAGAGGCAACAGCGGATTCGGTTCTTCAGAGAGTATACGAGGCCTATGCAGACGCTGTCATGAAGAATCCATTTCACACTCCGGAGATGCCGATTCGCAGCGAGGGGTTTGACACACGAATTACGAGCCTTATCGGCACAGGACAACCATGATATTATAAAGCTTCGTATCAAACGTAAGTCCTACGTGTGTTTTCGATGTTGCAAGTCTGATGGCTTGGTGATAGCATCGTCTTTGACACCACGTTTGTAACACTGTCGACTCAAACCGCTGATCTGGAGAGTTCCTTGCCCTTCAAAGCTTCAATCACTGACATATTGTCCTCGACAATTGAATTGCAAGATTGTCGATAATGTTACAATTTACTACTTCACTAGCTAGTGAATCGTTCTCTCGATTCGTGTTATGAGTCACGTGATTATCTCACATGCGATACAAATACGCGTCGCGTCTTGCCAACGTCTTGCTTCATCTCTTTCCGTCTCCTGTCATCCAAGTAAAATCCAACGACTCTTTTTTAAAGGTTCTGAGACACTCAGACGCACTTTGACAACCATGCAGATGCAACGCGCAATAGTAAATACAGAAACTCAGGTATTAACTTTCCATCAGTTGTCGTCAACCTGGACTTGATTGTTCCTCAGACGATAAGCAACAAGCAGAGTTTGGAGTGTGTACAGATGTTGCTTAAAGCTGGTGTAGGATGTATAGCATACTTGAGGTGTGTTTACTGTAGCCTTCCCATTCCTATCTCACCTGTCAATTTCAGGGGTCTTCTACCGGCCGAGAACTTCGGTGAATGTGAGTATAGTTTACAAACAGCGGCCGATGAACACTAGTCAAAACTAAATGTAGATCGACTTTCGTCTAAAAACAATGGACGAGCCTCCTCTTCGTCTGGCTCTTTCTCTTCAGACGGAACTACCGAACTGAATATCAGTGGTGTCACGATCATGACCCTCAACCGAGGTTTTACCAATGAAGGGGATCGTATAATTGACTACCTGGTGTGCATATATGCATCCATTCTCTATGGTAGACGCGCATATATCCATGTTTCCCAGGAGAACGGCATATTTGAGGCCATAGACAAGCAATACCTTCGGAAGGTCATATTCGGCATTTACTTGGTGAGACTAGAGTACTTGTAAACTCTCTTTTCTGATGTTCAGCGTAGGATAGCAATGATCCTAACAAGTTCGTTGATTTTAGCCTTCAGTCATTGCTAGGTTATCTGACAGGTTACTCGCGCAGCATTGTGGAGGCTTATACCTTCAATTTCCATGTGAGTGACCAAGACTTGTATATACTGTACTAAATGGATGAGGGACGCAAAAGTATCACAAGTTGCCTGGAAGTTGCACCGCCATACCGATCATGACTCTTGGAGATCAATTGTCGAAGATGTCTCTTGCGCGCCCAGATCCTATTTCTGAGACCCTCAAGAAAGGGCAGATACCGACTCTTGGGGAGGTTAAAAGGAGTGTTAAGGTGCACTAATCCTCACTCAAATGGATGCATGTCGTTCTCAAGCGCTTTGTTTCAGGCAATGATGAAGTCGCTCATAACTACTATCAATCAGATGGAAAACCTTCCAAGTGCGTACCAATGTCTTTCCTTTGTCAAGTTCGACGGTAACTCTATCGCGCAGAAAATCGTTACGGAAATTTCAAGTTGTTCTTCAATGAAGATGCCCCTGACGATTACCAGCCCCCTCATTTTCAGGCGGCAGATGCCGAAGCTAACAAATGGTTCTTGACCACCCACGCGACGGGTGAAATACCAGAACGAACGAGTATCGGCCAAGTGAATGCAGGATGGCATGGGTAAGCCCCGAAAATTCCAGTGCATTCACTTAGATGCATCTTCTTTATTCAGCCTCGACATGAAAGTGGTTTCAGTATCGTCATACCTTCCTTCTATATCAGAAGACAACAATGCGCCATTCGCGGGTATCACGTCTCACACAGCCCCGAAGTTGACTCCAGTTGAAGAGGCAAGAATTAGAGTAGAGGACGCACAGTTGCAGAAGAAAGATGCGTTGGAGCGCAACATCGTCTGGAGCGTAGATGAAGACGAGGATGCTGAGGGTGAGATGGTAATTGACGAAGGCATTGTTTTGTCCAGGTTCGGTGGTGACATAGTCATGGCCCCCGTCGGTATACGCAGCGAAGATGGAGGGGTCCAACCATTCTCTCAAGTCAATGTTACTTCGTCGCGCGCTCATGCCCAGTATGGTGGTATGTCGGAGTCTACCCCGATACGTGTCGGAGACTTGGTTTGTCACTCAACAATTCTTTCTCTTACCCCACTGATGCATTGCGTTAGAACATTAGAAAGGCCGCTCATGACATCGAGGAAACACAGCAGATCCCGCCTACTCAGGAGATTGTCATGGGGTCACCGATACCTGCTCCTTCATCGAATAAGACCCCATCCTTGCCTGCTTCTGATGTTGCCTCCTCTGCCTCCGCTATCTCTACTCAAGAGGTTGATACCCAGTGCCTCCAGGATCTACTCGGGATGGGGAATGGTGTGTCCACTGCTGATTCAGAGATGTTGGGTGAGACATCTATCTAGCGTGTTGTACTGCATCGAGTGACTGATTTATTATAGATATGGAGACGCAGGTCCTCGAAGTGCCCGGACCATCCTGCAATTCAGGTATCACTGGTCCACAGATCCCTCGTCGTAACAAACGTTCCAAGGGCTCCGAGCGGTTGATAGATGAAACCCAACTTGACTGTGACTGTGGGATATCGGTGCGTACACAGTGAATTGGAAAGAAACACAAGTCAATTCACCCTTTTGGAAGATTGACGATGCTTCTCTGCTTTGTGAGGGCGGTTGCAACCGTTGGTTCCACGTCTGGTACGCATTTTCGTCCCCCGTACAAATCAAGCCCCCTGACAAAGACCGGTTGACTAGGTGCATGGGGTGCGCGATCATCTCCTTTCTGACTGCGTAATATTTCGTTAAATATGGCTTAGATATCACAGTGCACGAGATAAGCGTCTCCCTTCTCAATTTATGTGCTTTGATTGTCGTCTCCGCGGCTCCCACGAGTGGGACATTATTACGGGGAAGATTCATGCTGATATGATCGCCCGATACAAAGACCTAGCCCTCTTCAGGTACGCAGTGGCTTGTTCCTCGCGTTAAAATTACTTACTTTTTTTCAGGAGGGCTATCAAAATTTATGAGGTGTATCAGCCATCTTCGGCGTTGTTATTCAGGGAGCACACTGGTCGGTTCAATTTTGATCTTGTCCCTCATTGTTCCAATTTTATGTATTATTGAAGGGTGCGATACTGCCCTAGTTGGTCAGCTTCTGACGAGGCTAGAAGAGGAAGGTGGGTGTATGATCAGTATGCGCCAGGTTTTTTCAACGCAAATGCCTTTCTAGGCTTTATTGCGGTTGAAAGCATCGTCTCTGATGAATTAGGCATTGGTGTTACCCGCTCCTACGCGAAAAAGGGCAAGAAAGGCGTGAAAACCAAAAAGCAGAAGGAGCTTCAAAAAACCAAATATGTCTTCCTCTCCAAGGCGAAACGATCCAAGGCCTACGCTGATTACTTCAACCCACTTACCGAGGTCGAGAATCGCCTCATGGGCCTATCTGATACGGTTAGAGATATAAATCTTCTCGTGTTACGTTAGTTAATACAAGTCAACATTACTAGGCGCGATGTAAATCTAAAGCAGGTACAAATCTCAGCGGCGTAGGATCATCATTGTCTCATGCAACCTAACTGATTATATGCTGACACCCACACATAGTTCGACTGAAAATGTAGATTCCAACTTGACGTCCTGAGGTTACGGCGCGGGCAGGTCCTTCTGATGACGAATCTCAAACCCAAGAAGCGACTCAGAATATCCTCACGCTAGCAGTTGCCCATCAAGCCGAAAAGCGCAAGGCTGCAACGGATTTGGTGCACCGCGGGAAACGAGTCAAAATATCAATCGGCTCAGGCGTTGATCTTTGCGACTGAAACTTTCCATGAAGACGTTTGGCAATGCTGTATTGTGGTCAGTGCTCGCTCCAAGGAAGAACTGTTTACAAAATCCTGTATGTCGATGTGCCGCTCCATGTTTCCCCGAGCTAGCCTTGCCGTGTACTCCACTCTCTGGAAATTCTAGTATCATTCGATAAATTTGTCCGCGTTCATTGGTTCCCCGTGCGAGTTTTGTAAGTTGCTAACAGCAGCGCAACGTATTTCGTGCCCCTTGATTTCAGTCATTTTAACATCCATGCTGCCGTGTCTCCGGCATTCAGGCCGTTACCAAAGGGCACCCGGAAAGTTCAGACAGCCGCAGAATTTTCAGCGGTACTCACTGTCCGACAAAGTTAAGCTTCGAGGGCACAAAGCAAGTATAGCTTCTTTCAAGTTTTGATGCCAAGTCAGTCAGATATAGTTTCAGGGTAAATATACGATGGCTGTGAAATCCAGACGCCGCAGGTTATGCCCCCTGCCTGGATCTTCGATCTATTCGCGCATGCCACGGTGAACGGGTCGAAGTTGTATCAGCGCATGGTCTTCTCCTTCCTATCTCGTTCACGACACCCCAGTTTGCTGTTACGTTGAACTCACGGTTGGCCATCTTGTGTTTCGGTGAGGTAATACCGTCTCGGGGAAACTCTGAATCCTGCAGCACCTCCTGTAGGTTGGATATATAAATTCAAGCAATTTGGTTTTGCTACAAACTTGTCAGACTACGACAGGTGCAGCGGATGCTAACACACCTTGGCTCGGACACCAGTGATCGATCGACGTCTAATTTCATATTTGGCCCAGCGTCTGTATCCAGGATAAATCAATAAGGCCTGCCCTAAATTTGATAAGTAATAAATAATACGAAATCTGTTAGTACCCTTTTTTCATCCCCTCACGATTTGGCAATTCGTCGTACTTACCCAAGTTTACAGTCGACGGTCTGCATCGGGAGGCCCTCGCAGGAGATGAAGTAATGGTGCATGGCATAGTTTACACCTCCGTATCTCCCTGCTGTCGATTTCACGACTGTGGGGCTCGTTAGTGTGGTGCACATTATAGTTATCGATACATGCATGTCTCATACTGGCAAATGTGACATCCGTGGGCAATGGTTTCTTACGTTCACAAGTATGGTCTAGCCTGGTCCTTTGATTAACGCTGTGTGCGGTGCTCGGTTTAGCTACATGGGTATACAATCCAATCTGTCTTGCTTATGTGAATTGAAAGTCCAGGTACACGTTGCGATACCGTGACCGTGGTTATATTTCGACTGTTCTGATTTTAACCCTTCATTTCATTGACGTGATTGCCCGCTTTTCCTCGAGTAATCTTATCCTTCAACTGTGGTCTCTCGTCCAGTATCTACGTTATTTGATTCCGCGCAGCTGCTGAAGGACCTCCGATGCCTTACAAGCTATCAGCCACACTATCAGCTCATTCCTCAGATGTAGGTTCCTCCAATCCACCAATTCTTGCAAAGGAATTGATCTGATTGTAATTTTCATAGGTTCGTGCAGTAGCTTCACCAACAGAAAGTATCATCCTTTCAGCATCGCGAGATTCCACCGCGATCTCCTGGAAACGACCATCGCCAACTGTCCCCTTCACTCCTTCATCTATCCTGCGAGCTGGGTCAAAATTTGTCAATGCTGTACAATATATCTCCCCGTCGCCTGAAGCGCCGCAAGGTAGGCTTGCCTGTGGTTAGCATCGTCTCACGTAGCATTGACCCAAGGTAGGATACGCTGTTGTTGGAGGGCAGGATACGGTCGTCAATATTTTTGCCTTGGGTCCAGCACAGAAAGAGGACCCTGAATATTCGCTGGTGGGACACACCGATAATGTCTGTGCTCTTAATATCAGCCAATCTGGCACCATCATCTCTGGGTCATGGGACAAGTAAGAATCTTCCATTGCTCACCAAGTGTGCTGTTCTAATATTGAACACAACAGAACCGCCAAAGTCTGGAAACAATTCCAGCTGGCGTATGATCTGAAGGGGCATCAGCAAGCAGTTTGGGGAGTCCTTGCCATTGATGACGAACAATTCTTGACCGGTGCGTGAGGCCATTCGCCGTCTAGCAGGTCAGTGACGGATACGTTTTCAATCAGCTTCGGCGGATAAAACCATCAAGTACTGGGTTCAACACAAGATGATGCGAACTTATGAGGGCCATAAGGACGCGGTTCGTGGCTTGACCCTAATACCTGACATAGGCTTTGCCTCATGTTCCAACGATAGGTAAGTTATTCTCACTATTTTTGGACGAAATGGGGTAGCTGATTGGGACTAGTGAAATTAAGGTGTGGACAATGCAGGGCGATGTGGTCTACACGCTATCTGGACACACTTCGTTTGTGTACAGTCTATCCGTTCTTCCGAATGGAGGAATAGTATCAGGCGGCGAAGATCGCTCTGTGAGGGTGTGGCAAGGTGCGTTATTGAACTGTGTCCAACCCCATGGCATTCACACACAAATATCAGACGGTGAATGTGTGCAAATGATTGTTCATCCGGCGATTTCTGTTTGGGCTGTATCCACGATGCCCAACGGAGATATTGTCAGCGGCTGTAGCGATGGTATTGTTCGAGTGTTTAGCGAATCTCAAGATCGTTGGGCCAGCGCAGCGGAGCTGAAGGAATTCGAAGATCATATCGCAAGCCAGGCTCTTCCGTCGCAACAAGTGGGCGATGTCAAGAAAGCTGATCTTCCTGGTCCAGATGCATTGCTCCATCCAGGTTGGCGGTCACTATTCACATGGATTTTGTGGGGTTGAATTAAAATTGCGTAGGTAAGAAACCTGGAGAAGTGAAAATGATAAAAAATGGCGACACCGTTGAGGCGCATCAGGTGAGCACTTGTAAATCAGCGAGATGATCATCTAAGCTAGTGTAGTGGGATAGTGCAACGTCAAACTGGCAAAAAATTGGCGATGTTGTAGATGCCGTCGGCTCTGGAAGGAAGCAGCTTTTCAATGGCAAGGAATATGACTACGTGTTTGACGTCGATGTGCAGGAAGGCGCACCTCCATTGAAACTCCCATTCAACGTGTCCGGCAAGTATCTCATACTCTCGTGCTGTGGACATAATTGATGTTTGTCTTCATTGCAGAGAACCCATATGTGGCTGCTCAACGCTTTTTGGAACAGAATGATTTGTCAACGAACTACATCGACGAAGTTGTTAAGTTCATAGAAAAGAATACCTCGGGAGTCAATTTAGGCGCCAGCAATGAATACGTTGATCCGTACACCGGTAGGCATTGATGTTTAGTAGTACGACATGTACTAGATTGCCATCAGGAGCATCAAGATATCAGGCTGCCGGTACCTCAGCCGTGCCAGCCCCGTCTACGGCTTACATGGACCCTTTTACGGGTGCAGCTCGGTACAGTGGTGCTCCTATCCCTACACCTCCAGTTCCTTCGGTGTCGCCTTCAGCACCGAAAATCATACCCTATGTAAGGTTTTTCTACACAGCGATAGCTGAGCTCAATGCCGACCCCTGCAGGCCAAGTTTGTCTCTTTCAAACAAGTTAATGTATCAGCAATGCAAGCAAAGTTGTACCAATTTGACGAAGCACTACGCAACGAAATTGTACGCACGCGATTGAGCTGCATTGAACAACCTTCTAAATCCAGACATGCCAGTCCACCGCAACCCTTGCAATGTACCCCGAAGAGTTGGAGACCATTGAAGAAGCCTTCGCTTATCTTTCCCAAGTCACTTCGACAACTTCCAAACCCTCTCTTCCACCTCTCAGTGGCACTCACGCAGGTGCTATTATACAGATTCTAGAGCGATGGCCGGCGTCCCAGAGATTCCCTAGTAAGCATCCCATCATGCCGATTTCATCATTTTACTAACTACTCTAAGTGATGGACCTAAGCAGATTGGTAGTTGCATATTGCGCGGATACCTCTGCCCCCGGTGGACGAGAACAATTTCTTGCATCCTTGTTCAAGGCATCTGATTGGACTGAAGTCCGATCACATGGGAAGGCTATGTCGAAGGCTCAAGAAACGAATATTTTGTTACTATTTCGCACAGTAGCTAATTGTTTTCAAGAGGGAAGTCCTGTGGAAGAAGGGCAGTGGGTCGCACAGGCGGGTGACTTCATTTTTCGGTCAAAGTGGTGGTTCTCACGGGAAACAGGTTTTCGAAGCGCTCAGACATACACCTTACGAACTTCTGACAAAGGTTCAGCGCGTGGCTTTGGCGACCATCCTTTTCAAGTATGACTTCACTGTACCGCATCAGGGGAAAAAAACTAAATGTTGAAACAGTTTCTCCTGTGCCTACCTGACAACGTCCGTCGCTAGAGAGGTGGTAAACCAACACATTGGATTAGTCCTTCAGGTACTTATCAGAAGCATGTTCTCGTCCATCAACTAAGCAGCTCCTAGTTGCTACGTTCAAATACAGATGACGCAGAGGTTACCTATCGCACCCTGGTTGCTTTGGGGAACGTGGTAAGCGTCCTCCCATTTCGTTTCAAGACTGTTTGCTCATCAATCAAGGTTTATGCCGGGAACATGCGCGGCATTTCACTAGATTCTGCACAATCTGCAGAATTGCAAACAGTAATGTCAGCTCTCCCAACATTCCCTGACGATAGAATCAGGAATGTGGTCAGCGAGATCAAGGCACTGCTTTGATTAACTGGCTTTTCTTGGGCGTGCTTGACGGATACGTTATACAAATACACCTCCTCGCGTGACTTAGGGGTCTAGACATCGCGGCATGGAATGGATAACTGATCTTTGGGGCGGATTGTGGTGGTTCATGGACTGATTAAATGATGTCCAGTCCACTGTTACCTTCATTGTACAAAGGTAGTCAACTAACCAGCACTTTTAAAGTGATCAGACCAAACCTAATAATAGATCTAAGTCCTCAGTCAGTTCTTCGTTAGCTCCATGACTATCCTTGCTCGGGTGTTTGTTGTGAGACACGGAGAGACGGACTCAAATTGCAACAGAATCGCACAGGGTCAGCTAGATACACAGCTCAATGCCACTGGTCTTGCACAAGCTGCGATGACTGCGGAGGCGCTCAAATCTGTCTCCTTCGACAAAGCTTTTACGAGTGATCTCCAGCGAGCTTCCAAGGTGAGACCGAACTTTTGAAACTATGCAATACTTACAGTACTCACTGATAACACTCAATAACTCATATGTCGTAGACTGCCGAGAGGATTCTCCATGGTCACACTGGCATCGAGCTGGTCCAAGACAGCGCGTTACGAGAAAGGGTGAGTGTCGAATTTAACTTCAAACTATTGAAAAGTTGGTCATCTGCTGGACAGTTTATGGGCGAGATGCAAGGCAAGAAGGGGCCAGTCGACATGAAAGGATTGAATGGCTTGTCCTCGATAGAGACAGACGACGCTTTTGTTCAACGTTGTATCACTTGGTATAATCGGGTGATAGTACTGACCGTCTCCGTCACCAAACCTGATGTCCCAGAGGGCCAATGTCAGAATATACTCGTATTATCGCACGGGGCGTTTATAACTACGCTCTTTCGTATCATGATCTCTACCAACTATGTTACGTGTCCTGCAGAGATGAAGCTTAGAGGCCTTCCTACATTAGGCAATGCCAGTATATCCATAGTAGAATACAGGACAATTCCAAGAGGGAAGCATAGAGAGGTGGAAGGTGACATATTGAAGTACGGGGATATTTCCCACTTGTGTGGACTGCGTGTCATGGAAGAAAATGCAGATGTAGAAGCCTAGTTAACGCCTTTGCCAATTGAACACTCATCTTGTTACCATCGCACACATTATCAGGGACAATAACATTAAGAGAAAAAGGAAGATCCCGCTATGAAGACAGTCGCAAGATCAACGGTAGAGCAAACATACACAACGTCCAACGCACCTAGTAATCCACCTCATGTCTTTCGCTGCTACTTGTTCTCTTTCTCGCCTTGATTTGTCGATGTATACGAGTGTAACAATTATGGTGTCCAGAAGCTCAGGCTGATCATCTATGTCCAAGATATGTTCAAGCTCGTGATCAATGTGGTTGTTAATGTCAGTGCTGTCATCACAATAACCCAGGTTGGACTTCGGCAGGTTGATATCAAGAAAGCCACATCGGGGGCGTCTCCCAGGAAGAACACCTAAACTGTATCGATGATATTGAGCACTTTAGCTCACACGAAGGTAGATGGATGTGGAATACAGTCTAAGGGCTTCAGGGTCTTGTGAAGTCGGCGAACCATGACAAGGGAGTCGTGCATTTCTCACCAACACTTCTGCTGGATAGCAACACTGTTCCCTACGTACTAGTTCTTGGCAGAAAGGCAGCTATTTCCTGCAGTGGGTCGTGTTGGACGTGCAACAGCGACAGTGTATCCCTTTTCTCTGTTTGTTATTACGGACTTCTCCGAGGCTACAGAAATACTTGTGGTTGTATGTTCCGCCATGCTCGCTTCCCACACGGAGTATGTTGGTGGATGACTTCCCGCAGCGTTTGATATGCGTTCCAAACCTTATATGCCGAGCGTTAAGCAATTTCAAACTCCGTACGTGAAACGCACCCCCTTCCAGTTTCAGATCGTCGTTCTAAACGACATTTCAATGTCCGCGACGATCGTTTAGTGCGTACCAGGTCTGTGCGTTATGCATGCGCCATGCGTGCCCCTCACCATGCAACAAGTTCATATTCTGGGGGATAACGCGGCGAGGATAAGAAACGACTCAGCAACCCTTGTGATATTTTCTGTATGTCCAAGTCTCCCAGATCCTCTCCCTTATGCTAATCGACGTTCGTTTCAGGTGCACGCTGCATTCTGCACCATGTGCAAATGTCACTTGAGCTGCTGGTTCACGCAAGAGGTCCATTTTTCCGTATCTTTGGATGTAGATGTTGCACTTTGTTATATAATGTGTGCATCTACATTCAATATATGTAGTACTACTGGTCTCTCACAAAGTCTCGAACTTTTCGTCATGCAGCCTGCCGGTCAACCCTTCGCATTTCCCTCACTTCCGCCTAGTTTCGGCATGTTACCATCAGGCCCTTATCCAGTGACCTAGGCCACACCTCGTGCTCTGAAGAGGAAGGAAGGCTGCTCGCGCTCTAAGATGGATGATGCTGCTATGTGCTACGTGTCGTGCTATGTGTCTATGTGCGCTGGACCTCGGAAACCCACAAGACCCTGGCACTCCTCTGCCTGCTCCTCCTGTCCGCTACTCCCGTCCCACCGGCAACCCCCGGTGCACCAGCTCCTTTTTTGCCCACTCAGCCCTATAGTATGCCACCAAGTATCTTGTTCAGCTCCGACAAATATCAGGACACCAACAGTTATGATGTGCCCCCTCCGTAATTCATCATCATCGTCCTCATCTTCATCAGCCAGAGCAAGGGAAAGCAGGCTTTCATCAGTCATGTCATATGCTATGTTTAAGGTTTAGTAAGTAGGATTAGATCATGAATTTTATTTGACTTGTGTCTACGGTTTGGAACGAGTTTCTAGATATATATTCCACTTGGCAGAACCTCCGAATTTTAAGGTTTAGAATGGAATCTAGAATTCTAAATGTTGCGGGAAGTCATCCAATATTAAACTTTATATATTCACCTGGATAACGTTGCTTGGGCGACAAAATATTATTTTATCAGGCTGGACGAATGCTCAATGTATCAACCTGGGACAACAAGACAGGAATACCCCGGGGTCACTGTGCAGCTGTGCGTTGTCGATGGTGGCAAACTATGATGAGTGACGCCTTCAACTGTCTACCGCCGACATCATGATGTCGGGTACATTTCTTCAAGCATGACGATTCACGATTGGAATTGTATCCAACTTTCACCCAATATACAGCTATGGGATGCTCATGAGCTGCTTGACCAGCCATTCATGCAGAAGGAGCGCAGACATCTTACTTGCCCTCCGATAGGTTGGATCAGCGTATTTGAAGCTGTTTATTTGCCTCGCTCTTGATGGTTGAAAACATATGAGCCCCCGGCTCGGATCTTGCAGTACCATCTGCTTTCACTACCATGCTTTAAGGCGACACTGCGCAACAGGAAAACAATGACTCCTGTCGCTATCATCATCCTTGACTTCAATATTCTCGCGCTCGACTATTCAGCCTTTCCTTGCCCACACAATCACTATAGGTCGATACTGCAAAGTATTTGGTACAGTCGGGTAACAGACAGGGGGACAAACAGGATGCCACCAGCTTGGCAAATGACGAATGACGTTGGCAGAAACCCGTGTCTCACTCCCGCTTGCCATCATCACCTCACCTCATTGCTGGGGCTCGGCCTGTGCCCCCATCGTCGATGATCGTGATTCATAACGTTTTCTTCTTCTACTCCTTTAGCAAGCACATTGTTCTGACTTGATCTGCATTGCGTGTAGGACTGTGAAGTGGGTTGGTAGATGCAAATGCTGACAATAGTAGCGCCACCTCAGAGAATCTACTTCTACACATCTAAATTATATTACCGACCAGCGGAGTGGAGAGGACGGTCTACATCGACGACTTCACCAACGTACGTGTGCCTACTCCGTAGTCTACCTTGACCAACAATTCATCCCGTTTACCTGTCAGGTCATTCACATCGCTAAATCCACACAGACCCATCGTAATGTGCAAATCACAGATGCTTTGCATCAAGATTTGCTCTACCCCTGCTTGGCCGGCTATTGCAAGCCCATAAACAATCGGTCGGGCAACTAAAGAAAAATTGTAAGATGGGAACAAAAAGAGCGGTGGATAACACACTTAAAACACCCTGTGCTCCGATTGCAAGCGCCTTGATTATGTCGCTTCCTGTCCGAATTCCAGAATCGAATAGGACAGTTAGTCTGCCCGATTTTTGCGCGTCAAGAACTTTCTGTGAGCGCATGATCATATCGAGCGCATCCAGTGAGCCTATTGCGCCATCTATCTGACGACCCCCTAGATTTCTCGATTCAGCACCGGCGGACAAACAGAAAATGTCGACAGCGATACTTACCGTGATTAGAGACGACAATCCCGTCGATGCCCATGTCGATCGCCTTCTCCGCGTCCTGGTGAGGCTGTCAGCGATAGCTCGTGACAACTCCGGGTGAGCGCACGTTGACGGCTTGTATTCCCTTGAGCACGATGGGACCATCCCAATTGTCCTTGACGAATTGAAGGTCGTCCCATGTTCTAAAAATCCCAGATCCTGTCTCGGCAAGCCACTGGCTCGCAAGGAACATCGATTGTTTCGTTTCTTCGTCACCTGCCGCTGCTTTCTTTCTGATGTCTTCTTGATCAAATGGAAATTTTGGATGCTCATGTCGGGCAGTGAGTCCATAGCGTTTCATGAACACCGGGTCCGCCATACCCTGTTGGACGCCGAATCCATGTCCCGCAGGGCTGTATCCGATGCGATGGTCATGTGTTCGCCATCCGATAATCATCGTGTCAACCGTGATAACGAGAGCAGTATACCCATTTTCCTTCGCGCGTTTGAGAACAGGACAATGCCACATCGGAAGAACGAGGCCTGTAATATGGTAAGGTATCGCCATATGGCACGAGATGGCACTCACCAGTAAAACTGATACCATCGTTGGCCGTTCGGTCCATTGGCTTCCGCCACATCCTCAAGGGATCGCGACGAAGAAGAACTGAGGATCATCGGTACACCGACTGCCGCAGCTGCACGAGCTGTCGCAAGCTCTCCGTCAGCATGCACCAGACCTTGTTTGCCGACTGGTCCTACGAATATTGGTGAAGAGACTTTCATACCCAAAATTGTCGTCTGACGGAAGGGATTAGGCGGCCCTTGGTAACTATCATTTCCAGCGCGCTTGCCTCAACATTGCGCGATGTGACATTTTTTAACACGCGCGGGACGAGCTTCCACCTTTCAAATGCCTTCCTATTGGCATCGTCGGTCGAGCAGGTACCTGCACTCTTCAGCGTGTACAGGTATGCGGCTATCAAACTTGTTCAGCTTCAGCTCTACCATCCGAATGCCGCAGCATACTAGAATTGTCCTTCATAACCTCGCGGGCTTTATCCTCGATTTCCTGGACATCGACCGTGCCGAGCACTGGCCCCTTGCCTGAACTATAAATCTGCGACAACCAGGATATCCATTTGTTGGGTGGTGGAGGTTGAGCTGCCATAGATATTGTTGGTCAACTGTGAGTTCCACCTGCTGCTAACAAAGGTTATTGCTGGAAAATTCTGTTGTGCAAGCTACATATATTCGAGTCTGATTGCGTGGCATGTCATTTCCGACGATAACGCCCAGCAACCAAATGCCAAACTGGCTCTTGGCGTGCACTGGCTCATTACGGATATAGAGATATGGTAAATCAAATATTTAGATATCCGGATTGGGGTTTGAGAGCCAAAAATCTGATAGGTCCGTGACGTCCGTCTGTCATAGTCAAGTTCTGTCGAGCCCGTTACATCTTACTAGTCCTTTTACAACATATTTGAGCAATGCAGTGACCATGCGACCTTGGTGTAACGATATCCATACCCCTTTCTAGGCGGAGGTTCGAGACGCCAAAATATCCAGGCTATCGGGAAGCAGCAAAAATGCACCCCTAAGTCAGGCTCAAGAACATCTTCGCCGAACTCGGGCTTGCTGATGCCACAATTCAAGGCATACCCCAAAATGCGGACTATCAGTCCAGCAGATTGCCAGCAGAAGAGGATGCTCTGTTGGACCGTGTCTCATTCACGATCAGACTGTGACAAGACGTGACCCGCTTGGTGACAATTTGTAACTCTGGTTTGACGAGATTACGATAAGCTTGTCGTGCACCCAAATGACAAATTGGCACGTCCTTTCATACTCATAGCTCGTTTATGTACGAAGCCGTTTGTTTGCCAGGTGTGCATCCAAAATCTAACGTAGTGAAAACAATTTCTCATGCACCGTGGCGCCTAAGCACTCGTGTGACGCACTGAAAGGTACGCAACAGCTGTGTGTTGGAGTGCATGTACATTGATATGAAGCTTTGATTTTGATCTCTGCAGATTTGATCTACCGGTATTACGATCTATCAGGTAGAGTCCTGTGGCAGTTACTTGCATTATGATGCTCAATATCACTGATATATCTCCCCTCGGATCCGTATGATCTTATCAGTCGGGACTCTGAGGCCCGCCATCTTGCACAAGGAGATCGTTCGAGTCAGATAAGCTACGGCCCGACTTCAGAGTATACTCTGGTGCCAAACATAATTTTAATAGCATAAAACAAGCCGTGACATCCGGTCGTTGCACGCAATTTTGAGAGGCATGGTATTCATTCCAAATGGAGGCAGGGGTATACGATACTTGCGCTATCTTGTCCTCGTTGACTCACAAGCACAGTGTACTACGGCGACTTTTCACGCGGTCCCACGTAGTAAGAAATACAGAGTGAAGTACAGAGCAACTCAAGACCCCCACTCTTTTTGCTGCTCCAATCAGACGCTGCCGATTGGGCGGAGGATACGACGTCAGCAGTAGGGCCCGCTGTGACCTTGTCACCAAGTTTTAACGCGATATCTTTTATGCAAAGGATGTAGCGGTCATGCTCGATGCGTGAAATGGTACTTTGCACTACGACGTGCTCAGAGACAGAAGACCTTGTGTTTCGGACAGGCGAGGCTGAGCTTGCGGATAATGCAGTAGAAATGCTCATAATCCATGTTGCATAAAAAATTAGGATCAATCTTTTCGAGAAGCCCTCTGTCATCCATTCGTGGAAATGAACCTGGTCCATATATTGCTGTTAACGTATAATTCTTTGCGCCCAAGAATGATTTTCCAGTGATTTGTTTGTATTTTATTTATTTATGCATTATGAGTTGATTATGAGCATTTCCACTGTAGCAACGAACACGAATGTTCTGCTGAGGAGAAAGACACATCGAGAGACGTCCACGTCAAAACTGTGATCCTATTCCAATGAAAAGGTCCCTAGAGTGAATCTTGAGAATAGGCAAGGCACAGTAGAGCATAACAGAGCACATTGTGAACCTGAATACGAAGAGCCCGTATCGTATCAGCGGGTGGACACAATTCATTGAGACTGAGTCGCTGGCAATGCGTTTTGGAGAATAATGAGGCCATTATTAGTCGTGGGCCGAGGGTCGCGGGAGTCTGGTTGGACGTCGACACATAGCACTAGATCTTCGATTAATCTGCTTCCTTCTTCCCATTGGGAACAGTTTTGGTCTTGTGCGAAATTCACATATGCTCCTTGCCATGGTTCACTTAGTCGGACAGGACCTTCGGAAGCCTTTAGACTGTGTTGCACGGTACCAGCTGTAGGTGAGCTTTATTGTCAAGCAATGAAGCAATAAAGCCCCTCGTGCAAGACACTACAATGCTGTCGAAGGGAAGTTGTGCTCGTCATCACCTGGGGCTCCAATCAGTTTCTGCAACCCTGGCATTCTAGATCGTCTCTTTCTCCCGTCGAAAAAGAACCTTATGTCGATATGATGATCTTTCCGGGCACCGTTGCTATGCCCTTCGAGGTCATGCCGCATGTGGACATGGTGGCCCAATACTGTTTGGCAGCCTCTGGTATATGGATGTTGCAGAGTCAGTTGACAGTTGTGGTGCATGGTCAGTGGTCGTTGACATTGTAGTACTCCCCAAGTAACCATGCAACATGAGCACCTCTGTTTAGTCCCGCTCCAATCTGAGGCGTTCACAGTTGTGTTGGCGAGGGGGTTCCGCCTGGTGTTGAGAGAATTTGAGTTCTAAAAAACACTGAAAAATGTTGGTTGACTGTGATAACCCCGTTGTTCGCATGTTAGTCAGTAAATTTGCAGTACACCACAAAGGACGACAAATAAAAGCGGCAATTTTTTTTACTCGTCCTGATCTATTGATATGAAGATAGCCTTGAATTTCACTCGCTGTGCGTCATCCAATATGGCGCATCAGAATAGAAATATGGAGTAAAAGTATGACAGAATAGAAAGGACTAAGGTAAACTCGCCCTGATCTGCATATCGTCGTATGCGGTAGAGTTGTTATGCAGCCTGGTGTCGACTACGTAGCAAGTGATGTCCCGCGGGTTCCCACCGCTACAAGAACTGAGGTATCGCCTATAACACAAGTCGGAGCGAAGGCCGCATGGAGCACGAAACATTGAGTGGCTAAGAGTGTAGCGCAGCCGGCACTCTGAGATATATCAAGACTTGACTGGAGGTTCAGTAGGGGGAACACCCAATTCAGGGAAGTCATTTGGCCTTGCAATTCTTTTGGGTTCCCAGTCTTGCTCTCCAGCAGCACTTAGTTTCTGATATGTTCACACTAGTAAGACCCTGAGAGAATTTGCTCACGAAAACTCACATAATATTCCTCCCTAATGTCAAACTTTTTCTTCTTGCGATCGAGACCTAGAGCTTGCTCGTTGCTAATCTATAAGACATTAAGTACATGATAAGGTTCCGCGTGAAGAAGTCAGACCTGCTTGACTTTCTGATCCTGTAGGTCATATCGGGTTTGCGTGAAAGTCTGAAGACCAAACGAGGCGCCAACTATGATGAGAAGAAAGGGGACACCGAACAGGGCAGGATGCCGCTTCAACCTTGACTGAAGCGGTGATGGGTTGACGGGGTTTGAGGAAAACGGCATATGGTGTTACAGGCTAGAGCCTGCGGCCTGGATGTTGTAGCAACTGCAATTGCTGGAGTTGACAAGCCTGTGTCAGACAATACAGCCGAACTCTGACTGCCTTTTCTGGATGATTCAGAAGCTATCCGAAGATGGCCGATAGCTATCATATCATCCATCTCAATTCTTTTCCACGTCGCAGCTTCTGCCAATTGGCTCAATCCGTATCACAGAAGCTCCTTTGTCCATGAGCGGTATGTCAGTCATTTCAGCACCATCGATCTTTGATTACCGACTCTCTCGCAGTCACCGTCGTTCTTGGTTCACAATGGGGAGATGAAGGCAAAGGCAAGCTAGTCGATATCCTATCGGCTGACTTCGACATCTGCGCGCGATGCGCAGGCGGTAATAATGCCGGACACACAATCGTTGTGCCTGTTGGACCGGAGAAAGTGAAGACTACCTTTGCTTTCCATCTTCTCCCAAGTGGTTCGTGACCAGTTCTCATGGTACCCTTTTGTATGGTACTGATCTATTCATTTGGTAGGTCTTGTAAACCCAACATGTGTGGGCCTGATTGGTTCTGGAGTTGTAGTTCATGTGCCTTCCTTTTTTAATGAGCTCGACGCCTTGGAACAGCAAGGTCGGATTCAATATGGTCGAATGTGGTTTAGCGATGACACGGTTACGCAGGCCTGAACTGTTCAGATAGAATATTTCTTTCAGATAGAGCTCATCTCGTGTTCGACTTCCACCAAATTGTAGACGGCCTGAAGGAAGTGGAGCTCGGTGGTTCCAGGTATGAACCTTCATGTGATTCTTCATACAATTCTTATCATTAACGATCTACAGCATCGGAACCACGAAGAAAGGGATAGGCCCGGCTTATTCCGGGAAAGCCTCTCGTTCGGGCCTCCGAGTGCACCACCTTTTGATCATGATACTTTTGCCCAAAAGTTTCGCAGGATCGTGGAGGGTCGTTTCAAGCGCTATGGTCATTTCGAATATGATACAGAGGGCGAGATTGCGCGCTATAAGGTTGCATCTCTCATGCTTTCCCTGTTACATCTCATCGCTGAATATGACGTAGCTTCTTGCACAGCGGTTAAAGCCCTTCGTTGTCGATAGCGTACAGTATATTCATGGCGCGCTGGCGGCGCGCAAGAAAGTCCTTGTTGAAGGTGCAAATGCGCTCATGCTTGACCTGGATTTTGGGACCTATCCCTACGTCACCTCATCGTCTACCACAATTGGCGGTGTATGCACTGGTCTTGGCATACCTCCTAAAGCGATTGGGCACACCATTGGAGTTATCAAGGCATATACCACTCGAGTTGGAGGAGGACCATTTCCAACTGAGCAGCTTGACGTTGGTCTTCTCGTAAACAGCACATATTTATATATTCACGTATTTTCAGCACATTGGCGTCCACTTCCAAGAAGTCGGAAAGGAGTATGGCACTACCACAGGCCGAAGGAGACGTTGCGGCTGGCTGGATCTCGTCGTTATGAAACACTCATGCCTCATAAACGGTTATGATTCACTCAACCTAACGAAACTAGATGTCTTGGATGAATTAGAGGACATCAAAATCGGGGTCAAGTACATGATCGATGATAAAGAACTCCAATACTTCCCAGGTGAGTTAACCATCGAACAAAGTGAAGCATTATTCACAATCTATCAGCCGATCTTGATGTTCTGGCTAAAGTCACAGTGGTCTATGTGACACTTCCTGGGTGGAAGACGCAAATAACGTCGATAACATCGTTTGACGACCTCCCAGATAAGTGCAAGAGTTACGTAGGATTCATTGAGAATTTCTTGGGTACGCCTATAGAGTGGATAGGTGTGGGACCAGGACGTGAAAGTATGCTGAAGAAGACCGGCAGGATATTAATGTCGAATTAGCATGCAATACAAGTTCAAACTCCTAGACAAAGTATTAGACTATTCTAGCACCTTATTCTCACGCCTACCGGTGGTTCTGCGTAACCGTGTTTGGTCTCTCCTTCGTCACTCTCTGTCACGACGACGGTCACCCTCGCTGAAGACGCCGTAACAAGCGTCACAACTAAGGCTCAGTCACATCCGGACAATGCATGCTATGGACCCAGGGGCTCATCATAATCCATCACAGAGCACCCTCACACCAGTTTCATCTTCCCGTAGACGTTCGCGAGAAAATGAGACGCCTCAACAAAGGCAAAAACGAGAGAAGGCTGCGGAGCGGCAGCGCAGGAAACGCGAGCGTGATCGTACTGTCAATAACATCAATGCAATAATGGCATTCACACAACCCACGGATGCCCAAGCTCTTCCCCAGCCTCAGCCATCTCAGCCACCTACTCCGACTTTTACCGGTCAAGAAATGACGCCTGAGGAGCTTACTAGGCGCGAAAGAGTCAGGGCAGCCGCCCGGGAACGGCAGCGCAAACACCGGAGTCTTGTTAAGCAGCGGAAGATGCGGGAATTGGGACTAGATATGCCCAATGAAATGATGCAGGGGATGGAAGAGTACAGGGTAAACGGAGACGGCCAGTATCAACAGGTGCTTCCTCATGAGATGCCGCACCAACCGCATGGAATGAACCCGCAAGACGGATCCTTCCCTCAAGCACCACCTCCACAACTTACCGGCGGACAAAATTTTGCTTCAACGCTACTCCTATCTTTCTCCTGCGCACCCCTTCTTAAACAACATCTGCTAAGGACATTGGCGATCACGAGCGAGGAACTCGCATCCTTGGAACCAGTCATAGCAGAAGCCTTTGATCAATGGGATCATCAAGTATGAGCCACTGTACCTCATATTTGCCGAAATAACTCACTTAATATTAGCGTCGCATGCACTACGCCCAACAAGCTGCGGCCAAAGCTGCAGACGGCTCTATTCCTGGACCATCGGCTCCCCCATTCCCAAATGTTGATATGGCCGACCCTGGTAGCAATGGATTCGGGGAACCTCCTCAGCCCCACCCCAGCGAGTTTCGTGCTCGATTCCACCGCCCTTTAGTGGCACCATCCCCTTTCCGTAATTTTAATCCTGATACCTCTACAACTGCCACGACTTCTACGCCAACTTCAACCACGACGTCGGGGCCTTCGTCAGACCCAATAGATCCACATCTCAACGCCGTAGTGACACCTGGCGACACCAGACAAAAGAGTGTGACAGCTTTGGATCCAGACTTCGGACAAGCCAAAGGAGAGGCGGAAGGGGTAGCAGGAAGGTTGGAGAGGTCATGACTTCCGTTAGGAGCTTCTGGTCGTGATCACACGCACATCACGTATCACATGTAGCTTTTTATCGCATTCCCCATCCCTCATATACTTATTCTAGCATCGCATCATGTTAACTGTAGGTTAATGTGCCAGCTTCCCTGAGGCTGTAGTATCCTGTCTCGGTGCCTGATAGTGTTATGCGTCTCCATAATGCGGAGAGCACACTTATTTAAAAACTTGAGCGATTGGTCCTCGGGTCCCCTCCAGTATCATGAAAGGACGTGGTTTTGGTTTCAAACCGTAAAAAAACTAGCTGTAAATATGAAGGCAGAATGGGCAAGTGTACATTAGTACACGTTGTTTACGATGAACAACGGGTGACGAGTCCGAATCGTGGTATGAAGTGAGAAGGGGGCGATTTGAAAGCTATACGATTCATGATATGGCCTTCAATGTGATGGGTGTCGCTCTCAGGCCACAGACTTATCTAGAACATCATGATTCGTTGGAATACATGATTTATGTCTTTAAGCATCAGCGCTTCCGAAGGCGACATGAGGACAGATGGAATCACCGGTACTCTGAGAGCTCATGAAACGTTGGAGCATCAACGTTCAGCGCCGCAGCCCTCGACATTAAATCATACGATGATATGTCTGGTCACTAAAATCAATGATGATCAATTCAATGGAGATCGGGTTGAAGCTCACAGATAATTGCACCCTTAATTAATTAATACTCTTTGCTCGACAGTAGTAACCTGCGGCCACTCACCGGAATTTTCATGCACCAATATTAATGCAAATGGCCTCTCCCAGCAATATCCTGCACGTAGTTAACACATGTGCCCCTGGCAGAAGAGCTTCAGTTCGTCCGGCCCTGCTTGTCATGTCGCCAAATAGGAAGGTTGTGTTGAACCGATTGAAGCTCCGATTCAAAAAGGCCAAATTCGAGCAGCAGTGCTACGAAATACGCAGAAAGCAACAGTTCTAGCCTTTGACGACGACCATGGCACTGAGTTTTATAGGGTATGTGGATTTTTGACTCATTTCGCTATCGTTACTGATTAGCACTGCTCAGAAAACCAATATCTCTCATATCTCATTCCGATGTACGGTATCGGGGAATACTGGCGGGCATTGACCCTGCTGCTTCCACGATCCAACTCTCAAATGGTGAGTTTGACTTTCAGCAGTTATCCACTTGGCCTTATATGGTTGCTAGTGTTCTCTATGGGTACAGAGTCGAGAAGGTGAGTCTTTGTCCTTCCTGTGGCACCGCCAGTTTGCCTCGCCTTCTCCTGTATGACGCGTAATCTGACATCAAACTCGCGTCAGGCCACCCTCAGAATTCATTCCTCCCGTCCAAGAACCATACCAATACATAATTTTTCGCGCGTCTGAGGTCAAAGATCTTGCAGTCGATGAACCAGCTCCTCTTCGTAGTGTTCATGACGATCCTGCAGTGCTGGGGGTGAGTGACGTTCCTCACTTTGAATACCGTAAGAATTTAGTATCGTAGGCGTCTGCTCCTGGAACCCAACCTCAGTACGGCGCATACGGCGGTCCCCAATACCAGCAGCCTGTCGCGGCCCAGCCGCCACCACCTCAAGTTCAGGCTCCTGCTTATCCTCAGCCCGTGCCAGTACAAGATGCGCCAGCTCCTCCGATGGTCCCCGTCGTACAAACGAATGACGCACCAGGCCCTAGCACTGGCCCGAGCCGTGTCAATTCGGTGCACACCGCTGCTGCTTCAATGGAAACAGTTCAACGCGCTTTAGGAGACTTACGTGGATCTGGCAATGCTGTGCCCACGCATGGAGGTCGTGGCGGCCGGCGTGGTCATCACGGCCATGGTGGGGAGACCAAAGATATTAAGGTACCTTCAACAGATTTCGATTTCCAGAGCTCGAACGCTCGGTTCGACAAGACGGCAGTTGCACCAAAGAAGAAGGATGGCGACAATGAGAATGACGTTCCCTCCGACCGTGACTCGTCGACGGACAAAAAGGATGATAAGGAAGATGTGGCCTATAACCCAACGAAGTCATTTTTCGATTCTTTATCGTCTTCAACGCAGGCTGCTCCACCACCAACACGAGGCACCGGTGGACGGCGAGGTGGTGGAGGCAGAAATCGTAGGGAGGAAGAGAGGGAGCGTAACGTTGCTACATTTGGTGAGCCTGGGGGTGTAGGACTGATGGGCCCAGGCGCTTATGTCGGAGGTTGGGGTGGATATGGACGACGAGGAGGACGTCCAAGGGGGCGTGGTGCGCCTCCCGTCGGGGGCCGTTAGGTACCTATAATTCTTACTTGCACCAGTTGTCTGTTCATCTTTGCTGTTTCAGGCTAGTAATCACTTATCATCCAGTAGTACGGAGCCCATACTCCATTCGTGTCGGCGACTATGTTCCCTCTAAAGAGATTCGCATGTGCTTTTCGCTGATACATCACGCAACATACACTTCGTTGCAGAATGGGGGCTTCCAATATTTTCTTATCCCAATCTCAACTTACTGTCAAACAAACGTTACAGTGTTAACGATGCGGGACCTCGCCGGGAATTGTAGTAAAATAAGTGAACCTGCATCAGTAAATGCGAGTTCGCACGAAAGTGCTCACAAAACGCTTGTGTGCGTATACTTTTTACACCTGAGACGCAGCCAACAAAGGGCAGATGGCCTATGACTAGCCCAGGCCTGCTAGCTGCCAATATTAATATGAATCAATCACACTATTGCCACCGAAGTGTAAATATATCTCTGGCATAATGAGCGACGTCGTAAGCTACCCACCAAGTTGGAGAAAGATAACCTTCCTCATGACTGGGCACATTCAGGTGCAGGACTCACGATGCGACTTGACTCTCCCAGTATTTATACCCGAAGTTAAGAGAATGGGCGGCCAGAGTCGAGTTTACCTTGGCGATCCGACGTCGCCTTCCTCATACCCTAGTAGTGCGCGGCGGTCACTGTTCTTACGCGTTGGTGCTGCCTTCTTCGCAGGATTCTTCGTATGTCTGGCTGTAGTTGCGCAATACGCCTCGTCAAACCAATCATGCTTGCCATTTTCACTCTTCACTGCTTTACTGCCTACACATGCAGGAACACCCGAGTGGCATCAATACCCTCCGGCTGAGCCAACTAACGCGTTTCCCTCCATGTTTCCATCCAGGTACGTTCCTCTCTAGCTGCCGTTGTTTTTCAAGATTGGAGCTGTTGTTATTTAGTGTTGGCTATCCGGGTCCAACACATGCAGGTGCCGAGCCTGGCGTAGCTGCTACAGCTCCTGCCTATCCTTTACATTCTGGTTTAGTGCACCTTGTATCCCCTACGCGTTTTTCTCAGGACAACACAAAGGCCAGAACGAAGGATTTCGACATTTTCCGTAGCTGGGGAAGCTTATCCCCGTGGTACTCCATCCAACGTGGAAAATTTGGTATTGATTCTGGTCCAGGAGCACCCGATACCTGCAACATCACTGGCGTGCATCTTCTACATCGTCACGGTGCACGATACCCTGCTGACTACTGTGAGATGACCATATCTAGATTCTTAAACATCTTCTGAGAGAGGTTTGCGCAATAGCTAGAGGTACTGGACCGGGTGGGTTCGCCTCGAAGTTGAACATGAATGCAGAAAATGTCACAGCTACCGGGCCTCTTTCATTTTTGGACGACTGGTGAGGTCGCTTAGAAAATATGAACAAGGTAGCCGATGTCTGACCCCACTTCTACAGGACGTACAAGCTAGGAAACGAAGGTAACAGTCATGTATCAGAATGCAGCTCCAACGCTCAATTATTGTCAGGATTGACACCTTTTGGGAGGTCTCAGTTGTGTAAGGGAATCATCACCTATTACAGCAGCAGATTGTGATATTCATATAGTCGATCTCGGCGTGTCGATGCGCATGAGATACGGGTTCCTTTTGAAGGTTGATTTCCACGTCTCCCTGCTTTATTCTTCAATTTGACCATACCATTCAGAATTTCAGCGAAACAAACACCTTGCCTGTGTTCAGAACGGAGTCCCAGTAAGCATTTCGAGAGTCGATCATTCGCATTCTGAAGGTGACGTATGAAGAACACGGATGTTAAACTCTGCGCAAAACTTTGCTCTCGGATTTTTTGGTTACCCTCTCGAGGGCCAGTATCAACAACAAATCATGATCGAAGCCAAAGGTGTAAGTTATTTGAACTACTCTAAGATACCCGACTGATAATACGTGCATGTTAGTTCAACAATACTCTTGCCTCTTATCGGTCTTGCGCCAATAATGACATTCCCAGTAGGGGCTACCGTGGCCAACCATATGCTGATGCGTGGAAAGCAGTGTACCTCAAAGATACCGTTCCTCGTTTGCAGCAATACCTTGATGGGTTTGAATTGGAAGTTGAAGATGTTTACGCCATGCAAGAATTGTGCGCCTTCGAGTCGGTCGCTCTTGGTTATTCCAAGTTCTGCGAACTCTTCACGCAGAAGGAGTGGGAAGGCTTCGATTATTCGTGAGAAACTTCTCCTATGCAGTTTGCACATTGCTGATCTCAACCAGATACGATCTTAACTTATGGTGCGTTCTTTCCTTCGCTTGCCACCGAAAGTTAGAATTCTGACAGAAAAACATAGGTACGGTGTAGCTTGGGGCTCACCTGTTGGTAGGGGAGAAGGAATTGGCTATGTGCAAGAACTTGTGGCTCGTCTCACTCAGACACCGATTGAAACACATAATAGTTCCACTAATGCGACCCTTCATAATGCTGTCACCTTCCCCCTTGGACACAGCCTTTATGTGGATGCGACGCACGAGGTTGTAGTATTAAATGGTCAGCTCGTTGATGGACTTGAACTTGGGGAACATTCTGATCTTCGTTCATTGACAGTCCTTACTGCATTGAACCTTTCGAGCTTCGCAGCGATGGGACCATTACCTACTGATCATATTCCAGAACAGCGCACGTTCAGGACAGCAGAGCTTGCTCCATTCGCAACCAATGTACAGTTCCAGCGTAAGTAATCCCGTGATCCTTCCAAATTATACCTGATTTTTTTCATCTTCAGTCTTGTCGTGTTCCACGGAACACGATCCACAAATTCGTGTGATCGTTAATGATGGTGTTGTGCCGCTGACGAATCTAAAAGGGTGTCAAGATCATCCAGATGGGATGTGCTCGATCCATGCTTTTGTCGATGCGCAGAAAGAGAACATTCGGAGTACAGACTGGAACTTCGTTTGTAACACCGATTGGACAATCCCCGATGGATGGGAAACTACCACAGGCTACCCTCCTCTTTAAATTCGCCGCCAAGTGTGCATGCATTCTGGTACTATAAAGCACTAGTGTGTTGTCGATAATAATCCGGCAAAGAGCCATACCTGCGAATATCATGAATTACCTGGATGTTGGCAGTGACTTCACCGACTCAACAGATGGCCTTCTGTTCCTCTAAACGATCATTTCCTATTGGGTCGGTGGCTCAACAGTCAGTAGGTACTTAGTCTCTGCTCACTATGCACCGCAGTATGGATGCGAGCGATGAGCAGAACTTCTGCAGCGCAGCCATGCTCGGTGTTTCCGACATGTAGAGCCTACGAGTTAGCCTGCAGAAGATGAATACGACTATGGTTGTTGAGACGACATTTACCTCGCGTTAAGGTGCATCCCGCGTCAAATTATCATCGCTGTCTCGTGAGGTTGAATCTGCGCAGTGCGTAGGGAACTTTGCATTTTCCGTTTTGTGTCTGGGTCCACCTGCTAGTATACTTTGCTTTGTGTTACGCTTCGGATGTGTTTCACTGAATGTCTGCGTCTAAATGATGTCTGTACATAGTATCTACGTTGGTTATTGTAATATCATTTATCTCTATCCCATCGCATAAGTACATGTCTGACTCACTCCTCGGAGAATAAACCTGATGTGGCTGTGCTATGCCGCATGTCTAGATTTTGGTTACTTCCCCCACCTAGTAATGCAAGTCTTTTGCTCGTGAAAATGATGTCCATCACTCGACACGCAAGGAACATCTTGATTTTGGACAGAAGCTTTGGGGGAGCTATATCAAGAGGTTATGCGACAGTAACCGAGTTGCCCCGACCCCCTCCTCCTACCGCAGAACCTCATGTCGAGACGTTCTCTGCACCATCGAAACCAAGACTATATTATACTAGACCTCCTCTTAAGGCTGACCTTCCTCGCGTTCAGGTTCGTGCTTTGCTTTGATTCTATCTACGTGCACGCATTCCACTTATCCGACAATACAGAAACGTTGGCCGTTCATTCTTGCATTCGCCACCCTCGGTGTTTCTGCTTGGGCTGCATTTTTACTCTTCGCGACAAACCAAGAGAAACTATCGAGTTCTGTTGTAAAGCGAATAATGCAGACGGTTAGGGATAATGAAGAACTGAAGGAGATGCTGGGAGATGCGATCCGACCTGAACCTGCCTGGTACTTGAATGGCGACCCTTGGATAAATGGCTCGGTGACTACGACTGGTTTCGCAGCATTCACTTCATCTCAATCTCTTTGCCTAGATCAACCTCCCACAAGGCAACGTGGATCTAAGTTTCCGTCTAAAGGGCCACTTGGGCTCCGGCACTCTTTATTTTACGAGTATTCGGAAAGCCAAAGGACAGCCGTTCACTCCGCGTGAGTTCCTATATGATCATCCTTCAGATCTCCGACGCTTATCATGACTCTAATTAGTGAGGTTCCGCGTCATCGGGGATGATAAGAGAATTGTGAATTTATCCTCTCATACTTCAAGTTCGGCCATGAGCGCCGAGCGTTTGTAACCTTTGTCATTCCCCAACGTGGGTTATTTGAGCCACATCCTCAAGAAAACCTTGGCTGCGTTTCTTGCAGCGTACGTCAGCGGTATATAATCACTGTCCTTCATTGCAGAACATACAAGTAATAGCCTTGTTGGGGGTCCCGTAAGACACCCTTAATACAACCTCAATAACACTATTGTGTCATTCAAAAGCGTTGGCTGGCCCATGCATCTCGAATTTTATCTGAGTTTGAGGTGTTAAATTTTCATCTCGCCCGAGGGGTGCTCTTGTAAGGTTAGTCGAGCATTATGGTTTTTCATTTTTACTGTCGGTCCAATCGATCATCGATCATCTGCTGTTCATGGTGGTTACGATAATAGACTGCACTTTGAGTTTACACCATCTCTCCGAATCTCGTCAGTCTCTCGAATATCTTGAAAATGCTTCCGCTCAAACTTGTTGTTATTATAGTAGTCTTTCACGAAAGTGCTAGCAGCAAGTTTCTTCTACGGCAAATGATGTGATGGAACGATTATGATACCCTTGGATTGTCATGAGCATCAGTCTCTCGATCAGCTTCAGTCCACACAAGGGCGGAGAATTGTTGTGCTACCAGTTCATGGGGATCAAGAACAGATTCTCGGTGTCAGCATTTGAGAACGTCAGACATGTGTGGGACTGCGGTATACAGATCTTGTGATGTATGGAAGTTACTATCACTGTTACGTAGCATAATCCCATATTCTAGGCTCTGGCGTATACTAGCTTCAATTCTATGAAGACTATCCTTGACGGGCTCAGTAAGTCTCAAGTAAAAGCTTGCGCTTGGACATTATATAAATGAGCATACTCTCCCTGATGGTTCAACAGCTCCTGGTGCGTTCCCGTCTCAACCACAGTCCCTCCTTTCATACACCTGGGTTCGTCGTTCACATCAGAATGAAAGGCAATGAACAAAAAGGGATACGCACAAGATGAGATCGGCAAACTTGGTGAGATGCCCAAAACGGTGCGTGACGAATATCATGGTTCTTCCTTTGCGTGCTTCCCTGAGCTGCTTAAACAGTTCGTATTCGCCTCCTGGGTCAAGGGCAGAACTTGGCTCGTCGACTATAACAAACTTGATGTCCTCAGACAGCATACGCATAAATGTCCGGGAGCTGCGCGAGTTACTTCAATGTCAATGAGCCAGGGTGGGTGGACTCACGCAACAAGTCTTTGTTTCTCTCCGCCTAAGCGTCATTAGTACACGCACCATCCTAGCGAATGAGACGTACCAGACACGTTTGTTGATTTCTCCATCTTCTCGTACTCCTTTTCTAGGACCTCGTTTCCCCTTCCTGTATAGCTAAGAGAGGCAGTCTTGACAGGTTCGAGGACAGTGTCATATCCGTTGGTGAAGTTCTCAATGACGTCCTGAGCACCAGCTAACTTCGCTGCTTGAGTAATTTTGTCGAGATTTGTTGCAGATGATGGTGACCCGATCCCGATGTTCTCGCTCAAAGAAAGTGGGAATATGGTATGCTCCTGTGTTAGACTAGCTGTCACAGACCGCAAGTCTGCAATTTGATAATCTTCGATGGGATTTCCGTCAACTAAGACAGTGCCCGATGTAGCGTCGTAGCAGCGAGTCAGGAGCTTGAGTATGGTCGATTTTCCTGAGCCGTTTGCGCCGACGATGACCACCAATTGACCTGCTTTTATCGAAAAAGAGACATCCTTCAATGCATCTCTTTCAGACTTGGCACCGGGATAGTTGAACGATACGTTTCTGTCAGTGAGAAGATGACGAGGAGCAACCACACAAAACTTGAGATTCATACCGAACTTCTAACGAGACACCCAAAGCACCGGCTGCTGGTGAATACGGCATACAACCGTCCTTCATCTTGTTCTTAAGATCGAGAAGTCTGTAAAAATTCTTCACGCTGGCCAATTCGCTCGGCCAAAGGGTGATGATGTGCCTAGCGAAAGCAAACGTGTATCGAAGACGTGTGGCGGTTTGTTCTAGCATAGCTAGCTGAACAACAGATACCTGACTTGGATTCATAAGAGCCAACAGCCCGATATAGAGCTAACAATACATCAGGAAAGTAGGCGTATAAAATTACATGAACTCACAACAGGTCCGTCATTGCAGAGGTTAAAAAACATATTGGGCAGAGCAGTCGTTGATCGTCTCCACAAAGTCTCAACGTCTCCGTTAGGTATGTGACTCAGTGCATCGTGCACTCTCTGGTACTCTTAAAGAGTGATGTAAGTGATTATGAAACTCAAAGAAAACTCAACACTCAACCTTCTAAAAGATAACTTGATAAATTGCCTCCCATCACCTCAGCTTTGTATGTGTGGTCCGTGAGCAAGGTCAAGGCCTCTTGCCGCAAGTAGTCGCCATTGATTGCCTGCTTCACGTAAGCTACGAAATGTCAGGTCAGTCTAAACAAAATAAACAGGAGTACAAACCTTTGCTCCAGAGCTGATTGTCCCACATATTTTCCAATAACAGGGGCAAAAAACACAATAGGATCGAGACAGGTCCGGCACTTGCAAATTCGGAGCCTAAGAGATGCAGCAATAATCGCAATTGGAGCAGAAATGAAATAATCTCCTTTCCAAGATCAAGTAGTCGTACAAGGCAGCGAAATACCAGTTCAGGGTCGGTTGTAAGATGCGCCTCGTTATCTTTTACATACCTTACTTGAGCTCATCATTCTACAAGTCATATGACCGCCACTAACCTTGGGAGGTTTCAAGATCACGCGCAAGATTTGCTAACAAGGCATTTTAGTAGCGTTGAAATGAAGGTTAAGGTGCTGATACCTCGAAGTAACCGCTCTTGAAGTCGGTAATTGACGAGCATGCAGTATTGGTCTTGTACATTATTCCTATTATTACCTACGATCAACGTAACTTGACCAAATTCGACGGAAGCTTACGAAGTCCACTGTACAAATCCGCTGAACGCGGAGCATGAAGCTCGAGCAATGATAGCCATACACAGATCTCTGTCTAGACTCGTGTGAACCTTGCCTTGCAAAACAGAGCGTTGAATCTTCAGAAACAATTAATATACGAGGCATCGTCAAGAAGAGCCCACCCACGAGAAGTAGAAGGCGGTTTGAGAAGTAGAGCGACAATGGGTCCTCAATTGCATACCAGAGGTGTGTAACCACCATGAGCCAGAACAACATGGGACTAATGGAGTGAATATCCTTGTATCCGCGAGTCAAGAGGGGGATATGTGTCGATATAATACCCCACTGAAGATTGGGGAGCCTGAATGATGACGATTCATCAGCGGCGATCAGTACGCGCCACACCCCAAGCCTTCGTTCAAGGAGTGGCGTTCGCTCTTTCTGTGCGTCAGTTGGGGGCATGATACGCCGAGTCCAAAGGAAATTGAGCATGATTCGAGCGAAACCACTGGTAGGATGAGACGCTGTGGGATTGAGATAACGGTATGACTTTTATACCAGGCAGACGGCCCGTGACGAAGTCAACGACTCAGCTGATGAAAATAACACGCGTCTAGTGGCGGAGTCTGACATACAGCCCCAAGAGCGCTGAGGCTCTGTAAGATGAGCAATTGAATTTCTCATGAACGCAGTCGGAAATGTGTAGTCCCCGAGCATAGTCACCGATCGAGAACAAGGCAAGACATACATTGACGCGGGGCGAATAGTAGTACAAGGCAGGTCTCCACGCAGAGCTCGACTTGCAACTTTGTCTAAAGATTGAGCTTGGAAGTTTCTAGCATCCGGGCAAAGATAAACGATTAGCCGACTACAACTTGATGTAACTCAGGCGCCAAGACCCAGGCTCTGGTCTTATGTAATACAGGCTTTGTCGTCGGAGCGCTGTGATGGCAGTACTATACAGCAAGCATATGTTCATTTACCGACATTCTGGTCCGACGTGGACACGGCCGGTGACCCAGCCTGATCTGAAAGCCAAGAGTGTTCGGCTAGTCTGGGTACGTACTAGTACCAAAGTAGGCTTTCCCTGAAGGCGCCACCGAAGTAGACCGTTGACTCAATCATGGTTTACAAACCTGCGATCCCCCACTTGCAGAACCAACCCGTTCTCAATCGATAATCAAAACACGCCATCAACATCTCACATTCGTCCGAAGACATGTTGAACACAAATTTCACCCCAGGATCTCTCTACATTGCAGGATTTGCACAATTTAAAGCACGCGCTCCCCGCGTCGGACTCATCCCCACCAGCCGCGCCTCAGGCTGCCTTGTTTACATCCGCATCGTATCGTGACGTGTCGCCCATCTGGACACACCATTGCGCATCGAAGGTGACATGTTCATCTCATCGCTGCTCCGCACGAGGGACATCAGCACGTATCCCATCACTCCAGCGCAGGTCGTCCTTAGGCCTCAGAATGATAATTTTGGGGAGTGTCTCCCGCAGGTGCTGGCAGTCGTGCAGAAGTTGCATGATACGGAACCTGTGGTCTTGAATGATGTTGAAGCGCTGCAAGACGAATTCGTACGTTTTGCGGAGGACAAGGTATATGCCAGGAGGGACAAATTTCCCGACATCGCTGTCTCAGTTCTGTCAATGAATGACTACTGGCTGAGTAATAGTATCACGTCTGCCCAATGTCTCCTGGTATTGAAGAGACTTTGGGAATACTAGCCTGCATCTAAACATGCGCAAAAAGTCGCGACATGGGATAACCCGGCGATGTGGCTGGATAACGCATACACGTGCATCAGAAAACGAAGCAATCAGTAAACACGCACCCTCTTAAGCGATTGACTCGAGCGCCTCGAGGCAGGCATGATTCGGGAGTCAGGATTCGAAGATACTAATAGTACTAGAACCGATCGGTGACATGTACACTAACGATTAGGGTGGCAGCTCGAAGGCGCAATCGTATGTAGACCTGCAAGAGATTTAAATGGTGTTGTACTGTGATAAAATTGAGGGAACAAAAATTGGGAAAAAAATATACAGATAGATCAAGGGGCCGGGTCACGGATACACATGAAAGATAAAACCCAGTCTTTTGTCTAAAACAGGTTTTCATAATCTTGATAACCGTAGTGCCGATACCCACGCCTGGAGCCATGATGATCTATAGCGAGAATTAATCAGATGAGATAGGCGCCCGTGATTGAGAGGATAACGATGCAGAAGCTTTAAGGGATCGGAAGGATGGTGGAAATGGACGCACAGGAGCTGGTATCGCGCTCTTGACTCAAACCCGCAACAGTACCGAGGTTGATATATCCCTCTGATATTGATGCCTTTCCCTTCCCGGAGGCCTGCCCACCTGTGCCAACGTTGACCCATGGGGAACGGCAGAAGACACAAGTAATGTTGTGTCCACAGGATTTAGCCCCTATGTCAATACATCAGTCCCATGCTTCAATCGTAGTAAGTAAACGACGCGTACATTGTGTGAAGCACTCCTTGTGCACGGCATTCCCACAAGTCTCGCACCAGATGAGGGTGTTCCCGTCTGCGCCATGCATGCTCTCGTAGCAGATGGGGCAATCGTCCTCTGGATCAGGTGCGCGGCGCTTTTTTACAAGCTCGGACTCTTCCGATGGGGCAGCAGCCTTGCCAGTTGCGCGTGCATATGCATCGCGAACACGTTGGTTAATGACAGAGTTGGGTGCCGGAGGCGCGTGCGCAAATATTTCTTGAAGTTCGGAGGTGAGAAGTGCTCTGTAGAGTGATAATTGAGCGGTGAAAACTATATCGACGTGATGATTGACTTTTGGTACCACAAGCTGGAGCTCTGGTTGACTTGGAGAACTGTAAGAGAGGTTCAGTCGTTTGCGGGGGCAGTAGCGGAAATAGAACTGCGAGCACCTTTCAAAAAGATGAACAACTTAACGTAAGATGGTTAGAAATGAATGTGATTGGAAGCAAGAGCGGCCTTACTATGTGCTTGCAGTGATTACCCTTACTGGCATCTGGACCTGTCAAACGCCGGAGTCAGGGGCTAATTGAAAGCGAAAGAAAACGCGACATGCAGTTGCAGGATGGTGTTTTGTCGATGATGACAGTATACACCTATGTTGATGTGAGCGTATTGAACGACCGAATAAAGGAGCACGTACATTCCCTGTAGAGCCTAACACGCTGAACTCCTCACGTAGTTCGTCGCCGATACGCTTCCTGTCAACCATGAAAAATCTTGGTTGTGATCGATGACATGTTTTACCAAATACAAGAGGAACACGTTACCTTTGGGACATGACCCTATCTACGCGATCGAGAATATTCTGCGGACATTTTTTCTTGAACATTGCACCGCGTTTTTCTGGCGCAGGCTCATTAGGGTCTTTCTTCTTCCTCCTTTGTTTCTTGACGGGAGGTGGTAGGGCCTCTTGAGATGGAGGCTGAGGCTGCTCGTGAGGATTGGTCGGTTGGGAGTACGGGTAGCTGTAGTTGTATGAAGAATACGGAACTGATGGCATCGTCATCACAGAAGTACCAGGAGGGGTGTATGCATAGCTATAAGGAGCCTTGCTATCAAAAGTAGAGCTATAAGACGTTAAATTCGGATCGGGGCCCTTGGCGGTGGTGTTGACCCTGAAAGTTGTGGAAGATGACGCAGGAATGCATGCCGGCGCTGTCCTCTTGTACATTGGGTCAGGCCCACTAAGATCAGCATAATCCCAGTCCTCAGATTCGCGTTGGCGTTTCTTCGCCTTTGACGACATGTTGAACGTAGAAACAGTAGCAAAGGGGAGCCCGATTTTGTGGACGAGCGCAGGACGAGCGCAGTCTCAGAAAACTTGGGCAGCTGATACTTGTTGAGGTGAAACTATAAAAGCGGGATCACCTCGTCGGGGTATAAACCAAGCATGTACAAATAAAGGCGGCTTCATCCAATTCATCGGCGGTGACTGGCCCTGTGTATCGTTGCAGATGGCCTGGCTTGGGGGCGATTGATCGGCACTAACTTTGAGTACTACTTGGGTGGTCGTTGCTGCCGCCTTCCATATCTTCATGTTCAAGCTGGCGTGCATCCTTTTCCCTGGAACTTTGACTGGAACGCATTTAAATTCTGGTATGTCACGGTAGGAAGTCAATCTGGGAGACCCCGTTGACGTACCACTAGTAGTGTGCCTTCAGTCAGGACATTTTCTCCCAAGTTTATTTTCAACGCCCGAGGCTTCTCTGATGAAGAAGTGAGTATTCTCACTGGTGGAGAAGATGCCGCTGTCACCGCAAACGCCGTGTTTCTGGATGCGTCATCGCTGGTCTCCAATTTCCAGAATCTAGAAACACCATTCAAATCTATATCATTTGCCAGCAGTGGAAAAAAATTTGTCTGAGATCAACCAATCACGCTGGTGAGTCAACTTCAAATCTTCGAATTTGTCACTGAGCGCTTCTGCAACCGTAAGAAACCGACCGGAGTCACCTGTCCTGGATGCTTTCGCCCGAACACTACGGGTGCTGTTACTTATCTCTACAGCCGCAGCCCTTCCAGTATGATATGGGCGCTTGCACAGGCATGTTCCTGATATGAATCACTCTGCATAGTCATGTGACAGCCGCCTTGTCTATCCAAAGTGCCATAGCTGAAATCAAGCTGCTCAGATTTCACAGGAGGGCGCCAGCAGAACAGCCATTAAAAATGAGGTATGGCGCATCGCCTTAAATTACTGGTTGTTTATCATGATTTTGTTCCAGTTGTCATCTGTCACACCTTCGAAGGCGCAGACTGGATCTTGCAGAGGATCCTGCTCTCTGGAAGATTCATTCTTGGCCAACTCTGCTTTCCCTGTTTTGGAGAGAAGAGTGAAACGGTCCATTCCGGCTGAACTATCGGTTCTGGGGGACACATGCGGGCACTACGTCGTTCAAACCGTCCCTCACCAAGGAAGTTGAAGCTTTGGTCGACGGAGAGCACCTCTTGTGGTGGTTGGAAGCACTGGCTCTTCACGAAGGCCTTGTGTGTTCAGTTGGAAGCTTCTTGTCTGTTGCGAGTTGGGTCATGGTGCGTATTTTGAGCTCATTCTTCGGCTGATGGTTCTGACGGGTAGTGGAGTGGACATAGGGTGATGCCGAGTTTATACATGTCGGTGACGCTGATTTTGCACAGTACTCCACATTCATACTTGTCCGCTCTGTCCTTTGCTCTAACTGATTCAAGTATATCTAAAGAGTTCGCCGAAAAAAATCCTTGCACTTCCCATATTGCTGCTGGCCATGTCCCAAAGTGACCTCAGATCGAAAGATACTCCGCGGGCAATCCTCGGCTCACTCGGTTGCAATGTTGCCAGTGTTGAATGCCAAACATCGAGGGTCCGTTCTTGTACCTGCAATCTCGGTAGTATTCAAGTCTTTGATATCTTGATGATCATGTCTTATCGTCATAGGACGGGCGCAACTGACCCTCAGTATCAAATAATCTGGTGTTGGCGCACGGCAGGAGCACCACATGGTCCGTCACTGCACTGTTGACGAATCTAAACCCGCGCGGAAGAATCCTGCCAAAAGGAATCCCCGGGCTAACATTTCCTCGATCATTAGACGTAGCTCTATCTGGGAGCAGGCTCGGTGGTACGTTCGCAAGGACACGCTCCATCATACTCCCTTCTTCGCTTCATTCAAGCAACAGAAGGCAATCCCAGATGTACCACATGTCAGATCGATACATAAGACCCCGCCTGGCCGCGTGCGACACTCACGTTGTATGGGCGGGTGGGTCATACTGTAATGGATGCGTTGACTGATAACGTGGTGCAGTACATTCTAGATTTCGGTTCCTTTTGGGACTGTTTATCTTATAGAGACGCAGCGAGGGTTATTTTTCTGTTGGGAGCATATCATCTTAGATGTGTTTCTCGGATCACCTACTTCAAGGTGCCAAGTACTTGCCATTCATGAAGGTGGAATGGATTGCTGCACATCCATCGGCATCAACTGGCATGATGTGTAGCAATGGCTGTCAACGCTATACCTGGACCATCCTAGCGTGAAGCTGAAGTCAGTCGGGACTATCCTATCCACCACTTTTGGCTCGTCGCGCATGTTCCGTGAATCTCAATCCAGGTAACATGCCAATCACATATTTTGGATACCAGGGTGACGTCGCAAGCGTGCTGCTCGTGCCCCAGCTTGTCACTTTGGAGTATACAGGAATTATGCCTATGACTATTCACAAAGTAATTGGCCGTGGCCGTACGCCAGGTATCTTCCATTTCGAGAGAACAACATACAGCCATTGTGTGTCATTCTCCAGAGAAAGGTCGTGATCCTGTTGGCCGAGTACTGAGTAGCTTATGAGATCGTTCCATAGCTGTACAAAACCTCCTACTAGTAAGTCGCACGTACGCCAGTACAACTTCGGAGTTCGAACGTTCAACTTGGAGTGCGCTGTCGAAAATAGTACGTGCGAAGAGAATTCTCGTCGCGTCCTCAACAGCCTCGTCTTTCTACCATGTCAATCCATGTCTTTTCTCTTCCTGCAAAGTGCAGCAAATTCAACGACGCGTATCCACGCCTCTCTCAGCACTTTCAGCAAATCTGCTCTCTGTACATCGCCATCAAAGACCATTTCATCAAGTCCTACGATCTTTGGAACCACAAGACTCTCGAAATCCTCATTGCTATCATCCTAGTACTACTTTTCGTCATCCGTTTCTGGACCACGTCTTTCCGCACACCCACGAAGGACTCCCAACGCGCCCGCACGGCCCTCCAAGCGCTCCAAACTGTCCTCGTCCCAAGCTGCTCTCTCTGGCCCGCGCGCTACATCAAGCTCGTCAAACATACCTCCAATCATCGTACCGGATCCAGGATAGTTGTCCCTTTAAGCATGTTCCTGCAGGACGTATGCGATGGCGTCATCGAGCTTCGCGATCCTCTATACGACCTTGAGGACCTGATAGATCAGGGTGTCCGTGCGTATGGCTGCTCCGTCAGTCTGAAAGTCGAGTGGAAGTGGTGGGTAGAATGGTTGGATCGAATGGTGCGTGTTCGCGTTTTGTATTCGTCACCGACGCGCTCGCTGAACGACCCCTGATGTACTCATAAGTTACGTGTAAACGCCTCAGGTGAGTATATGCGCTCTTGCCCTTACGGAAACCTTCTACTCCTACGCATATATGCTCGTCTTTGAAGATATGGAGAGTCATGACGGTGTTGATTCTTCGAATTTCGCAGTCATTAGCGCACAACATATCGACTGGCTGATTCACCCACTTACAACAGCACCTCCGCCTTCCACCGATCATGGTACCGTCATCAACCTCGACATCCATCCACTCACGCACCTGGCTACTATCCAGCTTCCCAAAGGTTCTCGCACCACTTTGGAATTCACCTCCCTCTCCAATCACATCTCCTTCCTCAGTACGAAGCACATCCTCTGTCTCATCCCCTTCCTGGCCCACCGTCTCCCCAGCAGCCTTTCTGACGTTCTCGCAACAGTAAATGACACTCCAAGCTTCAAACTATCGACGCTCACCAATGCAACAGCTGCATACGCTGATACGCTCGCCGCACTATCAACCAAGCTTACATACGATCCTATAGCAAGACAACAGTGCGTCGACGAACTGGGTATCAAGGGATGGCGTAAACGGAGGCTCATGCTTGAGTTCGAGACTGCTCTCGTGCAGAAGGGTTGGCTGGAGCGCTGGGACGTGGTCTTGGAAGTCCGTTGATTCAATGCGCTTGTCATGATTTTTTCTTCTTCCTTTCAGTCACTCTTGCACAAAGATGCATCTCTGTTTCTCGTCGCTTTGCACGAACTCATTACAGCACAAATCTTGTTGTACCAGGAGCTTACTTAGAAGTTGCAAAATCACAATATTATTATATTCAGCGCAATAGATCAACGTCGGAACTGCATTCCGAACATACAGGACTGTGCATAAGCCCCGTCATGCTGGGCTAGTGGGACGTCGATAAACGTCAAACGTTCTTACTGAACATCGCGTAAATCTCGCAGAGGTTGCTTATTTGGGTATGAGCTGGCGAGTGATAGAATAGGATACAGCCAACGGAACGTTGGAACTCGGCGGGTTAAACGTTGACCAAAACACCAATATTGGCCTGCAGCAGATAAAAAGGAAAAAGGTCAGCGACATGTTGGCAAAGTTAATAAGTTTCGGTATCCGCTAATAATTTGATGAAGACTTGATGAAATCAACAACTTTGCGGATTGCGGGGCTGGCAACATAGTTCGTCACAAAGGTGGGGATAGCCATTCCTGCGAGGGAAATACGCTGAGCCAGAGGATCATCGATACTCGTCAGTAAAGTCAAGGACCGTTGATAGAGTGTTATATTTCATGTCTCGAGCGTAGATTCATGAACGTCATAGGAATAAACACGGACGTTGACATTTGAATTGGGGGACAAAATAGCAAGTGGTCCCTGTGATGTTCAAGTACAAAGTCTTCAACTGCGCGCCGTGACCATAATCTGAGATGGTTGACGTGCAGGCAAAGGTACTGATTTTTGGGTGCGAGCTGAGATACTGCGATTGGAGATTCCAAAGATGAAACACTATATAAGCACTCCCTTGGGACGTTAATAGTGTGAAGGAATGTTGTGGAGATTAGGCGTTTGATATCCCTGCGAGTTCTGAGTAAACGTTATATAGATTTGTCGCGGATTTCGAGCGCACATAAACGCACAAGTATGTTGCAAATCTAGAATCAAGTATCAGATAACTTGAATACACCAACTCACCTCGACGCCTCTAATCGTGAAGCCCATCATCTTTCCATATACTTTCACGCTATTAGTAAACCAATGAGCCAAACTCTGATCCGCCACGTCCAACAGTCCGTCCCCGAGCTCATCATCAGCTGCGGGAACTGGACACCAACGATGAACTTCGGTCCTTATCTCAGGAGAAATGTTCCGGCCAATGTTCACGCATAGGTTTAACTATAGCGCAGCAAGTAATCGCTTGGCTTCCGTCGTTCGAACCACCACCAAAGGAGGGCGACACTAAATGATGGCGATACACTCAAACATGCACAAATCTAGTAATAAAGGCGGGCATCGGGCAAGTGCGCGAGTGCCGAGCGTCAACTCTATCGACGACGAACGATGACATCGATGACTAGCGATAATATTCTGAATCCTTTCAAAAAGTACTGTCACTTGTTCAGTACCGCTGCCCCAATATTTGCACCGGACGATGGCGAGGTTTCCCTTTGCCCGATTAACCTGCTTCAGCCTTCGATACAGCATGCTATTAGTAGTCTGGCCAATCGATAATAGGCGCTTCCGAACGCATATTCATCATTCATACAAACAACCGTCACTGCAGACATGCAGACATGTAGCAGGCGCCCGTCGATCTTTTTTGCTATCCACCACGTCCCTTCTAGTTCCACTTGCACTAAGACTGCTCTTAACACGCACACTCTGCCATCCTTCCCACTTTCTCGATGGATGAAAACAATCCTCCTCAAAAGACGCGCTGGAGATGGTTGAAGCCAAGTCATCCAGACTCTCATTTGGTTGAGGGGGGAGGCAGGAGGGCAGCCAGTCACGATGTATGAACCTTCATCTTTACAACTACATCATCTCTAATAATCACAGCTGTCCTCTCTCTCACCTTCGGGGAATGGGTCTCATGTACGACTCCCAGGGTCAGTTCGCAAGTTCTTTGGCAAGGCGACCTAAGCGCTCCACTCGAAGCGCTGGACAATCTCCCAACCCTGAATACACGGCTGCAAGTTCCAGCCCACAGGACATCCAACCCGTTCAGTTAACCAAGGTATATGCAATCTCAACTATGAGTTTGCCCCATGTGCCATGATTGGTACTAATCGCTTTTGCAGGATCTCACCGCTCCCACTCTCGAACCAAATTATGAGCAATCTTCTAATTCAGGGATCGTGGAATTAAGTTCGACCAACGAAGTTCGGAATATTCTCATCCGTCTCTTTTGACAATGTACTGACGTCTATACTCAGGCTGAACATCTCGACCCGAAGTTTGTGAGCGAAAGAATCACCAATGCTACCAAAGATCTTACAGGCATCGGCCAGGTCCCAACAATAGTCCAACACACTTCTTCAGCGGAAAAAAACCTACAATCTGTTTCTGATACAGTCGACACATTCTCCGCGTTTCTTGGACCTCTGAAGACGTTCAACTCCGTTGCCAACGAGATCGCAAATGTACAGCCACCTATACATTTTTCTGTACCTGAGTCGTGACTAACATTCACACGCAGGTCCATCCCTACGCGAAGGTGGCACTGAGTATTTTCACTTGCGCGTCTAAGGTAGGCCTTCTTTCTCATTCATCACTGTCGCAGGTTCACAAAGTTTCGGTAACAGGTGATTCTCGATCAGGCAGACCGTGATGTCGCTGTTTCCAGTCTGCTCTCAAAGATATCTGAAGTTTACACCTTCATCACGGACGGGGAGGAATTGACCAAGATTCGATCCATGCTAGCAATATATGGGAAGATAGCACGGCAGACACTGGAGTGCGCTGATTTTATCAGTCATTACTCTGAGACGAAGAGCGCCTGTGAGTTGACCCCACTGCTCCGTCTCCTGGGACTCAATGTTGCCTGCTTGTATAGGGATACGACTTGGCAAGCACGTTTTTGACGAAACGGACGCCACGATCCAGAACTACAACAATGTCCTCGACAGTCTTATGCAGCAATTCCGAGACCACGCGGCTCGTGACACTGTTGTGATCGTTCACCATATGGGTAGGAGACCCTTTTAGTTCTCTTTCAGCCTTGTCTGACATTCCACGACCTCTGGCATAGCTGAGAGTCTGGACCTCTTCGGCATGGAGTGCGCAACAGGTGCCGGATTAAATACGTCCAAATGTTGTTTGCCAAATACTCGGCAGGACCTTCTGATGGATATTCAGAGTTGGATCAGCAGTACCGAGGGGGGCGTTTCACGCGTCTTGTGGTTGTCTGGCACAGCAGGCAAGGGTAAATCGGCTGTTGCCCATACAATAGCCAACTGGTATATCGAAAATGGTGGTCTTGGCTCATGCTTCTGCTTTGATCGTACTCGGCAAGCAGATCGCCGTCAGGACAAAATATTCACGACCATCGCAAGGGAATTGGCGGACTGCAACCCTATTGTGCGGCGAGCCTTGGCGCAAGCAGTTCGTGATCACGACGGACTCAAGCGCACTCCAGATATCACAAAACAATGGCAGGAACTAATCGTCAGACCAACAAGCTTAGCCTCAAAAGCCATCGCTGCACCCGTCCTGATTGTCATCGAGGCATTGGATGAGAGTGGTGAAGCTAATTCTCGGGAACAAATTCTTCGTTTGCTCGCTGGCAAACTAAGCACTGCCACCTCACAACTAGCCGAACTCCCAGTCAACTTCCGTATTCTCATCACTTCCCGTCCCCTCGAAGACATTCACGACACTCTGCACGCCGCGCCACATGTTCGCCATATTTCCCTGGATGACGTCTCGTCTGCATCCACAGAACTTGACATTCAACTCTATATCTCCCACAGGCTGGAGGATCTGCGTCACATCTTCAACGATGCGCACTTCAAGGCGCTCGCTCAAAAATCTGACGGCCTGTTTGAATGGGCTCGTCTTACCTGCGAGTATATCAAGGGCACTAACAGAATCGGCATGGATCCAAAGGGTCGGTTCAATGCTGTGGCTGCTGGAATATCTGCAAAAGGAACACGTCTGTTGGATGATATGTATAAACGCGTTTTGGCAGATATCATGCCAGAAGACGAGCGCGAGGAAGGGATTCCCATATTTCGCTCTGTGATGGGGCAAATTCTTGTATCGTTGGAACCACTCCCCATGTCTGCATTGACCACTATGCGACTGCATTTTCCCGAAGGGACTTGCGATTACAAAATGGACCGGGTCATCGGGCCACTGGGCTCGCTTTTGACTGGCACCTCAGATTCTCATACTCCCATACGTCCCCTCCATGCATCTTTCTACGACTTTCTTACGGACGAATCGCGCAGTCATGGCTTCTTCGTTGATGCTTCGTTAGTACAGAGAGATCTTGCCTTTGTCTCGCTTCGGGTCATGGACTCAGAGCACGGGCTTCGGTTCAACATCTGCTCCTTGGAGAGCTCATACTTGCCAAATTCTGCTGTTCCCGATTTCGCAGAACGAGTGAAGAGGTCCATTTCGGTGGAGCTATCATACTCATGTCGCTTCTGGGGCACCCATGTGGCATCCTTGTCCTTCGAATCATCGCTCGCCAAGGAAGTTGAAGCTTTCTTCGATGGAGAGCGTCTTCTTTGGTGGTTGGAAGCAATGGCTCTGATGAAAAGCCTCGGTGGCTCGGTAGCGACCCTCTCATCTATTGCAGATTGGTTTTCGGTGCGTGGCTCAAGCTCATTCTTTGTCCAATGAATTCGTACGAGTAATGAGGTGGTTGTAGGGTCATGCCGAGTTTGCGCATGTTAGTGACGCTACCAGGGATACCCTGCGTTTCGTCCGAACTTTCGCAGCCACTATTTTACGCAGCACTCCGCATTTGTACTTGTCCGCTCTGCCGTTTGCTCCGACGCAGTCGAAGATATTTGAAAAGTTCGCTGCAAGGTTTCCTTACACCCCCCGCATTGTTACTGGCCATATCGAAAATTGGCCTCAGATAGAAAAGACAATTCGCATGGATGGCGCGGTTGCTTCGGTTGCAATGTCGCCAGACGGAACACGTATCGCGTGTGGTTTATACGATGGAACTATCCGGGTGTGGGATACGGAGACTGGCGAGGCATTGTACGCCCCTCTTCAAGGCCATACCAGCGATGTTGGGTCTGTCGTATTCTCGCCTGATGGACATCGCATCGTTTCAGGTTCATGTGACGAAACAGTCCGGGTGTGGGATACGAAGACTGGCGAGGCATTAGGATCCCCTTTCCAAGGCCATGACGGCTCTGTTCTGTCTGTCGCTATCTCACCGGATGGGCAGCTCATCGTATCCGGTTCGGAAGACATGACAATTCGGGTGTGGGACATGGAGACTGGCGGGGCGTTTGGTACCCCACTCGAAGGACATGCGGGCAGGGTTTTGTCTGTCACAATCTCACCGGATGGGAAATGCATCGTGTCTGGTTCGGAAGACAACACGATCCAGGTGTGGAATATAGAGACTGGCGAGGCATTAGGCGTCCCTCTCCAAGGCCACGCTGGCGCTGTTCTATCTGTCGCTATCTCACCGGATGGGAAACGAATAATCTCTGGTTCAAACGACAGTACAATCCAGGTATGGGATATGGAGACTGGCGAGGCATTGGGTGCCCCCCTCCAAGGTCATACTGGCCCTGTTGGGTCAGTCGCATTTTTTTTGGACGGAAATCGCATAGTATCTGGTTCATATGACCGGACGGTCCGAGTGTGGGATGCAAAGACTGGCGTGACATTAGGATCCCCTCTCCAAGGCCACACTACCTTGGTTATGTCTGTTGCAGTCTCGTCGGATGGAAGTCGCATAGTGTCTGGTTCACTTGACCAGACGATTCGGGTGTGGGATGCCAACTCTATTACGGGCAAGGCATCGGCTGCCGCCTTCGAAAGCCACACTGGCTCCGTTAACTCTGTTGCAATTTCGCCAGGTGGACATCGCATCGTGTCCGGTTCAGATGACGAGACAGTTCGTGTATGGGATATAGAGACTGGCAAGGCATTAGTCACCCCCCTCCAATGGCACGCTGCATCTGTTCAGTCAGTTGCAATCTCGTCGGACGGAAAGCGCATTGTATCTGGTTCACGTGATACGAGCATTCGGGTGTGGGATATTAGGACTGGCGAGGTTTTGGGTGCGCCTCTCAAATGTCACACTAGCACTATTGCAATCTCGCCAGATGGAACTCGTATTGTGTCCGGTTCATCCGACAACACCATCCGCGTGTGGGATATGAACACTCCTGACACATTTGGTATTCATCTCAAAGGCCCCAGTAGCTCGGTTCTGTCTCTAGCGATCTCGTCGGATGGAAAGTACATTGTATCTGGTTCAGCGGACGGGACGGTCTGGGTGTGGAATGTGGAGATGGGAGAGGCATCGGGCGCCCCTCTTAAAGGGCATTCTGACCAGGTTTGGTCTGTGACAGTGTCACCGGATGCAAAATGTGTTGTGTCTGGTTCGGAAGACACAACTGTCCGTGTGTGGGATATTGAGACTGGCAAGCCATTGAGTGCCCCTCTCCAAGGGCACACTGGCTGGGTTATGTCTGTTGCGGTCTCACGAAATGGACACCACATTGTGTCCGGTTCATACGACAAGACGATCCGGGTATGGGATATGAAGACCGGCGAGGCAGTGGGTGCCCCTTTCCGAGGGCATACTGAACCCGTTATGTCTGTCGCAATCTCATTGGACGGCAAGCACATTGTATCTGGTTCATTCGACAAGACCATCCGAGTGTGGGATATAGAATTTCTCGACCAGCACCACTCTTTCACAGCGCCTGTGATACGTTTGTCGTCTAATCTAACCCACGCTCTTTGCTCCGCCTCCTCATTTCTGCAAGATCCTTCCATCCCAGCCTCTGTTGCCGTCAACGAAGATGGATGGGTTGTAGGCCCAGATGGACGGCTTCTTCTCTGGATCCCACTCCATTTCCACCCACTCATATATGCACCCGGCAACACGCTCGTGATACCTAACCATGCCTCGCAGTTCGATTTACGCTATTTCGAACATGGCACGTCATGGCACATGTGCCGTAAACACGAAGCTGCCCTGCCTCCGCTATGATACCCCTTGCAGTATGTCGCGCCTTTGCCAATCTGGTTGTGTCATTCATAGATGGAGATCTACACACAGTTCGTACCATACATGCTTGCCTTGGTCAAGTTTTATTCAGTTCATTTCGTCGTGTACAAGTTAAATTTCGCTCATTCACAATGTTTTCCATGATACTCCGAGTCGTACTAAAACACAGTCGTATATTATGTTGTCTCTGCTACTGCTACTAGCTCCTACATACGTTCACATCCTGTCTCTGACTCTTCCCGTGATCGGGAAGACAAATGATGGATTTTGTTGCACATGTCCTGCCTGTCCCTGCGTTGTGGTCGACTGCATCGAGGGGGGAGGATGACGGTAAGTATCTAGATGATACTTGCATAGCAACGAAGTGTTCAGTGACCCGCATCTATTCAAAATCCTTATGCTTAAATGACATCCAATATCTTCCGCACCCCAAACCATGTCAATATTACCCTCGCTCACGTCCTACACCACATGCGCAAAAGTTTCAACCAGGACCAGCGTAAAATTGGTACTTATAGCAGCATCCGGCATATTGAAAAACAGCGCAGCTGGGACACTATATGAATCAATGTCATCAGAACCCGTTCAAACAAGCGAGACAGAACAGAACAAAAGAAGGAGCAAAGGAAGAGAACGAAAAAAAACTCACTTCCACCCAATGATCCTCCTCCAACCTCAACAAACCCCCTCTTCCCAAACCTCCACAGTAATCTACCCATCATTCCCGCCTGATGCACAACCATGAGCCTCTTCGTCCTACGCACGCTCTTTATAACAGGTTCTACGGCCAATGGCGACGTCGTACCTGGATCAATTAGTTTGATGCTGGTGCTGCATAGAGAGTGGTGAGGGAGACTGATGGGGAGCCCAAGAAATGGGGATAGATCAGAGTGCCCCATGTGAAGAGGGTGAGATTGGATCTGAGATGAGGGGGTGTATTCTTCGACTGAAACTTATTCGACTGTAATGAGGTTAGTAGGTTTGTACACAGAACGGGTTATAGAGGAAAGTACCTGGAGAACGATCGTTGATCACGGTAGGGCCCGACAGAGGTGTGGAGATTAGGACCAACTGAAAGCTCAGGCCTCAGGCCTTAGGAATTATACCTTTGAATATCCACAAAGTAATTGTCTAGCCAAGTACTTAGATAGCTCCCATCTCGAGAGAACACACAGCTCCTGTGTCGTTCTCCCGAGAAAGGTCATCGAACTCTTGATCCTATCCGTAAACTGGATGGCTAAGTGGCTTATGAGACACCGTGTCCCACAGCTGTACAATACCTCCTACTAGCAAACCGCATCCCAGTAGATGATTGATGTGTTTGAGTGAAAGTGCCGTGGAAAGCAGCGCAGTTGAACCTGTGTCGGAGTTGCGCGCTGTCGAACTTTTAACTCAGAAATGCGTGCGAATCTACGGTGTTATACTGTTCTCGGACGACCACACAACAGACACTGGCAACACAAGATGTCTGCGCAATGGTGCCGCTGCAAGTATCTGATGGGATTGATGACCAGCTCGCTGGTCCTGACGTTATTCTGTTGCCCAACAGTAAATATGCAAGGGCAAGCACCACGCCGCCATCACTCACTTTGATTCGATTCCTTCGTTGTCTGCTTTTCGAATCAGGATTGTTCCACCCGCTTGCAAGATGCATCCGCTGGGAGATTATGGCAGGGACTGCACTCCCAGGCTATGATCCATCAAAATGCCTTCGATTATCTCTTCCGCCGTGTCCCACCGCTGAACGCTTCCGCCCCCCCTTACCCATGTAATCGTCTTTCCATCCAGTGAAAGTGCCAGTGCGCATGTGCCCCTTCCCTTGTCTTTCCACGGTTCCTTAACAATGAGTCCCGTATTACAGTTCCACTTGTGCATCGTGCCATCATCTGCACCAGTCATAATGTGAATGTTGTCATGCAAGAAAATGAAAATCTCAGACTTTCTTTCACGGCCTTCAAATTCGTGCTTTGCAGTTGGTTTGTTGAATTGCACTAGGGGTTCAATTTTTGACATCGTGAGGGTTCTAGAATCAAACAATATACATAGCTTCCCCAGTACTAGTGCTCGTTGCCGCAACTTGTATTCTAGTTCAGGAGAAATAGTTTCCCCGACGATTAGCGCTGTGGAAGGTTTCTGCGTTTTTCTGGCCGACTCAGTTCATGGTCAAGTATCACGGATAACAATTGACCGGTATTCTCTTGGTCTCTTGCTCATAGCAAGCCAACAAGGAGGGTGAGTTGTATTTGTGTCGAAATAAGCGCTAAGCGTCTGTCTACAGGTTCATATACTCATGTATACAGCAAGCTCGTCCTCCATCTTCGTTGGCCCGATGCTTCCGAGCCATAACTTATGCCTACTGTTGTTCCTTTCCAGAATGGCTCTTATACTACGGTGGTATCATCAATATTCCGAGTCCAATAAGTTACTTCGCCTGATTTCTATGCCTGATTTTACAGCATAGGAATATCGGCTTATTGCATGGTCATATATTAGCGCCACGATGTTTTCAAACCAGAGACAGGGATGAGCCATTCTGATGCATTACTAACTTTTCAAAGGGGGCGGGCGTCGTGTCAACCAGTCTAGCGGTTGCTGTCCACCCGGTGCCCAGTGCTTGCCATTTTGATATTCGTAGTAATGCCATGCGATCATCGCCAACTTACACACGCGGGCTTCTCTGGTCGAGCTCCTACGTCTACCGTCCACCGAGAAAGCACGGCTTCAAAGGGCTTGTGAACTTCAGTCTGTCGGAGTAAGTTATTCCCTGATAGTATTTGATATACATCGGACACGTGTTGCAGGAGCGTTTTCCGCAACTCATGGTGGTTCTGCATCAAGACAGAAGACGAACACATGACATGCTTAACAACTCCTGTGTTTCTGCTTATTTCACAACAGCAGCCATCCCTTTCTGATTTCGGAATACGGGCGCGCTCATATTGCTGTCGAATGCCGACCTGTATAATTCGAAAAAACTCTATTGCTAGGCCAATGCTAGGTTGGATAATTATAGACACTATGGTCAAACTCGGTAGGCATTCCGGTTGACTATTTTTCCTGCCCAAAATTGACAAACCCGATGGATGTACCTCTTGGGCCCATCGTGCACTGGAATTTTCATGTTCCCTGGGTATGGTGCATTAATCGTGCCTACTGATGCAACTCTAGCTAAGCTCGAAGGTCTTCCAGTATTCAACAGGTTTATTCAGAATTGGTAAGATGGCGACGAATAAGATTAAAGTGACGTGTGTCGCTATTTGTCCAACATGTGACATACCACCAAACGCGCCCTCGACAATCTGGTACACGGCTAACTTATCATATACTACAAAGGCCGCCAGTGCACGTATTTCAATGGTGCGGATTCCTCTACCAGTACTTTCCCGAATTATACTGCTATCTGCTCTGAACTATTCGCCTGAAGTGTTCACCCAATATCAGTAATTTCATGTCCGCTCAAGGGTCAGTCTCCAAGATATTGTGGCGATGTGGTCCAGCAAATCAAATCCTGACAACAACATACTGTAGGATGACGGTACGTTTTTTTGAACTGCGGAGATATAATTAAACTTGGCCCATCAGTTTATCAGGTGTTCGTTCAACACAGTAACAGGTGACGAGACGCGGAAGGCGGCAGCTACTTGCACTCTTGGAAATTGCTGTAAGCTGACTTTCTGCTTACAGAGTTTATTCAAATCTGCCATTAGTTACTTGGCAACTACTATGCAGCGCAGCTGCGTCACGAAAGGTCCGTCGAAGCATCTGCCTGCTTCTGCTTATGAAACAGATTCATCTTCATACCGGTCTCGAACTGAGTAACTGTCAAATCCATCGCTGCTGTGCCCGGTGCTGCCTGGGGCCAGGTCTTGAAGATCAGTGGTCGTGGGTATCTTGTTAACTCTGTTGAGGATTGATATAAATGCTCTAGTACTGGCGTAGGTTGGCTAACGATCGGACCCTATTGAATTATACAAAGTGTCCCATTGTGTCCTACTTGCCCAAATGAGATCCGACGGCGGCAGGGTAGCCGACATGGCACCCTGGCCGTCTGGAATCATTCATGTTTGTCAAGCGATCCGCAGCCAGGTTCGACATCCCACAGAAAAATCTGCGGAAGAAATGAAAGCGCATTCAGGCACTCCGGTCGATCGATAGGTCCCTTTTGGATGCTACCCGGGTTCGAAGACCTCGCATCGCTGGTGGACAATATCACATTCTGAAGCCGAGTGCCTTTGACAGGTAATCAGTTTTTCATTCTACAAGTTTGGAACGCATTCGAGAGACCTAAGGGTGAGAATCTACCAGTACAGGGAATTACTGCCTCATAGTCGGTTATTTCGATCAACGAATCGGAATATATGTAAGCTAATTCTCAGATCCAGAAGGTGATACCAGGAGCACTACTTAAGCTGAGTGCTGTGTTTCGCTCATCATCATCATCATCATCATCATCCTCCTCCTCCTATTGACTTGAGCCTTGGACCATGTTCCAACTCTATATATTCCTGTTCTTTCTGGCAAGCCTTCAGAGTTACGCCGTGAGTATTGGCCCAGTTTCTGACCTCGTTGTTGCCAATGGCAATGTATCCCCAGACGGGTTCACCAGGTCGTCAGTGTTTTCTGCATTTTCGACCTGTTTGATTGCTGAAGTTATTGCAGGGCAGTTCTTGCCGGCGGTACTCATCCCGGGCCCACCATAATGGCTCAGAAGGTAGCATCTACTTTGCATGCGCAAACTCTTCGTTGACCTCGTATGTATTAAGGGGGATACATTCAAGATTAACGTCACGAACCAATTGAGTAACGAGACGATGCTAACGAGCACCAGTATCGTAAGCACTGAGCCACTGACTGATAAATGCATGTAGGAGCTTACAATGATGCATTGTCTATTGCAAATAGCATTGGCATGGACTATCACAATACCATAGTAACCAAATGGATGGCACGGCATTTGTTACGCAATGCCCGCTCGCTCCAGGGCACTCTTTTTTATATGAGTTCGATGCTGGCGACCAAGTAGGAACCTACTGGTACCACTCTCATTATGGAGTCCGTGCTTCGGTTTATTTCACGGTGTCGGTGACTGAATTAAGTCCAGGACCAATACTGTGACGGTCTACGTGGTCCGTTGATCATCTACGATCCCCACGACCCATACAGTTCATCGTACGATATTGATGACGGTGAGTTAGTCCGACCAAACGGAGTTGTGCTTCTCACATTTTAGTGAAGAGTCTACTATTATCACATTGATGGACTGGTAAGAAAAAAAGGCTGATGGACCATTTCCTGTTGTTAAAATAGTTTTATTTGCAGGTATAACCTACCATCGCCTCAAGTACAGGCACCAGCGACTCCCGATTCAGTGCTTATTAACGGTGTCGGGCGTTATGATGGAGGGCCGGATGTGCCTTTCGCCGTCATCAATGTTCAGCCACGAAAGCGATATCGTTTCCGCTTACTGAACATGGCGTGCAAGCCCAACTACAATTTCTCGATTGATGGTCATAATCTTACCATAATCGAAGTTGACGGCCAATACGTCAAGCCGCTCATAGTAGACTCCATTCAGATCTACGCTGCGCAACGATACTCCTTCATTCTTGAGACAAACCAGACTGTCGACAACTATTGGGTGCATGCCGATCCCGATCTAGGTACAAATGCCACAGCTATCTTACGATATGCAGGCTCTCCCAATGCAGACCCCAAGAACAGGACAACCTTAAACTCGGCAGCTCTGAATGAGACTAACCTACATCCCCTATCTCCTCTTTCGTCACGTTTACTGCAGGAACCAGACATCAAACTTGACCTTGTATTTGGGTTTAATGCGACTACTTTCTACTTCTTCATCAATGGTGTCCATTACACTTCTCCCAGTGTTCCTGTTCTACTACAGATACTGAGTGGTGCTATAACGGCAGCGGATCTTGCACCCAACGGCACCGTATACGTTCTGCCACGGAATAAAGTTATCGAAATTTCATTCGATACCGATATCCTCTCAGGGGACCCTGTAAGTCCATTTCAAAACATCATGTATGTCCTTGATCGACAGAGAGTAACAAATTTTGACAGCATCCATTCCACCTGCATGGGGTACGTCTTGGCATGCCATCTACATGCACGCGATGGACTAATAATAAGTGTTCTGTAGCACAGCTTCATTGTCGTCAGAAGCGCTGGAAGTAGCGGTTATAACTATGTAGACCCTGTTATGCGTGATACCGTGTCCGCAGGCACCCTCGGTGATTATACGACCATCCGCTTCATCACTGACAATCCTGGGCCTTGGTTTTTGCATTGGTAAGTGTTGTATCAATGTATTTTTACCTGACAATGACTGTCAGTCTTTGTGAAGTCATATCGATTGGCATCTAGCCGAGTGAGTTGCTCCCCCCACCGAGCTCGGATTCGAATTAATGGGTCCGTAGGGGATTAGCTATAGTATTTGCAGAGGCTCCTGAAGACGTGGCGGCTTCGCAGCCTGTCAATGGTAAGCACCGAGCACTATGAACTAGACCGAGTCTGACGATCAGCGTTAGATGCCTGGAAGCAGCTCTGTCCGATATACAATAGCCTTCCTCAGCAAAATTTCACTTCCGTTGATTGATACCTCTTTTGTTCTAGAGAATATCAAGCAGGAATTTTTTCAGATGCCGTTTGTAGATTCATGGTAAAGTAGGGTAGGACACGGTGGATAGTAAATGGGTCCCGTTTTTAGTGTGGAAGTGATGTTCGGGGTGTGATCAACAGCTGTTTGTGCTGTTCGCCATCAACACACGCGATTTGGCCACAAATACACCCTTGTATTGTGTATCCCGTGGGGAGAGCAAAACACAGAGCTTAATTCAGATGTGCTCAACCGCACCAGATAGAGGTGCTAGAGTCACATCATTTACTTTTTGATTGTCTGATCAAACCGTGGAGTCTCTAAGTAATAGCATTTGTCAGTTAACGATTTGATGTACCAAAGTAGATTTGACGAGATATAGTGGCTATGTGGAATTTTCATCGTTTCTGAAAGCGAACTCTGGTTTACATCAAGTACTAGTACAAGTTGAGACTAGCGACGTTCTAACATCCTTCCCTATTTTACGTAAAGCTGAAAAGCAGTAAGAAATGATAGCAGTAGAACGGAGAAGGGCAGCAATACCTCTCTTGGATACGTGTTAAGTCATAGCGTTTCTCGGTATTGGGATGGTAGGGGGCCTCTGTTACGACAGGTGTTATACATGAGTAATCCACCAGGCGTATAATAACTTACCTCTCTTGTGGACATAGTGAGGTTCAGCCTTCTCACACTTGGAAGGCGAGTCGGGGGAGTCAGGCGAATCAGTCGAGTCAGACGAGTCAAGGTCCCTAGTGTCAATGACACCAATGATGTTAGACGTATTCAGCCTAAGGTGGACTGAATCGGGGAGGCAGACTGGTTGACTGCGGTCGACAATCGTGCTTTCGAGCCAAAGCTCATGGCGTCCCTAAATTTGGGTGTAGGGAAGTTTTGATGAAACTGCGGAACATGCAGCTTGGACGTGTTCGTCAGGTACCAGCACTTGGGAAGCAAAAAGGCCTGTAGGAACGAAATATACGAATTAAAGAGCATCCTCCGCTCATACCAGGTGTGGGATGTGAACATCCATTATCGAACGCGCAGGGCTGTGTTTTAATACTATCGGTACTCGGATCATAATAGTGAAGGCCCAAAGTTATGAATATTGTCTGGTGCGAGGAAACTTGGATGGAACGAGACCAAGAACAACAAACATGACAAAGAATGGACGATTCACAATGACAATTCAATGTTTATTTGCTCCTGCTCTCTCGACGCTCGTGCTGCTCGCGGGGAGCACTAGCAGGTGATGACGAAAAGCTGGGTGGTGTAGTATCATCATCAAGTTCAACATCATATGTCCAGACGAGTGAATATTGAGGAATAGTCGAGCAGGCTGTTGTTTGAGTATTGGAGTGTGCAAGAAGATATTGGTTCAGGCAGATGTTCCAGACTGCATACCAGGGACATTCCCTCTGGCTCGGGTCGTCAACGGCAGCACCGATGGCGAGATGTAGTCCAAGATCGGCGTGAGCGTTCGCCATTATGAGATTGATACGGACCTTGTTCTTACGTGGGGTTTGGATCCAAAATGAGGTCACGTTCCAGCATTTATGTAACGAACCCAACATCATGTCTCAACAATTACAAAGCCTCGATGGTAGAGTGGTGTCTAGCATGCAGGTGTGTCCAGGTGTTGCTTGTTGATATCCCTCTCAAATGCTCTTGCGCAGCTTGGTGAAGCCAAGCAAGATGAGCAGTGCGATTCTGGAGGTACTAAACCGTCCAAACCAAACCGTATTAATATAACCCTTCCACCTTCGCAACGTAGTAATGCCCAGATGTATGGTTACTGCGTATCTGAGAAGTGGCTTTATGAGAAGGCTCGTGCCTTCCTCGCCGAGCTACACCCCGACCTTCCCGAAATCAAGGCCATGACCAACGCCAGAACAAACCCCAGCTACAGCTTCAGAAAGACCTTCCACATTCACTCGCTGTCAACGTGTTATGCAATCCTACCTCCCGGATCGATAGTTCCAGAGGATTGCATAGTCAATGGTTTCGTTTACGTGTTGTACATCTTCAACGACCAGCCGGACAGTTATCATCGGCGCCCTACTCAGAAACAGGTTGATGAACTCACTAGGTTTGTGGGCAGAGAGCCACAGTGGTGGGTGGACGCTTTACCAGCAAGGTTCTATAGGTGAATTATGGCGAGGCTGGACTAGGGCTCAAGCTCGATGTAGCATGAACCGTCTAAGTATGCAATGTACATGTAGGTACTGGTTTTGTCGCATAAACAACAGAATGCCAGCCCTTGAATGACTCAGTCACAGCTCCGTCAATGAAACCAAATACTCTGCTGTTCTATAGAAATTTGTGGTCGCATCCTTGCGGATTCACTATTTGGAGCCTAAAACTCGTTACCATAGGGGTCGGAGACGCAGTCATTGCAGCTATATGACATGGGAACTGTTTTGAGACGCCAAAGCTGATGATGCGACAGTCTTCGTTGGTTAGAGGCTGTGCCGGTAGCTGCGTGAGAGGGGGCATGAGGACCTCCGGCTGTGAAGAGCAATCCATAGCGAAACACTCAGACGAGTCAGGTTAGTCCCCCTCGTTCTTCGAAATCTGCGCCTCAGTCTCATTGTAGCATTCAGCGCGGAGTCCCGGAGGGTCTGCCTACCACCCGAGTTCCTTAAGAACTTGCCAACCGAGGCCGTCCAGCTCAGGCTGTTCTCTGAGCAGGACTTCTTCAACGTTTGCGAGGATTCTTGTGGACCGGTGGGGGCTACCCTCCAACGAGAACGGATGAATCTGTGGGGTGGCTTGCGAGGGGGGATCACATTGTCATCAAAGGCCTTACAGGATAGGATAGGCTGGGTCAGCAACGCGGCGTGGGAGTCCTCCCGGGAGGCTGCCGGGCGGTTTTGCAGATAGGCTTGTAGTACAACTCTCAAGCAAACAATTAGATCTTGGGTGAGAGAGCTTCGCTCATTAACGTCATAGGGTTCCAAATATTTCTCTGATCTCCCTCCTATTCGGCTACAAGGCAGAATCGCAAATGGTTGACGGTGCTCGCCCCATCCGGTCTGCAAAGTCTGGTAATGATTGGACTTTCAATGATCTCATGGCATACAATATCACCGTCACGCCTCATTCGCCTGAACAGTTTTTTCGTCAAAACCATGGAATGCTCCTGGAGGGTGTAGATCCGTCACTCCTTAATTCCACCCTTGATGACGAGAATATCTCAGACGCCGTTTTCGAATATCTAGGCCATCTTGATCTGGCTACCAATGCCACTCAAGAAAGTTTCATTGACGCATTTGCTCAGAAAACTCTTCACATACTCGGCTTTGTTGAACGTGGCTTAATCCTTACCACACGTCATAATATCGCACTACGGATCTGTGGCGATGACCAGCGAGTTGCCCAAACAGGCGTGTGTCTGCTCGATCTGCGATCGATGATCTTGCTTGTTCTGCACCCATCTTCTATCTCGTCCCTGTCACAGAAGCGCTCAGCAATGCGGTTGCCACTGGCCAGTATCCCGAAGCTAAAACAACGGTCGTGAAGTGTGTCACCTCTTTAGGGCACAACCGTCGAATCAGCGAAGGCATGGAGACGCCGGAGTATAGGCGCGTTGCTTTTGAGCGTTTTCTCGCATTCAAAGCACTTGCGAAGGAGCATTGGCAGACATTCATTGTCTGACTTACGTCGTGTGTGTGTCTCTAAAAATTCTTCCGTCCGAAATTTAACCTGAGTCTTCCAGCTTTCCGTGATTTTTTTGTAACGATTAGTTTCTTGATCCGACTGGTGTATGTACTGTAAAAACTAGACAATGTAGGGTACTGCATGCGCTGCGAGATAATACTTGGCTCCATTTTTCGTGTCATGGGACACAAACATATGATGACCCCTTCAATTCTGCCTTTCTCATGCGAGACCAGCCGCTTTCGCTCCTTAATATCACACAAACAGATCTGTCTCGGCATGAACTTGCATTTCTTTCTGCCTGTGATGCCGCACTCGGTGACCATAATACTCCTGACGAAGTAATACACCTAGCGGCTGGCCTGCAATTCGCTGGGGTTAAGAGCGTCGTTGGGACATTATGGAAGGTCGACGATAGCACTGTGCAGCGCTTAGTCGAGGCATTCTACAAAAACTTTTGCGGGAATGACAAGATGAATTCCAAGCGAGCTGCCCGAGCGTTGCATAAAGCGGTCCAGTCACTGGCTTGCGACAAGGACATGCCCTTGGAACAGCGCGTAGTGTTCATGCATATTGACATATGATCAATTCCGTGCGTCCTCCCACCTTGTTGATTAAAACACTCTTGAGACAATCTGACGCCTTCACATGTACTAGCTCATACGTGGTACCATTTGTAATCAGCGACGACGTTAATGTCGCTGCCCCTCACGAATCAAGTTTATCCAAAGCCAAGTCCAACTATGCAATGGGGTCCGTCAGTCTTCGCGGAAATTTACAGAAGGATTTGCAAGAAAAAATCCTGTACATTGATATGAACGCCGAGTATCCTGGAATAAGGTTGATATCGTGCAGCAAAACTGTCGTGCCAGTGATCAAAAAGTCACAAGCATGATTCTGCACGTAACTCGCGCTGTATGCTATATGGCGGGTTTGTGTCGTATTCCAGGGAAAATAACATTCCCTAAAACATCGTCAAAGGAAAATTTCTTGAACCACGGAGATGGTTTGACGGCGTGGTTTTAAGGACCAAACTAATGGCCACGCAAACGCCAACAATGAGTGGCCGGAGCACGCGGATCTGCTCAGCTCTTGACTATCATTCCATGACTGAGGATACGTTAAAAACGGTCCCGAATACAATAGGATAAGTCATGACTTACTAAATGTACCGGGACCAGGATTACTGATGTATCTTGCCTCGCCTCCTTGCCCTACATATATCCTTAGTAATTTGCGTAGCCTGCCGAGTCAAGGAGGGATCGTGACGGAGATGGCCTTCGCCCGTACAGAGCATGCTGATTCATTTCAAACCAGTTTCCAATATGTGATATATTTGTTTCTCCCGCATCGTCTCATTTCTTCCACGACTTCTCCGACCTTCTGGAACTTAGACCAATCCTGGTGACGCTTATCGATGGCCAGATCCGTGGGTTTCACGAATCGCACTTTTAGGGACAGACAGTGCATAGATTTGACATTGGCAAGCCTTGCGCATAGATGACGCCTGGGTAGCCGACTTTGACAAAGCTAGATATCGAAAGCCGGGAGGACTGTCGCTGTAATGACAGGTGTTTTGTTTGGGACACGAGATGATGAGATGTCACGAGCACGTGGTAGTCTGCTGTCTCAGAGGGACGATTGGTGTTGTGTTGGTCTAGGATGTCCATACTCTCTAACAGTCCTGTATCAATAGTATGTCCATCTTCATGTAACTCCGGTAGTAAGTGCATACATAGCAACTGGTAGATCGGATAACTCCATACAATTTAGAATTCCTCGCATCATAATCAGGAAGACACTGTGATGGTGCTCACTCATTTTCAGCTAATTTCTCCTGAACAAAGGCCCGCCATCGGCGATGTTCATCTCTGGATATGTCCTCTCCGTTGACAGAAATGGGGGGAACGTCGACATCTGAATCCTCCGGGTATCGCTCCAGGAACTGCACCTCGAGGGAGATCCGCGCGTCCACAGCCTTCACTTAGAACTTGACTTGTGGAACTGGGCTGGGCAGAGATGGGAGAGCTGTAATAGGAGTGTTGAAGGAGTGGAGTAGCGAAGTCCATATTCTGGAATCTTCTGGAGGGAGGACGAACTTGAATGATTCACACGGAAGGATGAAGTGTTGGATAAGCTGGAGTTCTTGTATGCGTGAAGTCATCACCCACAGGGGTTCAACTACATCCTCGCAAAACTTTTGCATTCAGTCACGTTCATCCTTGTGGCGACTCGTAATTTCAGTACGAGATGTAGTCATGAGTGATACGAGCTGCCACATTGAGAGTTTGTCTAAGGATTCGAGATACTCGGGATGATCAAGTTTGGCTTTTCCTTCTCTTTTCGCGAACGGCTGGGTTTGGCGGGCGAAATGAATAAAACATTATCGGTGGGTGGCAATTTGACAGGCAGTAATCGGGTGTATAGTCGAGGAAGAGAGCTTGAGGAAATAGAGCAGGATCTGGATCTGAATTTCACAAAGTCATTATGATGCACCCAGAAGCAAGATGATAAGCACTTACTCACGCTGCTCCATGCGCTCGAGCCAACCAGTCCTCCATTTGTCTTCTAGCATCACGTAGAACCGTGTAGCATCGACTTTCTCATACCCCAAAGCATACCACATCATGCTCTCCTCTGCTTCACCTGCACCGCCGCCATGGACAAGAATCTGAGGGAGTTCATTATGGTACTTGTTCACAGCTGCACGAAGGGAAAGGAGGAGAGGCTCTATAAAGACGTGAAGAGGATGTGGCTGGTCTTCTGCGAGATCCGGAGTTCCTCAGATGCGAAGAAGAGAGTGAATAAATACAGAGAGCGGCATGATTGACTGGACGAAGAGGGCTGGGTCCCCTGGATCATGATCTTGCAGCGAGTAGTCTCTGCTCAGACCCTTTTCTTGGGCTGCGGTCCATTTGAGCGAGACTGGCGTATGCAAAACAAGCTTGCTGAATTGACATCGACGATCTTCAGAAGTTCAGCCGCATAAGGTCGTCGCACGTGACCGCGTTTAGATGCTCGGTAATTGGCGGGGCCTCCTGCCACCAAATCTACTTATCCACGATCATCATCCCATGTATGTATGGTGAACAGTACTAGTCTCGAAATTACTTCTGCAACGGTCCCAAGTACTCACGACGTGGCACATTATAATACGTCAAGTTCAACAGTCGCGATCCGAATGATTCTTACAAGTGGGAAAGGTGAGTTTGACTCAGACTGGTATATATGTTTGGACCTATTTTATTTTTCAATTCTGATTTTGCGCTGGTAGCATGTGACCCATGAGTTGTTGCATTACCTACGTTTTGTAGACCGGCAGGACAGAGACTCGGAGGGTGCCAATACCTGTTGACAATCGTTGGGACGGCGCACAGTTGTCCATAATCACTGGCACATTTGACTGGCGAGCTCGGTGGAATCGTATGTGGTCGTTTTTTTACACTGAAGTTTTGGACATGTAACCTTGATTGCTATTTCTTGCTTCCAACTTGATTTTTTCTCTCCGGGCTCATAGTACGCTGATATTTCCCTCAGCAACTTCGGCTGTTTATCATATCTACAGAATTCATCCGAGTCTTCAATGCGAGGTCTATTATAGAATACTTGGATTTCTCTCAATAGCACAGATGATTTTGTTGGGACCGCGCCTCATCCTCAACATTCGGGAATTCAACACTAAGCTCATAGCTGACTCTGATGGTGGCATTGACGTGCCTGCAATTATTTTCCAGGAGTGTGGCGATGTGTCAACAGGTAGTGATGCGTAGTACTGGAAACGCTCCAAGTAATAGCATTTGTCAGTTACCGATTTGGTGTACCAAAGTAGATTTGACGAGAAATATAGTAGCTACGTGGAATTTTCATTGTTTCTGAAAGCGGACTCTGGTTTACATCAAGTACTAGTAGTACAAGTTGAGACTGACAACGTTCTAACATCCCTCCCTATTTTACATAACGCTGAATAACAGTAAGAAATGATAGCAATAGAAAAGGAGAAGGGCAGCAATACCTCTCTTAGGTACATGTTTAGTCATAGCGCTTCTCAGTGTTGGAATGGTAGGAAGCCTCTGTTGCGACAGGTGTTATACATGAGTGATCCACCAGGCGTATAGTAACTTACCTCTCTCGTAGACATAGTGAGGCTCGGCCTTCTCACGCTTGGAAGGCGAGTCGGGGGTGTCAGGCGAATCAGGCGAGTCGGGGGAGTCGGGGGCGGGGGAGTCAGGGGAGTCGGGAGAGTCAGGTGAATCAGGCGAATCAGGGCCCCTAGTGTCAATGGCACCAATGATGTTAGAGGGAAGCTCTTTGTACTGAGCCAAAGCTACATAACATATCAGTATCACTTCACTAACTAGAGTGGTACACGAGTCCTCACAAGTACGTTTCGTCCCCAATTCCGGTGTGGGATGTGCCACAGCAATAGCGGCAAAGGTTGCGAGTATCGTGAAAACAAGTGAGAGCTGCATGGTTGGAAGTTAGAGGAATGATCGCCATTTCGAGAGCTTTTATACCTCATTGTACGTTCTCTCGGACTACTGGGGGAGAACTCGAGGTCAACTTCGATTATTACATGAGCACTTGACATGCACACACATATCATAAGACCGAGAGGACACCCGAGGCCATGATAACCAGGGCTCCCCGTTCACAAGGTGTCCTCGTGTATAATTTCGGGCTCTCGTACTGAACCATTGAGCTTCTAGGTCTGAACTTCCGGGCTAAATGAAGTCCAATAGCATCTTGTGAGCACAGTACCGATGAAAGCTACATAGTAGCGGCTACATCTGGCTAGAGTAAATGTAAGTTATATTTGATGCAGAAGTAAGGAACTTACAGTCCCGACTTACACCCTTGTGAACCCGCGCACATCACCTCTAAAGAGTGAAACCTTGTCGGTGAATTAGGAAAAATACAAGAGCTAAAATTGGAAGGAACGTACAGTCAATCTCCCTGATAGTATCCAGTCTCAACAATGGTGACCTACATTATTCTGCAAGGTCACATAATGGTGGCTGAAACATTGTCTACATTGGCGCGAAAAGAACCCTAGACAGTGACCGGTATTAACCGCAACTCGCGCCAAACTCGCGCGTTACTGCGGTGTTTGTGCGGACCCGCCTTTATTTTGAAAAACAAGGAATGTACAGTGCAAAACGGAAAGAACCGACCTCCGCCACAGCACAAACAGAGATCACTTTCTACATCACTCCATTCCGTCTGATTTACACATAAAGTGGTGGAATCGCCTCCGTTTGAACCCAGCTACAATCCTATCTGGTCACTTTGTTAAAATTCTTAGATTTTAAAAAAATGACGATCTCAAATTGGGACTTCCCACGCCACCGACACCGCCACTTTCCTTTTTTAGTAACCGCTCCTCCTCGCCGCTGGTCGCGGCAAAGAAAAAGCATGTTTGCGGCTTCCGCTGGACCGTCGCGAGTGTACGAAATACATGTACTTATTCGGAGTTATCCATTATAGCAATATCCATCATGATTCCTGCACCGACTTTGCGATGAGAGCGGTATTTCTTCACAGCATACTCAGCTTGCTTAGCATTAAGGCCCTTCCTGCATGGGCACAAACACTGAGAGACCAGACGCGAACTATAGTGTTAAGATGCGCACCTATAAGCGTCCATGTAGCGCCATGTTTTCCGATAAAATGCTCGGATAACTTTGGTAGGGCATGCATCCAGGATTTCAGGAACAAGCCTCCATCTTTACTGAAGAATTTGCTGCCAGAAGCTCGGTGAGCCTTGGCCCACCGAGCCTTCTTGTTTTTCCGGGGCATATTATGATACTATACCTCACGGCTGAGTCGTCACCCCCACAAGTCGTCAGGTCACGCTTTTGTCACAGCAGGTCACCGCTGCCGCTTTCAGAATCCGCTCGGCAATGCCTAAGAAATTCACGGTCTGACAGTTACAGGTCAAAAATTATGATTATGATTGGTTGGTGTGATGTGGAATATAGTATGGGATGTGGTTGTAATTATAATGGCTGTATGGTGCAGGATATACTACATGAGAATGAGAACTATGTGGTCCGTGATGATGAGGCACATGAACTTGATGCTGGTGTGATGTAAAATGTCCGGAAAATTGCTGCTGGTATGTTGCTGCGAGTTGGATGTACAGGAGGATTGTAAGGTATTTCATGGCATAGATCAGGACTATTTAAGTTAGAACCATTCTGCTCATATGTGGGATCACGCGACTCTCGTGATTTGCCTTTTGGGCGGCTATTTCGTAGAGCCATGTCCGAATGTGTCGACTCGCTGACAAGTCGTCACAGCCAGTGGTAGTATTTGTTTAGAACTCCGCTATGGCAGCGCCCGGCTGGCTGTCACCAGCGTGACTTTGAGGGCTTTCAATGAACTTCACCATTTCTTAACAAAAATTGGTCGTTCAACCTCGCAATGAAAGGTGCATGATAGAAACATTGATTTAAGTTGTAAATTGTGTGTGGAAGTAAGAATTGAGTGAGATATTTAGGTCGTGACGACTTGTGGGGGTGACGACTCAGCCGTGAGGTATAGTAGGATATTGGCGCGCCAGTACATAGAACCTTTTGAATTTTACAACCGAAATTGGGACTGCTTACATAATCACCGCCAAAAAAATTTATTGCAGATTCATGACCATTTGACCCACTTGCACGCCAAAAATGCAAAAAAAATCCTTATCGCACCAAGATTGAGTCCGTAACAGAGAGGCCTATTTTATCTGTTGTGCACTGTACTGCTGCGGCACGCTGCAGGAAGAGGATTCAGAACCGAAGTGCTGCCGATATACCACTGTTCCCCACGTAAGGCGTTGATCACGATGGATAGAAAGCTCAAGTTAGATTTCCCCGCTGCCGTCAGTGAAGATTTGGATGTGGTACTTGTTGCCAGTCGCACAAAGGGGGGGGAAAGAGGAGCTCGATATCCATGATGGCGTGAAGTTGATGCGGCTGGTCTTTTAAAATATCGGAAGGTGCTTAAAAGACAGCAATCGTAATGACTGTGAACTTATTATATCGAACGGTTGAGTAAAACGTACGTGAGGAAACCAATAAAAGGTGAAAAGAGCACTCAACGAAGATCGGGTCTGTGATTGATCGTGGTTTTGAGATGAAAAGTCTCTGCTGAGACTCATTTCTTATGCGGTTCACCAGGTTAGTGCATGGAAGGCATTAACAAGGCGTTGTTGGGTCGACTCATTGACCAATGACGATCCTCAGCTTCTGGTATCTACTCAAAGTAAACACTGCTAGACGCGCTGCACGTGACCGCGTTCGGAATCAATTGCATTGGTCGATGATACTTTCGAGTTTCCATGTACGGGCTTACCCAAGGTCTATCCCTTGCCAATGGGGCACGCGCTCCAGGTGCTCTTGACGTAATTCGGATGCTGAGCGATCTCTACCTCGCGGAGAATCTTTATTTTCCTAGTGTTAAGTGCAGGCGGGCATTTAGGAGGTCTAAGTCTATTCTCACTTGTTCGTCGAGCGTTCGATTTTCGTTAATGAACAATTTTCATATGTTCCGAATCCAACTCCAGACCTAGTCAATCATGGGCACCTTGATGCCCGCTGCCAACAGTGAACACCTCATTGTCAACAGGTACTTATCCGATACACTAAACTCGTTGATTGAGTTCTCAACATCTGCACTCTCGTGCATGTAATAAGTATTTGAGAATTAATTTCAACACGCCGACCTGAGCAAACCTGCGCGCTGATGCCGTAACACCATGACATTCAACTCTGTACCACGACTGGCGACCCCTCCCCAATTCAAAAGCTGAAAAGTGGTAAGACTCGAAAGTAATGGAAGTAGATAAACCTTACTACTCTTGGATATATTGCCTACTGGTAATGCTTCTCGTTCTTCAAACGGTAAACAAAATCCTCTAGTGGACAGGTGTTATACACGAGTGAGTCATCAGGCTTGGAATGACTTACTTCTCTTGTGGACATAAGATTCAACCTCCTCGTGCGCCACGGCGCTCTTGTCATTGCCTTTGTTGGTTGAGTCAGAGTCGGTAGACTTAGAATCAGGAGGGGTGGAGCTTTGCTTGTGGACGTGGTGAGATCCAACATCCTTGTGCCCAGTGTCGTCATTGTTGACATCATCAGCTGTGTCAGAGCTGGCGGACTTATCATCAGATTCGGTATCAGAGTCGGTATCGGAGTCGGTATCAGAGTCGGGGGAGTCGGAAGAATCAGGCGTGTCAGGTGTATCAGACGTGTCAGGTGTATCACGCATTTCAAGCCTGGTGTTAAGATAACCAACGAGGTTGGAGGAAAGCTCCTGGCGCTTAGCTAAAGCTGCATGGCACATTAGTATCGCTCTCACTAACAAGAGTAGCATGAATCCTCACAAGTATGCTTTCTGACCAATTTTGGTGTTGAATGTGATGCAGCAATAGCGGCAAATGTAACGAGTGTAGTGAAAATGAGTGAAAGTTGCATGGTTGAGATCGAGAGTGGGTATTTGGTGACAGAAGAGTATGGTCGGACGGACCTATTAGCCAAAATCGCGAGGGCTTTATTCTGCCAGGAATGCGGACATATCGTTAGAACCGATGTTCAGGGTACCTTCCACCTTGGCGTTTACGAAGTGTCCCAAGTTCCATGCTATATTTCGGATCCGCGTCTGGCTCAGACAAACTTCAAATTCTTTCTAGATCCTGATGTAACAATTTGCTTCTAGTCAGCATCAGGAATAACTCGACTCGATCAGATCTCATGAAGGCGGAATATTTCGGCACCACTGTTAAAGGGTGACGTTAATAGTGGTAGAAGGCATGAGATAAACGTCAAAATTCGAACTGAATCGTGTATCATGAATGCAATTTCGTGGACTAGTAGCAGCCCGGATCTGATATGAAGAATTCTGGCTAGAGCAGACTCACATTGGGGTATGAAGCAGGGAACTTCCCAAACCGTCCTCGTATGTACAGGCTTGCACCCCCATAAGTCTCTCACGCATAAGGAGAGCTGAGAAAGCCTAGAGGGTTGGGAGCTGTACTAGTAAATGTCGGTGCGCGTCGTAACAAAGTGGGGCCACCTGTAAACCAACAATTGAACGATTGAATTCTAGGGCGCTCAAACTTGAAGTGAAACGTACACAGTCAAACACCCTGCTAGTTGCGCCATCTGGTAATGAAAGAGTTGATCCACCTGTTTCACTACAATGAGATGCATAGCTAGACAAGCTGGTGGAAGAAAGTGACCAGTCTCACTAGATCAGTGACTAAACCCGAGAGTCCTGGACATACAAGAGTGCAAACTTCGCCTCACTTGAAGGCAAGTTCAAAGCGATGAGAGAGTAAGTAGGTGATTGAATTAAACAAATGTTACTATCGCTGAAGTGCTGCCGACATGTTATACCCACGGGCCACGACAACGACGAGTAATCCATAATAGTATAGTGTCGATCACGATGGACAGGAAGTCAAGCTTGCGGCTTGCCTGCCAGAGCCACCATCCAATATAATGGGTAGCTCACCGTTGGTGATGCGGCCTCCTTTGCAGCGCTGGGCTCGCCCGGTCATGTCCACCATTGTTATCATCTGCTTCATCCTTTTCCATTCATCAACATCAGCCTTCCTGTCTTCCACGTTCTCTCAATCCGACCCACACGAGCTCGTCCGTCGCTCTCACATCCTTTCCAAATGTGCCTACACACATGCCAGACCCGGGCCTCCGCCCCATTTCCATGCCCGTATCCAGAGTGACCGCTACGCAGAGAACACGAAGCCTATTCTCGTGCGTAACGCAACTATCTGGACAGCCGCTAATGATGGGCACGAAGTCCTCACTGGCGACCTGCTCATGCACCGCGGTCTTGTAAAAGCCATCGGTGATGTTCCTCTATCAATGATTCAGCAGCTCGAGTTGGAGAACGTGAACTTGGAGATTGTCGATGTTCATGGTGCTTGGGTGACCCCTGGCATTGTGGATTTGCACTCCCATATTGGTGTCGGCAGTGCGCCCGAGCTAGATGGTGAGTTTCTTTGCTATTCCCCATAGACATGGGATCCCATGTCCTGTAGGTGCAGATGACACGAACTCTTACAAGGCCCCCATTTTGCCCTGGCTGCGCAGTATTGATGGCCTGAACACCCATGACGCGTCGTACGAACTCGCTATGGCTGGAGGTGTCACCACTGCGCAAATTCTCCCTGGCAGCGCGGATAATATTGGTCAGTGCTGTCTTACTCTATACTTCGTCTGAATGCTTATCTTAAACTAGGCGGCCAGGCATTTATCATGAAACTACGCCCTACAGCTGAGCGTTCAACTTCATCCATGCTCCTCGAGCCTCCCTACACCCTCAATGGCTCTCACTTTGATCACTCTCTCACCCCCCGTTGGCGACACATGAAGTATGTCGTTTTGCCTTTACTTCCTCGTTCTCCTCTTAATTGTCTTCTAATCACTTTTAACAATCTTTCAAAGACATGCATGCGGTATGTTCTGACGAATGTCCTGATACTTTTCGCTTACTTGCTCATAAGGTGAAAACCCCTCCAGTGCCTATGGCATAACCCGCCTTGACTCTGGGTGGAACTTCCGCGCCGCTTATAACCACGCTAGAAAGCTGCGTGATGTTCAAGACGCCTTCTGCGCCAAAGCAGAGTCTGACTCCTGGGACGACCTCGCGGGAAAGACGTTCCCTGAGGACCTGCAATGGGAATCTCTTGTCGATGTGCTCCGCGGACGCGTAAAGCTGGCTGTGCACTGCTACGAAGCCGTCGATCTCGATGGAATCGTCCGTGTACGTTCAATTTCTCTTACAATAATTAAATTTCTAATTTACATTTGTGTGTGGTTACTTGATGTATGGGCATGGGCAGCTTACGAACGAGTTCGAGTTCCCAGTAGCATCGTTCCATCATGCTGGGGAGACATACCTCGTTCCGGAGTTGTTGAAGAAGATGTGGGCGAGTCTTTTCTCTTTCCTCAGTGCCCGTTCACAACCTCCTTCTAATGTCATTTCTTTCCACCAGGGAGGCACGCCTGCCATAGCGCTCTTTGCGTCCAACTTCCGGTACGTATATGCGGATTGACTTCTGCAAATCTGCTGATGCGGTTGATTTTGCATGAAGGAAGAAACGTGAGGCATATCGAGGATCGGAGTTCGCCCCACGTGTGTTGGCGGAGCATGGAATTGATGTTATCATGAAGGTCAGTGTCGCCTTACTTTACTCTCCTCTTCCTCATACCACGCCAACACGTTCTTTGTATCACGTGTGCCCGTGTTTGGAGCCACGTAACTTAATCTATGCAACCTGATCTCTCTTTTAACAACCCTATGCTTACAGTCTGACCACCCTGTTATCAACTCCCGCTACCTCCTGCATGAAGCCGCCCAAGCGCAGTACTACGGCCTCGACCCTGCACTTGCACTCCTCTCCGTCACCTATACTCCTGCCAGGGCGATGGGAATGGACCATCGGATCGGGATGCTGAAATCAGGTGCGTAAGACTGTTATTCAAGTCTAATGCAGAAATTTAATCTCGGTTGGATCGCAGGGTATGATGCGGGTATGTCCTGCAGTCAGCGGCTTTGTAAAAAAGAGACTAACTAGACCTAGATATTGTGATTTGGTCCTCCCACCCGCTTTCGCTCGCTTCAACTCCTACCCAGGTCTACATTGATGGTATTCCGCAGCTCTCCCTTCCTAGCAGCTATTTCGTCAAGGGTCCCATCACGCCCCCACGCACACCTAATTTCGACTCGGAGAAGGTGGCAGCGGTCGTGCACGAGGGTATTCCCCCTCTTGAGCCTCGGAGCGTAAAGAGGGCGCTATTCGTAAACGTGTCAGGGCTTTATATGAGAGGTGAGGGCTCAAGTGGGGTGATGCGTATTTCCGAGCAGGCGGGATTGGTGGGCGTGGAAGATGGCCGAGTGGTATGTATTAATCAATGCTCGGATTTTGCAGCAGGGGTTGTTAGCATCGTCGACCTGGAAGGCGGCACGATCACGCCTGGACTGACGAGCTTTGGTGCGCCACTCGGGCTCGTGGAGATAAGGCTGGAGCCGAGCACGAATGATGGGAGGGTCCATAACCCCCTCGATGGGGATCTGCCCGTTGTGTTGGGTAACAAGCTCATGAGAGCACAAGACGGACTTATGTTTGGTGGTCAGAATTTGCTGTATGTGCACTTTTCATTCCTCATACCAATTCGTTTGCTTTTATTCTGAATTTGCCTTTTGGGATGCAGACTAGCCTATCGCGGTGGCATCACAACAGCCATCACGGCGCCCTCTGGGACCTTCCTGCAGGGAATATCTACCGCATTCTCACCTGGAGCCGCGCATGCTCGGGTTGATAAAGCAAGCATCGTTGATGAAGTTGCATTGCATGTGGGCATAAGCATGTCTTCAAGGGTAGGCGTGAGCACGCAGGTGGCAGCACTGAGGAACATGTTATTTGGGGAGGGTGGGGACGAAATACTCAGGAGCGTTAGAAAGGTTAGCTTATTCTCTTGCATTGAATTGACGCTGATATCTAGTATCAAGGGTAAAACCACGCTCGTTGTTGACGTTGAGAGCGCAGACATAATGGCAACGCTGCTTCGGCTCAAGGATGAGTATGAGGCTCATTCCGGCAGGGAGCTTCGTATGACCTTCGCAGGGGCAACCGAGGCTCATATCATTGCGCACGAGATTGCGAGGGCAGGTGTAAGCGTGATCGTCACGCAGAGCAAGCCTTACCCATCAACTTGGGAACAGCGGAGGATGTAGGTATCCCTATACCATTTCTTCTTGGTCTGATATTCGTTTTTTTTTTCTTTTTTGCGATTAATGATGCTAACCTAGCCATCACATAGACTTGCTGGCCCGCCGATCACGCAAGAGAGTCTGGTTACTGCGCTGTTGAGGGCTGGTGCTAATGTGGCCATTGGTGTTGTTGACGAGCACAACGTGCGGCATACACGTTTCGAAGTCGGTTGGGTGTGTTGTATTGGACCTCTTTTCATGTCATATTCCTAACACTAATCCCAGTCTCTCCTCACGTCCAATGGCACTATTAATCGCACGATAGCTCTCGCGCTTGCCACGACAAACCTCGAGAAGGCGCTCGGAGTACAGAGGGAGATGCCTCAGGACCTTGTGGCATACCGTGGTGGGGATGTGTTTGAGTTTGAAGCCAAGGTGGTGGGAGTTATATCGGAGACGTTGGGGCGGACAGATTTGTTTGTGTGAGCACAGCAGGAGCTTTTTTCGTAGGGCCCGACCTTCATGTACGCACGGATGTATAGCAACTGACAATGAATACTGAGTATAGCACAATGATCATCGTGAAGTCCTTTCACAAAATCACGAACGACGCGACTGCAGCAAAGCTTCAGGTGGTACATATGATACGGCTGAACATTTGACCCGACTTTCCGATAACGCAGCTTCAGGGGCTTCCGACTATGTAGTTACATATAATTAAAGTGCTTCGTTGAATTACATATGTACCATTTTGGCATACCGACGATTTCACGACGGTACAATGAATACTACTTACATATCCACCGCTGAAACAAAGAGGTCTTCATCATGTTGTCCCTTCTTCTCCGACATCGAATCCTCGTCTTTGTTTTCACCTCTGATGGCTGGTGTAAAGTTGGATATGGGTCCAGTGAACCAATGCACGCCTCCGTACACCGGACAATAATACCAGGAAATTGACAGAAATAAGACCCCTCCAAGTACCACAACTGTATAGTTCATTTGCTGTGTCGTCGTTTGCGGGCTCGCAGGAAAGAAGAAAACAATGATCATGAAGACCATCCACACCACAGCGATCGCAGCGACTGGAAAGCTCTGCAAAGACATTAGTTTAATAATACATCATTGCCGATTAACCTACCAATTTCCCCAGATGAAATGGGCCAGGTTTAAAATTATTCTTGAACGCAAAGCGGGTTGTGATCGGCGTTATATAAGCGACGTACGATGCGGTGACAGCGATTGTGAATACCGCATTGATAGCTTCGGTGCTCACGAACGACAAAAGTCCAATTGCCAGAACACAAATGGCGTCAAACCAAACTGTATTGACAGGTGTTTTTGTGTAGTGATTGATCCGGTACAAATACCGTGAAAAAGGGAGGGCCCCATCACGAGCAAATGCAAATGTTTGGCGAGAGCCAACCAGGAGGCAGTTCGATGCCACCATGTACCTGCTCTATGATTAGGCTGTGGGTATGTCACACGGCGCTGAAACGTACTCCGCTAAAATAATGAGACACCATAGAATCAGAGCCTTTCTCTGCCCAAGCGAATTGTATAAGATCTGCGCCATAGGCTGACCGACAGGGCTACTTAAGACACTGCTGACATCAGTGCCCATGCAAAAGGCAAGGGAGACGTTGATTCCTGGATTAGAATATGTCATCGAGATCAGAGTGACATGTCATTCCACATACCGAAACCAAGGAAGGCCGATATAACAATGGAACTGACCTGACTGGGATTAACATAACAATTGATCATTTTTAGTGTCACTTACGATTGCCCATGGTATCGCAGTAGCGGCATTTGAGGCCTCCTCGCTCATATGAACGCTAGCATCAAAACCGCCTGGTGGGTTAAGAATAGTCATAGAGCAATGATTCGAGAGAAGATGGTCGAACCTATTGTATAAAGAGGAGCCATAAAGCTCAGAATAAATGCGAATCCAGATGGCCAGTCGGTCACTACAACTGATCGTGAGCTGCGAGTGTAATTGGTCGACGACACATACAATTGGTGAACTCCGCTAGCGCAAAATTTGCATTGTTTCGATAATCTGGTGGCGTTGCGATCGGAAGCGCAATGATGATTATAAAGCAGAGACTATCGGAAGATTTTAAATAATGATCATGCACGAACTCTATAACACTTACCACACATTGATCAACGTATATAGTCTCTGCAGCCTTGCCAAAACTTTGGTACCAAAGCTCACGAGGACAGCATTTGACAAAACCAAAGCAGTGTATATGCCACTATAACAACCAGTAAGAAGAATGTCATGTCCGGATGAGGACGAGCTTACTAGAGCTGCTGGTTGGTAGTCACATATGCTTGGTCAGAGGAGGCCATGCCAATTGCTGCAGTGATTTGAATTGTACAAGCCCAGTTGACAGAAGCTAGCCCCACGTGATCAGGGGGACACTGTTGAAAAAATGAAGCTCATCTTACCGAAACCCGTAATCATCTGTATGGTATTCGAATCTGCAGATGTCAGAAGTGGCTGCATGTCAGATCGAAATGCAGGACTTACAGCCAACTATCCACGACAGAAAATTGCGGCATCGTGGAGAAGCAAGCGAGTAAGTCCAATAGTATAGCTAGATTTCATTGAGTAAAGTGTGAAACAGCGACAGCGTTGACATACGCCACCAGAAGTGGGTGCTGCTGACGCGAGTTCTGCCATCGCCAACCCGATACACACGATGAAGGGGCAAGCAATTGCCCACTGCGCAGCAGAAAAAGTGAGATATTTACAAAACAGCGATTTTCACGTGTGATGAGAGCTTACACCCCAAATCATCGCGAAAGGCCCACCATTTGGTACAGCATAGAAGAGCACAGAGCTGAACAGATTTTATCATTAACATCGATGCGAATTCAATTGGATTACGTCATAGCGACGGCTTACACTATGGAAGGAACCACTCCAACATAGCTGAATGCAAGTCCAGCCACCTGTACAGTTGTTAGCTTGTGTCGTGTTCACGGGAGAGTCTGAAATCAAACTCACCTCTAGCGGAGTGAATTCCCTGTGAAACTCCTGCTTGTATCCTAGCTCTGCGAGAGTCGTCTCATCTGCGCTTGGTTGTGGGTGCAACTCTGAAATCACAGAAGCTCTCGCGGCCATATTGCACCGTTGGAAGTGGGAGTGAATCTGAGCCACATCGCGCAGATTAAATGAAATTAATAGTCAACCGGGAATCGCCCTCGGTACCCGCATTACGAGATGCGCATGTGGAACCTAGTCTGCGATCCAAACGGAAATTGAATGCATCAGTTAGAGATAACTGTTTATCCCAACTTGCGGTCCGAACTGCGGACACCTAGCCTATCTGAGTCTAATGTCCGTGGTCGAACAACCAACTCATCAACGAAAAGATTGGGTCGGCACGGAGTCCGGACATGGGACTCATGCCGGACAAGTATGGTGTAGGTACTAACAGCAGCCCTTCGTAACCTGCACCATACCTCTGCTGTCAGTAGAATAAGTACACCTGGTTCTAAACTTTTTTGTGCGCTCCTGTGGCCGCGTTTCATGCAGTATCTCTAACCGTCAGCAGGGGAACGTCTACATATCTGGCTCAAATGCTTACTGAGGTCAAGAATGTGGGAGTAAGAGCCTGTCCGGCAAGCGTTGCGAATTCTTGCATAGTCGAGGATGCTGTTTAATGTCGCGACCGTGAACATCCTGGCACAGTGAAGCACATTTTTCAGTTTGTGGCTATCGAGTACACAGGTGGTCTGAACAGGGGCGATAGCGAGGAACATTTCCAAGTTGTGCGTCAGTGTGAGATCCAAGTCCGTGTCCACGGTCTCAGGTCTCGTATTGTGTGCAGGAAAGTAGACTCGTCACCGTGACCAGTCCATCTATGTCCAGCTTAATTTTCCTTCACACAAGTCTAATCGGTCGATTCATTTTTTCACACGCGATTTTTTCAAGTCTTGATATTATCAGGCGTGTTCATGTGCATTAGAACGTGCTTCGGATAGGTATCACTAGCTGGCCCACGAAAGGCATGTTGATCACCAGGGAGATTTCATCAGATCGCATATAGGAGGCTCCGCATAATCGTCGTTGAGCGTCATGAGAAGGAAGATCCAGTCACGTCCATTGATCAGGGCACCACGGAGGACTTTTTGCCTGAGATAAGATAGCAAATTGGAAATGCGAACCAAAGGCTAGCAGTATTTGCTTACTGTTGGACTTTCCGCACGCATACATCTTAGAAACTGCCTGAGCAACATGGTTCGAGGGATCTGAAGCTTGGCTTCCTAGAGGAAACAATGAGCTGGGCGATTGAGATAAGTCAAGGCAGATTTACCAGCATCGCCGCTTTGAGTTGCTACTATGGCAATGTGATCTACAATTGCATTAAAGGTCTGCAAACTCGACGGGCTGATTGTCGTAGCTGGAATAACGTGTTCTTTGTTGAGAACCATGCGCTTATCTGGTGGTGGCATTGCAGATGAGGAATGCGTCAATCCACACATGGGCGCTCGCTTCGTTCTGATGGAGTATGAAAGTAGCGCAGAAGTCGACAGTTGTTAACATACCGCCCTAGGAATAAGACTTTCCAAGAAATGTAATTGACGATTCAGATTCACGGAAGACCAAAGTTTGCTCTGTCCCAAGGCAGTAGTCGCCTTGATGCGTTCAGCAAAATTGGGCTTCAGGCGAATAAAACCGGTATACGTGATCTTCAACTTGGTCCGACAAGTCCTCCATGGTCATACTGGAGAAGGTAAAAGACTGTAGAGAGTGAGCTAATGGGAAGCTGTTTCGTGACTCGAGTCATACCTAGAGACCCTTCCAGCTTTGACCCCAACAGAGAGAGCATCCGAGTCGTGTCGAGCTGCTGCTCGAAGCTTTCTGGAGCAGGCCCTTCCTCCCTCCCGGCCTCCTCATACTAGATAATGCTTTTCTCGGCTTAAGAAGACTGTCATAGGCGGCTTGCAATTCCAGCCTGCCGAGACCGGAGAGTTTACGCTTCTTAGGAGACACGAGGACAGCTGTGAAAATCAGTCACATGGCTCTGAGCTGAGAGTCAGGGGATGTTGATGAGCGTGTCACAGTTTGGGCAGTGAACAACTATAGACACGTGTCTGTCATCTACATAACCTATCAGTGAAATGGCGAAGGAGATGGTTAATCACAAAAACCAGCATAATTCTGCTATCGAGAACCCCGACATAGTGCATAGGCCAGGCTTTTGACTCTTGAGATGGTCTTAGTGCAAAGAAAGCATTCGCGGCCCCCCACGGAAGTTCGGTTCGTTCAAAGCTACTAATAGGTTTAGAACCGATGTACCGCCGACATGTTCCCCACGACGTCAAATACATAAGTACGTACTTTATAGTGCTGAATACCATGAGGCCAGGGAGCTCGAGCGCTCAAGACTCAAGTCAAAGTTTGCCTGGCACTGTCTAACATAATGGGTAGCTCACCGTTAGCGACACGTCCTCCTTTTCGACGTTGGGCTCACCTAGTCCTGTTTACCATCACATTCGTCTACATCCTTTTCCATTCCTCAACCTTCATCTCTTCGGCGTTCTCTCAATCCAGCCCACAGGAGTTCGCACGTCGTTCCCAGATCCTCTCCAAATGTGCCTACATACGTGCTAAACCCGGGCCTCCACCCAATTTCCATACCCGCACCCAGAGTGACCGCCTCGCAGATTCAGAGAACACGACTCCCATTCTTGTGCGTAATGCGACCATCTGGACAGCCGCCAATGACGGGCACGAGGTTCTCACTGGTGACCTCCTCATGCACCACGGTCTTATCAAAGCCATTGGGGATATTCCTCTTTCTCTGATTCGGCAGTTTGAGTTAAAGAACAGGAAATTGGAGGTTATCGATGTTCACGGAGCGTGGGTGACCCCTGGCATTGTGGACTTACACTCTCATATCGGTGTCGGCAGTGCACCTCAGCTCAATGGTGCGTTCATTTACTACTCTGCAACAACTATAGGGTCCCATTTCCTGCAGGTGCGGGCGACACGAACTCTCGTAAGGCCCCTATATTGCCCTGGTTGCGCAGTATTGATGGGTTGAACACCCATGATGCGTCATATGAACTCGCCATGGCTGGAGGCGTCACCACCGCTCAAATTCTCCCCGGGAGCGCAAATAATATCGGTTAGAGCTGTCTCAATACATACTTAGTCTAATCGCTGATCATAAACCCTGTCTACTAGGTGGCCAGGCATTCATCATAAAGCTTCGCCCTACAGCCGAACGTTCGCCTTCTTCCATGCTCCTCGAGCCTCCCTACACCCTCAATGGCTCTCACTTTGACCACACTCTCACGCCCCGCTGGCGACACATGAAGTCTGTCATTTCACTCACTCCGTCTTCTCTTATTTATCTTTAAATCTGCCTCACTTCCAACAACACCCAACAGACATGCATGTGGTATGTTCTGGAAGACACCTCATTGTACTCCTAGCTCACTCACTCACAAGGCGAAAATCCCTCTCGTGTCTATGGCATGACACGCCTTGATTCTGGGTGGAACTTCCGTGCCGCCTACGACAGTGCTCGAAAGCTGCGTGACGCTCAGGACGATTTCTGTGCCAAGGTAGAATCTGATTCCTGGGATGACCTCGCGGGGAAGATATTTCCTGAAGAACTGCAATGGGAATCCCTTGTCGATGTGCTCCGCGGACGTGTGAAGCTTGCTGTGCACTGCTACGAGGCGGTTGATCTCGACGGAATCGTCCGCGTGCGTTTTATTCTATTGTTTTCTTTCTGATTTTTACTTGCATTTGGTTGTTTCATGGATGGCCTTGGACAGCTTACAAATGAGTTTGAGTTCCCCGTGGCGTCATTCCACCATGCTGGGGAAACATATCTCGTTCCGGAGTTGTTGAAGAAGACGTGGGTAAGTCTTTTCTCTATCGTCATTGCTTGTTTGCGACATCCTTCTAATGATATTTGTATCTACCAGGGGGGCACACCTGCCATCGCGCTCTTTGCATCCAACTTCCGGTATGTATATTTGGATTAAGTTTTGTAACTGTGCTGATGCAGTTGATCTTGCGTGAAGGAAGAAACGCGAGGCGTATCGAGGATCGGAGTTCGCTCCACGGGTGCTGGCAGAGCATGGAATCGACGTTGTTATGAAGGTAAGTGTCGCCTTATATACTCCTTCATTTCAGTTCCTTACAGTTTGTAACTTGATCTCGCTTTCAACCAACCTGTGGTTGCAGTCTGATCACCCTGTTGTCAACTCCCGTTACCTCCTGCATGAAGCCGCCCAAGCGCACTATTATGGCCTCGACCCTGCACTCGCACTCCTTTCCGTTACGTATACTCCTGCCACTGCCATGGGGATGGGCCATCGGATTGGGATGCTGAAACCAGGTATGTGAGGCTACTAATGTAAGTTCAATGAAGAAATTAAGTCTCGATTGGATCGCAGGGTATGATGCTGGTACGTCCTGCTCGTGGTCAATGGATATATGAGTCTGATTGTCTAATTGAAACTAGATGTTGTGATCTGGTCTTCCCACCCACTTTCGCTTGCTTCAACGCCCGCCCAGGTCTACATCGACGGTATCCCCCAGCTCTCCCTTCCCGGCCACTATATTGCCAAGGGACCCACTACACCTCCACGCACGCCAAATTTCGACTCAGAAAAGGTGGCGGCAGTTGTGCATGAGGGTATTCCCCCTCTTGAGCCTCGCAGCGTCAAAAGTGCGATATTCGTGAATGTGTCGAGGCTTTATGTAAGAGGTGATGACTCGAGTGGGGTGATGTGTGTTTCCGAGCAGGCGGGATTGGTGGGCGTGGAAGATGGCCGAGTGGTGTGTGTTGGTCAATGCTCGGATTTTGCAGAAGGGGATGTCGATACTGTAAACCTTGAAGGCGGTGCGATCACACCTGGACTGACGAGCTTCGGTGCGCCACTGGGGCTCGTGGAGATAAGGCTTGAGCCGAGCACGAACGATGGAAGTGTTCATAACCCTCTCAATGGAGATCTGCCCGCCATATTGGGTGACACAATCATGAGAGCACAAGATGGGCTCATGTTTGGTGGTCAGAACTTGCTGTATGTATTCTTTTCATTCTTTACGTCTGTGTCTGCATTTCCAAATCGACCGATTGCAGATTAGCCTATCATGGCGGTGTCACAACAGCCATCACTGCGCCATCTGGGACCTTCCTGCAAGGCGTATCTACTGCATTCTCACCTGGAGCTGCGCATGCAAGCGTGGAAAATGCGAGCGTTGTTGATGAGGTCGCATTGCATGTGGGTATAAGCATGTCTTCCAGGGTAGGCGTGAGCACGCAGGTGGCAGCACTAAGGAACATGTTATTTGGGAGGGGTAGGGATGAAGTACTCAGGAGCGTTAGAAAGGTTAGCTTATCCTCTTGCATTGAATTGACGCTGATATCTAGTATCAAGGGTAAAATCACGCTCAGTTGTTGACGTTGAGAGCGCAGACATAATGGCAACGCTGCTTCGGCTCAAGGATGAGTATGAGGCTCATTCCGGCAGGGAGCTTCGTATGACCTTCGCAGGGGCAACCGAGGCTCATATCATTGCGCACGAGATTGCGAGGGCAGGCGTGAGTGTGATAGTCACACAGAGTAAACCATACCCATCAACTTGGGAGCAGCGGAGGATGTAAGTATCCCTATGCTATTTATTCTTTTTCCGAAATTCGTTGTTGTTTTTTGTTTGTGATGAATGATGCTAACCTAGCCATCACATAGACTTGCTGGCCCGCCGATCACGCAGGAGAGTCTGGTTACTGCGCTGTTGAAGGCCGGCGTCAATGTAGGCATTGGTGTTGTTGATGAGTCCAATGCCCGGAATACACGTTTCGAAGCCGGTTGGGTGCGTTTGGTTTGACCCTTCTTTCATATCATATTTCCTGACATCAATCCCAGTTCCTCTTCACGTCCAATGGTTTTATTGACCGCACGACGGCTCTCGCACTTGCCACGACAAATCTCGAGAAGGCGCTTGGAATACAGAGGGAGATGCCTCAGGACCTTGTGGCATACCGTGGTGGGGATGTGTTCGAGTTTGAAGCCAAGGCAGTTGGAGTTATATCGGAAACATTGGGGCGAATAGATTTATTTGTGTGATCAGTGACCAGAGCAAGATCCTCATTCGTAGGCTCTGAGTTTCATTATAGGAACGGATGTATAACAACTGATAGTACACATTCAGTACTGTACAGTAATCAATGTGAAGCCCTGTCGCAGGATGAGATATGATGAAAAACTTGGATGAGAATGAGTTTGTAGAGGGTGCCATTAGACAGTCGTAAGGGATAGGGTTCTCTGGTCCTACTGCGTGCTGGCTGCTGTCGATGCTGAGTACGGATACAGTTGCTTCTGTTGCGAGCCTGATCACCCAGTGTTTTGCAGCTTATGGGTCAAGAATCCTGAAGTCAGTATCTAGCAGAGCGCCATCTTGTTTGGCATGGCGTGTGATCTATCAATCAAAGGGTAATGATATAGAATTTATGAACTTCACCTCCATATCGATACCCCAAGCTTCGCCGCCCTGCTTCTAACCCTCAGTACTTCCAAGTGCGTTCTCCGCACGTATTTTTGTCGTTGCTAGAATCTGCAAATGTTCGTACTTGTACTTGATGAGTCTTTGCATTCAACTAACGTCACGTAGGGACGAGTCAGCCACGGTTGATTTCTTTGCCGTGCTGGGGAACGAACTTTACTACATCGAGTCATTACCTGCAAACAGCAGGGTCGTGAAGGTCTTCTACTACCTCAAGTCAAATAATTCCAACGCTTAACGAGTCCTGGAGAGGATCGCGTATAAGCAATGCAAGTTCTACAAATTCAAGAACCCTGTATTAGTCCCCGATGACGATTCTATGAACGACGCCGAGATCATCCGGCAATGTCTGGATGAGCATAATTGGACAGAAGTGTCACCGAACAAATCTTTGAAAGCACTGAGATCAGAACTAAGAAACGACCATGTTTACTTGGTGATTAAGCCTCTGCGACCTGAAAGTGCGCCACCGCTGTATCTGTTGATAATTGATGTTCTCATCCTCAGAGGAAACAGATCCAGCCATTGAAAATGTGCGCAAGACAGACGAAGAGCTTTTTCTTTGCTTGCAAATCACCGTAGCAAAGCTGCAGTCATGGACCGCGCAAGACGTTGAATATAACTTGGACGGTGGCACCTGGCTGATTCATAGCCAAGAACGACCAAATTCAATCGCTGAGATAGAGGACCGACTGGACCGAGTGCGTACATACGCTGTACCAGACGACGACCCGCTGTCTCATGTGGACCCCCCTCTGGGGCCATTACCAGACTCAAGCCTATCAACCCTGAATGCATTCAGTAGACCCATCCCACTCCCGGATGCGACGAGGGACCTGGAAAATGCCTCCAGCTACCAGGCACTTTTTGATAACATATTTAGACCCACTTTGTTCGCGCCCACTGAGGACAACCCCGTCGATGTGAAAGATACCCGAGAATTCGCAGCCTTCTTCAGCGTCCTTCGTTCTTATCACCAAGACTGCAGCTCTTCTGGTGAACGACTCCTCATCCTCCCAGAAGGCTAGCAACTTCACTGTACACTTTATATCCCCACCTTTCTTTTACAATCGCAGTGAACATTTTAAATACAAGGAGTAAGTAGAATCGAATCGTTGTTACAACCCAACTGACCATCATGAATAGGCAGACGCCTTGGGAATTTCCTATCTTCCTGAATACTCGGGATAATCGCTATGTCCTGGTACAAGTTCTGCCCAACCAGTGATTGTATGGTTTCGTCTACTTCATTTCTTTGCCCCTTCATTATTTGTGAAGTGGTTTCACAGAAGAACGTGTCTGATCGATTCCGCATGCTAGTTCAAGGCATTGCTCTTGCACGCGCAGGACAATGCTTCATGTCAGGCGAAGCGAAATTCTTTGTTGTGGTAATCTATCTCCATGCAAATTTGACTGCTGAAAGATATATCATTGCCCAGCCTGGTGCAGATAGGAAGGTCTGTTGCTCTGTTTGTCGTCACTTTTTGGTTCTTACATGGAGGCCAGGTATTCATTGCCCAGAAAGATTTTGACCTTACAAAGGCCAATGAGGCAGTCGCATTCATTCATGAGATGTACAACCTCGCGCAGGAGCTTGACTATTTAGCATGCAAACTTGATCCAAAGAACAAAAAACGCCTTGACACCATCAAGGTTGCCGCTTCCGAGGTGATTTCTCTTACGTCACAAGGCTCAGCACAACAAAACACCGAGAACGACATTGACCTCAGTCCCTGAAGATCATCGTGAAACTAGTGGCGCTCAGGATGATCTCGGCGTCTTTGATGCTGATGACATTCAAGGTATTTTGAGAAGAATGGATTACAAGATCTCGTTCATTGTGTTTGGGGTGTGCACCGCTGCAATTTATAATATAGTAACACTGACAATATATCTTACAGTATCCGTTCCTCGCCTTGGTGTCAAATGTGGAGGATGATCTCAACAAGGATATCTCAAATTCGTGAAAGAGGGGCAAAAGGAGATCGAGATCTTGCGATACCTTACAGGAATTGAATCTCCTTCAAACTATACCATCTCGCCAGTCCAAATCTGGCCGGTGCAAGGGGGTAACAGTCGTATCAATGCCTATGGCTGGCAGCCACCTTACCAGTCTATCCAACCCCGACACGCACCTATGGCCTGTGGCCAAGCAGCTGTTCGAAGCTGTTGACTTCATGCATCAGCATAGGTGTGGCGCACCTGGATCTGAAGCCTCCAAATATCCTCCTCCCCACTGACGGTGGCCGCCTGTCTATTATTGACTTCAACAGATCGGTACGCGTCAAAGGCACTGAGCACATGTTCCGCGGCGTCGTTGGCACCACCGGATATCTTGCGCCTGAAGTCGCAGCTGGTCAAGGCCTCTACAGCGCAATCCGCGCGGACTTATGGTCCTGTGGAAAGACATTGGAGGAACTGTGTTCCCTGTGTAGGCCATCCAGGGATCGCAATGCACTGCTCGAAATAACTCGAGAGCTCATGAATGAAGACCCGAAACAGCGACCGATGATGTCGGATGTCTTGAAGAGGCTGGCGTACTACAAGGTTGATGCCAATACAGGACCAGGTTACTTCAGGTAGCGTGCTCTATTCTTGGCGTGTATGCCGCACTGTATGCGAGCATTTGTTTAATTGTTCCGGGCGGTTTCTCCTCTGTCGCACCACCGGAAGTGCATGTGAATTTTCAAATAAGAATGAAGCAAGCAGGGCTTACTCAATTGATGCTTTGATTTTGAGTCCAGGATCTACTCGCTGGGCGACGGAAGTCATCATCGATGCCTCAGTCACAACACGCTTACAGACACGCTCTTCGGTAATTTGGATTAGACGAGCCAGCGTCTCTTCATGGTCTTCTTTTCTATTATTAGGAGCGTTGAAGACAGTCACACTGGTAGTGATACCTACTAGAGATCGTGACATGCGGGACATCTGACCTTGCAAATTTCCTTTGACTCATGGGGAGGGCGGGAGCCGGCGTGCCGGCAGTGGGGATACATGGTTGAAACGTTGAGGACTGTATAATGCTTGGTGATGACTGCACAGTGCAATGCCAACTTGAAGCGAAGATGTTGAGCAGACTCGGAGTCTCCATTGTGAATGACATACCTCAGGCCAGGTGTCCAGACTTTTTGCACTCAGGGTTTGAAGTCGTTCGAAGGAACCAAGAAAGGTCCGAATGATAACAGGTACAGACCGGCACGATGCCCGTTACTTTAGATATCAAATTCAAGCAGATCAAACATCTTGAAGCGGCCGGATCAACCCGGGGTACGTAATGAAATGGCAGTCTCTGTAAAGCTAAGGTCAGTGAAGCCTATAGCTGTACATGACTGAACTAGAAGTTTCACAGCTGTCCTAAGAAGCGTAAAATCTCCGGTCTCTGTAGGCTGGAGTTGTAAGCCGCCTACGGCAGTCTTCTTAAGCTGAAGAAAAACATGGTCTACGAGGAGGCCGAGGAGGAGGAAGAGCCTGCTCCAGAAAGTCTTGAGCAGCGGCAGCTCGACACGATGCTCTCGGAGTCTCTATTTGGGTCAAAGCTGGAAGGGCCTCAGGTACGATTCGAGTTACGAAACGGCTTTCAATTGACCCACCCCCTACTAGTCTCGTACCTTCTCCAGTATGACCATGGAGGACTTCACCTGGTTAAAAATCACGTGTACCTGTATGATTCACCTGAAGCCCAATCTTGCCGAACGCATCGAGGCGACTAATACCTTGGGACAGGGCGAACTTTGGTCTTCTGCAAATCTGTATCGTCAATTACATTTTTTGGAAAATCACATTCCTAGGGCGGTATGTTAACGATCTATTAACCTCCGCGCTATTCTCATACTCCGTCAGAACGAAGCAAGTGCTCATGCGTGGATCGACGCGTTCCTCTTCCGCGCATCTGCAATGTTACCACCAGATAAGTACATGATTCTCAACAAGGAACACGTTGTTCCAGCTACGGCAATCAGCCCATCGGGTTTACAGACCCTTTCTGGAATTGTAGATTACACTGCCATAGTAGCAAGTCAAAGCGACGATGCTGTAAATCTGCCTTGACCTATCTCAATCGCCCAGCTTATTGTTTCCTCTAGGTTTCTATCTGACACCCGCGAGCTTTCATGAGATCAAGGCGATAATGCCGTCCAGCTTCTTCGTTATCGAAGCCAAGCTTCACGATCCCAACCATATTGTTCAGGTACTTTCTAAGATGTACGCGTGCGGAAAGTTCCTCCAGTAAGCAAATACTACCAGTATTTGGTTCACATTTCCAATTTGCTACTTTATCTCAGGCAAAAAGTCCTTCGTGGTGCTCTGATCAATGGACATGATTGGATCTTCCTTCTCATGACGCTCAACGACGATTATGACGGAGCCTCCTATGTGCGATCTGCTGAACTTTCCCTGGGCATCCACGGCCTTGTCGGGGGCGAGCTAGTGATACATAGGCGATCCCTTGATTTGATTGCTGGTATTTTGTCACATTGGGTCAGTTTGATGCTAATATGCGTAACTGAATTGTTGACTGATTGGGATACTAGATTGAAAATAGCTTTTCAGACCTGGGAAGTGATGATTGGTTTACGGCGTAGGTGATGATACTCTTTACAACGTCTTATATGCATTCAGATCCTGAACAATCGTCTGAACTCGATTTCTGATTTTTTGTCCTTTGACTTAGTCTTAAGCATTACGCTCTCCAGTCGAGCATTAAACATATGATAAGTCTACAGAGATTTTGATCTGGGGAGAAAACGACTCGGAGCTCTGATGGGCGGGATGAAGTTGCGAACCGGGTACAGGTATCATGCCTTCGGATAGAGCACTAGGAAAATGCTGCAACCTTCCAAACTTGAATTACAGCTGTTTGAAAAACTAATGGGTGACTATCCGTAGGCAACATAATGCAGAATATGACTTTGAAGCGCATTTGCAGAAGATAATCCGCACAGAAAACAAAACCGTAACGCATATGGAATAATATAATGTGGATTTTGTCAGTAAGAACTCCAATGGATGATCTACTACTACGGTATACTCTGACGAACGATGGAAAAGAGACAGCTTTTCTTGACGACGAAGACGCGAGAATGTTTGCGGCCACATGACTGGTTGCTGGAATTGAGTTGCTCAACTTGATCGTATCGAGACCCGGAACCCCGGAATAACAACTGATAGTACATTCAGTACTGTATAATAATAATGTGAAGCCCTAGTGTCGTAGTATGAGAAACTAAGATGAAAATGTAGTTTGTGGCGAAGGTGAGAGTCCACGCGCCATGATCAGAAGACTGATTAATGACTGCAGTCAATAATGCCTACAGGCATGCATCTCTGCCTTCCGCAATCGAAAATCATCATGGTGCTCTCCCTTCACATTGACAGCAATGCGAACCACTTTTGTCTCAGACCTCTGTACGTCGTAGAGAAAAACGTCATCCGCGTAAGGTAAGATAGCATCTCTCAGAGCGGGCTGGGCATCCCCAGCGCCCTGCCAGTGTCCAAAACAAAACCTCTGAGAAACACAGAACAAGTACGAGCAACACAACAACGCACACTAATCATCCCGCCCCGGTGATAAAATACCAATACCCCACCACTGGCCTTACGCTATCCCGCATCCCATTCTTAAACAGCTCCGATTTATCATTCGAACAGATCTGTGCGCCCACTGCGCCTGCAACGATCACCGTATCGAATAATTGTCCATTATCATCCAGCTTCATATCGAGATGAGCGTACCCGCACGGCACGCATTCATCATCGATCACTGGATACGGCATCCCTTCGAGCACCAGAAAAGGACGCCACGCTCCGCGGTAGGTATACACCGCGGCAAACTGGGCTGCACTCAGCGCCCGTGGATCTGCAGGACGAAGCAATTTCTTTGGTGCGTCTTCCCGCATGCGCTCAGCATTTAGCGGGGGACCTTGCCATATGCCATGTTCGTTAAACACACAAAATGCGGTGATCCAGCCTGAGAGGTAGGTCGGCCCACTCCCGCCTCCCTCGTAGTGCGCGACTTTGGACCAGAAATCGAGGTTTTCGGGGCTGGATGGCGCGTCGAAGGCAGCTACGAATCGAGAGATGATGGGATGCAGGAGGTGATACCATGCTATTGTTTCTATGCTGTATAGTTTTAGTCGCTCAAGTCGCTCAAGGATTGCCTCCCAGTCATGTTTCTCCCCGAGGAGGGTCACAAGAGGTATCCCACAACGCAGTACAAACTTGTAGCGAAAATACTCTTTCATCGTCGCCATGATGGACATTGCATACACTGTCCGGTCTACATCTGTTGTCGTGGAAAATTCAGGCATAATCCAGTCCCTCAGCATCGGATCCGCTACGCGCGTGTGCATAAGGTCCAACATCTGGCGCGCCATGAGTGCGAAATCTCCCACGTTGCGGTTCCCATCGCCAATGATGATCAGTTCCTCCCGACCATCTTGGGCTACAAAGTGCGCACGGAGTTGCTCAACATTTGCGCTCACGAAGAAGCTGAATTGGATCAGGATCGCAGTCCAGACATCATCCGGGCGAAGGATGAGCGCCCGATGATTGTTGTAGGCCTCGAGTACGGTATGCACAAACCCGTTGGGCTTTGGCATGATATCACGCACTGCATCGAGGCCGGTGGGGAGGGATGTGCGAAGGAGGTGGAGACAACGCGTGAATTGTTCAGGGGAAGTCTTTTCGAGGACGGTGAGGTAGGGGTTTTGGTGGAGTGGGATCTGGAGACGGTAGTCTTCTGTAAAAGACTCAGCGGGATGCGTGGCTGGGCAGAATGAAGTCACGCCAGGAGGAAGTTGTTGAGTCTAAGAATAGGTCTGGCGCTTGGTATGATTTGGCACTGGAATGAGGGGAACATACCGTGGGGAGTGGGGACAGAAATTTGAATGAAGCCGCAGAACTAGCTATGGAGGATATCGGGGAGAACTCATGTGGAGACATGTTGTGTGTGGGGGATGTAGCTGTGATGACTCTATGAGACCGTTTCTGAAGCCTCGATGTGTGATGCGACCTGACTGAGCCTGCAATACTCTCCGTAGGAGCGGTAGTGGTGAAGATAGCAGAAACGGCTTCCTCCTTAAACTTGCTGCCTTTGGAGAGAGGCAAGGCAATGCTGATCGGAGAAAGTGGTGGTGACTTAGGAGGGGGTGTTGGAGAACGGTCTGTGTCTCTCGATCTCGAGAAGACACGGCCAAGTGATAATTTTCGAACCATGAGGTTCAGCCTGGAAAAGGGTTGTGTATGCGAACAAAACCGAGTCGAGAAAGAGTGGGCGTCGAGGAAGGGTATTGATATCAATCGTGACAGGCACCACACATCTCGTGCCTATTTCAGAGTATAAAAATGGACCTGGACCACGAGATTCGAAAGATGTTCAGCTGACTTTGGAGGATTAGGTCAACAAGGCAGCTGATCGCAATGCGTACTATCCCTTCCATGGAAAAATCATCCCAACAGGCCTCCAAATTGATGAACGTGCTTTTCTATGATCGTATTGGCAGGTTTTGGCCCGAAACGCTGTGTAAGTGATGGATGATGCAGCTTGTGCGGCCAATAGTCTATAGTCTATATATGAGTTGGAGAGTTGAAGCTGAAGTATACCGACCGCTATCATAGTGAATTGACGAGACCGGCTTGCGTGCGTGAGTAGTTGGCTAACATGGAAGCTATGAAGGTGTACTTCTGAATCGTAGCGAAGACTCAGACTTGAAGAGAAAATTAGTGTTGTTATCGAGGAGAGTTATATAAAACTTGATGTGAACTTGGCTCGCTTCGAAAATGACTAAATTCGGAACTGAATCGAGTTATAACATGGTTCGAGATTCACAACCGTACGTACTTTATACCCAATGAGCCGCAGTGGACTCGACGTAGCTGCCACTCTAATGTCGTTTCGTACGTCCATTAGAGAGACTCAGCAAGTCTGAGCGAGATCCAGACCCAACTGGAGCTATCTACACCTTCGGTATCACTGCAGGTGCTTACTAACTCGAGGCTCACGGTCCTTACCTGCTGGATTTGGTTGCATGAACAACCTCAAAGTGACTGTGCGGCGCTCAGCTTCTGCTGCTAATAACACTATCCCTCCCCCACCATCATTGTCTGAGCCAATGGTGCACTCCCCGACACCGGAAACCATGGAGGAATACTTCCTCAAACTGGATAGGAAGGATGCCGAGCGCGAGCTTTCTCGTTACGAAGATGTACGTATACAGGTGAACGCACAACAGATGTCGTTCATTTCTGGGGGGTATGTGTTATATTTCTGCAATTTCATAGGTATCACGCTAGCAAAAAGAACGTACATTTCCACTTCTATTCCGCGTCGCTATGGATGTCCTGCCCGCTCAAGCTTCATTTGTGCCTTCTGAGCGCGTATTTTCATCCAGTAAAGAGAGCTGCACTCTATGGCACAGCAACTTATCTCTGACCACGCTCGAAGCACTACAAGTCCTGAAGTTTATTTGCAAGCAAGACGACTTCAATTTTACAGAGGGCTTGGTAGCTTACAAGCGGGACTACACAGTATCTGACCTGTGACTCCCAGAGCAGTTGACGAGCTGATAGCCGCTGAGAATCATTGCAAGCTTGACGTTGCAAGGGACATCGACTGTAATTAGTATATCTGCTGGTCGTGTACTACTAGTCACTTGCAAACAATGCGGCGGCAGCATGCAGAATCCCTAGCTTCTCATTGGCTAGATTACCGGTCCATATCACTGTAACTCCCAAATTCGTTTCCACATCGCGAGGCGAACGAGGTTCATTTCGTTTCAGCTCATTAGTGCCGTATTCCACCTCGATTCGCCTTGCGGCAACACTTGATTGGGCAGCGAAGCTCGGCAACGTTCCGAAAGCCGATCCGGTCTGGATTCTGAACTTGGTCAAGTGAACTTGTGCGGCGTGCACAATGCACATGCCAGCGCCAAGTTACACCTCACACACGGTTCTCAAATCGCCGTGTCCATTGCCCAGCGCTATTTTCTCTTACCCAGTTTCGAGAAGAGGTCCCATCATTGCCTCTGAACCGTCCGCGTCATCCCAACCATGTCCATGAGGGGCTCACCATACGCTACACTTTTCTTTTCCTGTTTTTTCTTTGTATCTGTAGAAAGTCTAGCCCACGATACAGCCATGCTCAGCAGACGAGCAGTCCCGGAAATAGGCGGTTCACAAGGAGGTATATAGTTTTCCCTACCCTGCCTCTCCAGCATATGATTGCATGAGTAATGTCTCAAATATCATTATCCAACAGGTTTCATCGGGCTCGTCGTCACTTTGAGCGTGCTCATTCTCATCTGCTGTATTGCAGTCTTCTTCCTCCTTCGTAACCATGAACCGTCCGAACAAGATCGCACTGCCCGCCGTGAGCGCTACCGCCGTAATCGCGACCACCAAGAACACGATTCAACAACTGCCACGCAAGGACACAGCTCCTTTGGAGACAAGCTTCGCGGGATGTGGGCAGATAGACACAGTAGTGGGAACAGGAGCGGTGGACGACGAGGTGGGCGTGGCTGGATCCAAGCTGGCTCAGGTGACGAATGGGAGATTAATTCAGATCACGGCGAAGAACATGGGGTGCAGCAGCCCATGCAGCCCTTCTCCAGGTCTTTTCAAGAGGGACCTTACGGCCCCCAGGTCCCAGAAATGGACTCACCGCTGTCAGATACGGAGTCGTATGCACCGATGCAATATGGGGATCCGTATGCAAAGGGCCCATTGCATGTGACATCACCACAACGGGTGACTTTTGCACGGTCGCAGTCTCCGTTCTCGCAGTCTAGCTCGCCTAGGTCCCCTGGATCGCATCGAGATGCAAGTGTGGATGACGAAGAGGTGCGCCCGCCCGATCACCGTCATTTCTCTACACAATCATCAACATCAGTACGGACTTTTGAGGGAGGTACAAAATTTATCGAGTCGTTCTAGAAGCTTGTGATAGTTATGTTTTGCCTTTACGCATACATGTGTCATCGTCTTTCGTCTTTTTACTCTCATGGCTCACGTCTACTTGTCACGCATATTGTATCATTCGGACGCTCATCCGTGCGGTTGTTCCCTTGCAATGTATCTTTAGTGATACTCCTGCTGCTTCCCTGCTAAATGCATATTAATCTTGATCTATCGCTGACCGTGGCATAGATAGCCATGGCTCATTGGATACAGATATTCCTTTTCATGGACTCCGTCTCGGGGCTACTGTGTTAGCGATGTAATAATATTTATTGATTCTCCACCGTACTTTTGTGCCCTGCCCTTCTCTTCGAGGCAGCTTCTCGGCCACCTCTGCCCGCTGGCGCTACTTAGAACATAATGCAATTGCAAATTTTATTCTCCGCAATTCCTCTTTACACCAGCCCTTCTCCCTCCCTACCCTCCCGATTTCTCGCTTCTTTGCAGCCTTCCCTCTACCCTCATCAATGGTAATACACTATCAGGTAGCCGTGATTGAGCAATGAGGCCACATCGCTACCTAGTAGCGTGTTACCACAACGAATTTGGAAATCGTATTCTCTACTTAATTCCCTCTACACCGGTCTTTCCATCCCATTCCTGGTTTGTCCCCTTCCCTTCGCAGCTTCCTCTCACCAGTTCACCTTTGAATTTTCTCTAGGAACTAACATTAGAATGTTGAGCCAGAGGTCACTGTCCAGTTATCTTGGCGTTCCAGCGATTCAGCTTTAATTTCGCTTCTCACTGTTTGTCCTTCAGCAGCAATCCTGCCCTGCGCCCTGCGAACTTGTTACCAAACGAACGTTCTTGGATGACGTACGAGGGAGCAAGGGTTTGCGAGCTAGTTCATCGGTGCAGCCTGAGGTACGTCACAGGAAACTCGAACTCCAAGTCGAGGTTGAGTTCGCCAACGCTACAAATGTGTATAGTATGCAACGCTTACATATATACGTTACTCAGATTGTTGCAAAGAAATGGCCAACGAGCTCGATTTCAAAATTTAAATGGACCTTTCGTGTGTGCCAGACGACAGTGTGGCCACCATTTACATCTAATTTTACTCCAAGAGATGAAGTCGATATTGTGAGAGTGTGAGATTTGTATGTGACGACGCCCCAGGTTTAAAAATCCCCTCTGTTTCTTATATTGATCGAGCGGCGTGTTCTTACTGAGGAGCACGTCGTCTTCATTATTGATATAAATCCTGCCGATCAAATACGAGTCACTCGATCTTTTTGTGTCAATTCTCTAAATTCTTTGGAGATCGTCACAGACCACTCACCGAAGTGTATCGCAAATCAGTAAGACCGCTGCGCCCGCACCTGAATCGATGGCTGTCATCGGCATCAAATGCATTCTTCTAGAAAATCTCGTGTCTGCGGTTCGCAGATTACAATGGGTTAGTCTCTTGCAAGGCGTGTCGACTGTGCCACAAAGCGTTTATCTCTGAATGAGATTCCGGGGGCAATTGAGGCAAACGCTACAATGAACATATCCTAAAAGGGAGGAAGATACCCACCACAGCGTGCGGTGAACTTCATTACACTGATCGATTCAGTCTTCCATTCTCTTTGCAAACATGCACGGCCATGTATCGATACTGAGCTATGCAGCCAAGCGATATGAGAAACTTTGCAGATTACACAGGTTGGCTCATATGAGCACGTTGGTATGGTGATCATTTTGATAGGCGACCATGCCCTGGAACAAACGTGTGATTATTTCAACGCAGCGGGCATCGTGCATTAATACATCAACTGCATAGATCATATATATTGTACTGCCTTGGTGCAGGGCTACCTAAACAACGTAAACAGTCTCATTCACGAGTTGTAAGCTTGGCCAGTAAAGCACCTGCAACGCGTGTCAGATCTGTACATCAAAGATAGTCGGGAAATAACGCACTCCAATAAGGTTAAAGTGAGCAAGTCCAAGCTGTGCTTGCCCGGTAGCGAAGGATGCAGGGACTTGAAGAGAGAAGTCTTCATATGGGTCGTACGCGCCCGACCCAAACTGGGGATTGAACGGGCCTGCGTACAAGACGGTACCCATATCCTCACTAATGGGGAGACAGTTCCCAGTTGGACAAGACTGGATAGCAATTACAATTGCTATCTCATCACTGCCAGTGAGAGTGTCCTAAGAGTGCACGGAATTAATGAACACGATACTCAAAATAATGCGTGCTTAAGAGCTTACCGGGCGACCTATTTGCACAGTAAAGTTGGTACCGGCAGTGATATCGGAGCCAGGCGCAGGCAGGTTAATGAAGGCGCCCTGAGCACAAACAGATACTACCATGAGAGCACTAGCAACCAGCGCTTTGATTGGGAAGTACATTGTAGCTGTGAGTATGAGTGTGCAGTTCTTGGAGAAATGGTGAGTGCGTTAGAGGTGTCGAAGTTTATATGCGCTGAGCGGGCGCTATATTTGGTAGTCCCCGAACCACTCACGGAGCATCTATAGGTGTGATGTCAGCGCCCCATGCAAATGCATAGCACTACAACGGGGATACAAACGCCACAATAATGAAGGGGGACCTATGACTAACCTGGCGATTTTGAATATCCAAGTGATGCAAAGTTAATTAGGGACCTAAGCTTGTCATACTTGTTGGCGATGGGTCAGAGTACGTACCCATGCTACCAGTCCCGGAGGATTAGCCTCCGGGACTTCTCTTGCTGCTTTTCCACTTTTTGCGTCTTGTTGCGTCCTGGCACCTTCGACACCACGCATCGTAGCTACCGGTGTCACAGTCACCAGTAGCATCTCTCCGTCTCGGATTCTTGATGTTCGATACTTAATGTTGCCACCCATCAGTACTTCAGTTCTGCCTCAGTGTTGTCTAACACGTCCGCTGAGACTTTGTCCTAGCTCCATAATACTTACCTGCCCGTCTTGTCTGCGATATCGCGGTGTGGTGAGCTACTCACAGTCTATGCCATGAGCTGAGCTGGGAAAGGGGCGGGCATTAGCACAGGTATGTGGAAAAAAGCTGCGGGTAATCAAGCTGACATATATTTTTGGTGGAATGTTCATCTACAAGAACTAATCAGGGCTAGACGCAAATTTTCTCCGCAGTATAGCTTTGTATGACTTGACAGTTGCTGGCTATAACCATCATTCGAAAGCATACATCAGAGAACCTGTGAGAAGAAGATATCGTCATATATAGGAAAGGTTTTCGTCACATTGGAATATAAAGTGATATAAAGCAATATATGGCTATGTAAAAGCACCACAATCAGCATAATCCCCAGCAAGAACTCACCGGTTTACTGATGTATGGTTCACGTTACTGTTAGGCAGGTAAGCGTGCCAGCTGACTGGTGGGATCGAAACGAGGCAACAGTCTCGGTGAACGACAACCGTAACACTATCTGCAGTGCCATAAAAGGTATTATTATTGTGCAAGCATCGGCAGTTTCGATGCACCGAAGGTCTTCTTGCCCGTATTTTGAAAAATGCGATTCGGATGACGAGCGTTCCGTGTTTGAATTCAAGTTTGAGTACGAAGTAATGTTACTTCTGATGCTATTGTCGGTGATGCTTCATAGCACAAGGGGGTGCGCAGGGAATGGCGGCTAATATTGGAATGATGTGAGTGATAGGCCCGACTAGTATGCGGGCCACAGCAGGGTTACATCTCTATGCAATAAAATCAGGCCCGACAATCGATCTGAGGAGAAGGCTGTACTACCATTTAGCTCGGGGCATCAACGCCGCCCACCGTGTAAGAATTCATAATTTGCCGGGTGGAGCTCTGACGACCGTGACGTCTCTCGGCGTCTGCAGTCCGGACTCGTCCACAGCATATCAATATCAAAGGGGTGTGAAATTAGCTTAGTTTTGTGACCAAACCTTTGAACTTGGCTCCGCCATAGTACTGAATAGTTGTAGCAAGACCAGCTAGAAGGATGATATTCGTTCCTTCTATATGATGAACGAAGCCTCGTTCGAAAATGGATTACACAGGAGGACGTCTGTGACAGTGAAATTAGTGTGTATTGTCACAAATATCACACGGTAACAACACGCAAGGAAACATAATAGTGTACGACAATTTGTGGTAAGTGCAGTACACCATGACATACGACACACTTACAAAAGGAGGCAACCGAATTTGTATTTGTAAAAGTACTTAGCTCGAGTAAGACGTAGGACATCATGGGAATTACAGAAACATGCACAGCCGAATTATATGTATGCATTATTTGTCCGATACTGTACTACAGCGTCTATATCCGAATAGTCCCTTGCAAAGGTCCATAGCTATGAAATAAAAATCACAATCACGAAATTGTGATGGTACGATTCAGAGTCTCCAGCCAAGGGTACAAACCAGCCTAGACCATATCGTTAGTTGCGAGCACTTTCGAACAATATTAAGGGCACTCACCCCGATAAGAGTGACATGAGCAACTCCAAGAAGAGCGGTTCCACTGGCGATGGTACTCGGAATCTGAACTGTGAAGTTTTCATAAGGAGGGTTGTACGTCTCGTGGTACTGTGGGTTGAAGGGACCGTTATACAAAATTTGACCCATGTCATCAGCAGGGGCGATGCACGGCGTTCCTGGGCATGACTGTATGCCAATAACGACGGCAACTTCTTCAGAACCCGTCAATGAATTCTGTTTAAAAAACAAGCGTTAATCGAGGAACAGGGTATGATTGCATATTAGACTCACAGGTCTCTCTACCTGAACAGTCAAACTGCTTCCAGGAGAGACTGAAAGACCTTGGGGAGGGTATCCGATTGCAGCATTCTGAGCAAAAGCAGAAGCTGCAAGAAGAGCGAGGGAGAGAACTAACTTCATGATGAATGATTTTGTAGAATTGGTGAAGACGATGAAAGCCCACACTTTTATATGCTTTCGGCTTTAGGAGAGAGGGCAGCGTTTGCCGCAACTTTCAAACCATGCGTGTCAAGAGGTCCCAGTGCGCTGTACCATCAAAATACTGACAACTTGAGCCGACGTGATCGGTAATAAATTACAATCCATTCCAGCCTAGCGGAAATGCTCCTTATGGAGCCCGGCGACATTTGGAAAACACAACATGCGTAGCTTCCATTCAAAGTTAAATGTTGAAGGCTATGACGCGGGTATGAGTGAGCTGGCTGAGCGCGGCAGACTCGGAATTGAATATTGAATGTTGAAACGTTGACTAGTGACTGTCAAAGCTTGAAGCATAAGATCAGCAAATTTTGTAATGGGTGACCACAAGTGAATCGGGTAGGATTAAAACGAATGGAGCTTACGGGCCGTGACTAGTACCGAACGCTCCATCCACAAGCAGTCTGTTGATAACTCGATCCTTCATGCAAGGCCCATTTATAGCTGCATAAGTTTTTCACATAACCGTGACTGATTCTTGTGCAGGCTACCATCAGATTCGCCCGAAGCTATTACACGCTGCAGACGTCTTATTCGGACTTGCGCCAGGCTCCGATTCCGCCGCGGTCACGCTGAACAATTCTAAGAGCGTTTTGGCATGTTGTTCTCCTTCCATGGCTGTTCTCTCCTGGTCGGTATGATTCTCAAGCAGTACGTCAACTTCGTAGAGGTCTTTCTCGAACCTATACATCCAGAATGAATGTCGCAGATATAAGATACGCGACAACTGAGTACCATTCCAGGATAGCTCACCACACCTATCTCTCAGAATGAAAGTCGTCCACTCACTCGTCGCCTTGCTTTTTTCGAGCATTGTTTCTGCACAACAGGTTGTCATAATGTCACCATTAGCAGGCACATCTGTCTCTCCAGGAAAAAATATAACAGTCACTATTGGGAAACCAGTAAGTTAATGAGTCCCTTTCAAGTACGATCTCGTTTTTACGTTGTACAAGGACTCACTGTCGGCTTCCGAGGAGGTGGCTGTTGTCATTGCCATTCGCTCATGCGCGCGGGATCTTTGTGCCCCTCAGGTGGAAGCGCTAGGCGATATTCTCTATAATGGTCCATTTAATCCCCGCACGAACTCCAACCAACCAACCCAAGACTTCAACATCAGGATCCCTCAATCTACGAGCAACGGTAACGCGCTTCTCACTGTCACTCACTTTGCTCTCATTGGGGTACGTGTTGCATTTCATGACTGGTGTAGGAACTAATGCTGAGTATGGTTAGGCCGGTCCCAGGCCTTGGATGGAGTTAAAAAATGTGTCGGTGGTAGTGAACTAGCATATTTCGCAGCTTGTGACACGATTCATTGTAATGCAGTATCACTTCGGCAACTGGGGTACTGCTTGGTGTCTCATCGCATTCCTAAGTACCAGGACAGACGACTTCGGAAAGAAAATCGGCGCAGTGTACACGTGATCCGTTCACAGATGATCATTCATCATCTCGGAAACCCCTGACCGCCCCACCATGTGGACACGCCTGTCGCCGCCCAAGGTCATTTCATCCAGACATGAGAACTATGAATACATATGCACCGAGCTCCACAGCCTCACGCCTGGTATACTATAGAGGTGGGCAGTATCCCGCAAGCATCTTCTACTCCAGTCTCCCTGCCAATACATCGTAGAACTGTGATGAGGATTTCAAGTATCTTTCTTGCTTCCATTTTCACTGTAGCTGCTTTTGTACAACACATTTACAGTTGGTGCTGGAAGTAATTTTAACGTCGACATCGTTCGACTAGTAAGCTACCAAAAACGACATTCTCGGCCCACCGGGATCACCAACTGGATTCGTCTGCAAGATTTCCAGTCTTCGTCGCAAGAAATAGCTGTCGTAATTGCAATCCAATCATGTAATCCAAGCTGCTGGCCAGGCGAGGTACTCGGTGACATCCCCCACAACGGGGCCTGAGTTCTATGACCTAGAACGGCGCAACCAGAACCAAGGTGGCCTTCAGCCGTGCCATAACTTTGCCGTTCAGGTTCCTTCTAATTTGATTGGCAATGCGTTGCTAACTGTAATGCATGTGGCACTTATCGGGTGAGAGCTTGTAATTGTTATCTTTTGCTCACAAAATTAATGCTGATTGCATTGATACCAGGCAGGGTCCATTGCGTGGACGGAGGAAAAGAATGTAACGTTCTACGTTCTTTGATACGCCCACGAGGAATAAAGTCGCCTCATCAGCGATTCTGATGGAAACAGGGAGTATGAATTTGAGATATATCAGGTCTGCGCTCATCAGCCGCAGAGCAATCATTTCATGAAACGGCACTGCGCACTTCTGAGCGTCTACGATGAGATCTAGAAGTTATCACCGCAAAATAAGTCAACAGGTTCTATCACAGCCGCAGTTAACGTGTTCCTAAGCAAGGCTACGATCAGTGCTTCGTCTTCGGCGTTCCCAAGAAGATTAAGTTGGATCATCTCGGGTACCCGCGCGTACTCTCTATTTCTTGGATGGGGCTGTGTCAGTCAAGCCGAGCAGTAAGGTATGATCATAACTATGAGCTTCCAGTTAAACCGATCTTAAACGACGCACCCGGGCCTGAACAACCTTCCTTGCAGAAAGTTAATGCGCAACGATCACTTAGTATGCTACACAGCCCAGATTCGTTCACATAACCTTAAGCATACCAGACATACGTTGCAGCGAACTATAAACTATAAGTTGGAAGGGAACCTCACTAAGTCTTGAACTTTTGAGCTTGGACTTATTTATGTAAATTACGTTTGAGCTGGCTTGAGTCTAAAAATAGTACTGCTGTATCAAACTTTGAGTTTGCTCTGAGTCCCTCCTAAGGAGCCTCGTGATGACACATTTCAGAGTCTTCCTCGGCGCCCCATCCGTTAGTGATCTCAGAAAAGACCCAGCTGGTTCGTACACCTGGAAGACTATTGAGCCTTCTTTAGCAGAGGCCTCACAAGCACTACTATACCCTCCCGCAACACTCGAAGCCGCGAGCAGACGAATATCTTTGCTCTACCAGAACGTCATATTCGACGATAGTAATGAAGAAGCCTTTGATCAGGAGTACGTTGGTCAGGTCGCATGGCCTGAGGGAAGCGAGCCTTTGATGAATGGTATGTCTTTTACATAGCTCCACAATCACGAGCTCCACCTCATACGTGCAAATAGAGCAGACGACGGTGATAACTTGGCCTCCAACCCCTGTTGCAGATACTACTGGTGTACCTTCCTTCCTGCGCACATCTCAGTCGCAATCTCAGCCTGCCACGATGGATCAAACACAGGAAACCACCTCCGTATCTTACTCAGACGCGTCTTCTATAGCCCGCTTTTCCGCATTTTCAGATCAGCCTTCATAAGGTCTCATCTCTTGCATCACTCTATAGTGAAAAACTTGCGAGAGGGAGAAAAGTGAATATATTACTGGCCACGCTAGAGGTGGAAGGCCCTGATACAGTGCGTGTGAAGAAAGGCCTGGACGCAGGGAAAGAAGTTTCAGTTCTCAAAATGATTCTGGGTGACGAAGATGGATCAGTATGCAAGCTCACCTCATGGCGTGATGTTGCAGATGCCTGGGGTGCGCTGGGCGTCAAGCGCGGAGATATAATTTATCTAGAGAGCACGTATCGTATCGCCCCTGCGATCGCATTGCGTGAGCTGACGTCACTTCCCATCACACAGATCTCTCACCAACGTGCGAGCCAGGCAGCTCGATCACCCTCACCGCTTCTCCATACAACAAGCCCACCGCGGAGATTTGCTTTCGGACCATGCCTTATACACGTGAGGACAATCGTCTCCGGCCAGACCTCCGGCTCGGGGAAAGCGATGCCGCCGTCAAGAAGGTCGCTGCGCTAGCCAAGTGGTTCGAGCGGATGGCTGGGTTAGCGGTTAGTTGAGCACACGCCAGCTTGACAGCATCGTGATGGCTATTCCACGTTTGACGTGGACGCCGGTGGCTTGGTGTATAGTCTTAGACGTAGCCACTAGCCATTTGCTGTAGCGCAAGTTACCGGTTGCTCTGGCGTGACCGATGGCATCGTCGCCGGGTCACCGGCCGTAGATCTCGATCGAAGATATTACTCGGTGATTATGCCTGCAGGCTCTCTAGCCCGCAGCTGCACGCAAGCGTTCTTTCATTCATTTGGAGTCATCAAACGCCCATGCTTATAATAGATTTGTTAATTCGCGTTTCGTTCCGCACGCAGGACAATGCCAGTGCACAGGTCCACACCATCGTGGGCGCCACTGCTTTGGCCACAACATGACCATCACTACAAAAGCCCTCTCACTTTACCTGTGGATGTGGATGTGGACGCGGACGATGGGACACCTTGACATTGGCATTGACGGATTATAAAGCTCCTCATCGTTCTCCTTACCTGCCAGTGACCCCGTGTAGTGTCATCCGCCCTCATCTAGATCTCGAATCCCCGTGATATGCCCTTTTCACAACTCACTTCTACAAGCTTTCTTCCCATTCCTTCTGCGTTTACACGTCTTCTACGCAGCATCAAAATTCGAATGCATGCATCCTCCATTTTCGAATCATTCGTGCCGAGTCATCTTACCCTGAAGTGCAGGAGTTCTCTTTCATCCACTCGCACCCAAAAATCGTCCTTCATTTCCAGGGCCACCAAGCGCAGGTCTTTACTTCCTTCTCTAAAGTTGTCTTCGTCCTCGCTATCTTCCTGGTCTTCCCGGGACACAGAATCCAGTTCAAAACCTGTAGACCCTGATTCAAGCCCCGAATCGACCATCCCCGATATTATTGTGACACCGGCGAGTCCTTCTTGCACTTCAGCGCTCACATCTCCTGTAGGTTTGTTTCCGTCCTGTTCGATTGATTGATTCTGACCATTTGACGCAGCCTCCACTCGGGAAAAAAATCATTGATCGGTTTTGGCCCGAAGAAGATCTCGAACACGATGATCAAGATGACATATCTGGAAATGGCAGGCTTTCGTCGCCCATGATCGTGAATGTGTTGTCACCCCCTCCATATCACCGACGTGCTCCGAATGTCATCGTGCATCAGGACCACATACTATCTAGGTCCGTCGTCTAGATTTGGCTCCTTGAAGTCCGAGAAAGCTGACAGTGTACCCGCAGTGATAATTATCCTCTGCATTATAGAAACCAGCACGACTCGCGCCCTCTGCGGTTCCCGTTCTGAGCATAGAATTTGTGATATTGATAAATGGTATCTTACCTTTGCATTAATCAGACCCATCGTCTGCCTGTAGACTAATTTGCATACTGTATTCTTGTCGTATTTCCAACATTTACCCTATCTCTCTAACTTGGTTTCCCTTTTGTTACTTGCTGGATCAACCGCGCAAGTTGACCTTCCATCACGTAGGCCTAACTTGAACCGTCGCTTGACAGGGGCGGTTGCACCTCATCCAGTACTACCCGAGTAGCCTCCACAATAATCTTCCACTCTACCTTGTGTAGTCTCTCCTCATAAGCCTCATAAGCCTCCCCCTTCACCACCTCTACTCTCCTCTGAATCAACGGCTCTCCGCGATCAACTTCTTTGACTACACGGTGGACCATTACGCCCAGCTCATCCACCTCCCCCTTCTGGAACGCCTCAAACCCTCGCTCAATAGCATGCGCACCATCAAACTGCCCAAACAACGCCGGATGAATGTTAATCACAGGGATCTCCCTCGCAAGCACCTCCTCCCCCTCCAACACCCGCGTCCCCTTGAGCACATCCAGGAACCCCTCGCTCACGATGTGCATCCAACCTGCACATACAACGACATCTGGCTTGGCGCGTAACACGATGCGCGCGACCTCCACATCGTAGTCCTCGCGAGTCTTTCCAGGGTTTGATTTAAGGAACGGCGGAAGGCCAAGGTACGCGGTAGGGATCGGAGGCAAGGCAGTAGAAGCGCGTATCAAACCGCGTGCGTTTTTGCGATTGGAAAGAACGAGGACGATGCGGGTATTAGGCAGGGATGGTGTGTTCTGTGCATTGACCAATGCTTGAAGGTTAGTTCCTGCAGTCGCGATCGGGTATGACAGGCTGTACGTTTGCAAGATCGAGATCGAGACATACCCTCTCCGGAGATGAGGACAACCAGTCGTCGGGGCGACGAAGTTGCAGCGCTGGGATCTTCCATGTCGCTGAATCAATATTGGCTCTCAGCAAAAGGTGTTTATCCGTGAATATACATACTTGCTTCAAAGCGTACCTTGCAAGCACTTAATCTGCAATGGTCACTGTGAGACTCAATAACGCCGTGATAAAGTTGGCAAAGTATTGTTGCGGGTTATTTGGGGGTTATTACGTACATAACATTAATACGCTATTGTGCACATACCTCATTTGGACTTAGCAAATATTTGGTCGCGGGGTTCGGCGTAAATGAAAGGCCTGCGGATCCCAAAAATAACTTTCTGATAGACCCTGATAGACCCCAGCTTGAACTTTGAAGCGGCGGAATAGATATGTTTCAAAGAAGAGTACTCTGGGGAAGTTCTCAAAGATGGGAATAACATGCCCGAGCACGCCGACAACGTCCACGGTACAATGTAAATCTAGAATTATATGTAATGAGTAAGGTAGCCAAACGACAAACACGGCGCCCATGTCCGTGGGCCTATAAACCATAGTAGGGGCCCGCCTTTTGCGATAACGGAGCGTATCTATGTGGTACACTTTTGATTCGACAGAGATGATACAAAACGCCAAATGGGCAACGGTAAAGAGCGTTTATACTGCAATTTTTTTTGGTGAGGTCAAAAAGGAGGGTTTCGTTACTTGGTGGTTAGTGTTACATAGATAGAAGACAAAACATACAACGGAAGCGAGGGCCTGCGAGTCAATGAGCTACGCATAATTATAATGATCAAGCAAGTGGCCACTGAGACAAAATGAGAGGAGTGGGTTATCAAAACGTAGACAACAAGACACGGTCAGAGCATAGCAAGCAGAAGGGAAAGCGATACTTCGTCCTAATAGTCCCAAGGCGTCCGTGCACGGCACGGGTATCGTGTGCAACGCCTCAAAAGCTTATGGGCTTCAGATCATCATGCCATATCCTCCGCCATTGCCAACATTTATCGGGACGCTCAAACCTTGCTTCGTCATCATGCCTCCCATGCCATCCTCGACCCTGCCGCCGCTCCACGACCCTGCAATACCAGTGTTGATGTGGAGGTTGCCCAGGCTCAGCCTTTTGGGTAGACCATAATCGGGGAGGGCGTTTGCAATCTCGTAGCTCATAGACGAAGCCCCATGTGATGGTGAGCCGTATCCAGAGCCGGGGCTGCTGTGACCAGATCCGACGGATGACGTGTCGTCGACATCAGCGATATACCCCATGGCACCATGCTGCTGGAGAGCGAGCAGTTGCTGGCGTTTGAGGTTGGCAAGAGCCGCTTGGTCCCCAAAGTGATTGCCGGTCGTCGCTGACGGTCCCATGTGTGAGCCATTGGGAGGTGTGATCAAGTTACGCTGCACTGGGAGTTGGTGGGGGTGTTGAGGGTGATAGGCGTTGTACATATTCGACCACGTTTTCATATTATGTTGTTCCATAGCGGGATGGTGTCCGATATAGGGGGCTGCGGCAAAATTCACCCGAGGTTCGTATACCGAAGGCATCTCTGGGTTCTCGAAGGAAACAGATGAATGCATCTGAGCGATCATAGGAGCACCGTGCGAGTTGGGCGGGGCACGTGACATCAAATGCGCAATATTGACATCAGTAGGGGGAGCACTCCCATGGGCATACATGCCGTTCTTGACTATTGGCGCAGAGGGCATAATATCCTCAGAGTCGTCCATGGCATTTGGCATCGAACCAGCGAATTCATCGTCGCCCTCATCATATCCGTCATACCCCTGACCTTCTTCATCTTCCTCTCCGATGACAGCTGCAAGGATTTCGACCTCGCCATTGAGGACCATAGAAAAGCCTTCTCCACGAACGGGCTCTTCCACACAGGGAAGGCCGGCACGATCACGCCATTCGTTGAGTTCCCGACGAAGGGCATCAGATTCTTGCTTTAGAGCCCGCAGCTCCCGCGAAGCTAGGAAACGGTGACGCCTTGACGCGTGAACGTGAGCGATCGAAGAGTTGACGATCGCAGACTTGGAAGGTCTGCGGATCTGCGAAAGATTGGGAAGCAGCCCAGCAAGATCCTGAAAAGATAAAGTTCGGATCAGTGGTTCTTTTAATCAAAAAAAAATGAGGCTTGCCAAGAATCTGCCATTGAGAGTCTCCCTGCGCTGTCTCTCGACTGCATTGTGAGTAGCACGCCTTTCAGCGGTATTGGCTCGGCGACTGGGCTTCCGCTTAACCTGTGTAACAGCGCCGTTAATTGGGGCTGTGCTAGAACTTTGTGATTGGATGTTATTGTTCTGCTCAGGGGAGGATGCCAAGGGAAGTGAGAGGGTTTGGCCGGCGGTAGGAGTGATCGGAGTTTGAGGGGGAACAGAACCATCTACTGAAACGGGAGAATTGCCAGGAGAGGGAGACGAAGAAGAAGCGATTGGAAGAGTCAAAGCCATGAGTGACAAACAGGAGTTCTACAAAGGAAAGGTAGAGTATAATTGAGACGATAACACGACTATAACAGAAGAGAGAGACGAGTGCCAACGACAAAAAATGATTAGCCGGTTGATATCAATTTTACAAGAAGACGATGATAGGAACAGTGGGGTACGCGAGTTTCCTCAGCGGAGACCTTGACTGTAGGGATTTGCGGGAGCACTCGAAAGCAGGGGTATGCAGGTAAAGTGGTGGATAGTCGAAAAGCTGCTATAAATCAGAGTCGCGAGCGAGCTCAAGCGTACTACTGATTGGTCCTTTGAGGTATTTGGGTTGTTTAAAAGTCGGATTGTGAGAAGCCGGCAAGGGTCGCGAGATCTATAGAAAGTCGTTGAAAGTATTAAGTCTATGATATAAAGAAAGAGAGAGAGAGAGCATGACTGACTACAAGCGGTATCCTTGTGAGCGGCGAGGTTTATCGGGGATGAAGGAGAAAAGGGTTTATAGACCTCAAAGGACCATGCAGAGAGAGAGAGAGAGGATGGTCGAGTGATGGGGTTGCAAAGTGCAATCGAGAATACGACACTTTCAATTCATATCAATCGGCTAACTCCGCATTATTTTTTTATTTTCCCAGAAATCACAAATCCATCTCACGTATATACCCTATCTAGCCGATGTCGCCGACGGTTGATACCGAAGCGTATTTGATCTTATTTAGACTTATTTGCATTCGTCCCTATTCATTGCACAACCTTCCCTTTTCAGTCCCCCAGCGCAGTGCCCTCCAGCCATGGGCTTTGCAGCATAATACCCGATCCCCGGGCACTCTTTACAATTTTAAGATGCTCCCTTTACGTTCAAAACACGTTCAGAAGAGTTACATCCTTTGATCGCGGATTCTGACGCTGCAGCGCCTTCGGATCCTCTTGCTAGCTAACCACAAACGGAGTTACTATCGCCACCGAGAGCTTGCAACTCCTTATGTCTTCCCTCGGTCGATTATCAACTGATCGTGGTATTGTAGTTGCGGTCTCTTAAATCACCCCAACATATTTCTCAAGTGCCATGTATGTAGGCTCTGTTGTCGTTTCACCGAGGTTGTTAGCGCCGCGCTGATATGATTTTCACAAGTCAAGTTCCGACATTTGAAACGCACTGATCTGGTGACGTTAATCATAGCATAGATCCAGTGCGTCTTGTTCTTCTTTAGGTACTGCCGAGTCATGGCAGGGTCAACTAGCATTGCTCCCTCTCAAACACAATTCCCTTGGGAAGTGCCCTCACACCCTGTCAAGCCTATATTTTGTCTTCCTCCACTTCCTCCGATATTTTTGTTTATGGTTATTTTTTTCACGCACCACAGCATTGGCACAACTTAGCAGCATATTACTCAAGAACATCATGAGAAGATGCGCACCGAGCCTTCCGAGAAGTTCTACGGCGCCGTATTACCTTGTTCGATAGACATGAGCAGATCCATCAAACGCACGAGCCGGCGAGGCCGCCGCGAGCGCAGAAGCTCGTGACCTGAGAAACTCGGCTATGTCATATTATCACAAGCCAGAGACATATAAAGGTGCCATGCTCTTAACCTCGCTCTGTCGCCCGCATTCCTTGCCAATTCATTTGACACTTAGTAGTACTGTAACTCAGCCAACCATTCACACGACGGCGACCATGCAAAATGCTTAAGTACAAACTACTGACAGGCGTCGAGATCAACAAGGCAACGTTCTGATAAACGTCTGTCTACCGATCCGACGTCAAGTCAACCAGCGATCATCATCAATTTTCGACTTTGTAACATGTTCGAGGATGAGATTCATTGGGGCCACTCGTACCTCCGTTGTTGCGGAAAATAAACATACATGATTTGTTCAGAACTAGTGTTAATTGTCATGGAAGACTTAGAAGAAGCCTAAGACGTTTTTTTGACCCCAACCATTGGATTTTTGATCGATGTCAAGGGTCCTTGGTCAGACAAGATACGTTTTCAATACGCCCGCAGCTCTAGCGTAACCTCCAGATCCTGTTGAAGACGGTTCCTTTTCCAACCTGTCGGTGAAAGCCGACATGCCGCGCTTTTCCCCGCATCGCTCCTGAACGCGGAAATTCACAGGTCGCAGCTTCGAACTATAATTTGTCAAATGGACGGGACTCGGGCCGCTCTGTAAGTTCATGATCACTTTAAGTGTATGGCCCCTGCTTCAGAGGTATATATCATGTTTGTCGGTACTGCCTTTTCATGAGTCCTCTGTCGTTCTACCAGAGGATGATATCTATTTTACACATAAATATTGTCAGGACGGAGCGTTTATGTAATTCCGCGGAAGTAATCCGGATCAAGGCCTGGAACACCACTTCCGTTCTGTATTTAACATCAACACATATTGGAGTGACTCTGAGCCATCCAAACGAGTACGCAATAAACAACTGGGGACGAGTAAAAACTTGGGACAGCGAGGGAACGAAAGTAACCACGACTATAGGAAATGCGATAATATGGCGAATGGAGTCTCAAGCTAGACACCTATGTGAACTACAATCTCCTGTCCCAGTGGAATCTTTCTTGCGCAACGGCTTCATAGCTTTGTGCAATGTCACCGCAGCCTGCGTGCAGTCTAATGTGCCAGAACTATTAACCAAGTTGTCGTAAGACGCAGACATATTTCGCCTGCAACATTGTCGACGGACTACACGAATCCAATGTCACTGCGAAATCCGGAGAATTATATAGCCGCAGCGAGGTGGATTGACTCATTAGGACTTCTCTCATCGCCCACGGTGGTGTGGTAAGCTGATAAGAATGCGAACCCCTAGGTTCGGCCAGTCTGATCGGATCATCCGGATGATATCCTTGATCATCGATCATCAGCGGTCCGTCGCACGTTGCGAATGAAGACTTGAACGGCCGTTTTCTATTTGGCATTCCATGACAGGCTAGATGGAGCCATTGATTATGGTGTCAAGCCTCAAATGCACCCTGCACGGTTGTGAGCCTGTTCTGGCGCGATGTGAAAGGTAACACGATGGATACGAGACGCTGAGCCATGACGGCTAATTCAGGAGCGACACATCAGAGTTCCTCCCCTCTGTCAGGGTTCGTTTGACCAACTGCAACAAAATGTTTTGTGGATATATCTTGAGAAACACGCTATCTCGCGAGTGCCGCCGTGGTCGGGGAATATGAGGAGATATAAAAGTGAGACAAATTGGAGCTTCCTGCTGCATGTAGAAAAGTTACGTGAACTCGACGGTAGAACACCACCAGATACGTGAGCAAGGGTGAACTTGACTCCCTAAGAGCTTGGACCATGGGCCAACAATGTAATCCCAATCATGTGGAGGATGCTGACAGGTTCGTGTCGATGATCAGAGAACCGAATTGCTCGACAAGGGGCAGAGTACAACCCGGAGACTTCGGCCCGAGGGATATTAAGTGGAACATGGATGAGATCTTAAGCAACGAGGATGATTAAACCGTAATAGCCATACTAACAATCATTGGCGATGATGATCGGACCTCCTTCTTCAGCCGCTTTCCAGTGGTCGAATAACAGTGGAGGCAGAAGAAAAGCAGAAAACTCATGAAGCATCCAAATGCGTGAGATGGTATCATTCCATTGCATGGACAGTCACCAGACGTGCGGAAACTGGTTTTAGACTGATCGAACGCTTAGCGTTCAGCCGTTTGAACAGGCTGCGCCAGTGTCAACTGACGGTGACGGATGATTGAGTATTGTACAGAAGCGTGCTAACTGGGTCTAGAATACCGCATGGCCCGGCTCTATCAGTTCCACAGCAGTGGTCAACGCACCATGACGAACACTGGAATCCGTGGCAAGGAAAGAAATGGCCTTCCTGACAGTCAGGACGAAAATAAGAGAGCAGTATACTGATGAGTCAATGCAGTGTGATAGGCAACCAATGCAGAAATCGTATCAGTTCCACTGTATATATCGTATCGATCACACTCCGCGGCTGACTAAGCTAAGGTCGCTTCCGATCGTCAATCTCCTGCCACTAATCCTTATTATACGTCCTCTCCATACAATGTTTTCCGTCTCCTGAGAAAACATCATAGTTGCCGCAGACTCCGGAGACCGACCGTGCATGGTTACTATGTGACGTTAGACCAGATATATACGCCCTGAAATGTGAAGTGTTCTCGCCGCACATCGAGGGTGCGGTTTCTGACTTTCATGCAGGGTATAGAAATTAAAGTGTATCTCTCCCGTGACCGCTGAGTGGAAGGAGCGTCCAATGAGCATTTTACGAATGATCTACGGTGCTGAAATTCAATTTCCTTAGCAAAGGCAACCTGCCGGTGGCAGGCAAGTGGCTTCGTACTTCCAAGCGTTGGTGTAAGTGCATCAATGCGCGGACACATACTCAGTATATTTCCGTCATATCCTCAAGTTGCCTTCAGCTTCAAATTTCCGGGTTACGAGGTTTGGTCTAGGGAGATTCATCAACTTACACGATGCAACAGTGCGTCTACTCATTACTGCTCAAGCACTTCTCACCATTGTGCATCCCGCACATAAACAGTAGCCGCTCGAACGCTTCCATAGTTCTAAAGTTCAGGTTGTATCAGGTGCATGCATGCAGGAAGGTTCGTACTTCGTCAAATATATCATATTTTTATCCGAGTACTAGCAGTGATTCTGCATCCACCCCTGCTCCTGCGATGGCCGGTTTCCTCGCCGATTTTATACGCCTCACACCTATCATCAGTGGCCATACTATTATACTAGCATTTGGACACGGATTCCTCGATGCAGTCTTCTACTTCGAGTACCTTGCTCCACCCAATCAGGCCAGCAATTTATGGAGGCATCATCCTGACGAGCCGATGTTTGTCAAGGAGGCACTAAAACATCGAATGGGGATTTCATCTCTCTAGTTCAACCGAGCGCTGGTATCGCTTTGTCCCAGGGCTCTCATATTATGAGACCTGAATACCTTAGATCGACCGTTTTGATGTTGTTTCGTCTTTGGGGTGTTGAGACTCTCGACAGCAGGGTAAAGTATCGTCCCTGAGAACACCATCTAGATTCTCTAATTTGAACGGTGTCACAGGTAGACAAATCTCTTGACACCGACCTACTTCCTATGACCAATACAGGTGAATGGACCCGAATTTGACATGTCTGTAAGCGCATCTTCCACCTTGCTCCACGAAGAGTTCGCAAAAAATGGTTTCACTGACGGTGTGTATCCCTACTTTCTTTGACGAATTGCTCGTAAATTGGGATACCCAAGTACAGGACAATTCTTTCGAAGTTATCGACATCGGCGACATGTTAAGTGGAGTTGCTGCTGCAGGCTATACCTTTAGTCGTCCCGGAATATTCAATTTCGATGGAACAAAATACAACACATCCACTCGTAGGTTCCGTCCCTCAGGTGTCTGCTCCTCAAGGCTTCAGCACGAACTATTCTACGTGGCAGCAGGGGCTGACAGCCGATATCATCTGTTAGCCCATCAACTCGAGTCGACCCCAGTGCGTTTGGAACACAAGTAACTCGTTATATATGCCACGTCGGCTACTTCGGATGGTTTCCATTGCTGGTCTTCACCTGTGGAATCAGTGCAAATTGTGGAACCACTCAGTTTGTGTCGAGGGTGTTTGTCTCAAATTGACTGTCAGCTCCTAGGTACGCTGATGACGCAAGCATATGTGCCCAGGGCGGACGCAAGTGGAAATGGGAGTTCCTCAGGGAGTCGCTTTCTTCCGTCCATCGTATGCCCGGGGCCTAAGACCATCCACCAAACGTATACGAGCTTCTGTAAGTTATTGAAGTATGCCTTCGTAATCATTGACCGAATCTGTGTCCGTAGTGATATCTACTCGAGGGTTCAACAAGCATAGTTTTCTTAATGCAAGCGTGTATGAAGTGATTCCAAAATTGACAACAGTCCCTATCGGTACTCCAATGATCTAATTTCTTCCGTTCCCACATCACCTACCCCTTTTCAGTCGGGGAATGTTCAACTATTGTCATTCATCGCTGGGGTTGCCAAATATCAGACGATCAACTCCCAGGGACTTGTGAGCAACGCAATTGGGGATACCTTGTACCTCCTTGTACCCATCTATTCTTCGACGACTCACGGATCCATCAATGATACTCATCAAATGGAAGTTTATATCGGGCTCGTAAGTTTTATATTACGCTGTCTTTTCCCACCTCTTATGATTTCTAGGGGGAATACTGGCGTGGTGTTGTTGTGGAGAAGGGCTCTTGTCGAATACGATCGGTTTCCCATCTCCCAAAACCTCTGCCGGCTCCACCCGTGTTGGGCTTTTCGGTTACAATCATTTGACACCTTGTTTGTTAGTAAAGGCTTGTCAAGTTGCCTTTGTGTCTGTCATTCAGTTCTCGCTGAGTCACCTTTTTCCGTTATGCATGCCTCGGTTACCGGGCAATCTTGCATGATCCTGAGCTTTCCGTTATGGGGTGTTCTAGAATCTACAGTATCGCGTTGACACTACCTCCGTTGACATCTCTGTCCGGGTCTTGCCGCGGTAATCGAAAGTAAATAAATTTTAATTGCGCCTCGGCATCGACATAAAACAGGGGCGCAAAGTTCAAACAGACTACACACGTGTACAGCAGTCTGCAAAACGATGTGGCTAGGTCTGCCACTTTTAATTGTTCGACCTGCTTTCAAGTCATCCTCGGTCACATTAGAAGAACCAACGATCGAAGGAGTGTACATGAATAAGACTTCAGCGAGGCTGGGGAGATTACACCATGTTCCTGTCAGATTCACTCTGTTCTTAGCTTGCATGTATTCTTCCGACATCCAGCCACACTAATATTTTTCATTTGGTGGTGAGTCCTGACAGTTTTGGTCGGTCTGTCGAGGATCTAGATTGGCACGTACGCACCTCCGGGACGCATCTTATGTTTCTGAGACGACCCTCGTGAGGCGTGAAGGTGAACTCCTTTTCACGGACAGACTATCGCATAAAAAGGAGGTTTCGGCACAATGACCGGGCCTACTACTAGTTAAGTTGGATCTCCAAGGATCTATACACCGTAAAAATGTTGTCAGCAGGTTTCAAACCAACTCCAAGAGAAACAGACTTTGATTCTGTTGTAATAACCACTTGGCTAAGACCAGTTAAGACAAGCCTCCAAGGAAACTATCCATGAGTGAATGTCAAGGTGTGTTCTGACAGAAAAGAAAACCTTGTCATCGGCGGGTTTCGAGCCTGTGCAAGTCCAACAGAAACGAAATCTGTTTCTGTTGTGGTAACCACTTGGCTAAGACCAGTGAAGATGAACATCTGAGGAACTGTCCATGAGTGAATCTTCAAGGTGTGTTCCGATAGACAAGAAATCTTTTCGTTTGCAGGTTTCGGACCTGCGCTGGCACAGTCTAAGAGACTAATTTCAAGTAAGATTCTATTGTGGTAACTTTGGCCAGAGCGAAGTTGAGATAAACCTCCGAGGAAACCATCGATGAGGGAATCGTTCCGATAGAAAAAAAACCTGGCAGGTTTCGAACCTGCGCAGTTCAAGAGAAACAGATTTTGATTCTGCCGTGGTTACCACTTGACTAAGACCGGTCACAATGAGCCTCCGAGGAAACCATCCGTGAGTGAATGCCAAGGTGCATTCCGATAGGAAAAACCTTGTCGCATCGGCAGGTTTCGAACCCGTGCAGTCCAAGAGTTGTAACTTTTGGATGAACCTCTCACCATGAAGGTGCGATAAGAAGGGAAATCATTTGTCCACATCATGATGCAGGTTTCGAATCCGCACTATCCAAGAGCGCAGATTTCTACCTATAATTAGTAAGATGAGCCTTGAAGGATTCATCCATGAGTGAGCCGAAGAACCGCCAACGCAAAATGACTAATTTGTGTTGCACACAAAACATGTCGGAATAAGCGAGTTGCCGAGGCCCCTGGAGTCTGGACGCGATTTGCCTCCATATGCTAGCACCCCTATCGTGATAGACAAATGCTGTGCATGTGACCCGAACCTTGTGAATGTGAGCTCGCACACATCCACCGCGACTGACCATCATATCGACCAGCTGCAGGCTTTGTAACTTCATGCAATTAAAGCAATTGCTGCTACTGAGTGCTGCGATGCACTGAATGTTGGAATCCGAGAGTTCCGAGACAAGGAAGACCGATGGATCCGAGCAAGGCACGCACAGTGAGTAATGAGAGGTAGAGGTACGAGCACAAGCCGAAAGGGGACAAAGGGCGAGCGACGCAGTGACGTCGGCTTGCATCCTACTTTATTTTTCTGTTTCGTTTTAATACATTATTGTCGTCAACGTACTTACCTTAAAAACGCCAGTACCAGCGTCCTGGCATCTCAGTTCTTTTCCAAGACACTGAGATGTGAGTAGGAATTCGTCACCTATACAATACAAAGTCTAACGCGATGTAGTGTACTTGTTCAATAGGTAGACGAACCCTTTACAAGAGTTCTTTTCCAAGACACTGAGATTGTACTTGTTCAATAGACTCCTCGTCCCTCCCGCTCTTCTTATCACAGCACTGAAAGTACCGCAGCATTGGGTTTCCCTAGATCAAGTGTCCAACAAAGCATTTCGTGTTAGCGCACAATTCAACAAAATGACATCGACCGCCTCTAGTCCATTTTCACGAGGCTTCCACCATGATCATTAACCCTCCGGACGCAATTGCCACCAATCCTGAAGATACGTCTTCTTCTTCCAACGATGTTCCCCATCTGCCGAAAAACGTCATGATCGCCGGAGGCCGACTGTACGGTTACTACATGACGTTGGACCAGATATAATACTCGGCCTTCAAATTGTTTGCCCAAGGCTTTCTATGAGTTTCGCAGGAATCTGCGTCGGGAGACCGCCAACTTGGCGGCCATGGCTGATAATCGCATTGCACTCACACGCGCTGATCTTTCCCCAAATGGAGCACTCGCGAAGATGTAGGAAGACGGATGGGGAGTTTGATAGGTGTACATTCGTTAAATTATTCTGGGCGTGAGTGTGCGTATAATCATGATGTCGTTCAATCTTGGAATTTTACTTATTCCAGCTTCTTCTAGCCATCACTCGGTTTTAATGTGACTAATGATTGCCTGCACACCACAGTATATCTTTCTTTCATTTTCTTCTCCCACCTCATTCCATACACATGTACACTGCCTTTACATGTTCCAATGCCATTCTACCGGTACCTCCTTGCCACTCACATGAATATGCCACCAAATGGTTTTAAGGGTTCTGGGCTCTACGTATCCAAAGCGCCGTGACGTACGTGTATTTTTTCCAGCCAATTCACTGTAATTCCAGTCTCTAAAACTCCCTAGCCGAGCACCTTCGAAAACACTTATTTCAACCTTATTGCTTGAGTTTAAACTCATCATTTTCGCCGCGCAGCATCGGGCATCGTAGAAAGACTTACAGACCCAAACCGTGATCCTTACTGTGTCCAGTTCGAGGATGTCGAGGAAATAGTCACATTGTGGGTCAGCCAACACGCTCGCCAAGTTAGAGATTGAGGCCGCTCGCAGAAGGACCGTATAGTCACCCCGTGGGTCAACGAGGTCCGCCTTAAGTTCCGCAATCCTGCATAAACGTGGGATAAGACGAGGTAGGAAGTTTCCCAAGATTGTCGCAATGTTACTCGGGTAAAAATTCAAAATCACGCCTCCGAATCTCAGGCAGCCTTCTTCCCACCAATCACACTGGACACTCCGCAGGAACGAACGAATGGGCCCCGATTATCTTCACCGATGAACTCAGCAGTAACAGGAGTCTCCCTAGAAAAGGCAGGCGCCAACGACAATAATCTGAGATGCGGAAAAGTTGGTGTGTCAAAATGACAGCGGCAAAAGGCTCACGCCACTGGCTTCTGAAACTTGGCCTTAGCCTATTCTCATACATAGGTCAAAGATGGATTCCGATCAGGAAATTAAATAAACGGCTTACGCGAATGATGATCGTTCCTCCAAGATTTTCGATAATGTTGTCTAGGCATGTTAGCGTAAAGATTACAAGCAAGGATAAAACTGATGGTTACCTTAAATTCAATATGCTTAGAAACCTTCTCGTGGCAAACTTTGTAACAGCTGGTTCAACCCGGCTTCATCCCCATAGCCCTCGCCGAGGATGCCCAGCGGCCTGGGCGCCGTCAACGTCAGTACACCAGTCACAGACAAATAAGAGCTGCGATAGATGCGGACATTCGAAATCAATACATTCATGAATGTTCTCTGGATATGTATCGCATCTGTCCATAGGACTTTCTGTCCGCATCTCAGGTGTTACTATCAATCCTGTCGATAAATACGTGAATAATGAGGACTTATTGGGAGCATGACGGTTACAAGAGGCCGCTATTATCTGCTATCGAAGTAAAGATTTGTTGGCACAACTACCCAAATCCGGCGAGGTTCGCCGCATCTGCGTCTGATAGGACACCCATAATGTGCCTTGTACGAATGATCAGGACGAAGATCCGCGATGCGGCCGGGGGCTGCGCAAGAGATACGGTGGTTTTCGGTGTACGCAGGTTATCGCGGGACTTCCGATAATATGATATTTTCCTTTCGTGCCAAAGACGCTATCTGAAGCTGAAGTTTTGCTTCCTATCGGGATCAACCATCAGAAATGGGATAATGTTGCTCCTTGATTGCGTTTCGATATCAATGGGTTCCTTGAAGGGCAACGGAGCGCCACAATCACAATGAATAAAGGGGGTGTTAAGATGCGGCTCGTTGCATAGCTGACTCAGCGTAGATGAGCGCTACGCTCGCAGTAATTATGGCAGCAAGAACAGGGGGAAGGAAACAATAGGAATATCAATTGCTCAATAGAGTAGCAAGATGAAATTGATCGGACCCAGGGCTAAGGACACCCCAGCCAACAGGGCTTTTCGGAAAATGCCTCAGGGTCGTGTTGCAATTGATACGGTAAATGAGTACTGACTCACCTTTCTAAGTACAATCAGAGTCATGATCCTGGTCCTCCGTCGCATCCCGTTTGCGTGCACGGGTCTTGCTCGCTTTCCCCGTCTTGTTCGTCGCGTGGCTTCGCACCAAAGATGTGATTTCATTAACCAACGACAGTTCCGTCTCTGGAACATCGTCGACCAAATTCGAGAGACAATTGAGAGCCGATATCTCCTTGGTCCATATGTCTATTGCTTCGAAAGTCGGGGTCTCGAGAATGAGAGGAATATCTTGCATCCGCGGGTCGGATACGACGTGCCTGAACGTAGAAATACCAATATGTCCGCTGAAACGGTGATGAAAACGACCGCTTAATAAATAACCAAGGATGGAACACGCACAGCCCAATATTTTCATGTCGATCTTTTTTTGACCCGAGGGCGGCTTTGGAGTCATTCAAATGCAACCCCTTGAGATATGATGGTCCGACTTCGGTATCGAACGCGGAGACTGCGTGATTCAAGTCACAATTATATTTCCTTATAGTTCGTGCCTGTGGGACTCACGTATTGCACTATGAAGCTACGTTAGCCGGTGCATGAAACGAAGTAATCGACAGACATACTCCCATCCATTTTTTGTTGAGATGTCGTATCCCTAAAATCACGGTAAAAGGTTTGTAAGGCAGAGAATGATGCACTTACTGCAGCGAACGCATGACCTAAATTCCACTGGTCAGGAATATCAGGTATACAAGGCTGAGACGCACAGGTATCAAGGCAAACGCCTACTCTCGTCTTGTCCTCGACATGATCAATAATCCCTTTCAGCTCTGAAAACTGAGAGCCTATAACATTTCCTGAACCTGCCTATTTTGAACGATTAAGTAAGGATAGGAGATATTCCGAGACGTATAGATGCACACCATGTTCTCGATAACAATTGTTATATATTTTGTTGCTTTGTGCGCATTGTTGATACATTCAGCAATAAAGGCTATCGACTCTTCTTTTGTGGCCTGCCCAACGGTCGAACCCGGACTTCAATGACGTGAGCTCAATAGGAAAAGGTTCGAGATGGTGGACTTACTGAAAATTGTACAGCTCGAGGCCAAGCTGTTCGCACCGCTGAAGGTCATCGAGGAAGCAGTTGAATGGTTTCTGCCTCTTCTCCCTGAAATAAGACATCGATCATCATAAACCCATAAATCAAAGAGGCGGACTCGCACTCACTCGTCCGGGTTTCCCAGATTAACCAAATAACTACCGTGGGGAAGAACATGCTTCGGCGAATACCCAAACTCTCGCATCCGTCTCTTAAACGCATCGACGTTTCCGACGGAAAGTGGTGGGGAATCCCATTTCCGCTGGGACTTGACAAATAGAGCGAATGCGTTGGCGCTATACGAGTTTAATGTTCAGCACTTCAATAAAGAGAGCCTGGCACGAAATGCGTCTCTCACCCAACCATCGCTGCATTTCGAACAGCATTCTCAACTCCTCCTGCGGCTGATACATGTGCTCCGATCTTCCACGGACTGGAGACACGTACTGGAAAGTCTTCCGTTAAAGGTTCATCCTTTGTCTTTTTCCGCTTCTTCTGCGCGGGTTTTTTCGTGGCTAGAGAAGTTCAAGTTTAGTCGCCGATTGAGAAGCAAAGGAAGTTCAGGGTCTCATAAGTACCGGGTTCTGATTCATCTGCTGATGCTACTTTTCGACGTTTGGAGGACTCCGGGTGAGAGTCGGATGACGTCAAGGTGATCGGTGCAGCAGCGGCAGTGAAGCTTCTAGTCTGAACCATTATAAGGTTCATCGGAATGAGTGCCTTTGTTTGCTTGAGGAATAATAGCGGTGCAGGTCTGATATGAGATAACACTGCTAGCATTAGAATCAGAAAGTCTCGAGATTTGGAAGTCAGTCACTACAAGTCAGTTCACGGCATTTCCCGGCCTCAACGACTTTCGAACTGTACTACAAGTTGCTCAGAAAATTAAGGTGCGAACGTATCTGACTTCACTAAGCGCGAAGTGTTTGAGATAAATATAGGTGAGGTGATGGCGCAACACAAATGGGCAGGCGGGGGCTGTTTTATGAAACTATACTTCTCTAGTGAACCTGGGAACGCCGTTTTCGCGAATTCGAAAAAACGTCGTGTTTGCGTTCACGTTTTTAGAGCATGGGTAACAGGCTGTAATAGGGGTTAGTGATTAGCACATGATACCGATTCCCATTGCAAGGGGGGAATAACATGGCATTGTCCAGGAGTCGACTGGTCAACGTGAAATGATCCGATGGTGGTGGTTTTGTCTCGGGTTGATCCAGATTGCAACATCGCGAATATCAAACAATGTGCAGACTACTTACTATGGTACAGCTGGAAACTTAAAGAACCACGGGCTTTTGTTTTTGCTTCTGATCGGGATGCTGCATACATATCTAATTTATATATGAGGTAACTGCTATCAATCGCCACGCGCCTGCAGCGACCGCTGAAACCGTCGTGGTCTATATCTCGAGTACTTTGTCTTCCTCCAGTGTCTTCTACAGCCAACCGAACTCTTGCGCTGTGTTCACCGTCGCCCACGACAAACCTAACACCCGAATTCCTGAACATTAATCCTGATCCAACATGACATATCCATATCGTGATGTCATAAGCACGAACCATGGAACTTCCCGGGGATGCCCCAGAAAAGATTTGCCTGCATCAATTCTCCAATTCAAAATGCCGATATCGCCATCAATATTCTGGCTGATGTGCTTCCGCATTTCTAACAGAGGGTATATGACACTTATGTTGGCTCCGTGGCACAACCTAAAGGGTATTTCCACGTCACCTGAGCTATTTAGGTCCCCGAGACCTTGGTATACCCACTCATGACGCGCTTTCATATCCAATTTCGGAACCGGAAATCCAAGTGAGGTCGGATTATCAGTGGGGATCGGTGGTTGTGCGTCTTGTTGCGACATAGGTGGACTCCTGATGAATTTTAAGCGTGTGTATTGGGGATTCGGCAGGGCGGGTTCTACTCGCCGAGACAAAGTTGGTGATGATTGGGATCAATGTGATGTGGTGTCCGCGGGCGGGTGGCTTGATATTGCAGGATGTATGTTTGGATCTCCGAGGGTGTGTGGCGTACTAGCACGTTACGCATCTGGGTTCTCTATGTACGACAGCAGTAGCTGCGGAGCCCTATCTCACGCGGACATTAAGTAGTGGGACAAACGAAAGGACTCACGAGGTCTGTATTTGTCGATGCATGGGGTATGCGCGCTCACTGACGGTACAGTATTATCCTATATTGCGATACTATGAATCGCAAATAAGGAGACGGTCAAGGCCCTCGTGCCTTTACTACGTACTTGGCGTAAGGGCATGAATTCAGAAGAAGCCACAGTAGTCCGAAGCTGCGCACAAAATTTAATACACGGTATGCGCAACGAGTGGCAGGGCCTCGCGCAAAAAAAACCAGGGACATGAGGGGCATCATGTTCGTCGGCTCAGAAGTTATAGTAGTACGAAGCTGTGCACAAACGATCAATGAATAGTTGTAAGGAGATAGCACGTACCTTTATTTGATTATGTGCCCCGTCTGTATTACGGTTGACATGGAGTCCGTACGAATTTTGTCAGTCTATTCATAAAGTTAGACGTAAATGATCTAAGTCAATAAAGATCTTAGGACGCAATCCTGTTTTCTTATTGAGTAGAATGCCCGTGGGGCATCCCGAGAGGCTGAGAACCTATAAGAATGCGTTGTTATGCCGGCAGCTGTCAATAGGGGTGGAGAGATGAAGTAGAACTATATATGTCGGGGGAGATAGGACATGTAGCGGCATTGGCGAAGACGCAAAGTGGGAAGTTTGAGCAATTGAGAAACCGACATAGTGGAGCGGGTATTGGATGAGGGGATATTTAATTCGGCAGGGCCCGGGTGTGATGACGAAGGATATGAAGTTCGGACGTGGGGAGTATGGGGGTAGGACAGAAATCTTCTTGAAGGAGAAAGTGGAAGAAGTAGTCGAAAGGAGGCGTTAATGGAAGGAAGGAATTAGTGCTGAAGTTGAAGAAGGATGATGGGGATGACAAGAAGAATGAAGGTTAGGTTCTGCATGGAGTGTTATTGAATCGATAGCTTGGCTCGATAGTGACCGGCGAAAACAGGAACGAGGGTAGTCTAGAAGCTACTAGGGGGTGTGCCGTCAAAGCGATTGTCGGAACCGCGTGTTGAGCCTGGAACCTTTGGGCGTCTATTAAATAGTACTTTAGTCAAAAGTCTAGACTCTTTTACCAGACTAATTCTTCTATTGATATAATCTCTTCAAGCATCACCATCGAGCTCGAGAGCCCCTCTTTCGTGTTGGCATCTGGGTTGAAAGCGTGAGTTTACCTGTGTTTGGGTTTTGACCCTTAGAAGTTTACACCCTTGGGATAATAATCACTTGGTACGCTATACAGCCATGCACATGGACCACCACACCGCTACTACAGGTCCTCCTTACTCTTCAGTTCGCTTATTTGCTTCACATCAATTACCACCACCACAGGTTCAACTACCTGCTATAAACCTTCCCCAGCGTGCATCAGCCACAACTCTCCCTCCCATGGCTGCAATGGACTCTTCGCCCTATCGCCACCCTTCTCCAGTCTCCTGGGGCCCATCATCATCAATCCATCGCACTTCAAATTCAAGAGAAGATATACCAATCCATCAACAGCGAGAGATGAGGCAGATGAAGAGAGAACCCACTCACCAGATCCATTCAGTACCGCCACTCAAGGAACAGGAAGATACTATGCCAGCAACAAGCGATTTCGTTAAAAAGCTTTACAAGTACATCTTCTCTTCTTTCCTCATCATCACCATCACAAGTTTCATTTCTATCCTACAGAATGTTAGAAGACCACACCTTCTCCCATGTCGTGTCATGGGGCCCACAAGGCGATTGCTTCGTTGTAAAGGTCCGTATTCTCTTCCAATCATCGGTACTCTCACCGATATACCCTTCCCTCAGGACATGAACGAATTTACAAAATCCATCCTCCCACGCATGTTCAAGCATTCAAATTTTGCTTCCTTCGTAAGACAACTCAACAAATATGATTTTCATAAAGTGAGTCTGGTCTACTCTGGATCTCGACCTTCTTCCTTTCCATCCTTTCATGTTCCTTCTATTTTTATGCCCACCTCGAGTTCTCCACCGTCCCCACTCATGCATACATCACGCGACTTCTTGCATACTCCCATATCGCCTATCAAAGGCAATCCAATCCTCTTTATCTCAGCGATCCGCACTCCATTTCACCATAGGAATACCCCATCCTCAACTCGGCCTTTCCCGTCGATCCTCGGTTCGATCCGAGCCTTCTACATCTATCTCAGATATTTGTCGACCAGGTCTGACGGTTTGTTCGTGCATTGCCACCGCCGAGATATACTTGTCACTCTCCTTTTCGTAATTGGTCGTCGCCACAGGGGGTTCTTGGCATCCATCGTGACCTGGCACAATCACCTTGGGTCCATCCTCAGATCTCTGTAAAGGCAGTGTCCGAACACCATACATTTCTCCAGGCCGTACTTACTACACGTTGTGCCACTCCACCTCCTTGCCTATCTTACCCCCTCTACCTCATTCCGTTCTACTATCCAATATACTAATCCTTCCGCATCAGGTTAAAACATCCGACGACGCCCAATTTGGTGAACACAGTTGGACATTTCGACACCCCGATTTCCATGCCGACCGACGTGACGCCCTCGAAAACATAAAGCGCAAAGTTCCCGCAGCGCGTAAATCCATCCCTTCCTCCTCTAACGGGGGTCACAACGGCGGCAGAGGAGCAAGCTCCGGCAGCCCCGTCCCAGGCGAAACTAGTACCGCCGAACTAGCGGCTGTGCAATCCCATATCGGCGTCCTGCAGAACTCGTACCAATCGCTCTTCTCGTCGCATGATACCCTTTTATCATCCCACGAGACGCTACGAGGACAGACAGATTCTCTACTTGCGTCGCATTCGTCTTTACAGGCTCAGAATGATAATCTATTCGCTACAAATGAGACTTTGAGGAATCAAGTCGTGAGGGCTGAAGAGCGGATTAGGGTGTTGGAGCGTCAGTACGGGGACGTACTTGTCGAGATGGTCAATTTTCAAAAGGGGATGGCGCAGCAGGATGGATTGATGCAGGGGTTGATACAGTATTTTTTAGGGGAGGGAGGTGAGTGTCTTTGATTATTATTTTATTGCTTTATTTCTTTCATTATGTCCCGTTCCGTTCCTCGTCGGTTTCCTGTCTCTTCCGTGTACCTTTTCAAAATGTGCTCCCCCATGGGGGTGACTATTATTACCTCTGTGGAGATAAAGATGCATCTGTTTGCAATGCGCTGGTCGTGGTCTAGACATTGATGATGGGGCCTCGATGCCCAGTTGATGGGCCTATGATGTCCAATTGATGGGCTTACAATGTTCGGTTGACGGGTCTACTAGGCGTCAATCTATGCCTGGGCCTGTCTTTCTTCCTCTTTTCGCGTACTTGTGTTTTCCCTCGTTAATATATATCTTCCCTTCTCCAGGTAAACCCAAAGACCCTTCGGATGCTACCTCCCAAACCGCTGCCGGGTCTTCTACCGCCGCTTCAGTACCCATCGTTCCAGCATCGGTGTCTCAACCCACCGTATCTCAACCCCCACCTCAAACCCCCATCCACAGTATGTCTCAACCCTCAACAACGCCCCTCGCGCCTAGTATGACGCCCTCCACACATCCACCGCCTTCCCTCCTAGCATCCCACTCACAGCGGTCCATGAGCCAACCACAACCATCGCCCTTCCTCGCATCTCCTTCAAATTCAAATTCGTTCTCTATGCCTTCCTCACACGCACGCAAACCCATACCCATGTCCCAACCGGCCCAATCAGCCTCCCTCCGCAACCCATACTCTCTCCCCCCTCCCCACCCCCACCAATTCGTCCCAGCCCAAGAGCAATTCGTCCCCGCCCAAGAACTCGGCCTGCAAGATCCAGATATGGTCGCGCGGCTGACTCTGGTGCAGATGAACGAGATGTCGAGGCGGGCTGCGAGTGATGCGGGGTTTAGGACCCCGGCTTCAAGTTCGGGTTCGGGTGGTTCGGGGTTGTCGTCAGGTGAGGAGATGCATATGCAGAGGACGAGTGGGACGCATTCGCATTTGCATCGAGGGGGGCAACATCAGCAGCAACAGCAACAGCAACAACAACAGTCGTCATCACAAGCATCGACACAAGACGGCAATGCTACGTTTCTCCTTCCCCCTGATATGAACTGGGATGCGCCGACGACGATGCATGAGGGACTGCAGGTTTTTACGGTTGGACATCTGTTACCCCGCAGTAGCGTGGAGGATCAGAACGGAAATTGGATGTTCAATGCTAATCCTTCAACGGGCGCTGTGCCTCCGCCTGTAGAAGGTGAAGGTGAAGGCGAAGGAGGGAACGACAACGATAACCTACCATCGGAGCCCGATCCATATTCTGAAGAAGTCGTACGTCCGACGCTGTCTAATGGACGATCTTCGACTGCGCCTACGACTATCCGTATTCGACGGTCTACGTTCGTGCCGGGATGGGCCGTTCCCCCTAGGGTGCTGCTTGTAGATGACGATGCGGTGAGCAGGAGATTGAGCAGCAAGTTCTTGCAGGTGTTTGGATGCATGATCGATGTTGCTGTGGATGGTGTTGGAGCTGTGAATAAGATGAACCTTGAAAAATATGATTTGGTGCTGATGGCGAGTGCTTTTCTTCCCTGTCTGCGTGTGCTGCGAACTAATTCGATGTTTTTAATTGGGAATGCGACAGGACATCGTGATGCCCAAAATGGATGGAGTCAGCGCTACGAATCTCATCCGCCAATTCGACCATATGACCCCCATTATCAGTATGACCTCTAATTCAAAACCGAGTGAGATTATGACGTATTATTCATCTGGGATGAATGATATTTTGCCCAAGCCGTTTACGAAGGAAGGGTTGTTGGACATGTTGGAGGTGTGTTTTATATGAAAATGGAGGGTGTATGAATTGACGTGGCTGCACAGAAACACCTTATGCACCTTAAAGTTATCCAACAAATGTCGAAAGTACCACGTTCGCTCGGCGTACCACCTCTCTCAGATCCGTCTTTTAGCGAAGCACTCGCGGTCGGCGCGTCGCAGTTACAACGACATACTTCATCATCCAATTCCAGTTCCTCGTCCAATTCATCCTCTTCCAGTCTTCATCCGACATTGGGGATGTCGGGGTACGATGACGATGGACGGATTAACCCCTTAGCAGGAATGGGTCTATCTGACGAGCGATACGCGGCTATTCTAAGAGATATTGTTACCCAAGAAAGCTTTTCGGGCGTAGGAGTGCCCGAGGGCTTTTCGTTCGGTCTCGCAGGTGCATTAGGTCCCGGGATGGGAGGAGAGAAGCGGGAATTGGACGATGGAAGCGATGGGAGAGAGGGGAAAAGGGGACGGTTTGAGATCATCGAGTGAGTTTTGTCTGGATGGATACCAGTTTTGGAGACGCTTTTTCTTTGGCGCCTACCGTATGGACTTGTGCTTTTGCAAGCGCTTTGGTATGGCGCATTCTCCACTAGTACCTCTCACCTCCCTTCACGTCCTACTTTTTATTTTTGTCACGTCATGATTTTCCTCATACCTCATGTTACCATGCTGCTTTGCGCTTATGCCCGTTTTCATGATATCATATCTTACGCTTTCATTTTCAATGTCGCCTTTTCTTGTATTGAGTTCTCTTCTTTTTTTTTTGTTCTCTGTATTACCGTACTCTCTGTTGCTGTGTCATATCGTATACGAATTTAGCTTGTGGAGTCCTCAGATCTGGATAACTCTTTGATGGGTTAATAACTTGGAGAAGCGTCGTGGGGCGATTTCATGGGAGTCCCCTAGCAAGACCAATCGAAGGCTCTTTCGTATTAAGGTCTTTCCCCTGCATTCTGTCATTGCCCTGCCGGCATCAGAAACCACCGAACTTGTCAAAAAGCCCCAACAAAGTTGCATATGCGGCTACCTGGGTCACGTACACACCCTAGATTTCATATCTTGCCTGGTGAAACTAAGCTCATTCCAGGATAGTGGGTCCTTGCCTTGCGTATGAACGCGAGATTCGACATATGCCGTCAATATTTTAAATTGATAAAACACCCTCCTAGCAGGTATCCTTCATCGAAGATCTGATCGGTGAGCTGGCCCGGGGGGTACTTGAGGGTCAGTTTGTTTACACCACATGTGTGGATAAGGCAGGCGCCCATGCGTGGTTTCGGTTAGGCAGAAACGTGGCTCAGCTGGCAAGTCTTGGTTTGGGATTCCGAGATCTGAGATCGATACTTATCATGATAGGCTATGCCGCCATGACTGTTTCACCGTAAGCATACGTATCGGAAGGGCTTTCGTGCGCGAATTTCAGCCTCTCAGATAAGCTTGAGTCATCGAAACTTGCTTTGCAAAAGTTACAGTAACAGATATCACAGTCAAGGACACAAAAACAGATCGGGAAACATAAACGAGAAACACACGAGAAACACGAGTACAAGGAATCACCGACACAATGTCATCCAGGATTACGCCGAGAGGACTTGCGCGTTATACAGCTTCGCATACTCGCCATCGTCTTCAATCAGCTGATTATGCGTGCCTCGCTCGACCACAGATCCATCCTTCATACATCTGCCACGAGGTGTCAATATCATCTGTGTGACTAGTAGTATTTCTGCTTACATGATCTGATCAGCCTCCTTGACAAGATGGTGGAAGCGGTGAGTGACAAGGATCATCGTCTTTCCTTGGCGGACATGGTGAAACTCGGAGAGAATGTCGCGTTCCGTGATAGCGTCCAAAGACGACGTGGCTTCATCGACTACAACTAATCTGATGTCTGTGTGATTGATCCTCATAAAGGTTCTAGCCCTAATGACGAGGTAGTGAAATGAGCAGTCATGACACGGAAGTAACGGCAAAGTACGCACGCTGCAAGTCGTTGTTTTTCACCACCTGTCGCCACTTATTAGTCAGTGAAAACGTGCGCACAAACTGCGAGTACCGACCTGAGATTGTGACTGTCTGCTGTTTATGACGCGCCAATTCTTCCCGCAATCTCTCAGAGATGGTGCCATAAGTTCCGTTGGCCCACCCGTTCCCGATGTCATGAGTAGGCTTAACCTGTGTATCATACCCATTCTGCAACTTTGATACCCAGTTCGTGCAGCTACCCATTTTGGCTGCTTGTTGAATTTGCTCATCGGTCGCATGAACACGGGATGGCAACCCAAGGCAGATGTTCTCCTTCACTGACATGGGAAACAACAGCGGGAGCTGGGGCAAGAATGCGATTGATGCGCGCACGTCATCGGAATCATATGTCGACAATGAATTATCGTCAATTAAGATTTCCCCTTCAGTAGGATTGGAGAGACGCGCAATGAGCTTCAATAACGAAGATTTCCCGCTGCCATTGACGCCGACAACAAGGACAAGCTGACCGGGAGCAATCTCCAGGGTGACATCGTCAAGAGCGTTATGACTGCATCTCTCGTAACGAAGCGATACTTGTCTATTTGTATCAAATAGATTAAATCCGGCACGTCTCCCCGTTTGTAGCATGAAGCTCACCGAAAAGATATTTTCATCCCATCCGACGAGCTACCTCGCGAGGAATCTGGATAAGACATCGGCCCATTGGGCATCTTGCTCTTGTAACTGATAGCGTCGTAGAGCCACTTTGCTTGAAGGCATAAGCTCTTTATTGATGTAGAGTTCATCCCATATTCGCCGATACTTAGGGAAAGCCTGTTGGTCGCTTGTTGTAGCAGAGCAATCGACATCACAGAAGAAGGCGAAAGACGACAAGGCAAAATCAGCGCATAGACCGCCTTGAAGTATGTCAGTACATAGACAAGTAAGATACGATAACTTACGAGTGGAAGGTCGAGGGTTAAATTGATTAGGAAGTCCCAGTACCACCTTCTGATCAAACCACCTGCCCAAGGAAACGGCTCAGTTACGATTTCATCGCCGAGCTGCTCAGTCGACCTCTGGTATTCTACACAACCCATTAGCATAAGCACGCTTGAACAAACGTTGCCTGACCAGAGTGGATACTGTTGGCGGCGCCGTTGAGTATCAATTCCTCTCGATATTGAGATGAGAATGCTAAGTCATAGAGAGATTTCATTTTCTTGAAAGGCACGTTTAGTGTGTAAAAGATATATCCTACAACGAGTTTGTTTCAGAAAATAGTGATAGTCCTCAATAACCACAAACCTTGGGTACCGGTAACATTGGATGGTGCCAACCAGCGGACGAGCGGATGAGCAATGCAAAATAGAAACAATACCTCCCTCTCCGGACTAGGTTTGTGCAGTACCGCGTTCATCAAGACAGCCACTTGCGACAACAGGGAAATGGTTGTGCGAATGATGTGAAACAAACCTTGTAAGAATGACGAGCCAGGTACATCCGACGGAAAGTGGCCCCTCACGGGAAATATTGTGTAACAATCTAGGAAATTATATCACAAAAGGTATCAAGAAGTCAACGAAGATCTATACCTTGCATGGAAGACACATCCACACGCATACTAGCTGGAAATATTGTTCACGATTTCAATATGGGTACAGCTCTCGATGCGTTGTATTACCTTCAATAAGCTGGGGAAGGAAATGTGCTTTCAAGCGACTATTCATGATGTCGTTCACATATGCTCTACAGGTAATGATAAGTCAGCCACTCGAACCAAGAAATCACATGAGCGTACAGGTAACGACTGCAAGCAGGTTCAATGATGGCGCAGAAGAACCCTCCGTAGATGGCAATATTAAGTGAGTCGTGAGACACGTTTCCCGAGGAATGACCCTCGACCTGCACAGGATAAGTTTCATGCATCAGATTCGGGTTCACCACTCACAAAGTTAAATATGGAACCTAAACAGAAGAGAAGCAGTGCGTCGGAGATGCTGAGCCACAACGTGGCGCAGATATGGCCAATCAACAACCCAGGAGCCAGAATATATATTTCTCCAAAAAGTCTTCGAGCGTAAGATAAGTTGGTGAAGGAGACAAGATACTGTTCAATCCAGGCTCGAATGTCTGAGGTCCAATTGACAGGTGACGGGCTTTCGTAGGCAATTGTATATATGCCATGACTCAAGATTCGTGGTGGAGGGTGGGGGGAAGGGACTACATCCCGAATACATGTTGGTTTCTTCTCGTCGGTCATGATCGTGCACGCGCGAGAATGGTGGTCTCTGGAAAATGTTTGATCAAAGGCACGTAGGCTGGAAGGTATTTATGTGTTATTTGAAGGACACACACTGCCTCTTAACCCGCGCCGCCGTTACTCTTGTGCGTGGATGAGGCGGCCAATAAATGAGAATCTGCGATTCTTGGAAGCGGTCGATTTGACATTGACAGAGTGGTGCTACGAAGGAGCCCACAGATCCACCACCTGTTGCGACACAAGTACAGATGCCAGATGCCAGACACCCCATAAGGAGAAGAGCTGTGAGTATTCAGGAGGGTGTTGTGTGTCCCAGGAAACAAAAGTCCGACACCAATTGGACAATGTGTCCGTGACTGGTGCTTCTCCAAAATTCCCCGTAGGTCAGTATACTCGCATGAATGTGGGTACACACAATAACAAAAAATGCTTTGGCAGTCATAATAGATGTGCCTCGGGTCATTGTGGGCCGGTAATATCCAGAATAGCAGCTCCTTGCACGTGAGATGCGTCTTCTACAAATCGCATTGTACGAGAAAGAATCATCGATGGCCATATTAGCTCAAGGAGGAAAACGACCACGAACCTCTGATCGAACAAGTGTGAAAATACCCGTGGAGGAAGTGTCAACAACAGTTCATTTCGGTCGTTGAAACTTGGAATGCCCTCATCGCGCGCCCACAAACAACTTGCGTTTGTCACGATGTTTTCGGCAAGGACAACGCTACCATCAAGCAGTGCGGCCAAAAAACCTGAAACTAGCAAATCATTTCCCGCATATGGCTTGAGAATAAACATGGATACTAGCCTCATGAAGTCGCAGACGGTCAAGCAAAGTCATGACCTTAATGAATGATGCAACATGATGACCCGGGTATACGAAAATTTTGGTGATCAGTATTGTGTCGATAATGGACAACAACAATAGACGTCCTGGGCCAGCGTGTGCACTGACAACACAGCACGTCGAGATTGAATTGCCGGCCATACTTGGATGCACAAAATTGCAAAGAATGCAAATTGTCGTTTACAACTTGGATATGAGGATATTACGTACTACTAGCGCCTTCATGTTTTCCCTGATCGGATCCAGCAGTGTTGGGCACCCAACTTTCCAAATTTGAATCGTCAAGCGTTGTTTCATAGTAAGTATAGCGAGTTGTCTGTGCACTTGAAACAACAAAAAACAAGGTCACGTTGCGGGGCTTCACTGCGTCGACAACCATTGGTGCCCGATTTACATACAATTATGGATGGGCACAACAAACCTGATCTATATCTCCTTTGTGTATTTCAAACAAGGGAATGCTTTGTACCCTCCGGATTCAACCACAAGTCCATTTTCTCCCATACATCTTCCTGCTCCTGTGTCCACTCCTGTGTCTTTTCTCTGACACACGCAGCACATAAGCCCTCGGCGGCCCAGTCGATTTGCTTAACTTGCTCAAGCATTTCGAGTGGTTTGCAGACACCAGAGTTAGATATTGCGGGCGCTATTACGAGCGTCATCCATTTGTCCGCAAACACGTCTGTACATGCCATATGAGGAGTTGCAGGCTAAAATAATCAACGAATTAGCGCACAGGCTTATGGTTATACAAGAACGAATCAAGTCATAAATCATCTAACATTCGGCGTTCGACGAAGAATATAGCATCTGAAGCTAATGACACATATCAACGGAATCGCCATTTGATTGATATCTCATTTCCCGGTGACTCGTCACAAGTCAAAATGTCACTGCGGTGGCAACTTCTTCGGAATCAGATGAAAGGAACACGCACTGGTGTGAATAAAACAGGAGTGAAATGTTCCACGATGCCAGTCATCAGACTTCTGCACCGCTCGACATCTGTAGGGGGTAGAATGAGGCGTGGCGTGGGCGATGACCCTGGCAAACCATTTGGTTTAATGAAAATTTCCAGATCCAACTCATCGTCCTCGGGTTCGAATTCAGAAGTCGTCACAAGGCTGTAATATATACCCTTCCTGATCTGGAATAATAGAATCAGCTTCTCGACAATCTGTGCTGAAAGCCTTGAAAACGCCGAGCGAATGAAAAAAAGACATGACAACAGTGAATGTTTTATTCCTGATCATAAATAAAACGAAATAATCACTGAGACCTAGCGACTGCGTCCCTCCAAAAAAAGGACCGCAGGAGTCAGACGCTGGCCCATCAGCAGCATACACAAATTCTCCGAAACAAAAAAAAAAGCTCATAAACAATAAGAACGAGCTACCCAGCATCAATAGTACCCGTCCCAAATGCGAGGAGAACCCATGACCTGAAGCACAGACCACACTAAATGATTGCCCGCCACGCGTCGGCCATCGCAAGCTTTTCGAAGGACGGAGAAGCATGCTCGAATGTCTGATTGGCCATTAGAACGAACTATCGTATCACAGCAAGAAACCAGACAAATGGCAAGCATATTCAAAGAATCTCGCTGTTCATAATTCCACAGACGGGACAACAGGAAGGAACCTAACAAAAAAAATCGCAAGCATGACGGAATAAACATGAACCCACCAAGGGAATCTGATACGACTGCACAAGTGCCAGTGCCTCTGTTAGATGACTACTAGGATGTGCGAATGGCTGAGGTCCCTGTGGAAACATCGATACAAAGTAAGCCCGAGCTGACATGTGAACACCGGGCAGATCAAGCTGATTCGAGGAAGAGACACGTAGGATCGCCGCAACATGCGAGAAGGGCGCTTCAGCGGAAAGAGGACTGCAAGAACATCAAAATTGTTTTCTGTCAGTTCCACCACGACAAAATGCTCTCACATATCATGGTATAGATGCTCCAGCAGCGCTGTGAAATCTTGGACTTGAACGCCAAGTTCTGGCGGAATTAATACTTCAGAATCGGTGCTAGTCCCGCTATCTAGCATCCTTTGAACAAAGCGGGATTGTCGACGCAACAAGCTCTCATGCAACTTGAAGCAAACCTCCCCATTGCTCATGCTGCGTGATCGAATGACTAAGGAACCATCGTTGAACCAGTATGTAGGATGCTGTCTGACGTTGTGCGGTTCGGCGGTCATGCTCGTGGGTAAGCTTGCCTTGCTGCTTGTTGTGCGCCACGATAACCAATATGTCCAGCCTGCAGCCAATGAGACGGGGATGAGTGTGAACAGCACTCGATGGCTAGAGGTGACGTTTGCCAGGTTTCTCATGAGAAGTAGTGGCACACGATGTGAACTCAGTGTCATCTGACGGAAGCAAACCTTCGACCTCACTGGCACCGGTAACACCGTGATAATATCAGTGTACTGATGGATATAAGATCAAGGACATGCTCAGGGTCTGAAAGGAGGTCCATGTTGATGACAGGAACGATTCGGATGTGCCCACTTCTGCGCACCCTTCATGTATCAACTTAAAATGAGTACAATACTGTCTAAGTACACGAAAGACTGGGATAATACGTTAAGTACTAATACAACACTTTACTCAATCTTTGTATCGAATTTAACAAGACATCGCCTTGCTTTATGACTTTATCATACTGCGCATTTTTGAGTGATGGCCGTGTCGTCTCCACGATACCGTGCACCTTGTCGATGGTGCAATGCAAACGCCCGTTGGCGATAAACCGTGAGAGCTCGCTAGAAGAGATGCTCAGAGGCGAGTAAGATACACGTGCAGATAATACATGCCTGTCAACAAACTCGACGCTGACGCCAAATGCACCACTAAGACTTTCAAGAGTCAGGCTGCGGTAGGACTCCAGAAGTTGGCTGTATGCCAAAATACGCATCTCTCGCACATAGTAGCGGGTATGAGGCGAGAGGAGCCGCGAGGGCAGGAGATACGTCTGCTCAAGGGTCGCTGTCGGCATGGACACGGCATGTCAGTCATTATCAATCATATCAGACAAATATAATGAGGCTAGACAGGGGCCTCGGAAGTGGATTGTGGGTGCGAAGAAACGTACCAAGTGCGACAAAGAATTTTGCGTAGTGGCAGTCGTAAAGGTTGTTTAAGAGATCTCCAAGGATCGGGATTTCTGGTAAAACGGAGATAACCTCTGGTGCGGTAATGAGCTACAGGGAATATGATCAGCAGTGGGAAATACTAGGAGAACGAGCATACCCGTTTCTTGAGATCTACTCGTTTGAGAGTGAGAGCATTTATGATGATGGTGAGAGCGACGAAATCATTGTACGTTGTGAGTTCAGTGGCAGTGAATGTCGATAGTGCATCGAGGAGAAGTGCGCCACCGGCCTTAAGCTGGCGGATGGATATCATATGGAGCCCACGGTAGACTTTCAGACGATTACGCCTATCCCAGTCACCGCCCTCCTCGATGAATCTAGATGACACGTCAATTCAAGTTCACGGCAAAGCATTGCGATAGCGCACCTTTCTGCTTTGGGAAGGTTCTCAGTGATGAGGCCATTATCGCCGAAGAAAATTCCCAGTCGGATGAGAGTGAGCACAATATCTATCCTCGAGCCAAGGCCAGGTGTTTTCTCAAGCGCAAGTTTTTGCGCTGCGACTGCGCCTTCCTTTATATATAATATTCAGTGTATGTAGGACTTAGCATAGGAAAGACACACCTTGTCACCAATTCGAGTTAGATGATTAGCTCTGGCTTTCAAAGCGTCTGATATCTCAGATTCTCCTTCTTGCTTCTCCGCCTCTGCTAGTCTCTCATCTAGCTTCTTGAGCTCCTCCTCATTATCTTTCTCCATCGATTCGAGCAACGCGGAATCAGGCGTTAGAGCACCTGCAGAGGTTACTAACTTATAATACGGCGACATTTCTGCATAAACCATAGATCAAGTCAATAACATTAAGATGATCTCATTACTTACTGTCTGCCTTGATTCCTTCAAGCAACTGTTTTCTTGCATTGTCGTGAAGTTGCCCGAGCGTTGGTGAGATAAGAGTGAACAGGTGCTGGGGGAGGCTGAGATTTGGTATCGGAATGATTTCTTCTGCCATGACTGTCAGTGTTAGGGAGCTTCCCTTGGCTTCCCTTCGACGCGTCAGTCTCACAGGTTCATATTCCCACGGCGTGAAGACGCGTCACACCTATGAACGCTTTCTACTCATAGCCAACACCGAATATTGAATCATGGCATTCACCCAAGACCTCCTCAAGCAGGCTGCAGATCTTGCGTCTTCTAACCCAAAGCGTGCAGAGGAGCTTTACAAACAAATATTGGATTCTACGGGTGTGCTGCACAGTGTATGTCTTGACTGCTGGTACTAATCATGCTCTCAGCATCAACCTCTAATGGATCGGCAGTCAATGCTGACAAGGAACAGTCCTTGCGTGATCAAGAGTCGGCCTTGATCAAACTCGCAGAGCTCTATCGAGATCAAAAGTGCGTTTTGCAAAATCTTGTTTTACGCAAGTCCTCACTCCAGACAGAGATGCCAGTGGCTTAGCGCAAGTCATCACACTCTCGAGATCATTCATGTCTTCAACTGCCAAGGCAAAGACTGCCAAACTGAGTGAGTATCCTCTGTTCTTGACCCGCTATACTTGATTAATGTCTACCTTGTAGTCCGCACGCTTCTCAATTACTTCAACTCTATCCCTAACAGCCGGCAAACCCAGATTGACGTCCTAACCGACAACATTGAGTGGTCGAAACGCGAAAAGCGCATATTCCTCAAACATAGCTTGGAGATTCGACTCGTTTCCCTGTAAGAAACACTTCTACTTCTTACAACGATGCTGATCATTGCCACAGGCAACTTGAAGCACTACAGTACAAGTTAGCCTTAACGAGAATTGACGCACTCTTAACAGAGTTGAAAAGGTTAGATGACAAGATGATTCTTACCGAAGTACACCTGCTCGAGAGTCGTGTCTACCGTGGCATTGGAAACCTGTCGAAGTCTAAGGTTAGTCCTTCGGGTGCCATCCTGGTATTCTCATTATGTGGCCTTACGTCCGTGAAATACAAAGGCTGCCCTCACCTCCGCCAGGACTGCTGCAAACTCAATATATTGTCCTCCTCATCTTCAAGCAGCGTTAGACCTCCAATCCGGTGTTCTCCACGCTGAGGACAAGGATTACACTACTGCATACTCATATTTCTATGAGACTTTTGAGAATATGTCATCGCAGGACGACCCAGCAGCGCTGAACGCACTCAAGTACATGCTTTTGTGCAAAGTCATGTTGAATATGGTGTGTTGTTAATGACCTTAACTGGCCAATCATTCTGATGTGTGTCCCAGCCCGAAGATGTAACATCACTTCTCTCCATCAAGCTCGCGGTAAAATATGCTCAGCTCCGCGAGATCGAGAGCATGCGTACCATAGCGCTTGCGCATCAGAATCGGAACTTGTCCGATTTTGAGAAGGCCCTTCGGGATTACAAACATGGCATGTCATACTCCATTTATGCAACTCGTTGTTGACTTGTCATTGCTACACAGAACTCTCGTCCGACCCTACCATTCGCTCGCATCTTGCAGCGCTTTACGATACCCTTCTTCAGCAAAACCTGCTGCGTATCGTTGAGCCATACTCGGTGGTGGAGATTGACTACGTTGCCAAACAGGTCGGGCAAGGACGGCAGGACGTTGAGGCCAAGTGCGTATTAAATTTTCTGTGTGAAAAGTAGCTGATGTCGTGTTTCAGGCTATCTCAGATGATCTTGGACAAGGTGTTCCACGGCGTGCTGGATCAGGGACGAGGATGCCTAATCGTATTCGATGAGCTAGAAGCCGACGTGCGTACCCTCTTCCCACTCATCCCATCCATGCTTATATCCTTTTTTCAGAACACGTATGGAGCAGCAATTGGGACTCTGGAGCAAGTTAGCAAGGTCGTAGACTCATTGTATGCCAAAGTACGTCCGTTTATTGTTTTTGGCCGTTGGTCTGTGCTTATGGATGTCATTCAGACTGTCAAGATTGCATAGATGTTGTTTATGTTTCCTCCTTCCTACACGTGAAACTCAACATGATACGTATGACTAAGGGGAAGAAAAGGCCACACTGTCAATGGTAGATATGTCCGCGCTGATCTGAAACTAAGTAAGTGGCTGTCATCACTCTAAGGTTGTAATATACTGCGGAACAAGGGACGAGTGGAACGTGAGACAATGTTCAATGAGGTGTTTTGTACTTGGCTACATTCGATTGCTTGCAATTGAGTTTTAATGAACTGTACCCGAAGATGAGTGTGGAGGAGAAACGCAAGTTCTAGCGAAGCGATCACAGTATGGACACCACACTAATACTGAGTACTGATAATTGATCATTTCATGCAGTTCTTCGATCTATGGAGTTTACTGAATATTCCAAATCTACTGAGAGCGCTATGTACCTGCTGACGTGCAAGTATTTCGAACAACTTCATTCTATGTTTTGGATGATCTTCAGAGCCGCTAAGGTACGCATATCTGACCAGCCGAAACATACGCTAAATCGCCTGCGTAGAATTCTACCCCCTCTCAGTCATGGTTATGGGCGTTTCACGATGTTCCAAGGGTTGCCTAGGGTCCACTTTTTCATGGCACATACACACACATTGCAGATGTGGGCGTCCCGGACGGCCACTGTGTACGGACCCATATATTCCCACGCAGATATGTGGGCTTCCAGGACGGCCACTGTGTATGGGCCAACACATTCCCACGCACATGTGGGCTTCCAGGACTGCCACTGTGTACTGACCCGTATATTCCCACGCATATGTGGGCTTCCAGGACGGCCACTGTACATGTGCCCATATTCTAAGGGCACATTTGTAACCTGGTATTGGTTACACCCAGGTTATGGCTAGCCAAAAGAGCACAATCTGGGCATTTCTGAACATGTCAAAAATGCGCAGAACAGGGGAGGTCAGATCTGGGCATTTCTCAACATGTCAAAAATGCCCAGAACAGGGGGGGGTCAGATCTGGGCATTCTAAGGGCACATTTGTAACCTGGTATTGGTTACACCCAGGTTATGGCTAGCCAAAAGAGCACAATCTGGGCATTTCTCAACATGTCAAAAATGCCCAGAACAGGGGGGGGTTGGATCTGGGCATTTCTGAACATGTCAAAAATGCGCAGAACAGGGGAGGTCA